CTGTGACAGCTGCCAGTGCATTAAGGACTGCACTGTCAATAGGAATGGTCTACTACAGCCACATGCTGTCCTGCCTTTCCTCTTCCACACAATATCAATGGACTTGGTAATGTCTCTGCCAAAGACACCACACGATCATGATGCAATTATCGTTATTGTGTGCAAACTGTCCAAGTTCTCATATTTAATTACACTGAAGGAGAACCAGACGTCTGTGCCTGTAATTGCTCGACTTTACCTGGAGACAGTGTTCTGACACCATGGCATGCCTTGTGTCATTGTCTCTGACCACAACCCACATTTTACATCTGATTTTTGGAAGAAGCTGATGAAATTGTGTGGTGTCAAGACAAATATGACGACAGCAAGACACGCAGAAGGAGATAGGGAGACGGAGAGGAGAAATTGGACAGTTGAACAATTTTTGCATGCATTCACTGACTACAACCAAAAGAACTGGGACAACATGCTGGCATTTGCTGAGTATGCAATCAATGCTTCCAAGCAAGCTGGCACTGAGCTCATGCCAATGCATGTTGTACATGGCCATGAACCAGTCACACACAATGTCATACTCAACCCACAGACCAACCAGGCCAAATTGACCCTATCTGATTTTATGAGCTGTTGCCAGCAAGTCATCTGTCAAGCATGCAACACACTGGCAGCTGCTCAGGATGCAATGACAGCCCAAGTAAACTGTAACCACCATGACATCCAGGTTAAGGCTGGATATCTCGTCATAATCAGTGCCAGCATGATCAACTCTGACTATGAACACAACTGCACATCTGCTAAACTGAGCGACTGCTGACTTGGCCCATACAAGGTCCTAGAGGCACTTTCATCTGTCACATACTGCATTAAGCTGCCTCCCAATGTCCGTGCACACAACGTTTTCCACATATCATCACTCAAGGCATACATTTCAAGACCAACCAAACCACTACACCCAGGACTAGTTGACAATACTTCAGACCACTTTGAAGTCAATGACATTTTGGATCATCATGATCATCAAGGCCACAGAAAATATCTCATCCAGTGGACTGGTTACTCAGAAGCCGAGTCAGATTGGATCAACAAATACAATGTCGATGATGACTTAGTTAGACATTACTTAGACCAGTTGGTGACGTCTTAGGATGGAGGAGTGTTGGGCACAGATTTCCTTAATAGGCAATGCCTATCAGTTGCCCTTATCTTTGTGAGTACAAAGACCCACAGCTATAAAAAGGGCAAAACAACATTTATTAGTTTGTGCTCTTTTTTCCCTAGTTTTTTGGAATACAGCTTGAATTACCATTATTGAATTCACTCGTTAACAATAATTGTAGCTGTATTATATTGTTTGCAGATTCAAATTGTTTAAAGGGAGTTTCTTGACCTCCCTTATAGTGTATTTTTATAGATTATATTTAATTAACAATTTATTGTGCTCACAGGTAATGCCAAATTATAGAACCACGTCATTTATCACATATTAGCAGATGTATTACAGGGCCTCTGGAATTATTGATCAACTACTTGCTTAAGACTAAATATATGAGTGTGACACTGCATTTGCATCACCAGTATTTGCTATTCAGAAGAAGCTTGGTGGTTTTAGACTGCTCATAGATATACTCCAATTAAACAACACCATACAAGAGTACTTATGGCTGCTCCTAAACATTGGAACTTTACTTGACAGACTTCAAGGCTGCTGTCACTTTTCTACGTTTGATATGGTGAGTGGTTATCAGAAAATGCAGATTCATCCATATTCAGAACACTTGACTGCATTTAGGTGTCCTCTCAGTATGTTCTTGTGGGACACTCTTCCCCAAAGGTACAAATTATTACCATCTGCTTTTTGTTGTCTTATGCATAGTCTTAAAGTATATGCTTTTCGTTTGTATCTACCTTGACAATTTTCTGGTCTGCTCCTGGATGGCCAAGGAATATGAGAGCCATCTGTGCCAGGTATTTGAGGCACTGCACACAAACAGTCTTTATGTGAACCACACAAAGACAAAGTTATTCCAGAATCATGTTAAGTGTTTTGGACACCTAGTGAATGCAGCAGGCATGAATGTTGACACACGGAAAATTGATGTGATCCAGTCATGGCCAGTACCCACAAACGCTAGACACATGCATCAATTACTTAGGACATTTGAATACTATTGCCGTTTTATAGCAAAATTTGCAGATATTGTCACCCCATTAAACACATTGACGTCCAAGGATGCAGAGTTTGAGTGGACACCTGTGTGCAATAAAGTAATGGCTGAGCTCAAAGGTTGTCTATTCTCAGCACCAATCTTGAGCCCACTTATTAAAGAACTGCAGTTATACCTTGTGACAGACATGAGCGACTTTGGGATTGGTGCCATTCTGGGGGAGGAACACCTGGATGGGCACCACCTGGTCAAATACATGTCAAAACAGTTGAACAGCACACAATGCAATTACAGGGTGGAAAATAAGGAGCTGCTAGCAATTGTCCAGTCTCTCAAGTAGTAGCACCATTATGCTGCCAGGTGGCATATCATTGCCAAGACAGACCACCACCCATTGAAATACATCACCACACAGAAACAACTGTTGCCAACCTAGAAATGCTAGCTTAAAATCATCAACAAGCATGCCATTTGTAAGAAGGCTTTTTATGTTAAATATATATATTTCAAAAATACACTATAAAGGAGCCTAAAGAGCTCCGCTTATCTATTCAAAACTATCGACAGCGAAAATAGAAATCGCGATCGTAAACAATCAGTCTCAAACAATTGCAATTGTCACGTGACATTGTAATAGTTGATGTCACATATATGAGACAGCTCTCCTCAGTTTCTTCACTTTCTTTCACTTTCTTTTTAATATAACTTGCAAAGCTTCTCTTTGCTTGTTTTCACATTACATACCATGGGTTGCTGGACTACATTTTGAGCCGATCCATCATAACCATGACGTCTTGATCACTGGACACCTCACTGTTGACGCCACCCCCGGCCAGCTATGGAACTTTTACTGGGCACATATGAACAAGTCTGTAAACTACATTGGCAAATGTGACCACTGTGCACAAACCAAAGACTTCATTGTCAGCAAGAATAGGTTGATCCAACCATACTAAATGCCACCCTACCCATTCCACATAATTTCCATGGATATAATAAGAATAATCAGTAATAATATGTAATCAAACTAAAAATCAACTATAAGGGAGCTAAAAAAAGTTACCCCTTATCAATCGACACCCACGAGTAGTAAAATATAACTGATTAGTAGTAATCGCAATCGTCACGCGACACAGCTTTAGTTGATTTCATAATGTACCTGATTATGTCACTACCAAAGACAGCCACAGGAAATGATAAAATACTGATTGTCGTCTATAAACTCTCAAAGTGCATGTATTTGACACCTCTCAAGGTGTGCAAGCTGCAGGCCAGTGTCATTGCAGATTGAATATTTGTGGCAACCATTCATAATCATGCTTGAGCATGATCCATGATTCACCTCATATTTCTGGACCATGTACACAGAGGCTTGTGGCGTTCAATGCTGTTAACGGGTGTATATTATAAGTATCTGGAATTGTATTCTGTAAAAGCTAGGAAAAGAGAAGTCCGAGAACTAATCAATCTTGTTGTTTTGCCCTTTTTATGGCTGTGAGTCTTTGTACTCACAAAGATAGAGGCAACTGATGGGCATTGCCTATAAAGGAAATCTGTGCCCAACAAATGCAATATGTCGACAGCAAACCGCCTTGAGGGCGACAGTGAAACAGAACAGCACAACCTCACAATTGAGCAGATGACTCGCACTTATGTGGATTACCAGCAGAAGAACTGAGACAAGCTACTATCATCGATCGAATTTGCAATTGACTTGGGGAAACAATCTACAACTAAGTATTCGCCCATGCATTCTGTCTTTGGTCACGAGCCAAGCACGCCAAACATATTTGTCAATTGGTAGTCCACTCTACAGTCACAGCCATTGAACCAATTCATGGGGCAGCAGAATCAGATCATTCATCAGCTGCAGGATAATCTGGCCACAGCACAGGATCCCATGGCTGCTCAAGTCAATCAATCTTGCCACAACATTATATTCGAGGAAAGCGAGCTGGTCTTGATCAGCGCAGCTCATTTAAACACTGACTTCTAGTTCCGACGCCCATATGACAAGTTTAATGCCTGTTGGCTTGGCCTATACAATGTTATCAAGCGGCTCTCCAATGTAACATATCAGCTTGATCTCCCTCCAAGTATTTGAGCACACACAGTTTTCCACACTTCGAATTTCAAACTCTACAATTCTAGTTCTGCTGACATTCCATGCCCTGGCTCCATGGATGACACAAATAATTCATACGAGCTTGAAGACAATATTAGCTGATAAGGATCATTATGGACAATGCTGATACCTTGTAAGATTGTCCGGATATCCCGTTGTTGAGTCAACATGGGTCTATAAAAAAGGCATTTATGAAGAGGCAGTGCACAGCTACATAAACGGCTCAGCAACATCTGAGAATGGAGGAGTGTTGGCTGAGTGAGTCAACAACGCTTGGCGCCTTTGTAATTATTTACAAAGGCATGAAATCACAACAATTATTGTTGTGATTCCTTCTTATTTTTTTGTTACCTTTATTTTAGTACTTAGTTAATATATTTTTCACCCAATTTCTACTAGCTTAAACATACAATCTCATTGTTGTGGGATTGCATGCACACAGTGATTTTATTATGAGAGCTTCAGCTTTTTTTCGTAGTCTCAATTTAAATATATTTAATACACTTAGCATACTCTTCTTGACATTCACCATTATTATAAACACCAACATTCCTATTTTCAATTAAAAGATAAAATAAATATTTGTTGTTCTGGCATATTCAAAATTAATATAAATTATTTATGTTATGCATATATATTGAACAGCATCTCAAAGGGTGTAGGTCTAGTCATGGTTTACACAAGTGAAATTTTGCGTACAATAATAATGATAGTTTTAGCAGATTGTACTTTTTTATAATTATGTAAATAAATAAATATAATATGACAATTATATTCGCAACAAATTCTTAAAAATTGACCCTATTTGGACGGGCAGCGGTGAACAGTTGGAGAAGTGGTAGATTTGTCTGTGGACGAAGAATTGGGTTCGTCTGTGGGCGTCACAGTTGGTGCGGCTGCTGATGGCTGAAGGTTGCTGAATGCGCGGCCCTGAGCAGATCCCTTCAAAACATCAGCACAGCCCTTAGTCTCATCCTCCTTGCATCTACCGATCAGATACAAGTCAGTTCCATTAGAGCCTCCAAACTCGAGATTGGATACAAAGTCAATAGATGTTGCATTAATATAGGCTGTAAGCTCGCCCGCAGGTGCAAACACAGCTACCTGGCCGAGTCCATTGCGCGAGACATAGAGATTTCCATCCACATCAGTGCGCATGCCATCAATGTCGGTTGCCTCAGACTGGTCGAGTTGAGCAAAGTCTACAAATGTGCGCTTGTTGGATACGTCACCCGTAGCTGCATCGAGATCAAAGGCGTGGATGACATTGGAAACAACACTCCCGCCTTTGTTGCCAGCCTCGGATAAGTAAAGTGTTTTTTCGTCGGGGCTGACTTCAATACCATTTGTGCGCATGAAGGTGCCCAGACTCCTAGCAACACCATCCTTGCCACATGTCCACAAGTCGCCATCACCAACTACTGAGTCACTGGTCCAGCGCATGCCTGACGTAAAGATGCGGCCAGTGGATGAGGCAATGGCAAGGTCATTGGGTTGGAGCATATTTTCGTCTTGGCAGAATATGTCAATCTTGTCAAAGATACCGGTAGCGTCTTGACGGCCCGTTAGTTGGACAATCTGGTGGGTAACTGCGTCTGCAATGTATGCCTCCTCAGCGCCTTTGCTGTCAATATTGAAGCGAATACCATTGACAAGGGAAGTGTCGTTGGACGACTTGAAAAATAAGGCTTGAGTTGGAGCAATCTGGCCAGCAGAAGTCCCATTGGCGTTAAAGTTCACCGCATATATGTTTCCGGCCATGTCAACACCAGCGCCTTCAATACCACCACCAAACAGGGAGTCGGCTGCACCCAGGAATGGTACGGCCTGAAGTCTGTTGGCAGCAAAGGCGGTGGATGCAATGGCTGAGAAGACAATGGATAGTTTCATGGCGAAGCAGATGAAGTTTTAAAAGGTTAGGTTGTGATAATGAGTGAAAGACGCGAGGTTGTGAAAATAATACAATTAAAAGGTTAAAGGTGCCACGCATTAAGAAGGAACAAACAATTGTATTTGAGTGGAAGCAGGTAGCCTTGGCCATTTATATAATTGGGTCAAGGTGTGCGATTCCCGCATGTGCAAGCAGAGATTTGCTGTATATAAATATTTTTTCAAGGAAAATATTTGTGAATTTATTTATAGAGATACAAAGCGTCTTTCCGCCTTATTGAATTTTTTTAGAAAGACAGCGATATCCTACAAAGGGCCATTTAAAGGCGCGCCAAGAAAGGCAGGCAGACAGGCAGCCTGAAAAGAAAGGTTGATGGGTGCGCATGCACGCACGCACATGTGGTGGCCATTGTGGAGTGGAAATGGAAGGTTCGAAGGGATAAACATGTTTGGCTTTGTAACACTGGGTTGGGGCGTGGGTAGCAGAGTTAATGCGGTGCATCGTGATGCAACTTGTACTGGGGGTGGTGCCAGCACGAGGGTTGCTTGTATTTTGGTTTGGCGCCCTGCGACGCGTCGAGTTGCATTGCGTTGCATTGCACGGCAAAGGCAAAGGCCAAGGCCGAGGCCGAGACCGAGACCGAGACCGTGGGTTCTGAGATGCATGATTGCGTAGGTGTTACGAAAGTATGCATGTGTTTTTTAGTAGGTGATGGAATATTGGTACAAAGAGAGATATGCGGCGGCATATGCGGACATATAAACAAGTGTTGTGGGTAGGCGAGGCAGTGCTTGCCAGCCGGTGCTCAGTCGGTGCTCCACACCATCATCTTGCACTTGGGGAACTGGGTCTCGATGAGAGACTTTGCGTGACGGGTAATCATGCGGCCGCAGAGCACGTGCAGGTGGGTAAGGCGCGCCAGATGCTCGGCGCAGACCGAGTCGTACTCCATATCGAGATTCAGCAGGTTGAAGCACTTTGAGCGCACGCCGTTGCGCAGCGCCTGCGACGTAAACACGCGCGCACCGCTGGCGTTTCGGCGGGGCTGGGGCTGCTCTCCAGATACACACGGGCTGCCAGGTGCCGTCGAGGGCGGCGAAATGTCGGCGACTGGGCGCAGGAGCGGCTGTGTACGCGGCTGCGCCTGCTGCCGCGGCACTGCGTTTGAGGGCAGCGATGGGATGCTGGCCCAGATGTCGCTGATCGACGGCAGGCTCAGCAGCAGTGCGTTGGAGCTGGCCGTGGCGGCTGATCTGGCTGCGGCTGATCTGGCTGCGGCTGGCCCTGGCCCTGGCCCTGGCCCTGGCCCTGGCCTGGCCCCAGCCCCAGCCCCAGCCCCAGCGTCGGTCGCGTTGTGCATGACCACAAGCTCCCGCAGGTAGCCAAGGTTGCCCAGGATGGCGCTCAGGCCGTCATCAGTGATGCCGTGGCAGCCAAAGAGCCGCAGTGACACAAGGCGTGGGCAGTTGCGGCCGATGGCAATCAGGATGTCATCGTTGACAAGCGAGTCCTGGCGCGGTGACGTGTGCGGGATGGCGGCCTTGAGCTTGAGGTCGCGCAGGTACGGCCAACGCGTGGCGACGTTGAACAGGCTTTGGTACGAGTCTGTGGTAACCATGACGTTATACAGGTCCAGGGCCGCCAGCCGCGGCAGTAGCCGGGGCGTCAGCTGCGCAATGCTGAGGCGTGTGAGCCGCGAGCAGTCCGACAGAATCAGCTCGCGCAGGTCCCCGCCACGCGCGCGAACCAGCGCCAGAAGCGCGTCGTCCGATATGCTGGAGCCGCTGGCGTCAAGCCGCAGCAGGTTGGGCGCGTTGCAAAGGAGTGCCAGCGCGCGGTCGGTGATGTCGCCGCGGCCATACAGCGCGCGCAACGAGTGGCGGTTGGCGGCGACCACGCAGCATAGCGCAGCGGCCGATGACATATCGTTGCGGCCCAGAGAGAACCAGCGCACATGCTGCAGCCGCACCTGCTGCGCAAGTGGCCCGCCAGCCTCGTCACCGCCGCCAGCAAGCAGGGCCGCCGGACACTCGCTCAGGTCGAGCGCCACCAGCCCTGGCAGCGCACGCAGCAGCAGCTCGCACGCAAGTGCACCGAACCGCAGCTCGCTGTTGGTCAGCGCCGACCGCGCGCCGTCCATATGGATTTTTATGCGGCGCACTCGCGCGCCCGAGCCGTGCACCGCGGCCACAGCATCGCGGATGCGCTGCTCGTACATCGGCGCCGACAGGAAGCCGTCGACAAAGCCGACATCGATGGTCAGGCCGCGGATTGCCCCGGCAAGGCCCTTGCGCCGGTAGTGTGCCAGCCGCAGCGCCAGCCGCATGATGTGGCAGTCGACGTGGCGCACGGACTGGACTGCCGTCAGAGCGTACCACGCCCGGTTGACGGTTTGGCACGCCGCAATCTCCCTGGGCGTGAGGTACTGCAGGGCATGTTCGATGATAGTGGCGGCAGCGGGGCTGTAGCCGTCCATGGAAAACAGAGTTGGTGGAGTGGTAAAAAAGAAGACGGGAAATATCGATAGCAATAGCAATATCAAGCGAGAGCGCCAGCAGTTGGCCGAGTAAAAAGAAAGCAGAAAACGGTGCAATGAATGAAGACTGCAGAGGCAGAGGCAGAGGCAGAGGCAGAGCGTAGCAGCAAGTGGGCGGGAGGCGAATATTTATATTGCGTGGGAAAGGTCAAAACATTTTTGGGTCGAGATTTCATGGTGAAAGGGAAAAAGCAAATTGGGGAGTTTAGCAGCACAATAACAAAAAACAAGAAAGCCTGGAGCACGGCCATTTATTAGCCAACCGAGGCCTGGGCCTGCACGCCCTGCCATTGGCTGGGAATAGAGGCGATTTGCAGCGATTTGCACAGGTGCAGGGGGCTGGCCAACCCTGGTGGGTCATGTGCTGCCCCAGCTGTGCTTTTATGCTCGTGCGCACAAGTGCCAGCGGCGGCATGCACACCTATCTTGCCGGCGCTGCTCTGTTTTGCTGTTTTGCGCTGCGCTGCTCTGCCCGCGGCAGCATATGCCGCTCTCGCTGGGGCGCAGACAATGCCAATGAATGACAATGGGCTTGTGCACTTGCGACAAGGGCCACCTGGAGCCGCGCACTCCCTTTGCGCCGCTTGCATGCATACACGCATAAATTGATTTTCAAATACAAAAGTAAAGCCTGCGCCGGACAAAACACATTCTGCAAAATACGAGAACTGGAAAATCTCCGCTACCTTGCTGTTAGCAGCCAAGCACACCCAACACATCAGATTGCTTGGTGAGCAGCAAAGCTGTCTGCTTCTTTCTGAGAGAAAGGGAGAATCTAGAATTAAACCGCCAGCTATTTAGAGGGCTGGCTCGCTCGGCTCGCCTTGTTTTTTGTCCGCTCGAGCTGCTTCACATGGGTTTATAAACCAACTCGAATGATCCTTAGGATACCAGCAGGCCATGATGTCATTCATGGTGTTCCATCTCTCATGTACTCTCGGCGCCAACATGCATTTATTGGGGGTTTTAAGATTCCGCATGTTGTTCGATGCAGAAAGAAAAGCATTGCCGCATGCCATGTGGTGCACACATACATGCTTACCGCATTTCCATTTGTCATCATTGTCCCCAAGAGTTATGTACCAAGTTGCGCTGCGCTGCATATGGTGCTCAGGCATGTAGGCTTGAGGGATATTTATTGGGCATACGTGAGAAACGCGTAGGCTGGGCTGGGTGGGCGTGAGTGGACAGTTCGCCGAGCTGCCGTGTCCCGTTGCCAACTGACAATTCGATTGATCTTGGATCCGCTCCGAGCTGATCTGATCTGATCCGATGCGCTTTGCGTTTGTTATTTGTTATTTGTTATTTGTTTGCATGGCTTCTTGGCTGCGTCACATACATTATGCAAAGTGAATCGAATCGAATCGAGTTGACCAAGAACACCCTTTAGTTGGCGCCAGTTGAAATCCAGGCCACGCCCAATTATAAAGAAATGAAAAGCCTCCACATTTTGACGCTCCTATTTTATACTCTCTCACCATTCTTCTCATACATTTTGTATTCTGCTCAATCGATTCACCCTTATTGATCCTACGGCGCACACCCGCCACATTGTAAGACTATCCTGTACACACACATTCCACCTCCCAAAAGATAATGGCGCTTTCAGTTGTGGAAACTTATAACCAAGCATTCTCGATCGTAGCCATGCTGTTCGCCGCACTAATATCCCCGCTGCACTCGATTCTGATCGGCACGACGTCCACGCGCGCATCCAAAATGCCCCAAGACCTGACTGTCGCCGAGAAGAAAAACGAGCTACGCATGCTACATAAGCGCGCACGCCAGCTGGACAAGAAATTGTCGATCGGATGGGGCAAGCCCACCGAGTTCACGCTGTTGGCCATGCTTCCCATCGTGGGTGACTACATGTCGACAACCCTGGCCATCGACTATCTTCGCCGGATGCACACGACGTTTGTTTTGTCTGACGAGATCGAAAAGAAAATGCTTCGCAATGTCGTCGTTAATTTTGTCATATCCATCATCCCTCTGGTCGGCTGGCTTATACGCCGCATATACAGCGTCAACAAACGCAACTACAAGATCTTGGATAAGTACATTATGTCGATGCCATCGAAGAACGACACTACTGTCAGATCCAAAGGGCGCAGTTAATCGGGCTTTGCAATCGGTATTACATGTGCCAACCCATACCGCGACGCATGATCACTGTGTTTGCCAAAATTAAACTTTTCCATGCTCGGGCCCAGCCTGTGTTCTAGCTGCAAACTTGCTGGGCATAATTCATTTTTACTATTATTTCTATTTAGACTTTGCTCACTTTTCAATCTATACCCGCTCAAAAAATCAGAGCACATACTTGGTTTATACAATGTCGGCAACCGCCAAAAACAGCACCACCGATGGCCCTAACATAGCACTGGGCGGGGCGCACCATCAACAGCAGCAGCAGCAACAGCAGCAGCAACAATCGCCACCGCAATGTGAGCTGTCGAATAAGGAAAGGCTGCGGTCCTACTTAAACCACAGAATGCGAGTCACATGCGGCGACGGAAGGCAGTTCGCCGGGTTTTTCCGATGCGTTGACAGCACCAAAAACATCATTCTTGCCGACACCACTGAAACTAGAAAAGGTAAATGCCACAGCGCCAAGTCAACGTCAAAGTTACAATTGAACTATTGTTCACAGGCCTGAATAGGCATAGACCCGCTGTCATTCAATTTACTAAAATTATTTTTCCAAGGTATGAATGGCAAATTTTGCAAATTAATTAGGCTCGCAGCGTCATGTAGGCATGATCATGATTCCGGGAGATCATATCCGGCAAGTGCTGGTTGAAAATCTGGAGGTAATATAATTGAGCTGCAGAATTCCGCAAGGCCGAGCTAAGCCGAGCCAAGTCTAATCAGGTCAAGCGCCGGCTTGTCGAGGAGCCGCTTGTATCAAAGTTCCATCGCCCACACTGGTCCATTTTTGTTTCCCTTATAAACTTTTAATCACTTTTGACCACTTAATTTTCATTCAAAAAGCCCCCAACTTTAATGGCAATGGCCGAGTGCGCGCTCAAGTGCAATAACATCAAGTGCAGGCAGTCGCTGGCACGCGCCGAGAGCGCATGCATTACAAAATGTTCGCGTAAGAAGAAAATTGATCTTGCAAATAATATTTAGTGTTTAGACTGGCACGCAAATGTCTTTGAAATTGCAACTTGCCTAAAATAATTACAAGTTTTTATGATATTATAGATATATTTTGCATGCGGTGTGCCACTGGCGGGTTCCGCTCATCGCCCCTATGCCCTGCCTGCCAAACAGAAATGACTCATCGTAAGTACAATCCCAGCATGAGAAATACCAGTTTTCAATGGCAAATACAATATTCAACACTTTTAGCCATTAAAATGTTTATAATCTGTAGGTCAGATGTGATGACAGTGTCACTGGCAGTCACCGAAAACTACAAATCGCTGATTCTCGCAGGGCTGCCTCCACTGGTAATCATGGATATCTGTAGCCGCGCTTTGTCATTCTGGTCCTACCAAGCTGCACAGGAGCTGGCCTTCCAGCAGGCAGATGCTGAGGCTCAAAGAGACAAAATACAGCTGGTCGAGTCCCGCGCTGCAACTTCCATCGCTGAGGCTCGCGAGAAAATAAAAGGTACGCACATGTGCTTGCAGCACACACTACACAATGCAAATATTTATGACAAGCAAGTTTTGCGTGTTTTGCACTGTGCAAATATTGCTAACATATATATATATATTGTGCGCGCCGCTTATTAATAAAAATGACATTGATTGTAGTTGTCGAGTCAAAGTTGAATTCTGCGCAGTGTGCTCTCAACGCTGAGCGCCAGGAACGCTCTATCGCCGAGGACACAATTGAAGAGAAGAATCGGCAGCTACGAGGAATTAAGGCAAGTTTAATTTTGTAAAAAAAAGTTAGTTCACATTAGGTGATCGTGTCTGTCGTGCTTGCAAGCATGTGTATATATTAACTAATAATATTAGCCCATGCTCTTGAAGCGGGAAATTATATTTTATGTAGCTGGCATACAACAACTTGCGCCAAAACCATGCACTAGCGCAGATGAGCAACCGAGCGGATATAGCGCCAGACCGAGCATCAGTCTTCCCACGAGTAAGTGGCACAAGTGCCAGGTTTGTTTGACTTTGAACATGCCGTCGGCCAATTTCATTTATTACAAACAGTCTGATTCAATATTATGCGGTTTTATAGATGTGCAACGAGCGTTACAGCGCTGTTGCGGGGCCTTTCAGCGAGAACGGTCAGGTCGGTACCAGCAATTCGGGACACCATGCCACAATAAACCCGTTTTGGCGCGCCAAGGGGCCTCGTGCCTTTTCAGCAACGCAGACTCCAAATAGGGGCACAAACAGCTGGGAGCATCAATTTTGTTAATTTGGGGCTTTGCCTCACACGTGTACATATTTTACGATGCGTGTAAGCAATTTTGTGCGTCAATATGCTTTGTCAAAACTTAAAAATAATGAATAAAGCTATTCAAGAATAAATTGATAATCATGCGAAAGAAAAATATAAAGAGAGAGAGAGAAACATGGAGGAGTAACGACAGACCCAGAAATATGAGTATTCAACAAACATCCTACTTTTGAACTGGGCGTAGAGACTCAGGAACAAAAATGTCTGCCAAAAAGAGGCTCAGGCCCTCTGTCCGTTCTCATTAATCTCGCTGATGCGCTCCCATTCGCCCTTCAGGTTCTCCTTCCACAGTGTAATCTTGTTGTCGCCGCAAGAAACCGCCAGAACGTTGCCCGACATGGACCAGCTGACGCGCCAAACAACGTCAGGAAAGGGTGTTGAAGAAAGCTGAATGCGGTTCCACTCTGCGGGCGTGTTCTGGCTAGCTGGGCTCTTCGTGAGTAACGCGTCCTGTGTCCAGATATACACGTTCTTGTCCTGCGAGCAAGACGCGAGATACGTGCGCGGAAGCCCAATGTTTGGCGCGTATGCGATGTCCCTGACCCAGTCACCATGGCCCTCAAGGGTCTTGATGACATCATATGCCTTTTTGTCCTCGGAGTATGCCCAGATCTTAATGTTGTTGTCGCATCCGCCCGAGGCAAACTGCTTGACAAGGCTAGCCTTTTGGGTGGCGCCGGGCTGGGCAAACGCGCCGGCAGCAATGACAGGCGCCCAGCTAACAGCATTGACACCCGTGGTATGCGCGCTGCGAATCATCTGCGCGTCCCAGACGCCCTCTTCTGTGAAAGTAAGCAACGAGATCTTTCCGTCTGACGAGCCGCATAGCAGAACGGGACCCAACTCGTGGGGAGCCCAGGCAATCGCGTTGACTGAGGCCTGGTGCTTCTCGTGCTTCTTGATAACTGTAAATCCGATTCCGGGCGTCTCCTTCCATATAAGAACAGTGCCGTCATACGAGCAGGAGGCGAGGACGCTGCCAAACTTTGGGTGGGCCCAAGAGACTTGCCAGACAGGGCCAGAGTGCTCTTGAGCGTTTCGACAAGCTTTTGCTGCTTGCCGTTGATTTCGAAAAGATGGATTGTGCCATCTGATGAGCACGTCGCCAGGCGCTTCCCGTAGTAGTCCAGCTGGGCGTCATGCTAAGCAAAATAACAAAAAATCAGCGGGCAAACTTTGTCAGCCGTCGAAATTGAAATGAATATGTGGACATAAACGGCGCACCAGATATAAGCACACACAGGCATACATATATATATTTGCGACTAGAGCCAGCCATCAACTTTGCAACTTACAATCATGTCCTCGTGCTGCGTGTCGAACTGAAGCGTCTCGTCGTTGCTGGTCTACATGAATAGGAAACAAAATTCAGACCCTGATTAGCTTTGGTAACTAGATAATTGAGTCCATTGCTCCTACAGCCAAAGTGGTCCTGCTCAAAAGGGCCGCGCTAGCAGGGTTGGATTTGTGCTGACCAGGCGCTTCGAGATGGAATCAAACGCACGACGCCCTTTAATTGAGAATTCCTTCGTTCCACCTTACCATCTTTATAAATGAAAGAGTTTAAAGTTTACGAAATAGTTAAATTGAAAAGGAGACAGCAGAAAAGAGCTGAAAGCAATTCACTTTTATTTTTAATGTGCGCTTGCAATGAAAGTGAACACGAAAATGGCAAACAAATTGCCAAAGTGACACTTATTCAGCCAATCGCTGTTGATCATGGCTACTGTTCTGCACACATGCTGAGAGGGGTGTCGTTTTGGGCAGTACCAGAAGTGCAGCAGCGCAATTGCCAAGAGTTCCCTCCAGTTTGTAGACCACAGTCATGCTCTGCGACCGGTACACGGCTTGCTGTGGGCCAATAATCCAGCGACTTTTCCGTTAGCTCAGCCATTTCCACGGTTAAAATTGGCGGTGTGCACTCACCAGACCTCTTTAACACTTGAACACCCCTTTTTTCTTACCATTTTTGAACACATGCGTCGAAAGACCTGAGAGTAGATGGATGGCAGAGGCAACAGAGACATTTGGTACTTGCACTCACAAACAGGGCTGGCTGGCTCTCATTGGATATTGTAGTGATCAGCCGATTTAATCATATAAATCAATCAATCAATCATAGTAGAACCACTTCTGCTCGATCTCTTTGCTTGCTAGGCGGGGGGAAAGCACAAATTAGCAGCGCAAAATAGCAGCATTGCAAGTGTGGGGTAGAGTCACACCTTGTAAAAATTTAGCATTTAATATAGCGTGGAGTTAAAATGAACCCAAGCTTTTAAAAAAGGATATGTGTTTTAAACGGTAGGAAGCAGTAACAATTAATACAGCTTTAATCAGCCCTCGACAACCGCGATTTCTCAGGCTGCGCGCGCTTGGTGCGCATGTTTCTGCAGACGCTCAGGGCAAACGTCGCTTTCTCTATCTGGCCATCCATGACAATAATAGAGAATGTATATGTATTGTAATGGTCTCAGGGGCAGCCTTTATCTCTACGATATCTGTTTTGCATCTAATTGAGGATTATCATTTGTTTGCCACAAAAAAAGTACTGCGATTTTGGCAGATACAAAAGTTACCACATTCCAGACAACTCGTTGCAAATAGGCATGCGTTTGTGCATTTGGCTATCTGCCATACTGGTCGGTTCTGGGTGCAATGCTGCGTGCTTGGGGTGCGCGAGCGGATACCCACGGATAGGCTTCAACTTCACAAACTCACAATAGACATGGCACCTGGTTTCTTAAGACCAGACGGCCAGGGCGTATCGCATAATCCGCATGGCATACGCGCTCGCAAGATGGGAGACCCGCCTGTATTCACTGCAACCCTGCGGCCATTGATGCGCCCGACACCGATTTGACAAGCTTTATGTGTTGGCATGCCCAGGTAAACAATTTCTTTTTAATTCGCGCATCTGGAAAACCAACGGAGATAGCCGTCCATTAAAGCCGTTTGTAGCATACACAGGACATACATCTGCACATTTTTCATTTCTTATGATTCAATATCCAATTTTGACATTGTTTTCATGTATTTTCTTTTTACAGACCCGTAAACAAGTTGACAATGTAATTTTCAACACTGTTGGAGTAATCCAATTTTTATGGAGTAAAATTTTGTTTATGTTTGATCAAATAACATTATAAACAATATGGGTAATATAACAATCAAAAACAAAAAACAAAAAATGTTTACCAAAGCCAAAACAAAAATAAATAAAGCCCGTTTGATCGTTTACAGGAATGAGGAAACGATGAGAATGGTGAGTGATGGGTGAGACAAAAAAGCAAGTGAAAATTTTTTGTTTTTTGTTGTTTTTTTCCTCTCTTTTTTCTCGTCCAAATCAATACTTTTTTATTTTAATTGAAAAGCACTACTAGATTCAACTATTGTAAGCGTCGTCTCTAATTCCAAGTGTTTTATTTTCAATAGCATGGAATTTGTTACATATCTTTTTATATAAAGAATCGTAACATTTAAAGCGTGGATTTCTATTTTTTTGCCATCCCGCTTTGGCCCTTCCTTCCCCACTCATTTTTTACAATATCAACAAACAAACGCATTTTACGTTTGAAATAAAGGTGGTTTTCCATTCTGCTGCGGTTGAGCGGAGGAAAGCCTTTGCCATCAAAATTTGTTAGCTATAAGCAAGGGCCGCCCCCTCCCCCTATATCCCAAAAAGATCAAAGCAATGACTGTTATCTATACTTTGAGTTCAAAGCAAGCAAAATATGGCAGCTGTCGAATTGGGGTCGCACTACATCTTTAGAACACAAGCACAAGCACAAGCACAGGCATAACCAAAGAAAAACAAAAACCAAGCAAGTTTGGCTTGACTCGGCCTTGTCTTTTATTTTATTATCTTGGTCGAATTACTCAATCTTGCTTTGCTTTTTTGTCAATTTTCCTCTGCGTGCACCTTTTTAGACGGGTATAAAGTCTAGAGACAAATGTCATACCGGAGCACTGATCGATACCACCATAACAGGGACACCGAAGATGCCGGTATCCTTCCTATGAGCGACAAAACGCCACCTCTCGTCGTGGCAGTAATGAGCGGAGATCTCGCTCTCCAACGCGCACGGGCTACAACTCCCGCAACTCGAGGAGCTTTAGCCGCTCTGAAGATAGGGACTGTGGTCATTATGCGTCTCGCCAACCAAGCTTTGAATATCATGGCCGCAATCAAGCAGCCAACTACAGAGGCCGTGAAAGAGACGCAGACTTTAGCATCCGTAATGAGGACACCAGCCTTTCCTTTAGGAATAATAGATCGTACTCATATGGACGAGGTCACGACGACGAAGTAGATGATTATCCTGTGGGCTACGATCACAGCTTCCGTGGTCGTGGCGGCCGAGGCGGTGCTAGAGGCTGGATCAGAGGGGGTCGAGGGGGCACTCGTGGACTTGCCATTGTTGGTAGGGGCCGTGGGCGTGGCAATAGCCGAGGCCTGGCTATTGTCGGCAGGGGGAGAGGCCGTGGCCGCGCAATATGTACTCCCGAAGCAGGAGCGGAAGCAGGGGATCCGGCGCAAATGAGACGTGGTCATCCGCCTACCCAAATGATTTGAATTATGATAACGACGCCGATTATGATGATGCAGCTTCTGAAGCTCGGGAGAGCAGTGTATGGCGCACTGATTCCAGACACAGCAGGGATGACAGCAGGGCTGGCTCGATAGACAGGCGCTCATCACTTGGCCTAGATCACCACAGAAAAGGTAAAAAACGCACATATATAAGCACGAACAGACCTGCTGTTGTATTCGATTTTCATTGCCAATGTCTTGTTTGCATTGCCTGTCAGAATTTGCGCGTTAAGAATTAATCGCTCAATTCGTGATTATTTTAGTTTATGCCTAGTCTAAGTGTATTGTCCATCCATGTGTTGCTTAAACCGTTTATTTTCTTTGCAAATGTTTTTGGAAATATAGACACATCGCACTCTACCGCTGGCTACCGTGAGATCAACAACTACAGAGAGGCAACCGATAGCAATAGCATTAAGATCAGCAGCAGCCGCCATAGAGGTGGCGTGGCCCACACATTTTGTCGCAGCCAGCATTGGCCTCGGCGCAGCCGCAGGAGTACCAGCCTCCTGCCATGGACGAGTCATGCACCTCAACTCTAGTTTCAAAATTCGGTCGATTTAAGGGCGTTATTCCGTTTGCTCAAATGGATGATTGTGTCAGACGGACGCTATTTCTGCGCGCACCGCATGATTCTCCAGTGAGCGCTTCGGATCTCCGTGATTGGTTTTCAGCATTTGGAGAGATTGCGGACGTGCTGTGCCTCATCAACCGGACCGGCATTGGGTACGTCATGTTTTATGATTCGCGATGCGCCCAGCAGGCGCTCAAGCAGGCTGGCGAGCAGATTATAATCAACGGGGCTAGCATTGATGTACAATCTTCAAGGCCCCGCCCTGATGCACTGGGCCGCGCCCCCCAGAAGACAGATTACCAAGGGACTGTTCTTTTCTCTCTTGTGGGCAGCCAAGCTGGGATTAAGGAATCTGACAGGGCTATTTTTGAGAAGATCGGCGACATTTGCGCCTTTTATCCTTACCAAAACGATCCCAGCCAGTGGGTTGTAGAGTACTTTGACTGCCGGGCGGCATTCGAGGCAGGGCGCGTATGCAATGGCATTTCGTTGCATCGGGCACTTTACAATCAACTTTCTTTGGGATGGATCAGCAGCTAATGCATGCGAAAAGCCAAAGGCGCCTCCACCGCCTGGCCCTAGAAATGGGCACCGCGCGCCAAGCGCGGACAACCTTAGAGCTCGCAAGGATATGCAACATCACAGCGCTGCTTGGAAAATGTTGCTTGGAGATATGGGGCAACAACAGCAGAATCAGGAGAATCAGGAGAAACCGTTCGATAGGCTGCACAATAGGTCATTGGAACCTACACAGGCTGGGGTGGTCACCGCCAGTTCCATTTCTGCGCTCTCTACACTGTCGCTGGCTTCTCCCGCGATGAAAAAGCGCGCTACAGCCGCTCGGTGGATAGGAGAGCTGGATGATGACAATATGGACAAGTATGTGGATTCTGGTGACAATGAGGGCCCTGCAAATCACGAAAGCAGCACTATTGCAGTCCCAGCTGTTGCACTGGAGCCATAACCGCCAGCAAATCATCAGGTGCGAGCGGTGGCTCATTAGACATAATGACGCGGCTGGCATTGGACCCGAGCTTGATCCAAAAGGCACAAGCAGCGAAGGAGCTTTTGCAGCAGCACCAGTATTTGCTTGGGCTCGGCATGGATACACCTGCCGACAAAAACAGACAACTAGTGCCACCCAACCTCGCAACAACATTGGAAAATTCCATGCAAGTAGCCGGCAATGGCAGCTTTAATAGCACTGCAGATTTAGCATTTTCGACCGAGCCGGCACACGGGTTCGCTCGCAATGACAGCAGAGAGACTGTGGTTGGCGATAACGAAGTCAGCGCTTTGGTGCCCACCGCAGCTGCAGTGTCTGTCGATGTGCATGCTCTCAATGCCGCCGCGGCGAGTGCATCGGCAGCAGTGGCAGCAGCAGCAGCAGAATCAGCAGCAGTAAATATGAATAGTTTGCTGTCATTAGCTGTAGTAGAGGGTTTTCACTCGCCTGTCACGGCTGTGCAGCAGGACCAGCATTGGCAGCAAAGTCAGATGCAATTGCCAAAGTCTCAAGCACCATTCGCAAATGTTGAGACCAATAGCAACGCGGATGATATCAACCGGTTGCTCGGGATCCTTGCACAGGTGCAAAAATCATCGTCAGCACCATCATCAGGATCAGTACCAGCGCCGGTTACAGCGCCAGCAGCAGTGACAGATGTAAAAAAGTAACTGTTGATCTGTAATCCAACACGGCGGGTGGGTATTTCCACTATTTTTCGTTACGTATTAGATAATATATATTAAACATTGAAACATACAATGTTACACGTGCACGCTTGCGCTGCCTGTTGCATTTTTAAACCAGTGGAAGCAAGCGCCAGACAGTGCTCCAGTAGGACATTTGCTTTACTAGTTTTCAGGGCGAGTGGCCCAGTTGGGTACTTTTCTGCCGCTCGCCTCTGGCTCAACTAGCATGTGACATGACGCAATGTAGCAATACGCCCAGCGCATGGGATCAGTCAGTAAAAGTAAACAGTGCGGACGATATTTTTCATGTTAGCAATACATTTCTCGCTTTTTATATTTAAGCACATATTTTTACGCAAGCATGCGCGCAGCTGCGGTTGAGTGGATGGAAGCAGGTATTGGTGTCGAATTCTTCACAGAAAATATAATATATTTGCAAGAATGGGTCATTGGCTTAGAAGCGGAGCTTGGTGAAGAACCACTTGTTCTTGCCGGCGGTGTAGCGCTTCTGGAGGCTGGCGCGGACGGCCTTCTTGGCGGCAATGCGCTGGGTGGGCTCCTGGAAGGTCTCAGCAGACAGAGCACCCTTGATATCCTCGAGCTCAAGAGTGTAGCGAGTGGGCATGAGGTGGGAGAAGTTGATAACCTTGATGAAGGGCTTGACGTGGGAGCGGGCAGCAACCTTCTTCTTGTTCATGGACTTGGTGACCTTCAGAGGGTAGGTCTCAATGCCAGCAACAACAGCGTGGGGGTAGGGACGCTCCTTGGTGCCCTCATCAAAGCTCTTGACAATGACAGCCTTCTTACCGGCGTAACGACCCTGAAGGACGATGACAACCTATTCTCAAAAGAAAAAAGAAGAAAACGCTGTGAAATTAGCACTGGTGGTGGATTCTGTATGTGCAGTTTCGGATGCTAAGGAAAATATATGAACACGCGCAATCCAAGTTCAAATTGACACACCGGCGCCGAATTGGTGCTTGCCAATAAAGAAAAAAGCAACAATACGGTTTCCTTGTTCTCTCAAAAAACACACGCACGCGCAATACAATAATCGCGTGTGAGCAATGTTCCAAGCCAGACATCATAATCGGGTTCAATCCCCTCCCATGGGTGTGTCTGCCTGTGTATGTGCGCGTGTGTGCGTTTGTTTTCGCAAGCAAAGCAAAGCCAATCCTAGCCTAGCCAAGTGTGTAAATAGTCCAGTCCAGCCCAGTAAGGTCAAGTCGTTCGCTCAGTCAATCAATAGCGTAGTCAGCCAGTGGGAAATGCAAGTGCTCGTCTTATCAAAGCGCAAATGTTTATCACAACCAAACTTTGTCTGTGCAATGCACAGCATGCCTGTGCATTGTACAGACAAAGTCAGTTTGCTAATCCCAGATAGATTGTTCAGATCAAAATCTGAAGTGGGGCTTCCCAAACGGCCAACCGTGTTCCCATGCTGCAAGGTCCAAGTATTGTAGTACTTCTGAAAACCACAAAAAGCAAAAGAGCAAGTCTCGGAATCCAACGATCTGGAATTGACATAAATTCAAAATTCAACGTGGTGAATCCCGCAATTAAAGCAAAATTGTGAATTCAAATTCTGTGTCCATTTTGCCAATTCCAAATTTTGTCCCTGTAACGCGCTAGACCTGCAAGCAACTGACTGATTTAATGACTACTGAAATATCCACTGGACAAGCCGGTCAATCGATGCGTATCCAACATGGTGGGTTCCAAAATTGGCGCATCCATCGTGGCAAGCGCATCCATTCTCTAGTTTTCGCAAGTACGTACTTTGCCTCCGCGCAGAAACTTAGCCATTATAAAATTCGTAGGAAAAAAAATCGAATTCTTTTAGGGGAGAAAGGATGTAACAGAGGGAGGTGGGCAATGGGCAGCAGTCAAAACAGACAGAGGTGTACAATAGAAAGGAAATTCGGCGGCGACGGATTCGCTTAACTATATGCAAGCTGTGAATAAGTTGTGATCACGATCAACGGATTAATATTGTTTACTTTAAGTGTTGCTTTGAGCAAGCCACCGCGCACAGCAAAAAAAACAGCAAAAGAAAATGATCAATTGGCAGCGTTCATTGAGTGTACGCGCACAACTTATACTGTCCTGTCCACTTGCCTGCTTGTCGGCTGAGCTACCTTCCTTTCTAACTTTGTTGTTTTTGTTCTGTTCTGTTTTTTTTTCGCTTTTTTGCTTTTTCGATTCTTTGCTCCTGCTTGGCGATTCAATTTATTCGCCGAGGCTTTCTCTTACTTTATCAAACTATTGTTCGTCTGCGTGGCCAGCACAAGTCGCACTACCTACAACTTTCCACATTCATACACACAGCATGGACTTTGTGTCTCGCAGGCGGCCGCCACAATGGGCGCGAGTCAGTTCACAGTGCCTGACACCAGCCTGGCCGAGGACCTGTTCTTAGAGCGGCAGCGGCACTGGCGCGAGTACCTCGAGCGCGAAAACCGCGTGAACAGTGACGTTGAGGAGCTGCAGCGCATGGTAGCTGGCGGTGCGCTTGGCAGCGGTGGTGACGCCGAGACTGCGCGGCTGGTGATATCGGTGGACCACGTGCGCGAGTTTGACACGGCGCTGGCGGCAGCGCTGGTTGCAGAGCCGGGCGAGCTGATCCCAGCGCTGGAAGCGGCAGCCACTGAGGCGCTGCACGCATTGGCCGCGCGGCCGGCATTGATGCAGGCGGCGTGCGCGTGGCAGCGGGATTCCGCGGCGCGTTCGGCGCGCACCACCTGACACCGCGCGGACTGCGGGCGGCGCTGCTGGGGCAGCTGGTGTGTGTCGAGGGGATTGTGACGCGTTGCTCGCTGGTGCGGCCCAAAGTTGTGCGGTCGGTGCACTATGCCGAGGTCACAAAGACATTCTATGCCAAGACGTACGTTGACGCGACCACCAGCATGGGCGGCGCCGGGCCGCAAGGCGCCATGTCATCGGCGTACCCAACAGCCGATGACAAGGGCAACGCGCTAACGACCGAGTTCGGGTTCAGCCGCTACGCCGATCACCAGACGGTCAACATCCAGGAGATGCCTGAGCGCGCGCCCCCCGGCCAGCTGCCGCGCGGTGTTGACGTGCTGCTCGATGGCGACCTGGTCGATGCCGTCAAGCCTGGTGACCGCGTGGCGCTGGTCGGCGTGTACCGCGCGCTGGGCGGGCGCGCGACGACGGCAGCGTCAGCTATCTTTCGCACGGTGCTGGTGGCCAACGCTGTGCGTGTCTTTGGCGCCGGGTCACTGGCGGCCGGCGGAGGGTCGGCGCGCGAGGTCAACGCGCGCGCGGCGGCTGGCGGCGTTCCAGGCGCGCTGGCGCTGACGGATGGCGACATCCGCAACATCCGCACGGTGGCCAAGCGCGGTGACGCATACGAGCTGCTGGCGCAGTCGCTGGCGCCCAGCATCTGCGGCCACGCCGAGATCAAGCGTGCCATGCTGCTTCAGCTACTGGGTGGCTGCGAGAAGAACTTAGACAACGGCACGCACATCCGCGGCGACATTAACGTGTTGATGGTCGGCGACCCGTCGACCGCCAAGTCGCAGGTGCTGCGCTACGTGCTGCGCATCGCGCCGCTGGCCATTGCCACAACCGGCCGCGGCTCTTCGGGTGTCGGGCTGACGGCCGCCGTCGTGTCGGACAAGGACACGGGCGAGCGGCGGCTGGAGGCCGGCGCCATGGTGCTGGCCGATCGCGGCGTCGTGTGCATCGACGAGTTCGATAAGATGACCGACATGGACCGCGTGGCCATCCATGAGGTCATGGAGCAGCAGACCGTGACCGTGGCCAAGGCCGGCATCCACACGACGCTCAACGCACGCTGCTCGGTGCTGGCCGCCGCCAACCCGGTCTACGGCCGCTACGACCCCAAACGGCCGCCGCACCATAACATCGCACTGCCCGACTCGCTGCTGAGTCGATTCGACCTGCTGTTCATCGTCACCGACTCGATGGACGAGGCGCGCGACCGCATGATTTCGGCGCACGTGCTGCGCATGCACCGCTACGTGCCGCCGGGCACTGATGCTGGCCAGCCCGAGCCGATTTGCTGGACCAGGGCCTGGGCACGGCGCAGCTGCTGGCCGACGCCGGTGCCGATGCCGATGGCGACTCGGGCGCACGGGCTGCGCGAGCCTGCGCGGTGTTCGAGCCGTACAATGAGTATCTGCACGCCGGCGTAGCCGCGGCCGCTGCAGCCGCCACCGCACGCGCAGCCGCCGCGGCGAGCTGTCGCCAGCCAACGTTGGCAGTGATGCGGCCGTGGCGCCCAAACGCGAGGTGCTGTCGACTGAGTTTCTGCGGCGCTTCCTATACTTTGCCAAGAACATGGTGCGGCCAGTGCTGGGCGACGCTGCCGCCGACGACCTGGCTGCGGCATACGCCGAGCTGCGTGCGCAGGCCAGTGGCCAGGCCGCCGGTGCCAATGCTGTGCTGACCACTGCGCCCGTCACGGCGCGCACACTTGAGACGCTGATACGCCTGGCCACGGCGCACGCCAAGCTGCGCCTGTCGCCCACGGTTGATGCGCAGGACGCCGACGTCGCCAAGGCGCTGCTGCGCTTTGCGCTGTTCAAGGAGCAGGCAGCCAAGCCGCCACAGGCCGCCGCCGTCGCCAGCAAGCAGTCGAAGCGCGCGCGCGTGCTCGCTGGGGCGCCCGAGTCGCAACCGCAATCGTCGCAGAGCGCACCCGCCGCCGCCGACATGGACTGGCAGGACGACGGCATGGATGTTGATCAGGACCAGGGCCAGAACCCGGACCAGGAGCCTGCCAGCGCCGCGCCCCTATCCGTAGATCGCACGCGCCTGTTCCGCTTCCAGCTCAGCCGTGCCATCGCTGACCGTCGCCTTGACGAGTCCGAGTCGCCGTGGGCCTTTCCCAACACCATTTTGCCTGCGGTCAACGCTGGTATCAGCCAGCCGTTTTCTGCTGCCGAGGCCGAGCTGGCCCTGCTCGACATGGAGCGCGAAAATCGCTTGATGTTCCGCGATGGTGTCGTGATCATGATGTAGCACGGTGCTGTTTCTATTCGCTTCAACGCGCTTTCAATTCTTTCCTTTTTTGTTTCCTCTCCTAAAATTCGTGCTTAATTTAATTTTTTATTTACACATTCCACCCATTCGCCCCTTGTTTGACTCTTCATTCTCTACGACAATGCCCGGCGGTGCGGACTCGAATTCGCTGGAGCCTGGCTCTGAAGTCGAGGTTAAAGCCCAAGTCGAAGCCAAACGCGACCACGAAGACGACAATGACAACGACAACGACGACGACTTTAATCATGAGAGCGACCACGACCTCGAACTCGACCTGGGCCCTGACTTTGACATAGACCTCACTGACCTCGCGCACATCGAGCACGCCTATAACCTGCTCGAGCTTGAGGAGACGCGCATCGATGCCGAAATCGCAGACGCCATTGAGCCTGCCGAGGCTATCGACCACCGGTTTTCTGCGCTAGCCGCCCTGCAGGATCCGCTGCACGCCGTAGCTGACAGCCTGGCGCCCGTCCAGGCTGTCATCGAACCACAGCTGCCAATGCCGGTGCAATCAGCGCTCGCGTGCGCCTTCTTGACCGCGAACTCGCCTCTCTCACGCACGCCCTCCGCCTAGTAGACGAAACAACGCTTCTCAAGCAGCGCCTCGCCGAGCTTCTCACCGCAATGGCTGCCAAGGACATTGATGTCGCTGCCGCCCTCATCCACAGGTATATAACCACCGACGCTGCCGCCCTCACCAACCCTTTTGCGCGCTTTGCGGATCCCGATCCTGCCGGTGTCATTGCAGCGGCCAAGGATGACCTTGTTGACCGCATCGTGTTCATGTTCGACACTGCTGTAGATGCTGGCAACACAAAGGACATTGCCCGCTGCTTCCGCCTGTTCCCGCTGCTTGGCGACGACTTGCGTGGGCTGGACAAGTATTCCGACTTTCTCTGCGTGACGCTCGCCGACAAGGCCCGTATTTCCCAGGGCGATGTCCCAGCCGCCAATCTCTACGCGCTGCGCATCACCCGACTCTTTGAGATTGCTGCCGTCATCATCGACAACAACTTCCCCCTCGTCGAGACACACTACGGGCCCGGCCGCATGCTGCGCGTCATCCAGCGCCTCCACATCGAGACAGCCAAGCGCGCCGCCATGATTTTGGACTTTTTTGACGACGAGCGGCACATTGAGCGCCGCCTGGGCCAGATTGCCCACGCCAACCCCAGGGCCAAACCCGATGACCGCGCCCAGCCCGTGTCGGACCAAGACTTCAATGACATCACAAACATTCTGGCAGAGATCGTGCTTGTCGCGCGCCAGATCGCCACTTTCAACCGATTTATGGAGTCGCGCGCCGCTCCCGAGCTGCGTGTCCTCTCTGTTGCGGCTGAGCAGCTCGTGGGCGACAGGGCCGAGCGCTCGAGCATATTTACCATGCCTACTGCGCCCACTGACCAGCTGCCCCTCGTCGAGCGCTTCTCGCTTTCAGCCGCCCAGGCCGCCAGGCTCGCTCCGGTCACGATGCAGAAATCACCAGCTGTATTTGACAAATCAACTGGTCTTGTCGCCAACACGCCGCTTTCGGTGCGTCTCGAGTGGCTAACCGACACTTACATCGTCTTCGAGTCTTTCTTTGTCTCCCGCTCAGCTGCCAAGGCCATGTCGCTGGACGACATAGACTCACTGCCCGGATGGGAGTCGCCCATCACTGACTCGACTGATGCCATGTCTGCGCCCAGGCTCAGCAAACTGGCTACTGGCAGGCCGAACTATGCCTCGTCTCCAGGTGCCACCAGTGCCAAAAAATCACCGTGGTCAAGGACCACCCAGTCTGCTGCCACTGCGTCTCTGGCCCACATATCTCACACATCCTCCTGTGTCGAGGACATGTTCTTTGTTATTAAGACTGCACTTGAGCATGCTGTTGCCATGCAGCAGCCGCCTGCAGTAGAGACCATCTGCCAGCTTGCAATCAACGTCATGAACTCCGTTTTCCTTGCCGCAATAGAGCCGCGCGCCATGGCCAAATGGAATAGTATTGCTCTACCTGGGTCCCTGGCTGCCTCCAGGGTTTCCGCTTCTGCTGTCTCCGCCGCTGCCGCTGGCACTACCGCCACACCAAACATCAACCCGCAGTCAGCCTCACAGCGCAGCATCCTGGCCTCGCTCAACAACCTGGATCTAGCGATCTCGTACTTACAAAAGACCACAGACTCCCTCCGCGCCCGCGTCGACTCCGAGTGGCAGCGCATTCCGCAAAAGGACCACACGGAGCGCGCCCTCAAGGCCCTCGACACTGTCGCTGCCTTTTCAGCGAAATTCACACACGCGAAGCAGCGCTCGCTCGAACAGCTCACCGCCCATCTCATCAAGCCCTGGGTGCGTTCAATACTTCAGCAGTCCTACCGTGACATAAAGTACGTCTTGACTGACGAGGAGTTTAACGACGTCCAAAACGACAACCTCTTCCAGAAGCGCTTTACGATGAAGTTTACCCACCTTTCGCACCAGCTTAAGTACCGCCTGACGACGGCTAACTACACTGCTATCCTGGCAATGGCTACCACATCGCTGGCCACCGACTGGGAGCGCGCCATCCGCCAGTCTAAATTCAACATTCTTGGTGGAATTATGTTTGAGAAGGACGTGCGTGAGCTCCAGCGCTACCTGGAACACGAGTCTGCTGGGCTTTTGCGCCAAAAGTTTGCGCGTCTTGTACAAATGGCTGATGTCCTGGCCGCTGAGGATGCCGCCGAAGCCCAGCATATTCTCGATACGCTGCCAGTCACATCAACAGCAACAACTACAATGACATCATCATCGCTGACAACGGGGCGGCAGGGACTGGGTCCATATCAAAGACCGAGGGTGCCGAAGCTAACAGCCCCTCAGCCGCCCTCAGCAAATCGGAGGCCAAGGCGCTATTGGCAAACCGCATTGATATTTGGAAAAGACGTTTCGGCACTTACAACATAACATGATATAATACGCCAAGGTTGCGACTTTAATACAATTTTTAGGTCGTAACTTAAATAAATAAACACTTTTTTAGTTGTTAGGACCATCGCTGTCATCGTCGGACCACGCATCAGCCCGTGCCTCCATCTGGGCATCGCTCAAAGCTTCATTTGCTGGTGGGCACCATACAATGATCTCGCTGTCAGCGCCGCTGGTGTACAGCTCCAGGTGGCCAACCCTCCACGCCGTGCAAGTGGTAGGGGCAAAGTGGCCATCAAGCAGCGCTACTTGTTGGCCGCTGCTAATGTCGACCATGGCAACGGTGGTGTTGCCGTTTGGAATAAACATCACCTCGCTCCCAGCCGTGGTCCCATCGACTGCAGATGTCATTGATGCGCCAATGGGCCCTGGAGACAAAAAGGCAGAGCTGCCGATTCCTGTTTCTATGCTGATATGGCAGTCGACCAACGGTTCGATTGGAAAGTTTGTGACCGACCATACTTGCACCCGATGATCTGACCTGGCACTGACAACGCGACACCCATCCTCTGTAAACAAGACGCTGCTAATTGCGGCCCTCTTTGACGGGTTGGTCGACAAACTGTTGCCAGCGTCAAGACTGTAGAGCTGCGAGTCTGCCCGCCGGATGTCCCACAGCTTGAGGCACCCGTCATTGCCTCCGTGGCCAGCGTATAGGGGTCTGTGGGGGACCAGGCAAGCGCAGCACAGCCCTGCGCGTGCGCCGAGACGGTCTGTGCAAATGCGCCCGTCGCTAGATCGCACAGGCGGATGTACGGCGACTCATCGGCAGCGGCAATCAACGAATGGGAGCCGGTCGCCGACATCCGGTGGCTGTTGACACGAGAGCCCAGGTCGAACTGGCATGCCTCAGTCAGCTCGACAGCGTCCCAAATGCGCACAGTATGGTCAAATGATGCTGTGGAAAACATGCCTGTGTCGGCAGCGTACCACTCGATGCTCGATATCAGCCGCGTGTGACCCGATTCAGCCGGAATATGATGCGCGGGTTCGATCTGGCTAGCACACGTGTCAGTCTTCTGCGTCGCTTCGAGATCAAACAGCTGGATTGACGTGTCGGCGCCAGCCGAAAGCAAAAACCGATGCTCGACTTTGTCGATGGCCATACAGTGCACCGGGGCGGTGTGTGCCCGCGACACTCGCTTGGTCTCCGCCAGTGCGACGGACCGCAGCACTTTAGTCGACACGGCGCGCTGCATTGCCGCGGCAGACACGACGCCGCTTGCTCGGTTGCGCACGATGCCGCTCATGCGATTTGCTGGTTGTCAGTAATTGCCAATAATGACTGGATGAGCAATATAGATGTAGGAAAGCGTGGGGTTTCAGCAAACAATGCAATGGTGGTCCAACGACATCTCCCAGCGTACGACATCCTTGAAACGCCGCTGGCATCAGCCGCAGCCTGTGCGTATGGGGGCATGTGACGTGAGCGCCCCCTTTTTTCACCTTGACTTGTGCTTGCCGAAAATTTCGGTCGCTCAAGCTGAGCGACTCGAGCTCCGTGGCATGTGAATGGTAATCAGCGCAGCAACTGAAAGCGTGAAAAAAGAAAAGATTATTTCAAGCTTTTCGCTCGTCCCTCTGTGATGCGTCGAGCCCGCCACTGCTGCAGCCACCTTTTTTCTTTATAAACTTTGGTTTTCAGTTTCAATTCAATCCTCTATTTTGTATATTTCGCATTTGTACTAAGGGAATTTAAAAATAATAGTTTAAAGCTTGGGCATTATCGCATTCCCTCGTATAATATACCTCGCACTTTCTCACAAACTATCTTTTTTTTTAAATTATAGCACGCAATTAACTAGCGCAATCGACATCACATAATGTCTGCCGAGGCGTCGTCGTCGTCGTCGCTGCCGGCTGCAGGCCCGCTGACATCGCCTCTTCGAGAGGACATAATCGAGTCCGCAGTGCGGTTTCTCGCCGATCCAAAGGTGCAGTCATCGACCTTGGCCAAAAAGATATCGTTCTTGGAAACAAAGGGGCTCACAAACGCTGAGATTGAGGATGCGCTTGCCCGGGCAAAGAATCACACACAAACACCAGGTGCTGCCGCGCCTGCTGGAACGGGTTCCGGTTCTGGAAATGGCAGTACTGGATACGGGTACGCCCAGCCAATAGCTCCTCTTGCGCCGCCGCCGCGCCCACACTTGGATTGGAAAGACTATTTTATTGCGGCCGTGGTCGCTGGCGGCCTGGGTTACGGACTGTACATGTTTGCAAAGAAGTACATCACGCCTCTTCTTTTGGCGCGCGACGACAATCTGCGTCTGGAAGAGGAGAAGAAGCTGCTTGTCGAGCAGAACGAGCTCACTCGCAAGCAGCTCGAAGTTTTGGGCGCCTCCACCACCCAGATCCTCGAAACAATTTCGAAGCAGTCGCAAAGAACCAGCGAAGCCATCGAGGGAATGTCCTCTGTCATGGACAAGATAGCCACGCAGGAAATTGAGCACAACACATCGTCTCGTCGCTTGTTAGTAACGCTCGAGGACCTGCAGCGGGAAATCGCAGGACTATCTGCAAAGACAGCAGCTGCGGGCGGCGCGTCAGTGGCCGACGTCCAGTCGGACATCCGCAGCCTTCGGTCGATGCTTCTCAGCCAGCGCGCCCCTACCCACAGCTTCTCCCCTGCAGCGCGCTCATTGACGCCCACGACGGCGTTTTCCTCTGCCGCGCCAGCCGAGGAAAACCCCGTTTCGACTTCAAATACAGGGTCTGCAGCGACTTCGCCAATGCCCACGCCGACGATCCCCGCATGGCAGCTCGCCCTGATGGGCGGCGGCAGCGGAAATGAGAAGAAGGAGGCCGAGACACACTAGTTAAACTCACTTCCCCTTTTGGTTCCACATTGGCTTTGCGGCTCGTGTGGGGCTCGTGCATCAGTTTTATTTTTATCGTATTATTTAGCATTAATCGACATTGTCATTCAAACAACACAGTCTCGAAAGTCAGTGTCGGCCAGCCCGTCGCCCGTGAAAACAACCTTGTTCTTGGGTGTCTCGGACACGACGATCTTGTGCAAGAGGCCGGCGGGCATCAGCTGCGTCAGGCGGATCCAGATGAACACGGCAAGGTTCTCTGTTGTGCTCGGACGCGTCTTAAAGAAGGCAATGTCGGCGTCCAGGTTGCGGTGGTCGGCCACATCCAGCACCGCAGCCTTAATCCAGCGCTTGAGATGCTCGATGTTGACGACCATCCCGGTTTTGGCGTCGATGGGCCCTCTGACAATGGTCTCTAGCACGTAGTTGTGGCCATGGCCGCTGGCGTGGTTGCACTTTCCAAACACCCGCCTGTTTTCCTCGTCGCTAAGGTGCGGGCTGTGCAGACGGTGGGCAGCGGAGAAGTGCTCTGTGCGCGATATGGAGCCGGTCGGCGGCATGGTTGGTAATTACTGTGGATGGCTATTGCTGGCTACGGCGTCGGTAAGAGGTGGCTGCGACAAATAAATGGCACCGCCGCTGATATGGTATTTTCGAGTGATGCCCAGTGCTAAAAAGTGAAAGTCAAAGACGACGAAAGAGAGCAGAAGAGCAAACAAGTGAGCGCGGCAGGGCTTTTTCTTTTTTGGTCAAGAGACAAAGAAAAGTCGTAGCTCAATTGGGAGTTTTGGAGCGCAAAAAAGAGCAGTTAGTTGATTTGTGGCAGAGGTGGCTGAGGCGGGAGCATTCAAGAAAAATCAAGTCCATCATCGGCGGCGAGAGGAGACATGCAGAGCGATGTGGTGTGGTCGTGGCGTGAATTGTATTGTATTGCTGGCAAAAAATATTTATATAATGGTAGATGGATGAGCGATGACGCGGGGCCCGCTGCGCCCGATCGCCTACTTGCTGGTGACACCGAGGATGCTTTTCTTGCGCTCGGGGATGCGTGGCTTGGAGCCAGGCTTGAGATGCTTGCGCTGGTTCTCCTCCTTGCGCTTGCGCGACTGGATCATGACGCGCTTTGTCTGGGAGGCCTTCTTGACGCCGACCGGCACGTTGCGCTGGCGCAGCACTTTGCTGACCTCGGGCACGTACTTGAAGCGGTCCTTGAGCTTCTCGGCGTATTCGATGGACGCACGCTCGCGGTTGGACTGCACACCCATGCGGTCCGACGCGCGTGCGCGCCACAGGCGCAGGTTGCTGTCGTCACTGCCCGACAGCACGTACTTGTTGTCCATGGTGTACTTGGCACAGAAGACGCGCTGCATGCGCTTGGTGTGATAGATGTCGCGCGAGTGGCCACCGGAGGCGTCCCACAGCCGCACAGTGCGGTCGTAGCTGGCGCTGACCAGCTCCTGGCCAGTCGGCGAGTAGTCGACGTCCATAACGGCCGACACGTGGTCGCGCAGCACGTTGACAGCGTGGTCCATGCGCCGCATGTCAAAGGTGTAGATGTTGTGGTCCTCATTGGCCGTGGCAAACATGAAGGCCTCCATGGGGTTCCACGAGATGGCGTTGGTGCTCAGCGTCATGACCAGCTTGGCCAGCGGCGAGTTAGTGCGCAGGTCGTACAGGATGATCGACCGGTCGGTGCCGCAGCTAGCCAGCACGTTGACCTCGGTCTGGTTCATGCGTACGGTGTTGATGGTGTCTGCGCCCCACGTCAGGTTGCTGATGGGCTCGGACCGCTCGACGTCCCACACCTCGACCAGCGACGAGCTTGTGGCGAACAGCGAACGATCGCGGTGATGGTCGATTCCGCTGAATGCGTGCTTGCCGCTGTACGTGGCCACGGTCTCGGGCGTCAGGCCATCAGCCGCGACTGCGCTCTCGCTACGGCTCCACACCTTGACCATCTTGTCGGTACCGACCGACAGGAACCGGTCGCTGGCGCCACCGGGGATGTTGCACACACCCTTAACGACGCCCCTGTGCGCCTCAGGCGCGCGCCAGACCGTCTTCTGATCGGCCAGGGACCACATGCGTAGCTCGCCGTCGCCGCTGCCCGAGATGATGCTGTCGAGGTCCCACGGGTTCTTTGCCATCGCGTAGACGCCGTCGATGTGGCCGCCGAGACTGGCCAGGAACGGCTTGGCAAACATGCGCTCCAGCTTGGCCGAGTTGAGCGCACGCTTGTACTCGCGTGCCCGCTCCAGCGGGTGCAGCTCCGGATCGATGTTCCGCGGCAGCAGCTGGATGTCGCTCTTTGTCTCGCGTGTGGACTCTGTTGTGCTGCGGGAAAGCGCCTTAACCTTCATTTTGAAGATGGTGTGGTGTGTGCGTGTGTGTGCGTGTGTGTGAGTGTGTGTTTGCCTGCTGCACGTAGCTCTGCCCCCGAATAAGTGTAATTTGACGAATGCGCAAAGATATATATATATAAAACCTACTACGAGTTTTTAAAAAAAAAAGAAGCAAAAAAAACTTGATCTCATTTTTCTTCTTTTTTTCATGCTCGAGCTCGCAGCGAAGAATCAGCCAAAAAGCTGGCTCTGGATCAAATGATCAAGCGATCGTGCTCAGTGAGCAAAAAAAAAAAAAAGATCCAATATATTTTAGCTGGCGAAAGCACAAAATTTTCGCTTTGCTCCAGCCTTTTCTCAACCGCCGTCTGTTTGCTTGCTTGTCTGCTCGTTCATTTATTCATTTCTTTCCAACCCCTTATTTTCCATACCTTGTACGAATTTATCTTCGTATATTCACATCAACAACAATGGGCAAAGCTAAAAAGTCGACGAAAAAGTTCAACAAAAACCACCTCAAGGGCGAGCTTGAGCGCCGCCACAAGCACAAGAAGAACCAGCAGCTGTTCAAAAAGCGCGAGATCAAGAAGAACAGAAAGTCTGGCTCTGGCCTTGACGACGAGGAAAAGGAGGTGTTCACTGGAATCGAGGAGGTCGATGGTCTGACTGAATTCGCCGAGTCGACACCCAAGGGAGTGTAAGTTCTGTGCTGCCAGGAAGCGCGGGTGCAACCGCGAAAGTCTGATTGATTTACGATATTTTTCCATGCTCTCCCGCACGATAACCATATGATGCCATTGACAAATATGCTAAAATCAAAAGTATAACACCTTTAACGCATTCTATTAAATAGTGGTGCCAACATGGATATCAGCAAGTTTATGGAGGCCGACCCAAACAACAACGATGTCTCGGACGAGGAGGATATCTCTGCACTTCTCGGAGATGGCAGCGATCTGGGCTCTGACGATGAGGATGACTTGTCATCTGGGTCCGATTCTGGATCCGAGCTCGAGGAGGATGAAGACGAAAATGAGGATGATGAGGAGGCGGAGGACAATGAAGATGACGAGGACATTGACTCTGATGAGGAGGAGGTCTTCAAGCAGCAGCTTGGGGCGATGAAAGCGAAAGACCCACAGTTCTTCGAGTTCATGGAGAAAAACGACCCTGCGTCGCTGGCTATTCTGGAGACAACAGCGATGAGGAAGACGAGGAAGAGGAAGACGAGGGCGACGACAATGATGACGATGACGTCGAGATGAGTGATGCCGAGAGCAGCGCCAAATCCACAGCCGTCTCGGTCACCACCAAGATGCTTGACATCTGGGTGAAGGAGATCAAGAACGACAACTCGCTCAAGTCGCTCAAGAAGCTGCTGCTTGCATTCTACTCCGCCTCGCACATGGAGTCCGAGAACGACAGCACCAGCAACACGCCCTACCGCATCGAGGGCGTGCGCGTCTTTAACAAGACTGTCAGCTCGGCTATCCGCATGGCACCCACGGCATTTGGCCACTACGCGCCAGTTGTCAAGGGCAAGCTCAGCCGCAAGGCTAGTGGCAACAAGTGGCATGTTGTCCAGGCGCTGATCAAATCGTATCTGTCCAGCCTTTGGAGCTGCTCAAGCAGATGAGCGACCCGGAGATGATTCAGTACCTGATCAAGGAGTCCGAGCGCATGATTCCCTACTTTGCCTGCTTCGACCGCTACACGCGCGACCTCGTCAAGGAGATGCTGCGCCAGTTTGGCTCGCCGACCGCCGACGATGGTGTGCGCATCATGGCCCTGCTCACGCTCCGCCAGCTGGTGTCGCTGTCGGATCCGATGTCACTGACATGGCGCTCAAGGGCATCTACTTGACATATGTGCGCCACAGCAACGTCAAGAACGTTGCGTCGCTGACGACCATCCAGCTGATGCGCAACTGCGGCGTGGAGCTCTACGGTAACGACGCCAAGGCCAGCTACCAGCACGCGTTTGTCTACATCCGGCAGCTCGCGATCCATCTGCGTAACTCGATGCAGCTGCGCAGCAAGGAGTCCTTCCGCGCGATTTACAACTGGCAGTTCATCAACAGCCTGAGCTTCTGGACCGAGGTCCTGGCCACCTACTGCGGTGACCGTGCCGAGGAGCAGCCCGAGTTCTGCGCGATCCTCGAGTCCTTGTGTACCCGCTGACTCAGATCATCCTCGGTGTGGTGCGCCTGGTGCCTACTGCCAAGTTCTTCCCGTTGCGGATCCATTGCCTGAACCAGCTGCTGCGCCTGTCGTCGGCCACCGGCATCTACATCCCTGTGCTGCCGATGATCATTGAGATTCTCGAATCGCCCGAGTTCCTCAACAGGCGCCCAATCAAGAGCACGCTGAACAACTGCAGCTCGACGCGCAGCTGAAGCACCCAAGGAGTACGAGCACACGCGGGTGTATCTGGAGGTTGTCCTGGACAACGCGTTTGGCCTGCTAGCCGATGCTATTGCCTCGCAGTCGGTGCGCATTGCGTTCCCCGAGTGGGTTGTCCCGGCAGTCCTCCAACTCAAGCGGTGGAGGAAGCGTGCCGGCCAGTCGTGGTCCAAGTTCTCGAAGCAGCTCCAGGGCCTGTTGGAGAAGGTCGAGCAGTCGTCGCGCATGGTTCAGCAGCACCGGAGCAAGGTCGACTTTGGCCCTGCCAACTCACGGGCGCTAACCAGTTCATGAGCGACGTTCACCCCGACACAACGCCGATCGGCGCATATGCGCCTCGCTGCGCAAGGTCCGGGCGCAGCAGCGTGCCACCTTGGTTGAGGCGAGATGGACGATGAGGATGACGAGTAAGCAACAAAGAAAGTATAGACGGTCCGATTCGTCAACTTTTTGTCGAAAGTTTTTTGTCTTTTAAATGCCATATCAAATAAATATACAGCTTTATTATTGCAAGTCTCTGAAGATGGACAGTGCATAACGCAGATAAATGAACATGTGCATGAACACGAACATGTCGAGGGGGTAGGTGTTTCAATGTGTATGTATTTGGGTGTGTGTGTGTGCGATGGGGGGGTGCGATTAGTACAAGTCATTTCGGCAAAATCTACGCTGAAGCCCTGCTTATGCAGCAGGTGGTACCGCAGCTTGTCCTTGCGAGCCTTCTCCTCAGCCTCCTCGCGCTGCATCTGCAAAATGTTCTCTATCGGCAGCTGGCGCAGCGGGAGAGCATCCTCAATGTCGCCGTCGATCTCGCCCAGCAACACGACGTTCTCGCCGCGGATTATAAAGACGCCCCGCTCGATGTCTCCGTAGGCGTCACCAACGTAAATGCGCTCGAGGCTGTCTTGCAACACGAGGTTGGCAAACTGGTCGTATGAGCGCAAAATGCCGATGATTTTGCGGCCGTCACGCAGAACCACCAGAAGCTTTTTGTCCAGCGAGTCCACCAGGCTCTCTGCCGTGGTGAAGAACTGCGGGGTAAATGACATTGCTGTGTTTGGCCTTCCTTTAAATAAAAAAGTGAGTAGTAGTGATAATGGTAGGCCGAAGAAGACTGAATCCGCCGCTTGGGAGCGCGTGTGCGCTGCTGGGCACAGCGATAAAGTTGTGAGCATGGATGTGCTGGCATCAGCTTACGGGACATCTGCACACGTAAAAAATGATTCACGTGCTCGGCCCAACATTTGCCAGATGCGATGGCCGCAACGGGCTGACGCGCGAAGGCGCGCACGACGCGCGCGAAAGCAGCCGAACACCCAATTCATCTTGATTATTTGCTTATATTTCTGCCATACTAACAACCCTGAATCAAACACGCAGCGAATACCAAACAATGGAAGGCCCGTCTATCCGCGACTACATAGATGCGCGCAAAAAGGCAGGGATGTCCTGGGAGGAATTCCGCGCGCTAAAGGACAAGAGCGATGGGAATGAGTTCTCGGACAGCGCAATGCTAACGTGGAGGAAGCAGCTGGATGCCGAGCGGGAGGCCAGGCTGAACAGAGACCAGGCCAAAAGCAAAGCGCCCGAGGACGACGACGAAAAGGGGGAGTGCCGTTCGCACAGGAACCGCCGGCATCGGCACAAATCAGCCAAGGAAAGCACGAGGGAAAAGTCAAGGGCAAGAACAAGGACAAGGACAGAAAGCAAAGTGACAGCGATTCAGACAGCGACAGTCGGCGGCATCGCAGCAGGCATCGGGACCGCGATAATAAGAGGCGCATCGATCGTGATCACAGCAGAGACAATGGCAGGCAAGGCCGCGGCCACAGGCACAGGCACAGGCACAGACACAGCGACAGGAGCAGGAGCAGGAGCAGGAGTGGAGACCGAGGCGAACACAATAGTCGACCCTGGCATCGAAGCAGATCGCCCGTGGGAAGCGAGGACCGGGGCGACAAGGAAGTCCCCCTGGGTCTGCCAGCTGCAGGTCTGCGAAGAAGAAGAGGGACTGAACAGAACCAAGCACTGGACTGCACTGCCTTGTTGGCGGTAACCACTACCTTCATTTACTATGTTTATTTATTTTAGCCCGCATGCACACAATCGCCTTCATGTGCGCACACTGGCATTGCAGTGCGCCTGAAGTACACCGAACAGCAAGAGCACAGGCCATTGCGACGAGGGGGTGGAAAGCAGCCAGCAGAGTGGTTCTTGCTGCATTTGGAAAGGCCTGCCGAATTAACACACACCCGCACGCATCCTCTGTCGGATTGTGTGTTATCTCGAAGTGGACCTGGGAATTTCTTTTTACACTGCTTTCAGTCCGCAAAAAATGAAAAGCTCAGGAACTATTTTTTAATGCGGCCAAATGTAGAAAATTCCCATCCTCATGACCAACGCACATCCACACCCACACGCATCCTCTATCTTGGCCGCCAATCCCACCAACCAGCACCATCTCCCCTACAAATAACCGCTCGAAAATGGCATGTGCCATTGCAATATTGAGGGCCTGAGATGGTGGCAATGCCCTTTGAAGATAAGTCGCAGCTGGGTGACTGCAGCGCGTGGTGGGGGTGGCCCAACGTACACACGTTCCATGCATGCACGGGGCTTTATCTCGGTTGCCAGACATAGCAATGTTTCCACGCACGTGATGTCCACAAAAACTAACGAATAACCACTGCCAAATTGGCCGTACGCATAAGTACATTCGAGCAGCCAAAGGCTGCATGCTTATCGCTGCCCGCATGATCCCTCGTCGCCGGCCTTTCTTGTCCGGAGGCTCTGGACAAAAAGATAGCCGCAAGTATGCCGCTGTGACTGGGTTTTCTCTCGTTTCAACCGGACTGTTTGGGGCGCATCCCATCGCACTTGCTCCGCGTGGCTCCAAAGAAAACAGAGGAACAAAGATGCGAGAGTTAAAGAGTAGCGAAGCTGCGATTTGCGCCGCCGCTTTCCGCCGATTGCCCACTTCCGAATGCGGCGAACCAAGCAAATGAGCCGGAGGTGGAGGCAGAATAAAGGAGCGACGTGGCCGGCTTGTGCTGGCTGTTGTGATTTGCTCCCGCCGCGGCGCTAAACGAAGGTGCTGAGAGGGGTGGGTCGTGGCCCGGCCCTTCTGCCACCCCATTTCCACCAAATGAAAATTCAAAGGTAGTCTATTTTTCTAGCATTTCAACATTTCATTTTCGCTGCTGCTGCTGCTGCTGCTGCTGGTGCCGCCACGCATACAGCGTTTCGAATATACGCGAGCGCATAACTCCCATCTTTTGCACCTGTGCGTGCGTGTATAAAGAACGGGGGTTTTCCTGTCCCTGCAAGGATTTTTTAATTTTCGTCTGTCTTTCTTTTTTCATTAAACTTCCTCCCTTATTCTTCAGCTCTTTTGCTTGTTTTTGTTTGTCTCTGTCTGTCTCTTTCTTTTGTTTATTTTCAGCAAGCACGCCTAATATCAGCAACTCACTTTTGCTTTCGAACACTTAAACCCTGCACGCACTCCGCCTACCTGTGGTTCTAGGTACGTTATCTCGCCTCATTTTTTGTGACTGTCGTTCCAAGTGGAAGCAAACCACTTGCGCTGACACGCTGGCACATTTGGCGCACCCGTCGCTATAGCTTGTATTTGTGATGTCGGAACCAAGCGGGCGGATACGACGTGCGCAAGAAGATAAAAACAAGAGAAAAAGCGTGTTGCCAGGCCATCTTGATTCTGGTTTCTGCGCTGCTGATATCTTGAAAATTTCTGGCATCCATGTTTTGATTTTTGATCCTCCATGCAGTTAGTTTGCTGACTAGCTGGTGTGGATGTGGATATGGATGTGTGAGCGAGTTCCATTGCAGTGGCTCTGGCATCTTCAATTCTATTTTTCAATCACCAAAAAAAAGAAAAGAACAGGCACCAATAATGCTTGTTGGCGAAACAATGCGATGACCAATTTGTATGTTATTGGATGGCTTATGCCGGCGCCCCCTCAACTTGCAGGGCTTTTACATTACCATTTTTATTTTCCTCACACACATTATAATTCTGCCAGTCCGTCCCACTCTCTCCCGTCGCCCTTGCCCAAGCGGCTAGAGTCTGAGCGCTGTTGTTTCTTTCTTTTTATCTTTTCTTTTCTTTTTTATTTTCATCGCCTCTAGTTTATTGCCACATTTCATATATTCGCACCACCTTCCTCTTCTGTAACTCGGCCTCCCCCTTTTGTCTGTTGCATTGCACATCGTTTGCTCAAAACATTTGCTCCGGCACTCCGATCTCTTATTATCCGCGCACTTTAGCCCCCCCCATCGTGTCTGACAAAAACAGCAGCAAATTACATCAACTCGAGCGCACTACAATGACCATCGACAGCCAGGACCACTCTGCCCAGTCCAAGCTCTACCCGCCTCCGGCGCGCCTCGTCAATCCGGAGGACGGCCGCGAGAAGCCCTGGGTCTCCAGCATGGCCGAATATGAAGAGCTCTACAAGGAGTCCATCGAGCAGCCCACCAAGTTCTGGACGCGCACTGCCAACGACCTGCTCACCTGGGACAAGCCCTTCACTCACGTCTCCAGCGGGTCTCTCGACAACGGCGACATGGCGTGGTTCCCCGACGGCCAACTCAACGTCTCCTACAACTGCGTCGATCGCTGGGCCATCCAGGACCCGAGCCGCGTCGCCTTTGTCTACGAGGCCGATGAGCCCGGACAGGCGACCAACGTCACCTACGGCGAGCTCCTGCGCCAGGTATGCGGCCTGGCCAACGTGCTGAACAGCTTTGGCCTGCGCAAGGGGGACACTGTTGCTATCTATATGCCTATGATTCCCGAAGCCGCCGTTGCCATGCTGGCCTGCGCCCGCCTTGGCCTCGTGCACACCGTTGTCTTTGCTGGCTTCTCGTCGAGCTCCCTCGCTGAGCGCGTCGCCGACGCCCGCGCCCGCGTGGTCATCACCGCCGACGAGGGTCTGCGTGGCAGCCGCCCCATCCGCACCAAGGCTATTGTCGATGAGGCGCTCAAGACCTGCCCCGAGGTCGAGAGGGTCCTTGTCTTCCGCCGCACAGGCAGCGAGAGCGTGGCATTCAGCGCGCCCCGCGATGTCTGGTGGCACGAGGCCGTTGCCGCCCAGCGCCCCTACTGCCCGCCCGTCCCTGTCAGCGCTGAGGACCCGCTCTTCCTTTTGTACACATCGGGATCAACTGGCAAGCCCAAGGGCGTCGTGCACACGTCGGGCGGCTACCTACTGGGTGCCGCAATGACCCTGAAATACGTGTTTGATATTCACGACAACGACGTGTTCTGCTGCACGGCCGACATCGGATGGATTACTGGCCACAGCTACGTCGTCTACGGTCCCCTGGCGCTCGGATCCACAAGCGTTATTTTTGAGTCGGTCCCCACCTACCCCGACGCCTCGCGCTTCTGGAAGCTGATTGAGGACCACAAGATCACACAGTTCTACACCGCGCCCACCGCCATCCGCGCCCTGCGCCGCCACGGCGACGAGTTTGTCACTAAGTGCGACCTCTCAACCCTGCGCGTCATTGGCTCTGTTGGCGAGCCGATCAACCCTGATGCCTGGACCTGGTACAACGAGGTTGTTGGTGGCGGCCGCTGCGCCGTCGTGGACACCTACTGGCAGACAGAGACTGGCTCGCATGTGATTACTCCCCTCCCCGGAGCCACCTATGCCAAGCCCGGCTCGGCCACCTTCCCCTTCTTTGGGGTTGAGCTCGCCATCCTTGACCCGACCACTGGCACTGAGCTCGAAGGCAACGACGTCAGCGGTGTGCTCGCGATCAAGAAGCCCTGGCCCTCGATGGCGCGCACCATTGCCGGTGACCACAAGCGCTTTGTCGAGACCTACCTGAGCCCGTACCCCGGTTACTACTTTGCTGGCGACGGCGCCAGCCGCGACGCCGATGGCTACTACTGGATTCGCGGCCGCGTTGATGACGTGATCAATGTGTCTGGCCACCGCATGTCGACTGCCGAGATCGAGTCTGCTCTGATCGGCCACTATGCTGTCGCCGAGTCGGCCGTTGTTGGCGCCAACGACGAGCTCACGGGCCAGGCAATCTGCGCCTTTGTCACGCTGAAGGACGGCTTCGAAGCCAACAGCCTGCTCAAGGCCGAGCTGGTCAAAGAAGTCCGCACGCGCATTGGCCCCATCGCCACGCCCAAACGCTCATTCTCGTCGACGAGCTGCCCAAGACGCGCTCGGGCAAGATCATCCGCCGCATTCTGCGCAAGGTCGTTGCTGGCGAGGCTGACCAGCTTGGCGATCTCTCGACTCTGTCTGACCCCTCGATCCTCGATGTCCTCATCAGCGCGGTCTCTGCGACGTCTCTGTAAAAGCGAGCACACTGCTCCATCCTTTTGTTTCTCATTTTATACTCACTCTTCTTTTATTTCATTTAATGTAAACACACACAAACACACACATAAAATCAAACCATGTCGCGGGATGCCGTTCCCATATGCCAATGCTCGCGCCAGTTGTTGATGGCGACAATGGTGATCACCATGCCGGATGAACGGGCACTACATATTTGTGTACTTTTTTAACACGCGCACCCCCTTTTCTGTTTCGCAACTACATCTTAGCAACAACACATTATATTATATTATATTATATTACATTTGCCTTTGCCCTGAACAATGTCAAATACAACGCCAACCGTGCCGCCATTGGTGTGGATCGATTGCGAGATGACTGGTCTCGACTACGCCAACGACACGATCATCGAGATTGCATGCATCATCACTGACGCCAAGCTGAATGTGATTGAAAGGGCCGCAACATTGTCGTCCACCAGCCCAAGGAAGTGATGGACGCAATGAACGACTGGTGCAAGGATCATCATGGAAAGTCAGGCCTAACCCAAAGTGTCCTGGACTCGACGACCACCATGGCCGAGGCCGAGCAGGAAGTGCTTGCGTTGGTCAAGAAGCACTGGGCCAGTCCTCGCGCCGCTGTACTGGCCGGAAACTCTGTTCATGCAGACCGCGCGTTCCTTGTTCGGCAGATGCCCGAGCTGACAGAGTTTTTGCACTACCGCATTGTCGACGTGAGCACAGTCAAGGAGCTGGCCAGGCGCTGGGACCCACAGGTGCTGGAGTCTGCGCCGCTCAAGAAGGAAGCGCACAGGGCTTTGGATGACATTATCGAGAGCATCGAGGAGCTTCGGTACTACAAGAATAACTTTTTCTCGTGCTAGAGTCAATGGCATACGGGTTCCGTCGGCTATCCGATGCCGCAGTAAGTGGTAAAAGCCTGCCGGTCGGTAAAAAAAAACGTGGTTTTGAGCTTGCCCCCATACTGGACTTCTAGCTTTTGCTGGCTCTGTGATGCCAAATTATACACTGGTCGTCAGCCTTTAGTTTTGCTATTCAATTATAATATACAACCACGCCTTTTATTTATACTTGTCAGCGCCAGACAAACCTTTTTGAAAGAAAAAAACAGGCATGGGTCAAAAGGCATCCTCTCTCATACAGCCACTGCTGCACAAGACAGCAGCAAATAGCGCACAGACAATCGGTGACAAGCAGTTGGCAGCCCGTCCGATAAACCGCCGATTCAAGAGCCGCAGCACGGCGCCCCTGATCTGGATCGATGTTGAGACTACGGGCCTGACTGTAGAAAAGGACGTGATCCTCGAGGTGGCCATGGTCATCACAGACGGCGAGCTCAACCAGCTGGGCCCACCACAAAGCCTGGTTATTGCACGGTCGCCCGAGGAGTTGTGCAAGCTCAACCCCTGGTCGCTCAACATGCACACCAAATCCGGGCTTCTCAAAGAGGTGGCCGAATCAAAGCTCACGCTGGCGGTGGCTGAGCAGGAGCTTCTCAAGCAGATTGTCCAGCATTCGCAAAAGCCCGGCACTGCCATCCTTGCGGGGAACAACGTCGGCTTTGACCGCGTTTTTATCAGCAAGTATATGCCGGTGCTGGCCAACTACCTGCACTTTCGCAACATTGATGTGAGCACGGTCAACGAGCTGGCCAAGCGCTGGGCCCCTGATATGCTCGGCCGATACAAGAAGACATACTCGCACAGAGCGATCGACGACATCAACGAGAGCTTGCGCGAACTGCGTTATTACAAGAACAACATGTTTAGCCCGAGGGAGTGAGTCGTTAGTACCGTGACAAAGTGGTAGATCATTTTGTTGTATTTCGTTTCATTGCGTTGCGTTGTGCTGATCTGAACCAGACCAGTTTACAATTTAAAGATAATAATCAAACGTGTTGTTGCAAGCTATGGAAAAATAATGAAACAGGCCTACAGGCATAATTTATCTACCACTGGGTGATCTGGTCGGGGGTGTCGATAGCCTCCAGAATGGCGTGGTGGCTGTCCTCAACCTTGGCCTCGCCGTAGCGTCTCAGGAGCTTGTCGACGTCATCGAGGCTGAGAGGTCTGATGTCAGCCAAGTTCTTGATCTTGTTTGTGATCTGCTTGCAGTCGACGTCGGTCAAGGGCAGGCCAAGCTGGTCAACGCGGTTCTTGACAGCGTTCCAGCCGGTCAGCCGGTGACCAATGGCAACGTAGCGGGTCATGCCAAAGTCCTCAGGGCGCAGGATCTCGTAAGTCGAGGGGTTGTTGAGGATGGCCTTGGCGTGGATGCCGGCCTTGTGCGTGAAGGCGCAGTAGCCGGTGACGGGGTTGTTGAAGGGAACCGAGACACCGACGGCATCGGCGACAATGTTTTCGATTTCGCGCAGCTTTTCTAGTTTGTACTTGGCCTTGACCGACTCCTTGTCGGAGGCGTACATGCGGGCAATGAAGCCACCGAGCGAGGGAATACCGTTGCGCTCGCCAATGCCGAGAACCGAGGTGTCGACGTGGGTGGCACCATTCTGCAAGGCAGCGTAGGCGTTGGCGATGGCGCAGCCAGTGTCGTTGTGGAAGTGGCACTCAATGTCGCAGGACACAATGCCACGCAGCGTGCGCACGAGCTCAGCAACCTGGTCGGGCGATGCGCATCCAACGGTATCGGCAATGCCGACACGGTTGACGCCCAGCTTGTCGACGGCACGGTACAGGTTGAGCAGATCAACAATGTCCGAGCGGAACGAGTCCTCCGACGAGAAGCGGACCTCGAGGCCCTCGCCCTTGATGTACTGGATAACCTCAGTGGCGGTGTCAATGATGTACTGCATATCCTTTCCGTGGGAGAACTCGCGCAGGAACGATGAGGTGCCGATAACGACATCCAGGCCGTCAACGCCGGTCTCAACAGCCAGCTTGGCATCGTCCATATGGCAGCGCACGTGGGTCAGGATCTTGGCCTTAAGGCCGAGGCCGACAATAGCCTTGCAGTCGTTGAACGACTGGGTCGAGGCGGCCGGCGAGGTGAGCTCGAGGTAGTCGACACCAAAGTCATCGAGGGCCTTGGCGATCTCAATCTTCTTCTCGGTGGTGAAGAAGCGTTAGCAAACTGCTCGCCCTCTACGTGGAATGCAAAAAAAGAAGGAAATAAAATGTGAAATAGTTTAGCGAGTTGCGCCAGGCGGGGCGAAAATGGCAGCGGATCTGCGAGCCAACAAGTTTTTTTCACAGCCAAAGTGTACGTGTGCGCATATGCTGGGAAAAAGGGAGAGAAATAGGGCCAAATTGGGGAGAAGACCGCAAAAAGCACCCCTTAATTGCGCAATATGAGTCACGCCTATCAACTGCTCCCCTTGTTTTTTTCAAGGTCAAATTGACCGACATTCTGGGCTCGTAACTCTATCGCTCACTTTTCCCTTTTTTTGTGACTGTTGCTACTGGTGACGCTCAACCCGCAACCCGCATATTTCAAACAAATATACGAGTCACATCTTTCGGGTTCTTTTTTTGAACTGACAGGCAGGCAAAAAAACACTGAGATCTCCACGAAAATTGTCCACAGCACAGCTGAAAAAACAAAGCAAAAAATACTTACCACGCAGAGTAGACTCGATGATCTTAAAGTTGGAGACGTTGCTGAGGTAGCTCGAGGCGGAGCCAATGGAGCTACGCGACGGATCCTTGGCGAGGGACGATGGTACAGACGACATGGAAGCGAGGCTCTAGATATGTGAAGTTATTATGCAGTATTAGTGATTGCAACCGCGAGTGAGCAGTGGGTGGGTATTTGTAAAGGCAAAAGAATTAGAGATTCTGCTTGCCGGGAGAAGAGGGGCGCGAGCGCCCTTTATATCGCAGCGCCAAAGTGGCGATGTGAAAGGCGCATTAATTGGAAATGAGGGCCTAGAATGCGCGACAAGGCCCAAGTCCCTTTGCCATGTCTGACCACCCAAGCCGCAGGCAAGCGGTGTGTAAACATGTCAGAATTGCGTCGGCGGCACAGTGTAGCATGTATAAACAGCAGAACAGAGCAATACAGGCTATGCAAAAAAGGAATAAACTTACCCGAGCAGCCAGCGGCGCGCGTAGCGCCTGCTCCGGGCGATGCTTGCCATGGAGGCCGGATTTGTCAGGCGGGAAAATGTGGATGACAGCATTTTTAGAGAGTGGTCCGTGAGTGGTTCAAGACTGCGTGTGTTGCGCGATCAGAAGCGAGAGGTGTAATGCGATTTTAATTGAGCTTGCTGAACAAAAAAATAAAAGTGGAGAAGCAAGAGAACGAGTGAGCTTGATTCTTTGAAAAGACAGCTGAGGTGAGGAGAAAATAAAAGAAAAGGCCGCTAGTTTCTGCCCGCTCTGGGCCGAGCCCTTTTATAGGTATCTCCAAAGGGCCACATTCCTATCTTTTGTTGCACAGTCCATCTCTGGCTGCAAAAAAAGCTGCTCTCCCCCCAAAAAAAACAATACAGCAGCAGCTCGGATATCTAGACATGTGTGGTTTTTGCTGGCCATTGCTGTCTTTTTTGAAGGCAATCTCCAAATCCAGTCAGGCACAAAGGGTCAAAAAAAGACAAATTGTTGCACCAATGAATAAAAAAATACACTCTGCAGCCGACCAAACAGAGCTCAGTCATCTAGGTCCGGATATATTTTAGCCAATCAACTCGAGTCGAAGGAACAAAAAAATTGGCAATCGAAAGCGCTGGTGAGTCAGAAAGCTCACAAAATCACAAGCCGTCACATTTTTTATCCCGCCTGCATGCAGTGCGTGCAGTGCAGCAGCCGAACAAGCAGACACAGTCAATATAACAAAAAGGTGGTTTGTGCGCAGAAATTTTTTGCAGAAAAAACAGGTTAAATATTAGTCAGTAGCAAAAAAAAACATTCACATTCCTGAGATTCAACGTGTCTTGCCTCTGCCGCCTGCACTACACTATTGAAATTGAATTTTGGAATTTCCAGACATTTATAGCAAAATTCTATAATATTAAGCGGGGGGGGGTTTGAAACCCGTTTTCCACGCAAAAAGGAATCGTCAGTCGGCTGAAGCCGAGTCTACAGCGACACCTGAGACGTTGATCAAGCCAAAGCCTAAGCCCAAGATCAAGGGTGTGCACAAGAGTCAATCTGTCCCTGCTTCTTCTCTTCAAAAGAAGCAGCGAACTGATTAATAGTCAACCATAGTGGTCTATTGCATTAGTTTATAAACACTTTAGGTTGCTAGCCAAACTGGGGGAAGGATGTCGGTTTATAGTATATTTGTAGCCTCATTCTTTTCTTATAATGTACAATGACATAACCACTCCACGGTTTTGATCACCCAGATGAGTGGCATCTAACGACATTGTCACCTTTTTTCTCAGGCTCCGCCTTCGTTGGGCCGTTGAGTAAGTGAGTCAATTAAATAAAATGTATTCAACAAGAATGCAAAAACGGCGTTGCTTGGCTCAGAGGAGCTTGCAGACAGCCTCAGTCACCTCGGTGGTAGTCGCCTTGCCACCCAGGTCGGGGGTCTTGATCTGGCCCTCGGCCAAGACCTTGTCGACGGCGCGGTAGATGGCGAGCGCGGCCGAGCCGTAGCCAGTGCTCTCCAAAAGCATGGCAGCACTGCGGATTGCCGCAATGGGGTTGGCAATGTTCCGTCCGGCAATGTCCGGGGCCGATCCGTGCACGGGCTCGCCAACGACAAAGTTGTCGCCGACGTTGGCGCTGGGCACAAGACCCAGGCTGCCAACCAGCGCGGCGGCGCCGTCGCTGATGATGTCACCGTACATGTTGGGTGCGACGACAACGTCAAAGGCCTCGGGCTCGCGGAACATCCGGTAGACCATCGAGTCGACCAGCTGCTCCTCGACGTCCACGCGCGCCTTGTACTCGGGGTTGTTCTCGTACACGCTGCGCACGGTCTCGCGCCACAGACCGTCGGTCACACTCAGCACGTTGGACTTGTGGACGATCGTCACCTTGGGGCGGCCGGTCCATGTGCGCTCCGAAGCGGGCAGCTGCTGGCGCATGGCGTCGCGCTGCAGCGCCATGCTAAATGCCATCTCGCCGGCGCGGCGCGACGCAAACTCGCTGATGCGGCGCTTGGCAATGGCGTACTTGCCGTCGGGGCCCTCGTGCAGCTCCTCCTCCTTGATGTACAGGCACTCGGTGTTCTCGCGGATAATCAGCATGTCAATGGCGCGTCTCTCGCCCGACGCCGTGGCTGCGGCACCCGAAATGACTGGCCGCACGTTGGCGTACAGGTCCATCTGCTTGCGCAGACCGACGATCGGCGAAGAGTAGCCAGCGACCTTGTGCGACGGCGAGCTGACGGCGCCGAACAGTGCGCCGTCGCAGTCACCCTTGAGCGCTGCCAGAGTCTCCTCCGGGAGGGCCACACCGTGCTTCTGGAAGTACTCGAACCCGGCATCAAGGTTGACAAAGTTCAGCTTGGCCGGCATGACGTCGCTGCGCAGAGTCTCGAGCACCTGTCTAGCGGCGGGGATGACCTCGCGACCGATTCCGTCGGCCGGGATGAGTCCGATTGTCAGGGGCTTGCTGGCAGCTGCGGCTGCTGTGGTTGACGCCGCGCGGCGGGTAACGTTCTGGATCGATCTCAAGGCGGAGTACATTGTTCGTTTTATACAGCAGAGTACAAGTAATTAACGAGGGTTGAGTGAATGCAAAGAGCGTGGCGCCCGCTCGCAGCAAGCCAGAGTGATAAGGGGCCGGAGTCCAATCTAAAAGTGAAAAAGAGATGCGCCCAAAAACGGAAATTCACTTATGCTTTCCCATTGGCTGCGCGCGCATGATAACACTGGCTTTGCGGGAGTGCACAGCTGGGCGCATTTGGCCTGTCATCGCAGGAAACCAAGGCGTTTTTGTGCTTTGGTGAATCATAATTGATGCACAAGGCGCATGCACTCAAGCGGACCCAATTTTATGCTCTGCTCAGCCCAACCCAGCTCAGTCTGCGCTGGAGTTTATCGTTGGGTGCATGCGCGTGCATACAATTTCACAAAAAATTAAATAAAGATGGTTTGCGTGGTAAAAAAACTGGTTTTTGAATTCACATCCGTTTTTAATCAATTTGCCTTTATTATCTTTGCACCATGCGATCGTCCCTTGCTTCACAAATAGAGTCCAGTCATGGTCTGTCTGCTGCGGCGGTCAGCAGCGCTGGCATTAGCGCTAGCGGAAGCATGTCCGGGTTTTCAATCGAGAGTTGCCTCGATGACAATGACTCGAGCGATTTGTCGGCGGCTGCTGGAATATGCGCTGAATGCGAGACCTCGGACGTGACGAGCACCGCTTTTGCAATCAGCAGCAGCAGCAGCAGCAGCATTTCCAGCAGAATCAGCAGCAGCAGAAGTAAAAGCCCAAGCCGTGATGGATCGGAACTGGACTCTAGCAATGGCAATGGCAGCTTGAATGTGCGCCACCAAGCTACAGAGAATCCAGTCGCCCGCAGTACATACACATTCAGGCAAGCATCCGATCACTTGAATATCGAAACTTTTGGTCCAAAATTTGTTTATCAAGCTAGGCCAAATGCTCATAATGTTTTTGTGTATGATATTGGCGTAGTGAAGTGGTATTGATGCAAAAATGAGCAGCCTTCTCAAAAGAATAGCTGGTGGCAGCATTTCGCCGGCGGCCCTGTGTAGCCAAATACTAGGGTAAGTTGAACAGCATTGATATGAATTAAAACAAAATATTTGGCAAAATAAGCATTTGTTTAAAAATAAATGTTTAAAATGTAGGGTGCCTGCTCATTTACGAAAGCAGCGGCTGCATGGCAAAGGATGTAAGTACTTTTGCTTAAAATATGAATGTGTACGCATTTAAGCAAGTGGGGCTTAAAGAAATATTCAAATATATTTTGTAGTGGAGTTGTGCTCCATCATTGAAATATCGTACCAGCTGCTCGCTGCCGGGCAAGTCGCATACCAGCGAGACGTATATTACCGCCACAAAAAACTCCTCAAGAGCGTCGAAAATGTGCGGACGCTGTGCAACAAACTGTCCTTTTACTTTGGAGTGCCACCAGCGCGCCTCAACATTGTAAGTGCTACTTTGAAATTGTTAAAAAAAATAAACAGTACCACATTTGTACTAATCATACTTGAGTATGTGCTCGCGTAGATATCATGCCCAAAGGGCCTGATGTATGGACATGTGTCCATCGAACTAAACAATGGATGCGTGTTGGATTTCTCCAAACAAGGTGTAAGTATTGAGATCAAGCAAACGGAAATTATAGTAAATACGCGCGGGTCGACGAAGCGGAACTATTAATTATAATACAATTGACATTTAAGGGTTTGTAGGGGAACTCACTGCCGCACGCTTGTTTTGTGGTAAGAATTCTCAATCAGGATACTGAGTTGGGCGTGTGCTACGCTCATTCTGTTTCCACAATAGTTACGTATGCTAATAACCCGGTTCAACCATGGCATTGTAGCAGAGGGTACGATTCAATGAAAGATAACAACAGTGCTGATAGTCGAGAAAGAGGTATGCAGTTTAATAACTACTTTTTATCTCTGTGCACAAAGTGTTGAGCCATTTATTAACTAACTCTAATGTTTTCTATTTATTAGACAGCATTTTTTGCGCTCATTCAAAGCGGGATTCAAGCGAAAGTCCCCGAGTTGCTCCTTGTCACTGGGAAGGGTTATCCAGTAAGTATTGTGCTTTATAAAAATAAAAGCTGCATGTAATTGTGAATCAAATTTTAAAAGCATTGGGCACTGATCCTGCGTAGGACACAAACACTCGCGAGCTGATCCACGGTTGGGCAAGAGGCTGCGCATCGTGGTGCTGGTCGACAACGATCCCGACGGTGCACACATTTTCAAGTGTACGCCGAGGGTGGGTGGAACGAGAAAACATTTGTAAGTGACACAATGACACTACATATGCGTAGCAACTTGATAGAGGTGAAAACCATGGGCGCTAACTAAACTGCATTTTGCCATTTAGCCGCTTGCACATGCACAGTGGGGTGGGCTGCATTGCTCGATGGCACGCGTTGGCAGATGGGGTCTAGACATCGACCGGCTTATCGAGTTCACGCCGCGCGACCGCAGCCTGGCGCTAAAGCTCATCGAGCACTGGGCGGGAAACCAAAGGCTGCGCAGGCGCATGGCGCGGATGGTTTATCGGGGCAAGAAGGCCGAGCTCGAGGTCATCACCCAATACCGCGGGATGCTTGTCGATTTCGTTCGGCCATTCTGCAAAGCGGTGATCACGATTGATCAGATCACAGCGATCGTATCTTTTTTTGGCTGAAGTATGAATTCAATGAATTTTGGAGTTTTGTGGCCTTTTGAAAAGAGCAAAAAAAGCAGCGGTATCGCACTGTTGAATCGTTTGGGCTAATTGAGAGCATACTTTCCTTTTCTTCTTTTCTTACTTTGTTTCACATTTCAAATCGTCTGGTCTCTTTAAACCTTTCTTTGGCGTATTTTTTCAGCTCAATTAATTTGGCAACATTAAAAGAGGGCTAAAACAATGCTGAGCTTCGGGGTGTTTCGGCAAATAACCGGGCGCTCGCTGACAGGCTTTCCGACAGCGTTCCCCGCTGTGTCCGCAATGGGGCTTGGGCGGCGGCTAATCAGCACAGGCGGGCCCGGCGAGGGCAGCGGCGATAGAGGCGATGCAGCAGCGGCGGCAGCATTGGCGGCAGCAGCAGTGGCAAATAAGCGGGCAGTTGTTGACCGCAGACTGCAGTTTGCAAACAGCTTGAGCAGCCAGATCAGCAACACGGGCTCGCAGGTGGTCGGGCGCTCTGTCCCCGTTGCAGCCGGCAGCGCAGTCAAGGCGTACGGGCGGCTGAATCGGATTCTGTCCGAGAACAATGTGCGGCGCGAGCTCAGCCTGCGTAAGCGGTACGAGAAGCCCAAGTACAAGCGCCAGCGTCTGAAGCGCGAGGGCCACGCGCGGCGGTTCAAGGAGGAGGTGCGCAAGAAGGTGCATCTGATCATGCAGATGAAGAACTGGGGCATGTAGTGAGAAATAGCTGTAGAGGCCAAGTGCAAATAAAAATGTTTTTCTTTCTTTCTACGAGACATATGCCGTGGAGTTGATGAGCTGCAGCCTGTGCTGTGGCTGTGTGCTTTTTTTGGGCGCGTACAAGCAGCAGAGCCCACCACCAGTGCAGTGATTGTGGCTGCCTCTGCACAGTGGCATACACGGGTGCAATTTTAGAAAAGCAGTGGTATCGATGATTGAACACAGCGATTGCAAACAGTGTGATGTGATGAGCGTTGCGACACCTTTTCTTTTCCTTTTGTAATGCAATTTACAAAAAAAAACACCTGTCCCTCTATTTTTTTTCTTTCTTTAAGCACCACACCAGTATTTATATAGGATTTTATTGTTGTTTCATTCCCAAAGGTTGCAGCTGACGAAAAATTCAATACGCGCTCTCTTGTATTTCCATCAGTTTTTATTATTATTTTCAGTTACCAGTACCAAGTGCATGAGCAATGCCAAGTGACATTCGCGGCGAGTACACTCAGCTTGGCAACGGCATAATGGGGAGCCAGGGTTGGATATGGAGCACGGACAGAACCAAAGCCAAAGACAACAACATAACACAAGGGCCGAGTACTCGGAGCTGGAGGTCGGCGAGCCCGAGGCTTTTGACGAAGAGGACGATGTGCAGTACTACGAGCAGTTTTCTACGTTCGACTCGCGCGGCGGCAAGGTGCAGCAGGCGTGGCGGCGCAAGCGGTTCAGCCTGGTGCATATCCTGATGGTGGCTGTTGGGTGTTTGGGTGTGTATGCAGCAGGCATGGTGCTCTGGCGCTCAATGGCGAGCAACGGGGGCGGTGACGACACGGCCTCCGTACCCAGTCTGTCTGCCATCATTGGCAGCACAGGCAGCCCAGGACAGACACATAAGCAGGCGCAGTCGACGCAGGACTCGAACGTACCGGGCGGGCGGTCAAGCAAGAAGCTGCTGACGTACGATAACGTGAACACCGTCAACAGTCTCGTGCAGAGCCGGTCGCTCGAGTGGATTGCACACCCGACAGACAGTAGCATCGATGGACTGTACCGCGAGCTGCGCAATGGCGTGTTCACGGTGCTGAAGGCCGACAACGAGACGTGGACTCATGTGCTGGCAACGATGGACGATGTGAACAAGGCGGCCAAGGGCCTGGCCAAGTCGTTTGTGCCGGAGAGCTGGTCGGTGTCGGCGGACTGGGAGTACCTGCTGTTCAACGTGCACTCAGAGCGCGTGTGGCGGCACTCGGTGCGTGGCACGTACTTTGTGTACAGCGTGCACGAGCACACGATGATCCGCTGACAGGCAGTGGCAACGACCGCATCCAGCGCATCGAGTGGGCGCCTGTCGGGCACCGCGTACTGTTTGTGCGTGACAACAACCTGTTTGTCAGCGACATGATGCACGAGATCCAGGTGACCGACGACGGCAGCGACGAGGTCTTCAACGGACTGAGCGACTGGGTGTACGAGGAAGAAGTGCTGGGGTCGGGCGCGGCCAGCTGGTGGGCGCCCGATGCGCAGGCGCTGGCGTTCCTGAGGCTCGACGACTCAGCGTACCGGTGTTCCAGTATGAGCTGTTCCACCCCGAGAACAGCAGCAGCATCTACCCAACGCCGATCCGCCTGCACTACCCCAAGCCCGGCGCAGCCAACCCGCGCGCCAGTCTGCACGTGTACCAGCCCGATTTCTCGCAGGCGCAGCAGGCCAGCAAGGCGCGCGACAACGCCGACACAGCTTTCCACCCGCAGCGTGTGCAGCTGGACGGCGCGTTCGCGGCTGACGACACAATCGTCGCCAGCGTGACGTGGCTGACCGACGCGCATGAGCGGCTGCTGGTGTACGCCATGAATCGCGTGCAGGACCACGCCAAGATGTTCTGGCCAGTGCCACCCCAAGAGGCTCAAGGCGACGCTCGTGCGCGAGCGCAGCACGCTGAAGGAGGACGGCGCGTGGATCGAGATCACGCAGCCGCCGCTGTTTGTGGCGAAGCGCGCTGTCGACAGCCTGACGGCCGACGCGTACGTCGATCTGGTCGAGCGCGACGGCCGCGCGCACTTGGCGCTGTTCTCGCCTCCCGATGCGCGCAAGCCGCTGCGGTGGCTGACCGAGGGCGCGTTGACGTTGTCAGCGGCACCGTATCCGTCAGCGGCGCGCGCGTCCGGTTCGCCAGCACGCAGGTGTCGAGCACCGAGTTCCACGTGTTCCAGGCTGACCTCAACGCGCCCGGCGCGCCGCACGCGCTGTCGCCACGGCCGGCGCAGCAGTCAGCAGTAGTGCGCTCATCAAGGCGGCGCGCAACGGCACGTACACAGCCAGCTTCTCGCCCGGCGGCGCGCTGTACGTGCTGAGCTACCGCGGCCCGCAGCTGCCGTGGCAGGCGGTCTACAGCGTGGCTGACGGCGCGTTCGAGCACGTGCTCAACGACAACGACATTGCCGAGCGCGCGCTGGCGGCGTTCGATTTGCCACGCGTCGAGTTTCTCGAGATCCCCAACGCCGAGGGCGCGCCGATGAACGCGATGCTGACGTTCCCGCCAGGCTTCGACCGCGGCGCCAAGGCGCGCTACGGCGTGCTGTTCCGCGTGTACGGCGGTCCTAACTCGCAGCAGGTGTCGCGCGCATTCCTGCTGGATTGGCACTCGGCGCTGGTGTCGCAGACTGACGTGCCCGACATGCCATGGATTGTCGCCTCTGTCGACGGCCGCGGCACGGCCTACCGCGGCCGCGCCTGGCGCAGCGCCATCAGCCGCCAGCTGGGCATCTGGAGCCGGCCGACCAGGCGGCAGCCGCGCGCTACATGCAGAAGCAGCCGTACGTCGACCCTCGGCGCATGCCATCTGGGGCTGGTCGTACGGTGGCTACACCACAGCGCGCGCCATTGAGCGCCACTCGGACGTCTTCCGCGTGGGCATGGCCGTCGCGCCCGTCACTGACTGGCGGCTGTACGACTCGGTGTACACCGAGCGCTACATGAAGACGCCGCAGGCCAACGCCGCCGGCTACGAGGCCAGCGCCGTCACCAACACAACGGCCTTCGCCGGCGCAAAGTTCCTTGTGCAGCACGGCACCGGCGACGACAACGTGCACCTGCAGAACACGCTGACGCTGGTCGACGGCTGCAGGCCGCCAACGTGCCGGGCTTCGAGATGGCCACGTACACCGACTCGGACCACAGCATCTACACGCACGGCGTGCGCCCGCCCTGTACGCGCGCATGACGAACTTTTTGTTCCGGTCGTTCCACGAGCTGGAGAACAAGGAGTTTGACTTTTGGCGCCACGCGAGCCCGAATGACCTGAGCAGCAGCCCAGTTGGCGCATGAGCAAAGCGCGCTTGATTGCGCTAATCTCTGCGATCTGTGGATTTCCCGAGTATCTGGGCTTGGCCTCAATCTCTCTCTTTTCGCTTCTCTTCTCTTTTTTGCTGTTTTCGCCGCCTTTTCATTATTAATTCCACCACACATACACACACGCACGCACGCACACAGGCACACACACACACCGAAATGTTCCGCTCTCTAATTCACAACGTACGCATGCTCCTGAATTCATCAGCGGCACAACAGCCATTTCATCATTTTCAAACTGTGGCACCAGCCCTCCCCCATTGCTGACACGATAGTATCCAAAGAGAGGGAGGGGGAGGGAAGTCAGATCCAATGCTGACACAATAATATTCACACACTGTCTGTCTAACCACCCACCTGTATTTATTCACAACATTTGTTCATATAGGCATCTCTGCGCTCGATCTCCGCCCGCCCGTCGGTCCTCCTTGCTGCAAAGCGTGCTATCGGCGCACGCTTCATCACAGATCGTGCCAAGGCCACCATCGATGGTGCCGTGAAGGACAACGACCTTGTGGTCTTTATGAAGGGCACGCCCGATGAGCCCATGTGCGGCTTCAGCCGGGCCGTCATCCAGATCCTGCAGATGCACGGTGTCGACGAGATCGCCGGAGTTGACTGCCTGCAGGACCCTGAGATCCGTGAGGGCATCAAGGAGTACACCGACTGGCCGACTATCCCTCAGATTTATGTCAAGGGTGAGTTCATCGGTGGCTGCGACGTCATGGTCCAGATGCATCAGTCCGGTGAGCTCCACGAGCTGCTTGTCAAGGAGGGCATCCTCAGTGCCGAGCCCGAGCCCGAGTCTGAGGAGCCCGCCAAGAAAGACTAGACGGTGGATATTGTAGTTTTTTTTTGCTTTTCTATCATATTTGGAATATAAAGCTTGTTCTATTAAAAGTCAACTCAAACGCAAGTAAAAGGAGAGAAAAATCATACTTATTGACGGGGCTTGCTGCATAGCCGCGCTTCCACCCGCAGCTGTTTGATCGTCTCGTCCTTGCTATCCAGAGCGCGTAGCAGGTGCGTTATGCGAATGTGCAGTTTCTCAATCTCGTCCTGAGCCTCAGCACTGGTGCCACTGACAACAGGAGCTGCCACCGTATCAGCGATGCACTTTTGCTGTACTTGGTTATTCAGCTTGTCAACTAACTCGCGAAGCTCGCCAAACTGCTTGACTACATCCAATGCAATATGCTCATACCGATCCTGCGACTGAGTGTGATTTTCCATGGCCTGTATGGTATTAAATGAGAATTTTTTAAATATACAGAAAATTATTTAACAACCAGAAAAGCATCCAAGAAAAATATTATTATTTGTCACTCCCTTTTTTACACATCCGCCCGCAGAATTATGGTGGTCAGTGCCATAATCGATAGGAAACACTATCGGTAGTGTCCATCAGCAATCCGTTGTGATTTCTGGCTGCATATGCAGCCCCCTTTTCAAAAAAGTTTACTTAACTGCGCCATTTTTCGCTAACAACCCTTTTTGTCAAATAAATTCCATGGCATGGTTGTTAGATTTGAGCGCACAGAGCGAACTTTTTTGTCCTTTGGGATTCCCGGGTCTAGGCCTGTATGCGAGCCCACGCCTTTACTTCAATGGCGTGGGCTGTGCTGGAAGACCATGGCAACATCTTACTACACAAATATATTAAAATCAAAAGAAATAGAAAAAAACTCGCAATAGGAATGTTTTGTGCTTGCACATTTGCGCCCAATTTTTGAGTGAGCAATAAAAATGTGATTTAAATAAAACGGCGACACCAACATAAACGCAGTATTCTTTCGAATCAGCACGTGCTTGATATAGCGTTGAGATGATAAATAGGCATTCGATATGTGTGTAATTGTCATCGTATTGGTTGGGTCACAGATAAGCTTTGGCGCAACACTACGTCGTTACGGTTTTTGGTCTCCGTCTGTGAGGGAGAAAAGGATAGCCGTATCCAGTACCCGATCAGCAGCAAACAATGTTCCTGCGGGGTAAATTCATACTGTTTCTATTAGTTTTAAAGTTTATTTTGCCGGTCTGACAGTTCAGCGGATCTTTTAATAATATGTTTAATTGAGAAGTTAATAAAACATCTTGATATGTATTTACTTTAATTACTTATTCTAGCACAATTATTATTCAAAAATAGTGCTTGCATTTATGCCATTTGAGCGTCAGTTAATCCATTGGCCATCGAGAATACACATGTCATAGACAAGAAGTGCAGAATTTGTGCATTTATATAAGCTAGTGATATCTCTTTGCATTACTTTTGAGCCAAAAAATAAATGGGATAGCACAATAATATAGTATACATATTGTGACCATTGTCGTCATTATTGAGTTTTGAGCTGATTCAACGACCTGAAAATTGTCATGGTTTATAAATTGTTTTTTAAATGCTTGTACTCAGAAGCAGCCAACGAAAAAACAATATGGTGTTATGAAGGATATGCTTTTATACAACAATATCGCGATATCTACATCTAAATTTGCGGTTAAGCCTGACAATATGCAGACACATTCACGCGCATGTCATCTGGAGCAGTCACTTAGCAGTCATGTACAGCATTTCCCAATATCGATATGAATAAAATAATATCTACCATTTAAAATAAAAGCTGACTATGCTTAAAAGTCTATGTCTGCTTTCTGCCTTTATAAATTCGGGTATGGTCATGCAGGTTTCGAAAATCACTGAATATAAAAGTCTAAGCCATATTTTGAGTGACATTGACTCGAAACATAATTAGGCGATCTTCAGTGACTACCAATCAAGCGCGTTGAGCTGAAAAATGGCACTCGCGCGTAAACCTGTTTGGTCAAGCGAATTGGTCGTGTTGGCATCCAAAGAAAAAAGAATAAAAAGCGGGAAAATAAAGGGCCGCTGCTGCCAAGGTTTGTTTACATTTTTTTTTCTTCACTTTTTTTTGAAAAAATAATTTTTATAGTACTTGAAGAATAGGCAAACATAAGCACATATAAGCGCACATAAGCACACATAAGCACACTCGCACACACACATTCGTATTCATTCATATTCTTTATTATTCAACTATGTTCTCTCAAGTTACAAGGATCATTACACCTCGCTCACGCGCTGCCAACACGCTTGCAAAGTTGGAGGATGCTCTCTCCAACCCACCCTGCCTTTCCTGCTCGCACTTGGAAATGAAATACAAGGCAGTAGACTCAATGCTTGGCAGAAAGATTATTGAGGTGATGGAGAAGGACCTCGAAATCCGCCGCATTACTGCGGAAGCCCAGAAGAGGAGGGTGGCATTGGATGTGCGTTACAACGACTACGTCAATGCAACACGCACAAGCCTCGAGTCAGTGAATACTGATTTCAGCATCGCACAAGATAGGATCCATGAGCTCGAGCAGATAAATGGAGAGCACATGGCCTTGATCGACGACGCGAAGACGAGGGTTTCTGAGTGCCAGAAGGTTTATAATGATCTTGCTGCAGCACGCTGCGAGATGGATGCGCTACGCAAGCGCGCAGAGCAGGCTGAGGCCACCGCCAACAATGCCAATGCCGAAAAGGAGGCACTCTGCAAGCAGCTCGACAGCACACACAGCGAGGTCCGAGACCTGCGCGGCCAGCTTGCTGAGGCCACCATCGCCATTAAAGATTCCATAGCCAATGGAAAGGAGCTTAACGAGCTGCTTAATCGCACGCGAAACATAAACAACGACCTTGATGGGTGGCTTACGGCGGCTCACACTACCGCCAGAATTAAGCGGAAGGAGCATCAAAAGAAGCTCAAAGACGCACATGACGAGAACCAGAGCCTGATGAAGCAGCTAGCTATAGCAACCGCCGACGTCAACGACACCAGGGCTGAGAAAGAGGCACTTTACAAGAGGCTGGCCACAGCAACCGTTGCTGCCAACAATGCCCACACCAAGGAGATGGCACTCTGCAAGGAGCTCGACAGCGCATGCAGCGAGGTCCAAAACCTGCGCGACCAGCTCTCTAAACCTACCGGCGCGAAACAGCAGCAGAACGTCAAAAAGGAGGCACTCTGCGAGCAGCTTGTTGCGGCTACCACCGCCACCAACAATTCCAACGCCGAAAAGGAGGCACTCCACGAGCAGCTCAATGATGTACACTATTGGAACCATGACCTCCGCGAGCAGCTTGCCACAGCTACCATCACCGCCAATTTTGCCAGTGCTGAGAAGGAGACGCTCCACGAGCTGCTTGCCGCAGTTACTTCCGCCATTCCCAATGGTACCAACGCAGAAAAGAAGGCGCTCTGCAAGCTGCTTGCCGCGGCTACAACCTCCATTTCCAATGGTGCCAGCGCTGAGAAGGAGGCCCTTCGCGAGAAACTCAACAGCGCACACTACAGTATCAATTATCTCCGAGAGCAGATTTCTGCAGCTACCAATTCCGCCAATAGTGCCATTGTGAGAAGGAGGCACTCCACGAACATCTTGCCGCAGCTATCGCCGCCGCCAATGGTGCCAGCGCTGAGAAGGAGACACTCCGCGAGCTGCTTCGCATGAACATAGCCACTGCCAGCAGTGCTGGCGCCAAGGAGGGAACACCGCAGAACTCTCATCGCGAGCAGCTTGATGTGTCTACTGACAAGCCTGGAAACGCACACCGCGCGACTGGCGAGCCTGTAAGTACTCACTGCACAACTGACCAGCTCGACGTGGTCGTCACTACAGCGAATGGTGCTGATACTGAGATGAGGGCGCTGCGTATGCAGCTCCATGGGGCTATCTCTACCGCTAGTGCTGCTTTTGATGAGAGGGACGACCTGCAAAAAAAGCTTGCCACCTCCTGGGTGGAAAAAAATTGGTTCGTGGAGCAATTGAAGACGGCCACAGCTTGTTCTGACCATCTCCGCAAGCTACTTTACGAGGCTACTCATACTCATGCTGTTGAGCCCAATTCTGCCTACCTTCGCCACGAACTTGCAAAATCTGACAAAAAGATTGACCAGCAGCAACGCACCATCTCCTCCTTCAATAAGCGGGATAAGGCAAACGCACTGGCATTTGAGTCAGTGCACTGCATCTTGAACATTGCTGATCGCCATGTTGATCAAATGGTGGATGCGCATAGCGGATGGGCTCGCGGCCACACCGAGATACTGGAACAACTGGGTAAGGACCTACTCGAGGCCTGCGAGTTATGGCTGGACAATAGGTTTGACTTGAGCATTGAGGAGTTCAAGGAAAACATGGCCAAGCTGGCCGAACTGATGGCGCCTAGGGGCGAATGTGCGGCAAAAAAGATGGCAAAGGCAAACGCGGCGATGCGCGGCAATCTGGGCAAGCTCCGCAACCAGCTAATCACGGGAATTAATGTTACTAACACCCGCTTGGGCCCGCCGAGTGTTAGAAGTTGGCACACCAACACCAACGCCAACACCAGAGCCAGCCCCAACACCAGAACTAGTGTCAACGCCAACGCCAACGCCAGCCGGCCGGACCGGAAAGGAAAGGGTAAAGAGGTGTGGTTTGATATTTACGAAAACTATAAAATTTAAAACATTTATAACTTAAAAAACTGCTGAAAATATGCAAACGAATGATAAAGAAAAATTGCAAGCACACCGGTGTGCTTACACATTGTCAATGTATGCGTGCAAGCTTTTGCTGCGACATCAGGGCACGGCCAAAAGATTTGGAAACTATTTTTGGTTTGACTTTAATACCTAATTGTTTTCGGTTCATATCCATTTGTTTGGTAGATGTGCGATTCATAATAACAAAAATACAAGTACCAAAAAATAGACACCTGATAAGCAAAGCAGCTAGAATTTGATGCGCTGGACAAAAAAACGTCCACACCTCGCCCAGAAAAATAGATTTATCGATCCACTTGCTCATTTGACGAAGCCCTGTTCTGTGATAAACAGCTAATGGCTATAATCGATATGATATGTGAATGAATCTATCTGTGCACTGCCTGCGAAGATGAGTAGCTGTGGCAGAAGGTGCTCCTCCTTGGCTTTGCGCCCGGCTGATGCTGCTGTCTCTGCCAAACGATTGCACTTAATTTTCTACCTCTGGCAAAAGGTGGTAACGTACTTAGATTTTAACAAAATGTAAAGATAAGTGCGTAAACATAATCTCCAAGGTTACCTACCCCACATGTTGGGGATTTATTACAGCGATATTTGATTTCCACACCGTAAAATTAAATTAAATGCTTATAATCTCTGTATTTTTTTTACAACAGCTTGAGATTCCATCCCAAGCGTGCTGTTCAATTTCTTCTCTCATTTTCTATTCTTCTCCGGCTTTTGATATTGTACATTTGCTTTTACCTATAAATCGTGCTTACACATATCGCAAATACGCTGGCAATGTGGAAACAAGGAACCAGAATTAACCGGTCCAGCGGCATCCGGAGACTTGCTCGATCGCAGTACAGGCCTGAGTACAGCTGGCGAGGGCTCTCGACAACTGTAAAGGCAGAAAGCACTCTCTATAGCGCAGCTTTGGATATAGCCGATTACGACGTTGTGGTCATTGGTGGTGGTCATGCCGGATGTGAGGCATGCTCTGCAGCGGCCCGTACTGGTGCCAAAACAGTTCTGGTGACGCAGAAGCTTGATACGATCGGCGAAATGTCCTGCAACCCGTCGTTTGGTGGAATTGGTAAGGGTAATCTCGTACGCGAGGTTGACGCAATGGACGGGCTGTGCGGACGCATGGCCGATCTGGGCGGCGTGCAGTTCCGTATCCTCAACCGGTCGAAGGGCCCCGCTGTGCATGGCCCGCGGGCACAGGTCGACCGCGTACTGTACAAGCGCAACATGCAGCAGACGCTATCTAATTATCCGGGACTGTCACTGAAGGCAGGCAGCGTGGCTGATATTTTATTGGAGCGGCCCACGGACACAGATCAGACAACACTGAAGCGGTTGGCTAGTCAGGAGAGCACATCGGCCGAGGCGTCGGCTACTGTGGTGGGCGTGCGGCTGGAGTCGGGCGAGATTATACGTGCGCGCAAGGTGGTCATAACCACGGGTACATTCTTGGGTGGCGAGATCCACATTGGCCTCAAGGCCTTCCCCTCAGGGCGCACGGGCGAGGCGGCGTCCATTGGTCTATCAAAGTCGCTCAAAGACGCCGGATTCCGCCTTGGCCGCATGAAAACAGGAACGCCGCCACGCCTAGATGGCCGCACCATAGACTACTCGCGCATGCCGCGGCAGCTCGGCGACATGCCGCCGACGCCCTTCTCCTTTGTGCACGACACTGTACCCTACGCTGATCGCCAGATAATGTGCTACCAAACGCGCACAACGCCCGAGGCGCACGATCTAATCCGCGCCAACTTTGACCAGTCGATACATATCCGCGAGACTGTGCGCGGGCCGCGGTACTGTCCCTCCCTGGAGTCCAAGATTAAGCGGTTCAGCGAAAAGCAGTCGCATATTGTGTGGCTCGAGCCCGAGGGCCTGCCCGAGCACACGGACCTTGTGTACCCGAACGGCATCTCAAACACAATGCCCGAGGACATCCAGGTGCGGTTCCTGCGCATGATGCCAGGGCTCGAGAACGTTACCATGACTCAGCCCGGATACGGCGTGGAGTACGACCACGTTGATCCGCGCGAGCTCAAGCGTAATCTCGAGACCAAGCGCGTCAACGGCCTGTATATGGCCGGGCAAATCAACGGAACCACTGGGTACGAAGAGGCCGCTGCGCAGGGCCTCCTAGCCGGTGCGAACGCCGGATTGGCAGCCGCGGCAGCACCAAAAGGGTCGGAATCGCCGCCCCAACAGCTCATTCTGGATCGCTCTGACGGATACCTGGGAGTGCTGATCGATGACCTGATCACCCGTGGCGTCGAGGAGCCCTACCGCGTGTTCACAGCGCGCTCGGAATACCGGCTTTCGTCGCGCGCAGACAACGCCGACCTAAGGCTTACGCGCCGCGCTGCCGCCCTCGGGCTTGTCCGCGACCCGCGCCGGCTTGCACTCCTGGACACCGTCGAGGCCGAAATGGCGCACGCCCAAGGTCTGCTGGCCAAAATGGTTTTGTCGCCCAGTGCCTGGGAAACCAAGCTTGGCGGCGACACCCAAGTGTGCCGCGACGGCATCCCACGGTCGGCACTGGACATGGTGCAGATGGGTTTTTTGCGTGACAACGTCTGGGACGGCGCGCGCGATGCCGAGAACACTGAAGAATTGCCTCCGACAAAGGCCCGACTTCCGCAGTGGGCGCTGCGTCCGAGAATCTCTGAAATCGTCCCCGAGTGGTGCAATATGCCCGTGGGCATCCGCCGCCGGGTCTTGACCGAGGCCATGTACCATGGGTACCTGAAGCAGCAGCAGGCTGAGGTCAATTCGTTTAAGCGCGACGAGGGCATGCGCCTGCCGACGAATATTGATTACTCGCAGATCCGTGTTCTGTCGCGCGAGGAGATGGACAAGCTCATGCTGATCCGCCCAGATACCTTTGGCGCGGCCAAGCGTATCGACGGCATCACGCCCGGTGGGATCCTGGCTCTACTGAGGCATGTGCAGCGCCAGCCGGCCGACCAGAAGCAGCAGCAGAAGCAGCAAATATACAAGGAGCAGCGGCAAAGACAGAAGCTACAAGAGCAGCAGAATGAGGAGCAGTCATCGGGTGCAGCCTGAGCTCTCAACAACGTGGTAATGTTTTTTTCTGCCTTTTTTATTTGACTGTAATTTATTTTTGCTCGGTTTCTGGGATCAGGGGGGATATATTTTGGCTGTGGGCAGCGAGGGGCACAAAGACACAAAAAAAGGGGTGCAATTTAATCGTGTGTTTTGCGCGCGGAATTGTTCCTGAGCTCGAAATTTTATCTCCACAAAACAGTTGAACAGTATAAATTCTTTTTTTATAAAAAAAGTTTAGGTTTAAACTTCATCTCTTTTGTTTCAATTCAGCTGTATACTTTTTTTTATAAACACATAATCCCTTTGTAATCGGCCGACCTCTGCAACGATGAGTGTTTTAGAAGAATTCAACTTTCCCTTTTGCGTGACAGCGCATTCCTTCAACCATGACAGAACCCGTGAGTAGAAAATATACAATTTAAAAAAGACAGACCCTTGCATGTGCACCAATGCATTAGCGAACCCAGCGTGAATGAGTATATATTTCAGAGATGCTCAATAAAAATTTCATTTATTTGTGCTAATTTTTGTATAGAGGTGGCACTGTGCCCGAATTCCAACGAGGTGCACATTTACGCGCGCAACGGCACACAGTGGACGCAGACACACGTGCTGAAGGAACACTACCTGCTTGTAACAAGCATAGACTGGGCACCGCAGACCAACCGAATTGTAAGCTGCTCGCAGGACAAAAACGCATACGTGTGGACACTGGACACAGCAACATCAGTATGGAAACCAGCACTCGTTCACCTGCGCATCCAGCGCGCTGCAACGCATGCCAGGTGGAGCCCACTGGAGAACAAGTTTGCGGTGGGTAGTGGTGACAAGTGCGTGGCCATTTGCTATTTCGACGAGGAGAATAACTGGTGGCTGAGTAAGCATATCAAGAAGCCCATTGCTAGCACTGTTTTATGCGTTGAATGGCATCCGAACAACGTACTAGTTGCTTGTGGTGGCACGGATATGAAGGCGCGGGTGATTTCGGCTTTCATCAAGGGTGTCGATCAAAAGCCCCCGCCGACTGCCTGGGGTGAGCGTTTGCCGTTCAACACCCTGTGTGGTGAGTTTGAGTCGCCGTCGGGCGGCTGGGTGCATAGTTTGGGATTCTCGCCAGATGGCGAGTCTCTGGCCTTTGCGTCCCACGATTCCAGCATTACTGTGGCATCGCCGGCATCGGGCGAGGTTATTTCGGTGCGTTCGCCCAACCTGCCATTCAAGTCCCTCGTGTGGTCCGACCCAAGCACCATTGTGGTTTCGGGCCATGATTGCTCGCCGATGGTCTATGCGTATGACGGCGCAGCGTGGCGTTTGGTCGCGAAGCTTGGCGAGGACGATCGCAACCGTCGGTCTGCCACTGCGTCTCCCAGTAACAGCAACAGCGCTTTCAACTTGTTCCGCCAGATGGATAGCCGTAGCCAGCCAGCAAAGACTAGCAGCAGCAATGTCATTGGCGATGGGACGCTCAAGTCTGTGCACCAGAACACCATCACTGAGCTCCGTCGTGATCCTGCGGGCAACCCAGTTGAGGTCACTTCCAGCGGATTAGACGGAAAACTCATCCAGTGGAGAGTCCAGGGTTGAAAGTCTTTTTTGTTTTTTATTTTTTCGTTGCAAAGATTTTTTTATCTTTTCGAATTACAAGTATCCCTTTTCTTTTATAATTCATACTTTCACATTTTTTCATATACAAATTTTATCATTATCGGGTTGCCATATATATTTGTTATACATAAAAAAAATATTTTTGCAATATTAATCATTCGTCATCGTTGGACAGTTCGTTGAGCGCCGTCAACGAAATGACATTGCGCGTCGAGATTTTAGCCCGAATATCACTGTCGCTGCTGCTGCTTCCATCACAGCTATCCTTGGGCGGGCTGTCATCAGCCAAAATAGACATCGGGTCTAGCTTGGCAATCGCATCCTCTACATCACTCCTGGCATCCAACTGGTAGCTGTCCGCATGGAAGCGCTTGACAGCAGCAATATCAGTGACCAAGCTCGTGCACTCATACCTGTCGTTCTCCCCACTAATTTTGTCTCCAAAACCCCAGGGATATCCGACTCCGGGCCAACATCGACAAGCGGCCATGGCTGCTGGGCCGAGACCAGCTCAAACCCAAACAGCGAGCTACACGACTGCGAGCTCGACGGATCCAGCCTCTGCATATTAGCAATGCATGTCTGGGCAATACCCTGCTCGAGCGCTGCACATACATCGTCGCCTGTATTGACCGTGACTTCGACACAGATCAGGCTCTTGTTGAGCTTAATAGACGCCGAGAGCGCCATCAGGCCGGCGACGTCAATGGCGGGGTTCTCGGACACGTCCAGGCGCTCAAGACACTGTAGCTCGGGCAAGCACTCGGCCAGGATAATGGCACCTGCCGAAGTCATATTGGTGCCGGACATGAACAGGCCCTTAAGCGTCTGGTTCTGCGTCACTACCTTTGCCAAAACCTCGAGTAGCAACGGCGTTGGGCCGCACGCAGGATTGCGGCTGATGTCCAAGTATACCAGCCCCTTGTTGATGCCTAGGCACTCGACGAACGGCGCCAGAGTCGCCGACTGCAGCTTGTTTTGACGCAGGAGCAGGCTGCGCAGATTGGTGTTCCACAGCAGGCCTTCGGCCAGGTCCATGACGGCGCGCCCCAGGTCATTCTGCGAAAGGTCTAGGGAGCGCAGCCGCGAAACGCGCGGCGACTCTCCCGGGTACCCGCCAAGCATGGGCAACCCTGCCGACCCCAATTCGCCGCCATAGTACTGGGCGTCAGAGAGAGCGTGCAGAGACACGCTGATGGGCCTGCGTGCTGCCACTGCCGCCGCCGCCGCAGCAGCAGTAGCAGCAGCAACCATCGACTGCCTGTTGAGCGTGAGCTGTGGTGGGTCACCGTAGAGCATCTCGCGCAGGATGGGGCCGGCAGTGCCGTTGAGTGAGTTCAGGCGCAGGGACAGGTGCTGCAGCGGGGACAGGCGCACGCCCGAGGCAAGTATGGCCAGGGCGGCGGGCTTGATGCCGCAGCTGTTCATGCGCAGAGCTTGCAGGCTAATCTCCTCGCAGCTGGTTGTCTTTTTGTGCATCGAGCCGCGCGCCATCGACCAGTTCGCGCCCAGCCCGGCTAGCGCCGCAGCCAGGTACCCTGCGCTCTTCTTCCGCACGGCAATGCCCGAGATGTCCAGCAGCTGCAACTGCTTGCTGTGGCGGACCAGAATCGAGATGTACCGGATGCCGTCGCTGCGCAGGCGCGAGTTGTTGGCCAAACTGAGGTAGCGCACGGTGTCGTTGCACAGCAGGCTGTAGGACAGCAGGCGCACGGCGTCGTCGTCGATGCCGCAGTGGCTCAGCTCGAGCTTGGCCAGGCCAAAGTTGAGGTCAAGCATGTCTGCAAAGCACTTCATGTGCGCGCCGTTGAGCTGGCTCCCTGTGAGGTCTAGCGTGCCGAGCGACTGGTCCTTGCGCACATGGCTCAGCAGCGTCTTTTCGACCGATGGGATGGGCACAACATCAAGTGACTTGCACGTGCGCTCGTAGAGCTCCCAGACCTCCTGTGCGCGGTAGTGCCTGTGAGCCAGGGCGTCGACGTCCCATTGGATCAACGAGCGGTTGCATACGGGCGACAGCTCCGAGTCGCCGGACGTGCTTCTCCTGTTTTGGCGGGGGAGTCCTCGGAGTCAACGTCGGCGTTCGCGTCGGCGTCGGCGTCGGGGTCGTTGCGATGGTCTGTTTCCGTGTCCGTCTCGGCGTCAGTATCGGTATCGGTGTCCTCGGCGGCATACAAGCTGCTCGAGTCAGAGTCAAACTCGGTGACGATGATGGGCATGGAGAAGCGAATGCGCTTGAGCTTTGATGGGTCGAGCTCGAGCGAAAAGTTTGTCCAAAACTCAGTTGACTTTATGCGCTCCTGGCTGAGCGGCGGCACGAAGTTGGTCGAGCGCTCAAAGTCTAGGCTTGGTGCAGTCCTGCTGGGCAGCATTGCGGAGTCTTCGTCAGGATTTCCATCGGCATTGCCGCTGCTGCTTCTTCCGGTGGTGCTGAGCCGCGATGATGTGTTGGCGGCAGGGATTCCGGCGTCGTGGGCAAATGTGGGGTACTCTGGAATGTCGTATTTGGAGGCAGGCAAGATGGCCTCGCTGAACCATTTTTTAGCGCCGGGCCACACGACCACCTCGACGCAGTGGTGGCGTCGTCGTTGTCCTTGGGCATCTTCAAAATGCCCTTGTCCGGGAACCGCAGGCCGTCTGTGGAGATGCCCAACTCGCTGGCAGTCGGCGATTCCGCAAGCTCGTCTGCAGCAATGGTGGCGGTGGCGGTGGCGGTGGTAGCAGTAGTGGTGGCGTATTTGGCGGGCTGGAGCCGGCGGTCGCTTCGGGGAAGAGCGGGGCCAGTTGCATAGTGGCCACGTCGGGAATGAGCGGCATGTGTTTTTTAAGCGGAGTGAACGGGTCTGTGGGGGTTTCATCCATGTTTGTGTTTGAAAGCGAGTATGGGGGTGTCGAAGAGCATGCTTTGGGTGAATGTTGGTGGCGAGGAGGGGTCAGAGTGCAGGTGAGGCCGGCCATCAGCTCTGCAGGGAGCATGATCTCCTCAGCTGTTGTGGCACTGGCCTTTCGCGCGTGGCGTCTGTTGGGGCGAGCCATGGTTGTGAATAGATTATCTGTGTGGATGCGGGTAATGTAAATAATTTAGAGGGAATTAAATGAATTATAGGTGGCAGGAAAGCCTGAATGCGAGGGTGTTAAATAGAGCAAGCAAATAACAGGTAGAATGAGAGAAACAAAATTAAATGATGATAATAGCAGATAGCAGCGCAGAATTAAATAATAGAAAAATACAAAGAGAAAATATTAAAATATGAATAACCAAAGTAAAAAAGGGAAAAGGGAAAATGGAAAGGGAAATGGAAAACGCGTGCAGGACTTGCGCATACGAAGTCGTCTGCGCGAATGTGGGGACAAGCGATTTTTTTTTTAAATTTTCTTTCGGGTGTTTGGGGTGGGCAGAGTTGGGCTGGGGGATGAGAAGAAAAGGGAAGGGAAAGTCTGAAAAACTGAAAAGCAGGAAAGACTGTGCCACCCACTGTGATCGAAATTAGTAACAGATTGATCAATCTTTTGCTGGTCGACGCTTTTCCATTTGGTTTTTTTTTCTTTTTCTTAAAGCTAATTCGAAATCAGCTATTTATTTATTTATTTGTTGTTGTAAATGTTGTGAGCAGGCGAGGATTTGCAGCGGCGACATTGGGATATTTGGACATTAAATGAGCGCAACAAACGAACACAGCAGCGGCAGCAGCGGCAGCGATGAGGATTGGAATGGAGACAGAGACAGAGACAAGAAGAACAGAGTCAGAACAGAGACAGAGACAGAGACAGAGACAGAGACAGAGACAGAGTCAGAGTCAGAGTCAGAGACAGAGACAGAGACAGAGACGGCGACAGAGACAGAGATGGCGACTTTGCAGTGGCTCTGGGCGAGGTCCTCCGGGGCTACCCGGGACTGCTGAGCAGGCGCGTCGAGGAGGTAGCGCGGGCACTGACGCAGGCGACGCTGGCAGCATCCTCGTGTCTGCGCAGTACGCCAGCGCCACCTCATCGACGCTGCAGCGCGTGCGGCTCGGGGTGGCGGCAACCACAGCGTCCTCGGCAGCCTCAGAGGCCTCAGCGCTGGCAGCAGCATCGTCAAGCGTGCACTCAAGTGCAGCAGCGGCGGGTGGCGACACCAGCGGCGAATCCACGGCGCAGCGGCAGCAGCATATGGCGTCTCGGCGGCGGTGGTTTACGGCAACGCACGTGCAGCAGATGCGCGTGGCTGGCGTTGAGTTCAAAAAGGGGAAATTCACAGATGCCGAGAATGCGGCCATCGAGGCGGCGGTGGTGGCGTTCTCGGCGATGCACGGCGTTGGGCGGCCGGAGATGTACCGGCAGCTGTTCGCCAAGGTCGATGAGCCGGGCGGCAGGCGGCTGCGGCGCGAGTTCTGGCCGGTGCTGGCCGAGGCGCTGCCGCTGCGGCAGGTGCAGGCAATCTACCATCACGTGCGGCGGCGGTTCCACCCGCACAACTACCAGGGCGCGTGGACGGCAGCTGAGGATGAGCGGCTGCGGCGGCTGGTCGCCGAGCACGGGCCGGCGTGGGAGGCCGTTGGCGGGCAGATGGGCCGCATGGGCACGAACTGCCGCGACCGGTGGCGGTACATGCAGGGCAGGGCGGGGGGAGAGCTGAACTTGGGGGCGGGTGAGGAGGGCTGAGGAAGGCTGGGCTGGAGGATTGAAAAGCGCTGGAGGCGGGGCGGAGGCGGATGTGAGGCTGAGGGCAGGCAGCAGTAGCAGGCCTGCCGCTGGTTGGCCCCTGTTTTTTGTTGATTTTTCTGCTATCGCTTTTTCCATTTTTGGGCGAGGGGGGGGGGAGCATGCGACCGGGCTGGGCGCGCATTTGACTTGGCTGTGAGCATATGAGCGTAAATGGAAAGAAGCAAGGGAAGGCGCGATGCACGCATCTGGCATCTTGGGAAGCTGCAAGCTGCAAGTGCAGCCTTTGCTCAATCCCCCTTTCGGCCTTTGTTGTGGTTTTTTTTGCCTTTCTTTTCCTCATTCTCTCCCCCGTTTACTCGCCCAGCTCTCCATGTAACTCTTTGTACTTTATATTGCATTAAGCCATCACACCATCACACCATCATACAATTATCCACTATTCAAAGTCATCAAACACGGTATTGGGACCGGGCCACAACAAAAAAACGAAGCATCACAGCCGCGTCCTTGTCGCATACACAGTTTCTTTTCCTCCATTTTTCCACGATATTCTGCATCAGCATAGCCACCCAGCGCATATCAATGGCCTCTGCCGAGACGCTGCTCAACACCATCCCCGAGCTGGGAGAGAGCTTCCCGTGCTGCAGCATCAGCAAGCCGCACCACAAGAAAACATCGCTGGCCGGCAGCGGCCGCACGCTCAGCAGCGTCAGTAGCATTACAGTGTGCGATGAGCCAGCGGCAGACAGCGGCGTGTGGTGGCTGGCGTCGGACAGCGAGCATGCACACACAGCCTGCCCGCTACGGCCGTTTGCGCACATGGTCGTAGGGCTGCCGCAGCAGCAGGACCAGCAGCAGCAGCAGCAGCACAAGCAGCAATACCAGCAGCACTACCAGCAGCAGGACCAGCAGCATACCAGCAGCAATACCAGCACCTCCAGCACCACCAGCACCAAAACCAGCTCCAGTCCAACCCAGCCCAGCACCAAACCAGCTCCAGCTCCATCACCACAACCACCTCCACCAGGGCGCAGCCGGTGGCGACGACACGGCCGTGGGCGAGCGCATCCCGCCGGCAACGCTGGCATCGGCAGCCATCGAGCACATGTCAGACGCGCTGCGCCGCAAGCTGCACGGCGCGCGCACCGACGGGACCGTCGGCGACCTGCTGCACTTTGAGCCGGCGCGCGGCCGCTCGGGCAGCCTGGGGCTGTGGGGCGTGCTGGGCTGGCTGGTCGGCTCGCCGGCGGCATCGGCGGCAATGGCAGAGCCCGCGCCACGGCGGCTGTTCCGCCGCCGGCCGGTCGCGCGGCGCGCCGAGGACGACCCGCTGCTGGTGGGCAACGAGGGCCTGGGCGCCGTCGACATCGGCGCCGTGCGCGCGACCGGCGGCGGCGGCATCGGCGCAGGCTGCGTGCTGGCCGTGTGCGCGCACGCCATGTCGCCGGGCGTGCAGGCCGAGTGGGAGGCGTGGCGCCGCGACCACCACGGCGTGCTGACGCCCGGCGGCCGACGACTGGCCGTGGTGCACGTGGCCGAGGTCTCGACGCTGCACCGCGTGGGGCTGTGCGGCATCGACGCGCTGGTGCCGCCGCCGCTGGCGCCGGCCGAGCTGCAGCGCGGCTTCGAGCAGCTGCGCGAGCGCGCCGGGCTGGCGCACCGCGGCGCCGTGCCGCGCATCGAGCCGGTGCCGCGCGGCGACCTGGCGCTGAGCACGGCCGGCGGCGCGCTGCGGTGGCTGGCGCTGCTGGTGTCGCGCCACGGGCTGGTCGAGATGGCGCACCCGCTGGCGCGCACGGCGCTGCAGACCGGCGACAAGGCCGGCGTCAGCGTGGCGCTGGGCGCGTGGCTCGGCGAGTCGCTGTTTGCGCGCATCCACCCAGAGGACGTCGTGCGCGTCGTGCGCGCGCTGCGGCTCGTGTGGGACGCGCGGCCCGACGCCTACCACTACGCGCGGCTGCGGCGCCAGTGGCAGCGCGCCGCCGACGTGCTGCTGCCGCCGCCGGTGCTGCGCCAGGTGCTGCGCGCCGACGGCATCGAGGTGGCCAACGGCGTGGCGGAGCTCAACGTGCAGGTGCGGCTCGGCGGCTCGGCCGACCTCGACTGGGCCGACGCCGAGGCGTGCGCGGCGCATACGCGCTTTGCCCGCGTCAAGCTGGCGCGGTGGCCGCTGGTGCTGCGCCCGCCGCGCAGCTCGGCCGCCGGCGAGCCGCAGGACGGCTTTGTGCTCGTGGCCATGCGGCCGCTGCCCGAGCCCAGCGGCGCGCGCGCGGCGGCGGCGGCCGCCGGAATCACCCGCTTTGAGCAGGGCGCGGCCGAGCTGGGCCGCAGCCTCAGCGGGCTGTCGCTGGCCGCCGCCGAGGAAGGCGCCGCCCGCGCCCCGGCCCCATCGCGATCCACCCCCAGCCGCGGCCGCAGCCGCAGCCGCAGCGCCGCCGCCGGTCCAACATCGCCGTCGGGTCGATGCGCGCCGACGCCGAGTGCTCGCTGTTCGGCACGCCGCGCGAGATGGACTAGAAGCGAGGGGCGGCCTTTTTCGGCCTGCAGTTTATTTGTTTTTCGCAATGCTAATCTAATCTAATCCAATCTGCACGGTCAGCCGTAGTACCGCGGCTCCTTGAACACGTGGTAGAAGTGCCCGCGCACGCCCTCGCCGCGGAACATGGCCGGGAAGCGCAGCTCGGGCGCGTACGCCGACTCGCTGACGCGCGCGTAGCTGGGCGCCCAGGCTGGCGCGGCGCCGCCTTGCGGCAGCGGCGGCACGACGAACTTGGCCACCTGGATCTCGGTGTCCGTGATGGTGCCGCGCGACACGCGCGCGTAGCCCGTGCGCTTGAGCCCGCGGAAGCCAATGTACTGGCACCAGCGGTCGTCGTCGGTCGGGTCGACGTCGTGGATGTGGCCCTGCTCGTACAGAATGCGGTAGTTCTCGGCGTGCGGGCTGGTGACCACGTAGCCGGCGAAAACCACCGGGTTGGGCGACTCGCGCATGATGCGTGCCAGCTCGGTGGTCTGCAGCCGGCGGTCCAGCGCGTTCTCCTCCTGGCCGTTGTGCGACACGACGACGTCGACCGGCCGCCCGTACACGTCCAGCGTCGCGTGGATGGCGCACGCCAGCTCGCCGTCGGGCGACGGCAGCAGGTGGTGCGTCGACTTGACGATGCGGAACTTGGACATCATCGCACACCCCCACGTGTGCTTGCGCGGCGCCGGCCCGTAGTCCACGTAGAAGCCCAGCTGCTCGCTGACGCGCTGCGTCCAGTCGCGCCCGCCCATGATGATGCGCTCGGTGTCCGACTCGAGGAACCCCATAACGTCCACCTGCAGGTCGCGCACGGCCGCGAGAATGCGGTCGGACGCCAGCCACATGTCGTTGTCCAGGTCGAAGTGCACGGTCCAGATGCCCACGGTCAGCGCCCGCTGCTCGGCGGCATGCGGCACCGGCGCCTGCGTGGCCGCCGGCAGCCGCCACGCCATGGCCAGCGCGCCGGCGCCGACGCACGCCAGGAGCGCGCGCCGGTGCCGCCTGCGGTCTGCCCCGAACACCGCGGACGCGGACGCCGCCGGCGCCGGCGCCCCGGCGGCAGCTGCGCGCGCGCCCGCCAGCAGCGCCAGCATCATCGCGGCCATCACCGCCCACGTGCGCTCGCGCAGCAGCGGGCCGCCCGGCACAAACTCGTACGCGACCACCCAGACGTGGCCCAGCACCAGCGCGTTGTACCACAGCAGCGCCACGGCGAACGTGCGGCCGGCCGGGCACCGCGCCTGCACCCGCAGCACGGCGCGGCTGACGGACGCCACATACACGGCCAGCAGCAGCCCGCCGCAGAACCCGGCCCAGCCGTCGCACAGCGTCACGGCCGCGGCGCCACAGCTGCCCAGCGCCCACCACAGCAGGCTGGTGGTCAGCCGCGCCCGGTGGCCGAGCGCGAACCCGCAGCCCAGCGCGCCGATGACGAGCGCACCCCAGGGCACCGGCGCCGGGCCCGTGTGCGGGTACCCGGCCCATGCCCAGCGCGGGACGATGGCCGAGTCCGAGAACAGCGAGTGCAGGGCGAACAGCAGGGCGCCCAGCCCCAGCGCTGCCGGCACCCAGGCGGCGCGCACGCGGCCGGCGGCCACTCGCAGGTCGCCCTTCTTGGCCGCCGCAGCCTCGGCCGCGCTGTCCGGCCGGCGCGTGGCGACGTCGGCGACGGCCAGCAGCCCCAGGACCAGCGCCGTGCGGTTCCACCCGCCGTTCAGCGCGTTCATCGTGGCCCACGCCGGGTTGCTCGTCTGGAACCACATGCGCACGGCGACGCTGGCCACCAGCCCGGCCTCCCACGCCATCGCCGCACGCTCCATGCGCCCGGTCGGCACCGCGTCCTCGTGCAGCGCCGCCGCCCACCAAAGCGTCACCCCCGCCGTGCCCACTGCCACCGCCAGCAGCCGCCATGCGGGGCTGCTCAGGGCGTACGCGAAGATGCCCGAGAGCCCCAAAAGCGCTGCCACCCAGCGGTGTCGCCGCAGCAGCCCATGAATGCACCCAAGGCCTAGATGGCTGGCGCCATGTCGGAGAACAGCGCCGCTTCGTAGCCGGAGATGCCCATGTGCCAGAGCGGGAAGTACCAGATGCACATGCCTAGCGAAGTCAGCACCGTCCAGAACACGAACCCCAGGTACGTGTCGGCTAGAAAGTGCCGCGTGGCCGATGACACCGAAAGCTTTGCCATTTTTGCTTGAGTGGATAGCTTGATAGCTTGATAGCCTGATAGCTTGGTAGCTTGGTAGCTTGGCAGCTTGATGGCCTGATAGCTTGGTAGCTTGGTAGCCTAATAGTTGATAGCCCGATAGCCCGATGCCTGATTGCCTGATTGCTTTGCACTCCTTCCTCACTCGAAACTAAACTAAATAAAAAATGCTCTGTCACTGATGCCTGGACCGGACCGGACGGGACCACTTGACTAACTGTAGATCCTGAATGTAAGGGGTTTTACGCGATATTGCGGATCGTACAAGGAAAAAATAAATAGTAAACAAGAAAGGCCCAAATATATTACTAATAAAATTGAAAGAAAATATAAAATGAAAAGCGGACAAGGAAAAATAAAATAAAAAACTTTTCTATTTGTTCTCCGCCAATCAACCCAAAAAATAAATTATAAAAACAAATTATACGCAGGGTTTGCATTGCGTTAAGTTGTGTAGTGTAGTGTCGTGTTTTTTTTCTTCTTCAGAGATGTTTCTAATACAGGCAAGTGCGGTGTTTTTTTTTCCACCGCCCTTGTTTCTCACCCTTATTCTATGCATCAAATGTCCGCATGCCACAAACGGGTACTTGCGTTGAATCACTTGCATACCGGGGTGTGGAAAATCAAATAAATCAAATAAAAGGGTGATGTTGTTACAAAATAAGGGGCGCAAAACTTTTTTTATCTACTACTACTCCAGCCACGCGTACTTTGTTCTACCTGCCCATTCCTTCCCCCGCATTACAGTATAGAGGTAGGGTTTGTCTCAGCTGGCCCCCTCCCTTCTTCATCTCCTCCACAAGCACACTGTTAAAGCCTGCCGGGTTCTCCATATGCAGATTATGCCCAGCCTCGGCCACGCGGTGCACACTGCCGGCCACGCGCCCGCCAATGCGCTTCAATACATCCTCGCCGCCCGTATAGTCGACCCAATCCCTCATGCCATACATGAATACTGTCGGCACCTTGATCTGATCCGCAAATCTCTGCACCAGCGGCTTGCGAGCAAACGCCCCAGGCTTCAAAATATCCCCGAGCGCAGTCTCCGAGCTTCCGCGGAGCACCGAAATCTGATGCGCATAAGCCGCCAGGTCCACGCGCTGCTCGTTGTTGAGCCAGGTGAACCGCCCAATGTACCAGTTGATGATGCGTTGGCCGAAGGGCCCAGCCAAGCGCACCACCCACTGCGGCGTGTAGTTGCTGTCCCACAGCCGCGTTGCCAGCCGAACATCAATACGAACATCATCCCGGGCTCCTTCGCCTCCTTCGCCTGCTGCTCAAGCTGTGCGTCTGACGGCGACGGCGCGCGCTGATTACGCACGGGCCCACGCCCCTCCTAACCACCTCATCGTAGCCTGCTGGCGGCTCCGGAACGCCAATAGGCGAGATCAGAATGAGCTTCTCGACGCGCTCCGGGTACTTCATCGCATACAGGGCGCTCATGTAGCCGCCGAAACTGTGCCCCACAGGGTCATGGTCTCCAGCCCATCCGCTTGCGCCACTCCTCGAGCGACTCACAAAGAACCGCTCGGCGCAAGCCACCCGCTGATCCTCCGACCCTGAGCGCTCCCCGAGATACTCTGGCCTTGAGCTGCGGCCCATCCCAAGCCAGTCGATCGAGTAGACATCCCAGTTATCGACCTTGCTGAGCTCCGCGTAGTTGCGGAAAAAGAACCCCAGTCCGGTAAAGTACCCGTGCGTGATCACCAGATTATTGTTCGCCACATTTCCCAGCTGCTTCTTCTTGATCGCCAGTGTGTGGATGTAGTTGCCGGAGGAGTCGATTTCTACGTCTAGAAGCTGGCCCGGGATCTTGCCCGAGGCTATTTCTTGGGGCTCGCTGTCTGCGCCGGTTATTTCAATGCCGCCCTGCGAGAGGAGTTTGATTTCCGCTGCGTGCTCAAGCTTGCTCTCGATGGTTTTGCCCCAGAACCGGAGCATTGATGCATAGGATTTGCTCTGCTTCAAGGGACTCCATGCGGGTTTCTGCTCGTCGCTCGTTTCCGTCTTTACTGTTGGTGCGGCGGTGGATGGAGAGCGGGATAGGAGAGGGGGTTTCTGGAGGACTGGTGTCACTGCGTTTGCTGCTTCGCTGGTCATTCTGCTGATTATTATTGTTGTTATTGTTGTTGTTGATATTGTTGTTGTTATTGTTCCCGGACTGACGATATTGTTGTAGGCGCGGGTGATAATGGAAGCAGTAGTGGTGGCGGTGGTCTTGTATTGTAGCCTGAGTGGCTGTAAAAGAAGTAGCAGGATGAATATAACACTGTTAAGCATGCATTATAGCAGTAAAAGTTGGAAGAAAGAGAATAATAAAGTAAGCAAGCTGAGGATGATAGTAAAAAATTTTAATTGTCTAGGCCCCTTTACTTGGAGAGGGCGGCTACATCCATCATCTTAAATATTGAAGCGGCAAGGCATCAAAAAAATGCCAAGAAATTCAAATACAGAAGAAAAAAAGGGGTGCTATTTCAAAGGGCAACAGCAAAAAAAAAAAAACTGCACGCTAATTTTTTTTTGCTGTTTTTTTTAGTAAGAGAAAATTTGTAATATAATCCCAAGAATCTCCTACATCTATCCGCCCTTCCCTCCCCCCTCCTCTCTTGTGACTGCAAAGCGGAGCCTCATCGGCGAATACACATTCCGATATTTGGAAAATAACACAAAACAATATTTACTATCCTTAAACTTTTTATAATCAATTTGTTGGGAATGGAGGGGGAGGGGATATACCAGGTCCGCTGGGTCTCTGCATTAAAAAACAATTAAAATTTATTTAACAATATGTTCCAAGGCCAGAACAGTAGCGACGATTCATCTTTTTAAATCGATTCTGGCAGAAATTACAGTAAAAACACTGCACCTCAAAAACCTAAATATATAAGAAAAAGAAAAGAAAACCCAGGGATGAGTATGGTTTCTCTCGCCTATTGTCATTTCAAAACCGGTGTTTTTACTATACAAAGAAAATGCAAGTAAAAAAATACAACTAATAAACAACCTGATTATTTTCAAAATTAATAGAAATTTATATTAAGGGCATTAGACATTTCATCAATACACCTCTGTTTAAATTGCACAGATATATGTATATTCATCTAGAACATCATATCCAAGGTGTCGGGCCCGCATCTCCACAACATTTATTCTCTTTTTGACACATTGGCCTCATGCTTTCATCCCCATTTTTCAGTCTCCACTAAAAAAAAAACAAGAGATGAAAACATGTTCTGGGTTTACACATGCGATGAATAGAAGATTGTACCATCAAGGTCCGATGAAGGCGATTTCTCGCACAATTAAACCTTCATTGTTTGTTTTTTCTTCAGAAAAAAAGAGAGATTTACAATTGTAAATTGCTCAGTTCATCCACGCGCTCACCTCATTTCCCTCTCTCTCCCACCCACCTCCCTTTTTTCTTACCTTCCCATCTCCACTCACTCTCTTGCATTATTTGCACTATTTCTTTTTTAAACTTTTGCACGAAAAAAGGACAAAAAATAAAAAGAAGACTATTTGCATTTATTCCTGTTACTATTCCCTTTCGTCTAGCATCGGTTTTAGCATCTTTCAATACATCCTCATAATAGATATTTTTTATTTTATTCTAATAGTAATAGTCATGTCTACAACCAGTAGCGAACACATCTTCTACAACCAAGAGCAGGTTGCTCGCATCTACGACCTCGAAACAACAACCTCCCAGCTCCGCGAGACCATCCGCCGCTCACAAAAAACCACTGAGCGCTTAGAAAAAGAGCACCAACACACACTCGATGAGTTCGAAATCCTCAACAAGACGCACAGCCGCCTCGAGGCGCAGTTCTTCGCTGGCGAATCAGAATTAGCTGCCATGCGCACAAAGCTCGACCGCTCACAACGCACAGCGGCGGCGCTGGAAAAAAACCTCGACACAAAGACCAAGGCCCTAGAGAAGGAGCGCGAGGGCTGGCAGCGGCGCGAGACAGAGCTTGCCGGGGAGCTGGCGGCTGCCAAGCGCAGGGCCTCGGGCCACCAGCAGAGGAGGCAGACAGTGTCGGCTGCGCAGCCGCCACCAGTGCCCTCGCATTCGCGATCCCTCTCCATGTACGCCCATGATATGCCTGACCTCAACATGTCGTCGCCGCTGACGGCCGCTCGCACCCTGGCTCGCGAAAACTCCATTGCCGCCGCTGCCGCTGCCGCCACCACTGCTGCTGCATTGGGCGGCTCGGGCGAGAACCAGCCGGATCAGACAGAGCAGCTGCAGATGCAGGTACGGCTGTTGACGCGCAAGGTGCGGGAGGCCGAGAGCCGCGCGCTCCTAGCGTCGGACCAGGCCGCAGGCATGCACATGGAGGTGCAGCAGGCATTGGCGCACGTCGAAGTCGTCCAGCGCAAGGCTGAGGGCCTGGAGCACACGGTCAAGCAGCTGAGCGAGCTGAACGAGTCCCTGCGCGAGGACAACGAGTCCTACCAGGTGCTCCTGCAGATGAGCACGATGAAGGGCGGGTTCTCGTTCAATAACGCGCGGCCCAGCCTGGAGAGCCGCGCGAGCAGCAATAATACTGCTGGCAGATCCGCCGGATCTTCGCCCAACGCTGGCAAGGCAGCGGAGCTCGACAGCAGCTATATCTCAGATGAACTTCCCCTGGCCACCTCCGGAAACGGCCTTGACCTCGCCTCCGAGCTTGACCAGGCGCTGGACCTGGACAGCAACAACGGCGAAAACAACTGCGGTGGCTCCCGCAGCATCTATGCGCGCGTGTCGGAGTTGGAGGAGCAGAACACGCAGCTGAAGGAGGACCTGCGCAAAACCAAGTATGAGCGCCGCCATCTCAGCGAGGAAAACAAGGCGCTCTCGCTGTACGTCAACAAAATTCTCGGCCGCATCCTCACGAGCTCCGATGGCCTGGAGGCCGTGCTGTCGCGCGACTACGATGCCAAGCAGAGGCCCCTGACCACATTCGCCTCTGTGGCACCAGCTTGCTTGACCCCGCCACCACCACCAGTCAACCACATCACGCACCCAACGATGTTCTCCTCGATGCCCACCCGCACATCGACATCGTCGCGGCCGTCCATGAGTACTGCCACTTTTGCCGAGCCTGGCTCTGGCGATGGCATCACCAGTGTGTTTATTCCGCCAATTCCCCAAACACCCTGCGCGCCAACCCGCTACACACATCGTCCATGCCGCGCCCGCAGTCGCCGCCAATGCATACTCGCCGCACGCGCTCGGCCACGGTTGCCGTAGGCATGGGCGACGGCCGCCAAGTCAGCTCCGTATCACCGACAAACAAGCCTGCTGCTGCCACTATCAGTGCCGGCGGCAGCAACGGCGTGGCGCTGGTGCCTGGTGGAAACGCATGAGCGTCCTTCGTCTGGGCAGTGCATGGTCGCCGTCCGACGAGTCACACGCTGAGTAATCCACCCTCTTCCTGCATCCATTTTTAGCCTGATTTTAATTACGTATTTTATTTAAAAAAATTAAAACTAATATGATCTTTATCACCCGTTGTTACTATTATTGCGGCCTGCTTGTCACTGGCGCTTTTGACCTGATGTTGTTGTTTACATTTTATGCGTGTATTTTTCAGAGTAAAAAAATTAAAAAAAACTAGCTGCTTCTGCACGGAGGGGTGTAGCGACAAAGAAAAAATTATCTAGAACTTGAGCGCCTTGGGCTTCTCCCAGGTGAAGATGTCGCGGCCAAAGTGACCGTAGCACGCGGTCTTCAGGTAGATAGGCTGGAACAGATCGAGCTCCTTGGCAATGGCTCCGGGACGCAGATCAAAGTTCTTGCGGATAATGGCAACGAGCTCAGCATCAGTCTTGGAGCTAGTGCCGTAGGTGTCGACGTAGACGGACAGGGGCTCGGCAACACCGATGGCGTACGAGAACTGGACAGTGACACGGCGGGCAAGCTTGGCAGCGACCAACGACTTGGCAACGTAGCGGGCGGCGTAGGCAGCCGAGCGATCAACCTTGGTGTAGTCCTTGCCGCTGAAGCAGCCTCCACCGTGGTGACCGCCACCGTATGTATCGACGATGATCTTGCGGCCAGTCAGACCGGCGTCACCCTGGGGACCACCGATGATGAAGCGGCCCGAGGGCTGCAAGTGGTAGATGGTGCGCTCGTCCATGAGGTGAGCGGGGATGACGTGGTTGACAACCTTCTCGCGCAGCTCGCGGCGGAGGGTCTCGTTATCGACCTCGGGGGCGTGCTGCACCGAGACGACGACGGTGTCCACGCGCACGGGGACCAGGGCGCCGTTGTCCTTGCGGTATTCAATGGTGACCTGGGTCTTAGAGTCGGGGCGCAGCCACGAGAGCTCGCCCGAACGCCGGAGGTCGGCCATCCGCTGGTTCAGCTTGTGCGACAGGACGAGGGTGATGGGCATGTACTCAGGGGTCTCGTCCGAGGCATAGCCGAACATGATACCCTGGTCACCGGCACCGACGTTCTCGAGAGCGTCACCGTTCTGCACAAGGCCCTGGTAGATATCGGGGGACTGCTGCTCGATGGCAACCAGCACATTGCAGGTCTTGTAGTCAAAGCCCTTGTCGGAGCTGTCGTAGCCGATATCCTTGATGGTGTTGCGGATGATCTTCTGGTAGTCCAGGACGGCCTTGGTGGTAATCTCACCGAAAACCATGATCATACCGGTCTTGGCCGCCGTCTCGCAAGCAACCTTGGAGTACGGGTCCTGGGACAGGCACGCATCGAGGATGGCGTCGGAAATCTGGTCGCAGATCTTGTCGGGGTGGCCCTCACCGACAGACTCGGATGTGAAAAGGAAGGTCTCGCCGTCAGAGCTCATTATTGAGTGTTACAAATGTGTTAGTTTAATTAGGATAACCGAGTGGTCAAGAAGGACGTGTGCCGTAAATAATTTTAGAGAAAAATGGACAAGAGAAAGAGAAAGAAAGAGAAAAGAGTTTTGGTAACAAAAGTTAAAGAAAAGAGGTTCTGGACAGAGGGTGGCGAGCGGCGAGTGTCAGGGGTTTTTATATCCGCGCGGCTGTTCCTAGCTCCTCTCCGTCCAAACGGTGGGATGAAAAAATTACTGCTATTTTCTCTTGCTAACAGTCATTTTTTTTGTTGACTGTTGGGCGGCGCGCATTTTTCTTAAGGAGGGGCTCAGCAAAATCAACAAAAAATTTGTGTTGTCTTGGCCATTTTACTGGTAAACTTGAGTTTTCATTTCTAATTTTTACGCGTTCTCTGCATTGCTCACACCCATGTTCTCTTCGCATAATCGCTTGTTGGGGGAGAAAGAGTGCAAGATGAAGAGAAAAAGTCGATATTTTTGTGGGCACAGCCGATAACGCCACGAAGAATCACTCCTGACCAATCATTTTATGCCCAATGCGGAAAGGTACCAGCAGGATTTACCACAATAAAATTCTGTGGGGTGTGAGCATTCGGACTGAATCCCGCTCGCCCCAAACGGGTTATTACCAGCAGTGTTTTTTGTTAACCGTGGGAGCGTGCTGTGCGTTGGTTCAAGTTCACAGTGACTCAAAAAATTTACTTTTGTGTGTGTTTGGCATTGGTCTCGTTATCTTGAGTATTTTTAACCTTGCCCTTGGCGCACATAAGCGATATTGCGCCCTGCTACATTTTTGACAACAAGGATGAGAAGACACCAGGATACAAGCTGCAGGTGCTTGCCGCTTAGGCACATGTGCATTGATAATACCACGAAAAAGACATGGTGATTCTTATTTTTCTGTCTCCGTCTCCGTTTCCTCTTCTTCACACAGAATAGCTTGAAAAAAATAATAAGAAAAGTCCGCAAAGGTCAGTGAATCTCGCATTTCTGTGTGCGTTTCTGAAATCGATAAAGCCCCAATGGTATACTGAGCGGGCAAACATTTTTTTCACAAGCGCTTGCAGCAATCACTCGGGATCAGCGGCCTCATGCGCAGACAAAGGCGTCCTTGCTATCTGTTATTATCAAGTGCCGAGATGCGTGACTGGCAGTGAGACAAAATCCCCTGATAATAACGCAATTTTTATCCTTCTAACGGGTTTCAAGGATAAAGTAACACCGCAAGCAGCGCGCTAACGCACTAAATTTAGTGTAAAATAATTTCTCCTTTGAATAGCTTATTCTCCACAACGATGAAAATGCTATCGCCGAAAAGGGGGTGAACGTAGTTAAAATTGGTCTGCTTGCGAGCGTTCAATTTTTTCTTGCATTCAGCCAAAAAAAATTACTTGCAGGGGGTATAGGAAAAAAAGACACCGTCCCAAAAACCCAGTCAATCTTCAAATCCGCGCTCAAAATTTTCTTTAGCAAATAGTGCGTCCATATGGTATCAAGAAACAGCATGGGCCATTGTGCAGACTGCTTGCTTTTTTTGGTTTCTGGGATGGAGCCGTCCAGCTCATTACGGCTCGCTGCTACTTCCAAGCCGACTCGCGAAATCACAAAATTCGATAATAATCAAATTAATTTCCTTGATCTGGCAAGCGAATATGTCCGTTACAGCAGGCAGATCTGATAAAACGCAAAGTGACGCGCGAGCGAGTGATTGTCAGGTATACAAAATTAGGAAACTACTTTTTGGCGGAGAAAACGTTGGATTTGGCCTAGAGGAAAAACACCACTGCTCTGGATCTCCGATAACCATACTTTTTTGGAGAGACTTTTAAAGTATCTGCACTAGATATGAGCTTTTTCTTTAGATAGCCGACATATACTCACTATATCTGTTTGCTCGACAATGCTCGGAGCCAGTATATGGCGCGCATTATTGCTGTCGCATCACATAAATTGCCCCGTCTGCTCATTTAGCTAATTGTCCATTACACACCGTATTGTTTTGTTCTTCTGTTTTGCTTATCTTTTTCAGCCTTGAGGCGCAACGTATGCTACTGCATACGTTTCTTTGGACAATACACCAGCACACATGATCAAGATATAAAATAAAATAAAACAAAACTTAGAGTATATATGTGTACAGCGTGTATCTGAGTATCCGGCCGGGTGCACTATGACGTATTTTGCTAATTTGCTAAAGCAGCTTAATTGCAATTGTATAGAAGATTAGCAACATAAAACAAAACCCGACGTCTAGGGATTTTCTTTAGTTTTTTGATTGCCCAATACCACATAGACCGGCGATCACCATCTAGCGTAATTTAATAGTGAAATTTTTGCATCAGCAGGTTTTACTTTGTCTTTTTCTTGAGGAAAATTGACAAATTATTATTCGTGTCGACTGGGTATACGGATCGGTGGATAATCGGAATGCAAAGTTCTATTACTTTGCGAAAATATATATTGAGGAACCACTCGCCCGTGCACATGGTATTTGAATGTGGGGAGACATTGCCAAAAGCACTGCCGATTGACAGGCAGAAAATCTCTGGCGAGCCCACACCACCCGATCCCTACTTTTTTGTATACTACAAAGTTGCGTGCGTGCGACAATGAAAAAATCGACTGTCCTAAAAAAACTACACTCTCCCACCCAGTTTTCTTTATAATCCAAAGGTATTTCTCTCCCCCTCTCTGTTTCCTTCATTGCCGCACTTTATCTTACATATTTTATTGTATTTCCGCTTTGCAATATTTCCGCCAACACCTTTATTTTAAGCATTCGTTTTCCACATACCCACTCTTTAATGGACCAGGCCATCGCCGCTGGTCGTACGGCGCCACAGCTAGACTCAACCCAGGAATTGCAATTCCCAGCACCACCGCGCTCTGTGTACCAGAACCCTAGCAGAAATGCGGACAGCAGCATTCCCAGCTTCAACGCCACGAGCTCCACAGACAATGAAGAGAAGGACAAATTTATGAGCGCAGATATTAGCGAGACAGGGGTTCCGCACAATGATTCGCGCAACTCGCCCTTAAACAAACCCTTGCTGCTGTCTGCCATGGTGGCTGCTCTTTCGTCAATCAACTACGGCTGGGTCATTGGCAGCGTCAACATTCCATCACAGGTCATTGAAAAATGCTCTGGCGGCCCCGAGACATGGAGCAACGGGTTCCCGAGCTGCATACCCATGAGCAGCACGCTCTGGGGTCTGGTTGTTGGTCTCACAGCGCTGGGCGCGTGGGCTGGCTCCATGTTCTCTGGTCAGATTGCTGACAGATTTGGGCGCAAGCGCACACTGATGTTCAATAACGTGTTTTTTGTCGCCGGCGCACTGCTGACATGCACGGCCACATCTATCGCCCAATTGGCTATCGGACGGTTTGTCTCTGGAATTGGATGCGGCGTGGCCGCAAACTTGGTCTCCACGTACAACAGCGAGGTCGCTACCACCAGGACGCGCGGTTTCCTCGGCGGCTTCCAGCAACTTATGATTCTCATTGGCCTGTTCCTTTCCCAGATCGTGTCCATTGGCTTGTCGACAGCACCGCTATGGCGCATTCTGTTCTCGATCAGCGCGGTGCTGGCCATTGTGCAGACAGGCCTGTTATTTTTCATCCCAGAGTCGCCAAAGTTTCTCGCTATCAAGGATCGCACAGACGAGTCCCGGGCGGCACTCCAGAAGCTGCGCGCAAATCTCGACATTACGCTCGAGTTCAACGAGCTCACTGCCATGCTTGAGTCTAGCAGGGAAAGCGCTGCTATGCCAAAGCCCAGCGCGTGGCAGATTCTCACGGGAAAGACAGAGATTGACCTGCGCCATCTTGTATTTAGCGTCCTATTCCTCATGATGTCGCAGCAGTGGAGCGGCGCCAAGGGAGTCATGTTCTATTCCACCGAGATCCTCAGCACTACTTTCCATCTGACAGAGGAGGAGATAAAGAAAATCCCGACCATCGCACAACTGCTGACCCTGGGCATCGGCGGCATCGGCGCAGTGGCCGTCATTATCGGCATGTTTATACTGGACAAGATCGGCAGACGCACCGTGCTAATTTGCAGCTCGCTGGCAACCGCCATTTGCTCTGTGTTTATTGTTGTCGGCAGCAAGCTTGACATTGGCCCGATGGTGGCCACGTTCATGTACTTTTTCAATCTAGTGTTCCAGTGCGGCGCTGGTTTTATTCCGTACCTATCTGCGTCCGAGCTTCTCCCATACAGCGTGTTGGGCAGCATCAGCGGCCTGGCTACGTCCATAAACAGTCTGACGCTATTCATTGTCAGCTTTATCTTCCCCATCCTCGACAAGGCACTTGGCCCGTATCTGTTTTTGCCGTTTGCCGTGACAAACCTGATAACGTTTTTGTTTGCCGTCTTCATCATGCCCGAGGCCAAGGGTAAACCGATCTCCGAGGTCATGAAGGAGTACCAGGGCCCTATCCACATTGCAAACAACCCATTTGCATCTAGAGCATCCAAGCGTTCTGAAAACGCAGCCGAAACCACATTTTATCGACTGCTTGACCATTTATTTTCCATATTTACTAATTACATGTAACAATAATAATATAGACATCATCCCCGTTTTACAATAAAAATCTTTTTTTCCCAAAAAGATAAATATCTTGTGAAAGTAACGCATGTATATTAGGAATCGTGTATTTAGAAAAAGGATGTTAACAGTGGAAGGATGGTGTAGACAATGATATGCCGCTTAAAACAAGGGAGTTCCGTGAATAAGACGAGCAATGATCAAAGGCGAACATACTTAGAAGTATGAAGCGCCAACGAACGTGCCGACAGGGCGACAGCGCTCAGGCCGAGGTTGCTGAGGACGGAGGCACCACTGTTGGCCGAAGAGACCGTGACGGTGTTAGTACCAGCATTCTGGACAACGGTGGTTTGGGCACCGATAATAGGGCGGGCTGAACGACGTTAGGCACAGTAACTGTTGCGTATACACGGTCGTGCTGGATAGCAGAAACACGAGCGGCGCTGTTGTTGCTAGCAGCGGCAATAGGTGCAGCGGCAACGCCGGGGGCAGCAACAACAGGAGCGACAGCAATGGACGCGGCGGGCTTGACAACATCAGCAACATCAGCAACATCAGCGGCATAAGCAGCGACGGCAGTGAACGCAATAATGGCGGAGATCTTGGAGGCGAACATTTTAAATTGTGTTTGAATTGCTGGTTGGGTGCAAAAAAAGAGGTTGAGGATAAATATGATATTTAGCGTTTTTAGTTGTGACCGCCAGATGGTATTTTATAGTTATTCTGAGCAGAGTCTGCAACTTCTTGCGCAGTCTCAGCTTGGAAAATACAAGAACTTTATTTGTTCATTTCAAGGTCTCGAAATTAAATAATACAATGTTGTGGAGCTAGGCTAAACACGCTGGGTCTAGTTTCTATTTAGAGCCTTTCGGCGGTTAATTTAACAATCTAGCCCAAATGAAATCAAAGTCGCAATTTTGTCGAATAAAGTCTGCCTCGAATATCACTTATCTCATGAATCCCAAATTAAATTGGTATACGCAGCCATACTATTCCTTATAGAAATTTGCATTCGAATGTCAACCACCCTTTCAATGATTGTGAAAAACGCACCACAAGGCCCAGATTAGCCCAGTCAAGTCCAAACCTTGTATAATTAAAATATAATCAAACATAAGTAACAAAAATAAAAAACAATATTTTAATGCATATTTGCGGCAATAATTGTCATATAATCCAAGTGCTTAGTTCAGCGAAAGAACGTATGCTGAGCCAACAGCTAAAACAACCAGGACTATGATAACATTTTTAATCGCAATCTCGCCCTTCTCCACATCAACACCGAGTCGTTTGGCCAGCCTGGGAACTACAACAATGCGAAATGCAATTATAAGCTTAGTATTGGTGGCATTTTAAAAATAATGACATATGGCCAGCGTATTATATCTGTAAATGTATTTTTCGTGCTTTATGATTTCTTACCTAGCAGCGGTTTGCTGTCGCCGCAGAATTCGTTGCTGCCCGGCGAGCCATGCCCAGTCCTGAGCGGTTCACACATTGATTCCGTGCATCGACCGTAGAAGTATAGCTCGATGCCACCACTAGCAGTGCCATCGTGGTAATTGCTTCCCAAAAAGTAGGAGTGCGCATTTTTAAAGTCTTATCAATCAATAAGTTACAAAAACGTGTGTTTGGGTTGCAAATAATAAAAATGCCAATATCAATAAAATATAAAATAAAATACAGGCCGAGTAGAACAAAAGATGAAAAAACAAAGAGCCATTGAAAATTGGTGCTGAAAAAAAGATGCCAGAAAACGGTGAGAAATATAAAAAAGATAAATACTGCGGGGAAAAATAGAAAGGGAAATGGCAGTAGCAAAATGGCAAAAATACGCAAAATAATGAATAATTTATTCGATTTGTTTTGTTTTGCTTTGAACTTGCAACTATCGAGATTTACGGCATACAGCCAAGCTTTTGAACCTCAAACTGACAATAAAGACGCGGAAATGTCAATAGTATACATGTTTGGTTATTCTTTCAGCTCGAGTGAATACATGAAGTGTTAACTTTAGAGACGATAAAAATTTTATTTAAAATATTTGGTCAGGTCTTAAAATATTATTGGCTCTTATTTACATGTAAGAGGCAAAGACGAGGGCGCCAGCAAGGGCGGCGGCGGCAAAGGAGGCCTGGTTGGCGCCGGCACTGCTCTTGTTAACAGTTGTGGTGACAGTGACGGTACGGGCATCGGGAGCGGGGGCAGGGGCCGCGGCGTTGCTCACGCCACCTTTACCCTTGGGGGACTGGGCGGGCTGCTGAGCAGGCTTCTGAGCGGGCTGCTGAGCGGGCTGCTGAGCGGGCTGGCCGGGCTGCTGGCCGGGTTGGTTGTTGTCGGCAGCGAAGGCGGTGCTGGCAGCAGCAAGGACAAGAGTGGTGATGACGGCGATCTGCATGATGGAAATTTTGTGTATATCAAGCGATATGTTGTTTATAGAAGAATAAAGGGGTAAATGGCGATGAAGTGTAGTATAAAGTTTTTTTCTGGGTTTGTGGTCAGAGCGCGGCGCACCAGGCTACTTATAAATGTCGGATTTGAAATAAGCACTGGTTGCTATTTGTAAATAGCCACGATATATCCAAATGACATTGGGTGAGCAATGAAACACCATTTAATCGACTTCTTGCAGGAAGGTCTTGGCCAAGCATGGCCTCTCGTCTGAAGCCAATATTTTCAACATATTTTTAAAGCATGTATATCCCCGCACATAATGCTAACCAGTAAAAAATAATTTACATTAAAAATAATAAGAATCCCCCGCGTCTTCCCAGTGAATAATATAATTGCAGCGCGGATTGAAAACAAACACGCATGCCTTTGATATATGTGAAATTGGCCAAGCCTTTGAAACCAAATCATTACCGGGGTGTTTTCTAGGCCCATTTGATCACAAAGCCAGGTGTCGAGGACGTTTTGGTCGTGTCATCGGCATCTGGCGTTGCGGGCTCGTCGGAACTGAACACGCTGCTACCATCGCCATTGTCTTCGTCATCGTGGCCACCAGTTGCACACATGCCGGCAGACTTGTGCCGCTGCCAACAGGAGTAGTGGACAACAGAAGGGCCCGCACCCTTGATGCCCGCTTGCGGGGGGATAACAGCAAACGCGGTGCCTGCGCCAATCCGTTTGAGGCAGTGCGGGCAAGTCCTCATGTCCGACACGACGACAAAGCTCGATTGCAGCCTACGCACCTGCCTTCTGACCTGTTGATCTTCGCCGATCCGAAGATTCTGCACCAAATTGCTCGATCGCATGTCCTGATCCAGCGTGCACAGCTGGCTGCGCAAATATTCTAAAATATCGGGCGTGAACTCCATATCTAGAGGAAGAATGCGCAAGGCGTCGGCGGCGGGTATGTTTTGGTGGTGCGCCGAAAGCAAATGGCCGGCAAACTGCCGATGCATTTGCTGGCGAACAACCTCGACCTGGTCCGGAGACTCGTGCAGATCACTTTCGCAAACAAAAAGACTACCAGAGCGTATAAGCGCGGCCTCGCTGTCCACAAGATCCGGTGGTGGCGCGGCGACAAGTATCCCCAGCAGCAGTACAAAAACACCAACGTTTCCTTCGACATTCTCCACGCAATATTGCTCGGCCAGCGGCAAGTTTGCCACGCTAAATACCAGCAGGCAGAGCGCGTGCTCGTGGCGCCCAAGCCTTCCAAGTACCAACGCGCGCTCCTCAAACAACTCGTTGTCCGGGAGTCGCGCCAGAGCTCTCTCGGGAGAATAGTACTTGCTCGCCCGAAGAAACTGCTGCAGACTAAGCCGAAGATCAAATCTCGATTCGGCAGCACCAATAGCCACAGCTGCGGGCGACTCGCTCTTGACAAGCGCCTCGCTGTGCGAGCTGGCAAGCATGTCGAGGTATGCGGCCACCATGTCGTCGTGCAACACAGCTGTCTGATCTGACCACATCTCAAAGACATAGTTCAAGTACTGAACGACTAGCCCAGACGACATCTGCCTCAAAAAAGCCGACACGCGAGACCGTGGGAAGGCCTCGGCAGCAGGCCGGTCATCGGCAAACACCATAGACACAATGGACGACGACGACGGCCAGTCCTCAGCATCCATTGCAGAATCACTGTCGCTGCCAGCATGTGTCCTCGTAGACTGCTCGCGAGACATCCCAACTTGTAAAGGCCATCTGGCGTACTCCAGTACCAGCTCAAACTGGTCCGCTGGCAGCCTCAGCAAGTAGCGAACAATGGCATAGGTCCCATGCAAGGAGCCGTGTTCTAGCGTTTTGCCCAGTCTTTGCAGCAGCTGGAGCGCATTGCGGAAAAGTCCCTTGCCGTGATACAGATCGACCAGCTCGGCGTAGCGCTTGTGCTCCAAAAGCAGACCCTCGCTTTGCTCGACGTCGCAATGATTCTTCACACGCAGGAGGGGGCCAATCAGTCCGGGACTGCACTCCAGGTACACCTTCAGCAGCGTGGTGTCAACCACCTGTGCCATCGCGGCAACAGGTATTTTCATTCGCTCCAAGGTGAAGGCCAGGCGCTCAAGTCTCACATGGAACAGCGAGTCGTTATCTCCGCTGGGCTGAATCAAGCCTCTCAAGTTTTCGCTAACCTCCTCGTCGCCATCGTCCTGCCCCAGTACACGGACAACATACTCGCGATCGCGCTGACTGTCCGCGATTGCCTTCTGCAGCCATCGTCGGTGCTCGGTGAGGTAGCGCATCAATGCGTACATCGCCTCCTTCCAAATAACCTGTTTGGGCTTTATTTGTTTCTGATGTCTCTCAGTGTCGGATGCCTGGGCTGTTGCAGATGTACTTTTACGGGCATCACCTGAGACAGCAATGGCCGGTGCTTGGTCATCTTTAGAACTCGCGTCATTGTTTTCGCTGTCGCTGTCGTCCTGATCGTCGCCGCTTTGAGACTCATTGTCGCTATCTTCGTCCTCAGCCAGCTCGCCGGCGATGCGTGCAGGGCACATCGCAATGGCCTCTGTTGGCGTTGCGCCCAAATCAGTGAACTCATTCAAAGCCTCCTCGTACTTGGCCTGGTCGCGGAACAGCCAGCGCGCTCGCAGCCAGCGGATCTTGAGTGTGAGCTCCTCCTTCTCCGACTCGAGAATGCTGTCGGATTGGGCAACCAGAGATAGCGCCTCGTCATACTGCCCAGCGCTGAGCACGTCCTCGACCTGCTGCTCAATAGGAACGGGCATCAGTCTCCATACGGTGTGCGGGCCAATGGCCCAGACCTGTTTTCCACCGGAGCCGTTGATTATATTTGTGGGCGCCTCCTCGGCCAAATATAGCGACTGGACCAGGGCTTGAGTGGCAATGTTGCGCACCTCAACGTTGAATTTAGAATCCGACTGGTTCTGCATGCCACCCGCCACCGTTCCCATAGGGGCTGCGCTGCCTTCAAGAGATATTGCAATGGCGTACGACGACGTGTAAGTAATCCGGGTCGGCACTCGCGCAAATATCATGGGCTCTGTGTACTCGCGGTAGCACAGTTTCCCGGCCGAATTTATAAACACGCCGATGGTTTCGTGGCACAAGAGCAGCTTTTCGCTGGGCATGCGCGCAATGTCGTCTTCAGCTCGGTTGTTGATCCAGACAGCCCAATTGCCCACGAGCCCCACATCCCGCCACCGCTATTCCCGCCACCGGAGCTTGTCGGTGCCTGTGTCACCGCTGGCTGCGCCGCGCCATTTGCTGCCAAATCAACATTGCCGCCGCCATTTCTCCCACCGCCGCCCGCGTTGGCGCCCTGGATGCCAGCGAGGCCCAATCCTGCAACCGTGCGCAGACTGGCGGCGTCAGCCGGAAACAAATCTCCCACTGACCTCGCGGCAGATGGAGTGTCAAAAACTCGCGCGCCGTGGCTAGCGTCAGCAAATTGAGCGAGGCAAACTGCATGGCGGTTATTTTGTCAGCGGCCGAGTACTCAAAAGACTTGTAAAATTCCGCGTCGCGCCACTCGAGCACCACAACTTTGCGTTTAGCGTGCACGGCTAGCTTCGATACCAGCGTCGGGATTCCGTCAATGTGGTCCACCGCCGTGTGCACGGCTACAATGCTGGCGCCCTTTGTGTTGCTCAGGGGTGTTGCATTGCTCAGCGAGTGCAGGTCGTATAAGGTGACCAGCCCGTCGGCCAGGCATACAAGCACTCCTGCTTCTTTAATCACGTTCAGGTGCTCTATCGACCGCCGCGCAAATGCTTTTTTGGTTTCCAACAGCGTGACCTGTGGCTGCTGCTTGTCGCTGACGGGCTCGGCCACTCGGTACACCAAAAGCGCGCCGTTTGCTGTGCCTAACAGTAGCCGGTCGCTGTACGCTGCAGCCGACTCGATACGCACGGGAAGCTGCTTCAGAACCGCGCGAATTTCGAATGCATTGTGCATTTTTGTGGGGCGGGAAAAGGGTGGTGCTCAGCTGCTCGCGGTTGTAGTGTACAAATGAAATTAAAAAAGACTAATGTGAGCGTGAGCGTGAATGGGTGATTGTAGATGGCCGTTGAATTAGTGCGGCCCAGAAAAATAAAAATAAAAATAACAAGCTTTGAATAAGTGAAATTCAAATTCAAATGCAAGCTCCTTTTCACACAGCATCAAATCCTGTTCAGCTGTGCCTGTAAAAAGGAACAAAAGTGCTTTAACTCTCAAGGATCAGGGGGAGGCGGACGATCCATCATTCAAGCAATACCGTCATCACAAAAAACATCAAAGCACACGTGCGATTTTTTTTTGCACACGACACGCCTTTATTTTGCGGTCGAGCCAAGCTAGGATAGTCTAAATTTAGCCTGCTGTTGTTCTTCCCAGTCTCAATGCGCGCTGGCACCTGCTGGCTGGGCAAGGCACGTGTATGCGTGGTTGCCCACAGTCCCATCATCGCACTCTCCAAAAATGATATGAAACGCCCTCACCGCTTTGTGTCCCTCTCTTTTCCTCATTATCGAGTTTTATTGCATTTTTTACTATTGTTAAATTTTCTTTTTCTTTTTCTTATCTCCAACAGCCCCATTCAATTTCTACAAAGCTAGCCATGACCTCCTCTTTTGCAAAGGTCGCCGAGTACTCGGCCAAGCACCCCAAGCCCGCGGATATCACGTTTGCCTACGGCACTGCTGGGTTCCGCACCATCGGCGAGACGCTCGAGTCAACGGTGTTTCGCTGTGGACTTCTCGCAGCACTGCGCTCGCAGAGCAAGCAGGGCCGCGTTATCGGCATAATGATTACGGCGTCGCACAACCACGAGCGTGACAATGGAGTCAAGCTTGTTGATCCAATGGGCGAGATGCTGCAGCAGTCGTGGGAGGGCTACTGCACGGAGATAGCCAACGCAAGCACGGACGCCCAGGTGGTCGAGATCCTGTCGGAGATTGCTGAGGCCGAGGGAATCGACCTTTCAGTGACGCCCAAGGTGGCGTATGCGCGTGACACGCGTCCCAGTGGCCCGCTGCTGCTTTCTGCGTTGCAGGACGGCCTGGCCGCGATGGACGTCGATGCAACTAACTACGGCATTGTCACCACCCCGCAGCTGCATTTTTTTGTGCGCTGCCTGAACACCAAGGGCTCGCCGGCGGAGTATGGCGAGGCAAACGAGGCCGGCTACTACAGAAAGTACGGCCAGGCGTTCCTCCGCCTAGTCGAGGGCAAGCCGCTGCCGTCGACGCTGTACATCGACGCCGCCAATGGCGTTGGTGCACCACAGGTACGCAAGCTGGCCGAGGCCATTAACTCGCCATACTTCAACATTGATGTGCGCAACACGGACACGGAGACGTTGGGTAAGCTGAATATTGACTGCGGCGCTGACTATGTAAAGTCCAACCAGCATCAGCCGAGGGGCATCATGCTGACACCCAGCGGCCGCTACTGTTCCTTTGACGGCGACGCTGACCGCATTCTTTACTACTATTCTGACGAGTGTGGCACATTCCACTTGCTCGACGGGGACAAGATCTCCACGTTGGTTGCTACGTACTTGCGCGACCTTGTGGCCACGGCCGGGATTGAGGACCTGGACGTCGGCGTCGTGCAGACGGCGTACGCTAACGGTAGCTCCACCAGGTACATCAAGGATACGCTCAAGCTGCACACGGTCTTTGCCATGACTGGAGTCAAGTACCTGCACCACGAGGCCGAGAAAATGAACATTGGAGTTTACTTTGAGGCCAACGGCCACGGCACGGTTTTGTTTAACGCCAGTGCTGTCAATACTCTGCGCGAGTTTGTCCCCGCTTCGCCCGCACAGGCCGAGGCTGTCGAGAGACTGTGGGCGCTGCGCGATCTGATTAACGAGTCTGTGGGCGATGCCATGGCGGACATGCTCCTTGTTGAGGCTATCCTTATTTGCAAGGGATGGACGCTGGCGCAGTGGGACGAGTCGTATACGGATTTGCCCAGCCGCTTGCTCAAGGTCGTCGTCAAGACCGCAATATTTTCAAGACTACTAATGCCGAGCAGACGCTTACCTCGCCACATGGACTCCAGGAAGTCGTAGATGAGCTAACGGCGAAGTTCCCCAAGGGTCGCTCGTTTGTTCGTCCCTCGGGCACGGAGGACGCAGTGCGCGTGTATGCCGAGGCTGCAACGCGCGGCGAGTGCGACCAGCTGGCCTACTCGGTTGCCGGCGCTGTGTTTGACAAGGCCGGCGGACGCGGAGAGCGCCCAGCAGAGTTTATCTGAATCGAAAAGCGCAGCTTAAGCCTGCTTTCTTTTAATTTTTCTCGTTATGACGATATTATATTTTTAATTCAATTAACAGATCATGACATTGCCCTTTCGATTTATGTTTGGATGTGTTTAAAAAGTGATTTGTGTGTATGTATATAAGTTAATAAATGCGTGTGCCAGAAACATGATATTGTATGTGTTGCTGTCAGGAACAAAGTTGTCTGTTTACAGTGGTGACAAGATGCAAATACGGAACAATGGGCGAACTGAAAACTGGGAAGAAATGGGGCTGGCGAAAATTTAAAAATTGAGGGACGCTCGTGGCTCTTTTTTTGCACAAAGGTCAAAATAGAGGGAAGTGAATTTCTTATTATTCTTTGACGCCCGCCATATCCCACCGGTTTTCCATTTTATTACTTTAGACTGACAGCTGAATCTGACAAGGATGCAGTGCGCGGCTGCTGCTTCTGAATATGCTGTATCTGGACCGCATTGAACCCACCGTGAGAGCCCCCAATAGCAGCAGAGGACATAGCAGTAGCTGTAGCAGTAGCTGCCGCCGAAGCAGAAGTAACAGCAGCAGAAACGGGAATCTGACCAACAATGCGGCAGTGGCGTATAAACGGCATATACTCACACAACTTGCGCAACCTAGGCAAATCTGCTTCATGCATATCGTCAATGGTCAAGTACCTCAGCATACTGTGTCTTCCCCAAGGTTCAAACATATGGGCTGTAACCACTGTGCCCGAAGTGCCACTGCGAATGCACACTTTGAGGGAATGCAAATGCCTCAAGGTCGAGAGCAACTGTATCAAGGCCGGAAAGTAAGATACACACCGCAGAGACTGAGATCATGCAGTCCGGCGCAGACCCAGGGACTGCTGGCCAGCTTGGGCGCCCAATTATCCCATCTCCGGTGTTTGCGCAAACTGAACATTTTCGGCGGCTCGTAGTGTGTTGCCTTCCAGATAAAATTATCACTGATCATTTCGCCAATCGGCGATATCTGCTGCACAATGTGGAGCCGATGCAGGTTGCGCATTCCCTTGAGGAGCGCTTCCAACCCAGAATTGTTAATCTGGTGTTCAACCGGTGAATCAGGCTGCACAATAAGCACCTCGAGCCCTGGACACGTCGTTAACAAGCGACGGCACTGCTCGTTGGTCAATACAGAGACAATGAGCCCGCGCAGCAGCAGCCATTCGTGTTTGAAAAACTCCTCCAGCGCCACCTCGCAGCGCGAAAGCGGACTGGCGTTGCACCGCAGCATGAGTCGCGAGAGGTTAGGCAGGGCCCGGGGAGTCAAACATGTGAGTGGCGGCAAGGAGTCTCCAGCTTCTATGCCCAAGCAAAGGGTCTCAAGCGACGAAGGGAAGAGGAGCTGCTCGGCCAGCCTCTCCATGTGCTTCACTGGAATTCGATCAATTCGCAGCTCTTTAGCATCGTTTGTGTGCGCAAAAGGACGAGTAAAAAACACCCAGTTCGTCCGGCTGATACTGCATACGCATACGCATGAACCCGTTCCCCTTGATGCCCTGCAGGACGTTGTAGTCGCCCACAAGGTGAGAGAACCTCCGCTTATCGCCGTCGCTCAGCTTGTCTGTGTACGATATCGACAGGTCATTCATCCCGGGCACGCTCAATGCCCACTTGGCGACGTCCCGCCAGGGCAGATACGAGTTCTCCACAGACAATGCCATCAAATTGGGCATATACCGGGCCAAATCAATAATCCGGATATCCACAGCCATATAAAGAAACCTCACAGACAAAGTCTCCAGACCAGGCCACTCCACCTCCAACCACGTCCCAATAATGGCCACCTCCGACGCCAAATCAAGCCACTCCGGAACCTCCCTCTTCCCATGCCTACTATGAAAATGCAAATGCTTCACAAAGTTCCTGTAATATTTCTGCACATGGGCCGCCATCAAAGTCCAGTCGTGGTGGTCGTATATATAAATGGTTTCCCAGATTAATGGCGATACTAGGGCCCGCCAGCTGCGAGATACTTGGCTTAGTCGACGCTGCGTTCGCATGTCGCAGTACTCAGCTACTCGCCTGTATACGCGTGATGGGAGCCGGAGGGAGTTTCGCAATATGTGATCCTTTAGTGAGGACATGCTGATGTTGTGCTTGGATGATGCGATTGTCGAAGGCGCTATACGCATGCCTGCAACGGCAAATGGCGATGTCGGAGTTGATGGGGTTGCGGGAGTTGCTGGAGTTGTAGGAGTCGCAGGAGATTTTGCTGTTTTGGTGATGACGGCTGTGCTGGCGCTAATGCTGGTATTGGCAAGTGGCACAGCCATTGCCGATGCATTGGCGGCCATTGACGTGTGAATAGAGAAAAAGTAATGAAAAGGGTATTAATAATAAAAAATGAATAACAGGAGGGAGAGAATAAAAAGAGGAAAAAAGTAATGAAAAAATCGAAAAAGATGGAGACTGGGAAGCGAAAATCGTAAATAAAAAACTCACGAGAATGGATTTTTGGAATGTAATTATGTAGGGGCCTAAAATGATGTGTACCTCTTGGTTCAAAACAAGCTCAAAAAAGGGTCACAAAATAAGACCACTTCCAATATCAATATAGCCCTGTAATAAAAAAGTTTGAAGATCTTTATCCAGCACGAGTTTAAAAAAGTTTAAGACAGGAATTATGCAAAAAAGGGAAAGTATAGAAACAAAATATCGGATGGGCGTGAGAATCAATGTTGTCTTTTTTTGTTGGCACGAGACAGTGAGAGAAATATAAAAACAAAAAATGACGGACTGGATTGATGTTATATAATGAAAAATGTAGGGTGAAGAATACTTCATTTCTCCATTCTTTTGCCTGCCTAAAATAAAAATACTTCTTTTTGGAGGAAATGGATAAATAATTTGGTTTTAGCGCCTAAAACATGAAGGTTCTCATCATTCCCAGAATTAAAAAATGAATTTTCCATTGAACAATTCCATAGAGCGATTCCATACAAAATTTCGGGGTTCAAATTGTTATGAGAGGAGGGTGTATGGAGCACAACAGTAGTAGTGTTAGAAAAGTGGGGGGATGAATTTATAAAAGTTTTATTGCTAATGTTTCTAAAGTGCTACCAGCGCCGGCCTCGTCTTATATATGTGCCTCGTCCCCTTTGTTGCGCACTTTGCCAGTTGTGCACTCCGTTGGCAAGAACTAGTTCTTCTGCGAGTAGACCGGTATCTTGGCAAGTCGATGTGGTCTTCGCGTATGCGCGCTCGTGGGTGTACGTTGCAAAAATAGGGAGCACATCCGGGTGTCATTATTATGTCCCCTAATTTACTCCCACACAATCCAATCTCTGCCCTATCAATCGGCATGTGGATGGAAACTTGCGCAGCCCGAAGATATGGAGGTGGATGTTGAGGTTGAGAATCGTGAAGCAACATTACATTTTTCACTCTGTTTTCAAATCAGCTCATTCAACTTTTTATATTTATATTTATATATTTTTTATTCCCATTAGCATAGAGGTTCTTCTTGGCCTCTGCAAAATGCATTGTCCCTATTTTCTGCCAGTTATGTTCAAGCATGTTGTCACCGTCCACCATGTTACAGCAGCCACATATGAGCTCGCGCAGTATATCTTTTTTACAAGAGCTGGATAATGAGGGGTTTAATATCGCAACCATCCAAATCAAGGGTTTTTTAAGGAATGCTTCATCGCCCTTTGCCTCACCGCCGGAAACAAACCATGCAATAACATGAACAACGCAAATAACAAATCGTCAACAAGCACAGGCACACGTTCGTCGAGGAGACCAAGTTTGAGTGCCTATAGTTCATTGGTGCGGCCTATGCTGCTAATTGTGATGACTATTATGGCGGCGTATAAATCCCATATATCTTAGCGCTTTAGCCGACAGCTAAAACATTTGGTCGACGTCACACTTGACGTAAAGAAAGTGGCTGAATAGCAATAAAGGAACTTACGAAGGAGGGTGGCCACACAAAAAGAAATACAACAGCGATTAGCAAGGAAATCAGAATTCTAGCAGCAAGATAAGTGGGGTCTGCTGTCTGCCAAGACCAGCAGAGTCGGGAAGCAGATCAACACCAAACAAATTTCAGATCCTGTGCTTCGCGACATAATGGAGCACCCAATTGAGAGGGTTTTTAGCACCTACCACGAGGGCTACAGTTTCGGCAACAAGGGACTCCAGTATGACTCTGTGGCCAATACAGTGAACCACATTGGGGCTTTCGTTGAGATTTTTCGATTTTTAAATCTCAACAAAGGTGTGCGGACGATTTCCCTTTTCCGATGAGGACGTCTATTGTACCCAGGGTTTACGACAATGACAAGACTATTATTGCATGGTGTATTTTGTCCATCACAATGAGCCAACTCAGAGCACTACACAAGGATGGTCTTTGCCTGGATATCAAGGTCCCCAAGATTCGGCCTATGAGGGAGCTTTTAGTCAAGTCGCCAGAGAAAATTTGGTTCCTATTTTGTGATATATATTGTTGGCCATTCTCGCTCGATACCCAAGATGTCAAAAAACCATGCAATTTTGGAGGGATCATTCGTACCGATGATGTTGCAATAATCGTATTACTTGACTCATCCACAAACACACATAAAAGGATCAAGGCTGAGAGGATCAAGGCTAAAGTATTTCCAGTCTTGAACGGTTCTGGCGATACTGCTAACAGCAGCAGCAGCAGGTGGCTGCAACAGGCATTAATACAATTCCAGCGATAGAAAAACCTCGCCAAATTTTATGACACGGCTTGCTCCAGTGCACAATAGAAGACTGCCTGCAAACCTTTAGGGCCGGCGGAACCAAGATCAAGAATTGCGAAAAAGTACCATTAGCCAGATGAAAGTGGAGTTGTGACACAGCTGCAGTGCTAAACTTTCGCATTATTATTAATGCCCTGCTTATAGGCAATCATCCTTCCCGTTTCTTGCACAAAAGGGAATCGTCAGAGTCGGCTGAACCCGAGTCTACAGCGACGCTCAAGCCCAAGCACCAAGCCCAAGCCAAGCCCAAGAGTGTGCGCAAGAATCAATCTGCCCTGCTTCTTTTCTTCAAAAGAAGCAGCGGACTGAATAATATCGGCAACCATAGTGGTCTATTGCCACTAGTTTCTAAACACTTTATCTGGGAGAAGTATGTCCGTTTGAAGTATATTTGTAGCCTTATTCTTTTCTTATAATGTAATTCCATCATGCAAATTAAAACGCAACTTTTCTTCATTTTTCACTTCAAAAAAATCAAGCACAACGATGATATGCAACAGATCCAATATCAAGCAAAAAAGGTGGTTTTGCCGCAAACATTTTCCGTAGTAATAAAGTGAAAATTACTGTCATTATTGGTTAATTGTCCCTTCATTTTTTGAATATCGAAAAAAGAAAACAAAAGGGCATGTTCGAAATTACTTCACAATACAACAGTTGCAAGCTCTCGCTGAACCTGCGACAATCGGTGATGCAGATCGGCTTCTTGAGTCTTCTTGGCAGTCAACACACGCGCAGCTGCTCGATCTCGGCCCTGATTGCAGCGACAGATCCCTCGCGCACGATATCCACAGTTGAGATCGTCGCCCGTGTCGGCATGCCACCACCCTTACCACCAGCAGCAGCATGCGGCATGGGCACAGGCGTGTCGGCATCAGCGATGGTGACGACATGGATGGCGAGACATTGGCGGATGGCGCTGAAGTTTCGGCAGTGCCCAGCCGAATGACATCCCAGACGACACCGCTGGAGATAAAGTCGGAGCCAGGACCAAACTCGTCCATGTCGCTCTCCCAGGCCTCTGTTGACACAGTGGGCGCCCGGCTGCTTCTCTCCTTCTCCTTCCTCTCATCCTCGTCAATATTATCGCTTTGACCGCTGGCACTCGCTGCCTCGCTGGCACCCGCTGCCTCACTAGTGCCGCCCAACCGGAGCAAAAAAGTGTGGTACTTGTACAGCGTCGGCCTATGCGATATGGTGATCAGCGTGATGCCCAGGCGCTTAGCATGCTCGTACATCAGGCCCTCCACATCAGCGCTTACTGCGCTTGTGCACTCGTCAAGAACAGCAAAACGGGGCAAATGGTAGAACACACGAGCCAAGTTAATGCGCTGCTTCTCGCCGCCGCTCAGAACATCCTTCCACTCCTTACGCGCCGAAAAGCCGCCCTCGCGGCCGGGGAGGTACGCCAGGTGCACGGCCTCGAGCACCTCCATGAGTTCCTCGTCGGTTCGACCCAGCGCCTGCATCTGAGCATATGTGTGGGGATAAACACCTGGTCGCGCAGACTGCCAAGCGACAGATACGGCCGCTGCGGAATGTAGATGATTTCGGCCGGCTCGGGCCGCTCGACCACGCCCGCAAAAACCGGCCACAGCCCGCTGAGCACGCGTAGCACCGACGTCTTTCCTACACCGTTGGGTCCCGCCACCATCCAGTGCTCGCCGCGTTTGGCCTCCCATGTCAGCGGCCGCACCAACAGCTCGCCGCCCATGCTGGGATCCAGGCTGGGCGCGACAATCGGCACGTTAGTGAAGCGCACGCCATCAATGTCCTCGTACACGGCGCCCTGCAGGTTGCTGAGCGAGAACTCGGGATGGCCAGCGCCCGCAGCCGGCCGCTCGTACTCATCCTTGCGCAGCGCGTGCAGCGTGCTGACCAGCGAGTACACACGGCTTGTGTACCCTGTCAGCTCCATGACCTCCTTGATCGAGTACATCATGCGGCCGCCAGCATCTGACAGGTTGACCAGGATGCGCTTGTTGGTGACAAAGCTCTGCGTACGCTGGCCGCCGTCGCCACTGCCACCGCTTTTGCCACCCAGCGCCGGCTGAAGGAAAAATGGGAGCGCGCAGACCAGGTAGCCAAAGGCCGACCAAGTGTACTTGATGATCATGTCCTCCAACACCACGTGCGAGATCTTGCGACAGGCAACATCGCGCGCATGGGCCAGAAGCGCGCCAAGGCTTGTGTCCAGCTGCTCGGCCTCGCGCTGCTCACCGCGGTAGAACGCAATTTCCTCAGCGTTGGTGATGACGCGCGAGTGGTTGGCGCGAAATTCGCCCTCCAGTGTGGCCTGTGTCGCAGCCATTGCGCCAAAGGCTGGCGTCCACGCACGCAGCAGGCTAGCAGTGGCCATATACATGGCAAACATGCCGGCGGTGCCGCGCAAGCCAACACCGCGCACCAGCTGCACATTGAATATAATAGTATCTAGCGTGGGCTTGCCCAAGTTGGAAAGGAAGGACGCCAGCTTACTGCTAAACCGCGCAATGTCCGCCGTGACAAACTGGTCCGCATTGGCAATTCGCGAGTCCATCGTCAGCTTGTAGTACGTCAGCGCGTCACTGAGGTACAGATCGTGGACGTAGTGGGTCAGCCGCGTGCGGAACGCCAGCGCCAGCTTAGCCTCGAGGAAGCGGATCATGCTGTTTGTGTACGTCGCCGGAATTGCAATGGCAAACCACGACAACAGTCCGGCCAGGAACCGCCGCCCTGCCCGCGCACCAGATGCTTGACGATCTTGCCGTCCAGCTCGGCCACCACCACGCTCAGCCACGTGCGTAGCACTAAGAACAACGCATGCAACGCTATGATTGCCATTTCCTTGCTGGCCACCGACGGGATGATGATGCGCCGCAGCGCTCGCAGCTGCTCGAAGAACGCCCGGTCCAGTTTGCCTGACTGCTGTTTGCGCCCACCCGCTTCCTCGGCCGATGCTGATGCTGATGCCGATGCTGACTGTTGTTTCTTGCCAATAAGCGATGCTGGAAAGTGGGCTGCGTCCTTGTCGAATCGCCGCTCGCGCTCATCACTCTCTGTCCACCGCTGCCCCGAGCCGTAGCCTGGGATGCGCAGGTTTCCGTAGCTCAGGGCCGCCGCTATGTTGAGCATGCTCTTCTTAGCCTTTTCAGCTGTCTTTCGGTGCTGCGTGTAGCTGTATATGACCACGAACAACGATAGCAGTGCCGCGCTGCCCAGCGACCGCACTGGTAGGCCTGCGGCCGTTGCGTGCTTGGAGTTTACGGCCGGCATGGAGATAAATACAAAAATGAGAGATGGTTGATTGAGCTGTGGTTGGAGGTGTAGTTGTGTGATAATAATACAGAAAATACAGATAATAAAGAGTTAGCTCGAATGGAAAGAAGATGAGGCAAACATTTGCTTGTATTTTTGTTGTTTCGCCTTTTGATTCATTAAACGTTAAGCATGTGAGCACGAAAAGTGTCCTTGTGCCATTATATATTTTTTAAACTCCAGCATGTGAAAAGTGAAAACTATTGATTTCTCCAGTCACATGTAGATGCTTGCTCGGCTTTGCTGCGTATGACGACACACAAGACTCGAAAGCTCTTTTTTTTGCGGCTGGAGCGCGATCGACATATCCGGTATACCGGACCCAATGACCTCATGACCGCACAGGCGCCCAAATGCAAATCAAGTCAGTCACAACTGGGAGTGATGATAAAGAAACAACGATTCCAGCCCTTAATGGCAGCAGCTGGCAAACCGCTCCAGCTGATATCCTTTCTCTACTATTTTCAATTTTTTCCTTTTATTTGTCGCACCCGATCCACATTTTTTAACAAATACAAACTTTCTGCAGGCACAGTGTGAAACGATTCATGCTAAAACGCCTTTTGCCCGTGGCTCCGCTGGCCCACATACAGCAGAACAACTTCCAACAGCAGCAACACCATTGGCGGCGATACCTGAACACCCGAGCATCGCCGGTTCTGCTGCACCAACACTCAAACAAATCACCCTACACCAAATGCAGCCCCAGCCCCAACAATTGGCAGCTGGAGACCGCCGTGGCATTCGACATCGACGGGGTGCTGATCAAGGGCAAGCGCAGCCTGGAAGAGGGCCGGCGCGCGCTCTCCATGCTCAACGGCAACAACCCCCATGGCACACGTATCCCCTTTGTTCTCCTAACCAACGGCGGCGGCGTAACGGAGGCAGACAAGGCGGCCGATATTTCGCAGCGCATGGGCATAGAGATTAGCCCTGATCAAGTGATCCTGGCGCACTCGCCCATGCGCGCCTTGGCGCAAGAGTACGCCCAGAAACATGTGTTGGTGGTCGGCGGAGTGCAGCACCGGTGCGCAGACATTGCGCGCTCATATGGGTTCGAGAACGTCAGCACGCCGGATGATTTGGTCGCTTGGCGGCCCTCCATATGGCCGTTCATGAGCCCGCCAAAGGAAGAGAGCTTGTCACAGCCACTTGGTCGTGATTATTCGAAGCACCCGTTTAATGCAGTGCTTGTGTTCCACGATTCGTTTGATTTTGGCCGTGATCTGCAGGTTGTCACAGATGTTCTGCGGTCGCAGAACGCTACCGTTGGTGAGCCTTTTGTCAACCGCCAGGTTATTCCGCTGTATATGTCCAACTCAGACCTTATTTTCAGCAACGAATACCCGCTGCCGCGCTTCGGCCAGGGCGCCTACCATGTTTGTTTGCGCGCAATGTGGCACGCCCTGACAAAGGGCGAAGCTCCCCCACTGGATCACACTCTGTTCGGAAAGCCCTACCGCGTTCAGTACGCGTATGCTGAGCGCCTGCTTGACCGAATGGCCCTGGAGGCCCTTCCTATCGTAGATGTGGAGCTCATGCGTGGCCGGCGCCGCATCTATGCTATTGGCGACAACCCTGCTGCTGATATTGCTGGCGCAAATGGCGCCGGGTGGCAGTCTGTACTGGTGCGTACAGGCGTCTTTGACGGCGCGCCTGGAACCAACGACGCCACCAATCCTGCTACAAAAGTCGCAGAGCATGTTGAGGAGGCTGTTGCCTGGATCATAGAGGCTGAAAATAAGCGATTGGCTAAAACTCGGCTTCTTTAACCGGTCTGACAATGGGCCTAGAACCCCAGTAAAGCCACAATAGTTTTTTAATTTTTAGTTTGATCATTCAAGATATTTTTTAAAAGACAGCAATCAGACAAAAATTAAACTCCCATTTCACTTGGCCCAAATCCCTATATTTTCGGCTATTTTCTAGAGACTGCATGGGATATAATTTGTTATAGACGCTAAACCCTGGAGTGGAGGCGTCGAGTGGAGGCTGTGGAGGCGTGGAAAAATGACATTTCCATTTTTTTGCACTCCATTCTAAAACTGTCGATCCTCAATTCTGTGCGTACTTTCTTGTTTCTTAATCGGGAATAAGGAAACATTCAGCGATCGGGGCCCAGACTTTAATGCCTGTTTTTGGTCTTATTTTAACAAGTGCTTTTGTGAACTTGAATTTTTGTCTATTTGTTGTCGGTTTTTTGTTTTTGAACTTCAGACTTTGTTGACATAAAAAATTAACAAATATGTAGAAAAATTGCCACCCCCTTTCTTAAATCCCCTTGCTGAATAATCTGAAAGGTGCCATTCTTCCTTCCCTCTTTCTTCGTATTATTCTTTTCCTAATAAATATTTAGAATACAATCCACCTGCCCCTCCACTATTCCTATTTTGCTTACGAATATATCCAGTTACTTGCTTGTTTAAAAAAACCTCTATGTTCCCACATCTTTTATAGACTTTTAATAATAATACAAGAGTTACAGCACATATCCCTTCTCACACACAACCCTCATCTCACCTTCAGCCCGCAGCCAGCAGCATCACGGCTATCATATCATAGGCAGATTGATCTCTGTTATTCTGTGTAAACCGAGACTAATTCGTAACTGTTTTTTCGTGCTATTTTCTTTACTTATTTTTACTGCCTGAGCACAAAAAAATACAAAGTGTCTACTGCTGCAAAAATTATCTCGTAAATACACTCTTTTTTGCTTGTTAGAACAAGCTCATATCCCCTGTATAGCTCCCTCACACTCTTTTTTCTTTCGACAAACAAACATAATACCACTTTAATACCACCCTCATACACGCGCTATTTCTTCACTAAAGATGGAGACGCTTCGCGCCGAGCCAGAATACAAGATGCCGGAGCCACATTATGCAGATGATTTACCGTTGGCTCCCCAGGTGCAGCCGCAGAGACGGGCAACAGACACTTCCATCGGGATATCGAGCACGGGCAGCTCCAGAATAGCATCGAGCCTCGGAATCCCACCTTCCGTAGTCCTCGAAACCGAAAAGCCGCACCCTTATTTGCTAAAATTCGGACCCTGGTGGCAATTCTGCAGCAGCACTGATAGACAGCACCACAAAACCCGCATCCTGCCGAGTGTCGCTGCCATTCTTATGCCATCACGTGCTCTTTGTATTGACCTCTGTCGAGGCCAACTGGATCATGTCCGGGCCCGGGTATAATGGCTACAGGCTGTGGAAGGAAACTGGGTACGTCGTTGGTGATGCCATTGCCACGGGACTGGCATTCATTAGCGCATTGACTATTGCTCTTCGCCAGGGCGATTATTTCCGCAAGTTTTTTAGTCTAAGAATAGCATTGTTTCTGCAGCTCCTCATTAACTCGCTCCTGGGCATGGTGTGCATTCTCGTCGGCGCCCTGTATCAGCGCAACCAATCAATGGCAGGAATGTCTGGATCACCCCTGAGTATCCGTGCATCTATATCGGCGGCTTCTTTGCCTTCCTGCAAGCGCTCCTGTTGCTTGCGGACTATGCCACCACGCCCAGCTTTAACAAGCGCGGCACGGATATGGGGGTCTTCCTATGCAGGCTGCCATTGGACTGGCCAACGTGGTGGCGATCTGGACGGGCTTCGGGTCCATGATTTTTGACGACGTCGAGGACATTAACTTCTGGCATCCCTACAACAGCTGCTTCAACGCCTGGGTCATGCTTATCACCACAGGCTCCACCGTGTTGAATATCCAGACGGTCAACAGTAAAGTATTTGTCTTCTTCTGGCTTCCCATCGGCGTGCTTATCATGTTTGTGTTCTTCTGGTGTTTCGGCGTCGGCTGCGTCCAGAGATTTGACGAGAAGCCCCTGCGCCGGCTGGCCGAAAGCGAAAACCAGCTGCGTTCGAGCTACCGCGCGATCCGGCGCGACGTGCGCAGTGATAAGGGGATGGAGACAGCCATGCGGACGCGCATTGAGTCCCTGCAGAGACATGTGAGTTTTTGCAAGACCAGAGACTGCGCTACTTTGCCGTGCTCTTTGTTGTTGGCGTTATGCTCAAGATCTGCAGCTGGCTACTGGGATCTATCATCTTCGCGTTGACTGAGCCTGGGTGGTCGTACTGGGATAGCATGGTGTTTTTGTTTTTAATCTCCTGACTGTCGGTATCCAGGGCATGGTTCCGGGATCCTCCGCTGGCATGCCTCTATACCATGCGTACACCTTCATTGATATCCTGTGCACCGCCATGCTGGACACTATTTTGCTGCATATCCTGTGGAACCTGGTGCCCTGGCCGCGTTACCTGACATATGCCAAGTCTATTTTGGCCACGGTTACTGGTAAACTGTTCCGCAGTCGGGGCGGACTCCGTCGCCGAAACCATTTCTTGATGAGAGCAACTTGGGTACCAATCGGATTAACGGCCCAGAGGCTCCCGAATTTGGCGCGCCCAATTATACTGCATTTACAAGGCGTCAGGCGGCGGATCAGATCGAGGATGCCATCAATGTCGCTTCGAGGATGCGCGAGCTGCTTGTGCGCAACGGTGCTGCTGAGGCGGATCTTTTGGAATATGATCGCTTGCTTTTGCCGCAGAGTCTCGCGTCGACGACATTCGTTTAAGTGATATCAAGACCGACTGAACAATGGAAATTGCCTGGTGCATGTAACAAGTGTGTATACTTTTTTTAACCCTTGATATCAACTTTGGATTGGTTGATTATAATTATTAAAGCCTCATACGATCTCCCCCACTCCCCTCCCTTTTTTTTGCGTCCTCGAATTTCAATATTCCTTCTCTTCTTTCTGTTTTGTTTTTTGTTTCAATTCGATAAATTTAAACAAACACTCTTTCTTTTTTATTACTACATATTAATACATAATGTCCGGCCGTGACGGAGGAAAGAAGAAGCCCCTGAAGAAGCCCAAGTCGCAGAGCGGCGAGCTCGATGAGGAGACAAGGCTTTCCAGATGAAGCAGAAAGAGGAGGCTCAGAAGATGAAGCAGCTCAAGGAGAAGGCCATGGGCAAGGGTCCCTTGGCCACGGGCGGTATCAAGAAGTCTGGAAAGAAGTGAACTGGGGGAAGATAATGTTCAACTGGAACTATTTTATTTTAGAATTTAAATTTTGAATTAAAAAATACAAATAAAAAGTCAGGGTAATTTATTTATCTTGCGTTGCTGTGGTTCTTTGCAATTTTTTGTTTATTGCAAACTCGTAAAAAAAATTAAAAGTGAAATTAATCTAATTTTCGGTCTCCTTGACCGTGTCAACAGGCGTGGCAGACGCGGTGGATGTACTGGATGCGCCGGCAAATCCCTGGCGCCTCTGCTCTTTGGCAGCAGCAATGGCATTCAGCTTTTGGTCAGGCTTTGCGGCTTCATACGAAAACTTCCTCGAGTCCAGCTGCAGTGTCACCGGCCCATCGTTAACCAGGGCCACCTGCATCATAGCGCCAAACTCCCCGTCTCAATCTTCTCCCGGTCATACAGCTCACCTAGCCGCTTAACGAAATCGTCAAAGAACTGTCTGGACTCGGACGACTTCATTGCCTCATGGAAATCAGGTTTCGATCCCTTGGTGGTCTTTCCGTAGAGTGTGAACTGAGAGACACAGAGTATTTGAAGTCCGAGATCTTTGACGTTCTTTTTCCACATGGCCCCGCTCTGGTCCTCAAAAACGCGCATGCTGAGGATCTTTTTTGCCATGTATTCTAGGTCATCGCGGGTGTCCTCGTGGCTGATGCCGATGAGAACGCAGACGCCTGGACCGATCTTGCCCACCACTTTGTCACTGACAGTAACGCTCGCCTGGAGCACCTTTTGCAAAACCGCGCGCATGATGAAATAAACAAAGGGTGTGGTGTATATTCAGTAAAAAAGTATTGTTTTTTGAATTTATGTAAAATACAATAAAAAAATTTGCTATCAGATTTTTTATCGGCCACCCAGAATGTAAAGTGAAAAAGAGCCAAAAAAGGCCAAACCCAAAATAAAAAGAATGAAAAAGAAAAGAAAAGGCGTGGCAACTAAAAAAAACAGCTCAAACTCATTGCTAAAGTGTAAGCACTGGCGGAACTTCTTCCATATCCGTACAAAAAAAGATTGCCCGCGCATCTCTGTCTCTGACTCTTTCTCTCGCGCCTGTGCCAGCAACTCAGCGCGTCGAAGATGTCTCCATCTGGAACATCAGATCATCCTCATCATCGTTCTCATCCTCATCAGTGCATCTGCCACCAAGGACGCCGCGGACGTATCACGCATCCTGCCAACGCTAGCGACCGATGAAGCGGCCGACAAGTCTCCCACGATCTGCTCAACACGACCGCGCGGCACGATAAATGACAAGGGCGGAAAGTTCGAGCGCAGGGGATCAGACGGCCGCTGCTGCTGACCCCTAAAGCGCGGCGTCCGCTGCCCGTTGCCATGTCTGCCCTCATTGCTGGTGGCCTGAACCAAATCCACGACCGTTGCCGGATACTTCTGCGACGGCGTCGATGGAGTCGAATGCGGCGTCGACCTGGAGCTGCCCGCCGCTTCGTCAGCCATGCTCAGAAGCGTGCCGAGCTGGTGGTTACTCGAGACAAAGTCGCTGCGGCTAGAAAGAACGCCACCCATATCTGGGCTAAATCGCATGTTTTCTTGCTGGCCAGCCGGTTGCGCGCGAGCGGTGGCTGCGGCGTATACACTCTGGACTCCATTGCCGGACCCAGCTCCGAAGCGTGCAGAGCTGGCTGTGACCTGCCACGCGCATTCGATACGCCGCTACCGCCCACGCAATGAAGGCAGCAACATCGGAGTCGTCGTCAATGCCGAAATCCAGATCGCCGTCGTCTCTACGCAACAAATGTTGCGCTGCTGCGGCTGCTGCGGCTGTCTAACACCGAATCTAGGGGCATTCGCCGGCGAGTGCGGAATGGATACAGGATGTGGCAGCGGCCGCTCGCTCTCAGAGTCCAATCCTGGAGCCGCGCTACGGATGTGCGACCGCGTAATTGCAGAAGAGCTCGCCGTCTGAACACGGGAGCCAAGAGGCGGTCGTAATTGTGGTCGGTCTCGCGCTTAGAGCCGATAGCCATGTTGTTGAAAGCCTGGTGAAGCATATCAATGCTCCGGCCATCATGCACGGACACGTTCTGTTTTTGGTCGGCCAGAGCGCTCAGGGACGGACTGTTACCCAAGTCCTGCCTGCTCCTGTTGCCTGCAGCGGCGCCCGCCATGGGCAGTGTGACGACCGACGATAAGCTGGCAGGACGACTGGACGCACTACCGGCTCTATCGCTGCTTCTGAGCGGATTGGGCATTGCTTGCTGCCGCCGAAAGGGCGACCCTAAGTGCCCGCTTGCCAAGCCGCCACCAGCCATTTCGTCTGCGGGAGCAGACGTCGTGATCACACTGTTCTGCATGTCCTGCGAAAGCCCGTTGAAATCGTTCACCAGCCCGTGGTACATCCCGAGGGACTCGTTGTTGCCCGGATATCCTTGCGTCGGGACCCGCGCACTCGTGCCTGCACGAGCGGCGGCGACCCGAATACGTCGTGCCTGCCACGAGGAGAGCCTGCCAAACCCGCTATGCCTGCTGACAAGGGCAGTCCAGTTGCCGTCGGGCGCCTGAACAGCTAGTTGTGCCAGGAGCGCTGCTCTGTCTGCTTGATGCCCGTCCTTGCGGCTGTAGACGCGCACGGCTGCTTTGTGTCAACCATACGGATAAACGCATCAATGTCCTGGTCGTCCTGGTCGTCAGCCCACGCCTGGTCCTCGACTATGGTGTGGCGACGCATCAGCCCCTGCGACTCACCGCGAGAATGGTCGCCGGCCGACAACGGCGCAGCCAGAATCGACGGGCGACGCCGCGACATGCTGACGCGCCTGTTCCCAAAAGAGCTCGAGAGACCCCGGCTATGCCCACTGCTCCCATTGCTTCCCAGTGAGGACGGCGAGTCGGACAGCTTGGTCATCAGCTGGTGCATTCCGCCGACTGAATGCTGCTGGCTGGGGCTCTGCGACATTCCAGACTCATAGCCGAGCGTGTATCCGCGCCCACGGCTGCCGCTTCCCGAACCAATATCCGCCATATCGTTGATACCAGAAAAAATGCCGCCTAACCTTTGGTTTGGCGACTCGGATAGAGACGGCGACTTGAATGGCGCGAAACTAGGCTGGAGCGCCCGGTCACCGACCCTATGCTCCCTGTCGGCGACTTTGAGCGGAAACATAGCCTGGAGCGTCGTGTGCCGGTGCTGGTGTTGGTGCTCGCCGGGCGACAAGGAGTCGCCAAACCGACGCAGCATGGCGCTCCGGTGCAGCATAGATCCAGAGTCAACTGTGCCGCTGCCAATGCTTGCGCCCTTCTGATCAAAGCTGCGTGGGCGGGAGCTCGCAATGTTGCTTCCGCCATTGCCGCCAGTGCCATACAACAAAGTTCCTGTAACGGGCTCTGATGCGGCACCGCCGGCACTGCCCCCGGGATTGCAGAGGCAGAGGCAGAGGCAGAGGCACTGCCAGTGACGGGGGCACCGTGGCTGCGCGCACCGAGCGAAATGCGGCGCAACGAGGTTTTGCTCGACGACAACTTACCGCCCGCGTCTGCGCCAGTCGAGTGTAATCTACTTAATTACCCAATTCCGCCGACGTTTGCTGGCTATGCGCCGAGAGGAGGTGCCGTCGCCCCTGATGTAGCCCGACAGCGAAGAGGAGTCCCCGAGACTCACTGGCCGAGCGCGGAAGGGATTGACCGACGGTATTGTCAAACCGCGGTCGCTGCCCAGCGAAGTACCAAAGCCCTGCGCCTCCGGCAGTGTCTGTTGCGCCAAGCTCGGCTGCGCTCGCTGATGGTGCTGCCTCTGTGGGTGCAGCCCGTGGGGTTGTGCTGCTGCATTTGGCGCGACAATGAAAAGTTCGAGCCGCTGCGAGAGCTGAGCGTGGGCGTAAAGTAGGAGTCATCGATAGGCCAATGGCGTTGAAGCTGCCCTGCAAGGGGGCGTTTGCGTGCGGCATGCGAGAAAAAAGACACTCGCGACGATACTGCACGCTCATCACAAATGTCCCCATGGGAGTGGGCACAGGTTCAAAGGCGTGTGACTCGAGGAATTTTTCCGTGCCCGTGAGACTGGCGTCCAAATCAATAAAGCCATTGCGAGGCGTAATTGAATGACGGAATGTGCAGAAAATACCCAAGTTGTGCTATTTGTCTGCTGCTGCTGCTGCTGCTGCTGAAGCTGTTGGCCCAAGGCCACGCACGGCAGGAGCTGGCAAACGAGTAGAGGCTGCGAAAAAACACAATCGCCTGCTTGTAGACACGCGGGAGATCGGGCACAGGCGCCGGCACTTGCGCAGTGTTCAGGTCAAGGCGCCAGACTTCCAGGACAATGGCTGACGCCCGCCGCTGCGCGCTGCTGTCGCCGTGGCTGCCTGCAAACGGCATTGGCGCTGGCGGCAGCCCCATGCCGCTGCTGTTGTCCGACACGCCCATTTCGAGGTCCACGTTCCACGGGCGCCCAAATATGTCGGTTACCTGCAGCTCGTCGCCAACAGCAATCCCAGAGATGTCGAGACAGACCTCGATGAGCATGGATGGCGGCTGCGGCGCGTGCAATGGCAGGTGCGAGTTGACTGCTGCGTGGCGCCAGAACTTTGCCTCCTCCTTGACCTCGCCAATATCCTCGAAGTCCAAGTTGAACCACTTGTTGCTCCGCCGGCCGCCACTGCCCACGTCTACGACCGAGCTGCTTGCACTGGACAGGTCCATAGCCGAATTGCTGCCGCCTGCTGCCATGAGCCGAGGTGAAATCGCGCTCGCGCCCTCCAGCTCCAAGCCGTGGCCAAACCGGCTGCTGGTGTCCAGAAAGCGGACTGAGGTGCGGCCGCCGCGCAAGTGCGCAATTACCTGCGCGGTCTTTGAGTAAAAATTTTGCACAATCTGCTCGCAGCGCGCATCTCTAGTATTTTGGCCGGCTGCGGCTGCGGCTGAACCTGTAGCTGCAGCTGCGGCCGGCTGCTGGCCCAAGGGCGACGATGACAACGATGACGTATCTGTGTTGCGCCGTGTCCTGCTCAATGTCTGCTGCTTCTGCTGATTGGAAAAGTGTTGGTCACCAAGCGGCGATGACTCATCTGCGATTCCCGCACGAGCAGCCGCGGTTGTGGCCCCGTAGCGTGGCGGCAACAGCGGAGGCTGCTGCTGTGGCATGGGTGCCAGTTCCGTATGAAGCCTGGCATCGTCCGAGCGTCTAATATTGGCCGGCATGGTGCTGACATTCAGACGCCGCCACCGCCACCGCCGCGGACCCTTCCGCCACTACTCCCGGCAATCTCTGCCGATGTCCTGTTTCCGGGTGACGTTGACAGCGTGGATCGATGATTACACTGCATCATGTTGCGTAGTGAACCGGCGTAAGGTTGATTGAAGGTGATGGCGACAATGAAGAATGCGAGGACGAGAAGGAGGAGGCACGTCCGGCTCTGCCGGCTCCAATAGCCGACGACGGCGAGCCAGAATTTGGCGGCAACTTGGTCTGCAGGTGTGTAGCCGCAGCATATGCACGCGAGCCGGAGAACATGTGCTGTGCATGGTGATCGCTCTGGCCGACATCCTGAGCCATCCCACTTTCCTCCTTGCCATCCGCCTCTGCTGTGTCGCCGCCGCTGCTGCTGCTCATATTTTTACCCTGCTGCCTGTTGTCCGAACGCGCGTTTCCATGGCGGGTCCAGAAATATGGCCGTTGTGTCATTGTTCAACAATCCAACAGCACAACTGCTCCTTGCGCAATGGTAGCGGCAATAGAGAGCTGCGGGCTTGAATAAAAAGAATGAATAAGAATAGCTTGCTCTTCTCCCGCCTCCAAGGTAGTTTGATGACGATCTGAATGGTATTTTGCTCGCTTGCTCTATTGTGTATCTGTGGCAGGTTTCGTCTCAGAATGTTGGGTGATGTGTTAATCGATGCGCAAAGCCAACGGGGGGAGTCCTTTAGTGGTCGTGAGACAGGCGTTAAACGGAATGTATGAAGAAATGAGAAAACAAGAATGAAACGTCAAATTGCGAGCTATAGATTGTGAAATGCGCTCTCTGTGTGTAATAAATAAAAAAGTACAGAAAAATGAAATACAGAAATATGAGAAGGAAAATGCTTTTAGTGAGTGTCTAAGTGAAGCTGCGAACTAGCCACGAGGAACGTAGAGAGAAACGTAAAGCTGTTACTAATTGAAAAATAAGAGTATAAAAATATTGAAATTAAAATTGAGTTTAAAAGTACAAAACAGAAGGTTTAAAAATAATGCGAGAACGGGCTTTCGTTTAAATTGAAAATTGAGTAGTGTATATTAAAGTTTTTTATTTTTGCTTTATTCCAAAAGGAGGTTACGAAGTTTGCGAATAAGACAATGAATCGGGGCAGCAAAATAAGCCCACAAAGGTGCAACAAAAAAGAATAAAAGCATACGTAAAATTTCGTGAAAAGCACGCCTTGCTTTAACAAAACCGGAAGCTTGAACTACACGTGATACTTTTTTGCGCTTTCTATTTTGCTCTACTCCGAGATGGGATTTGAGTGCGCCAGATCACATGCTCATGTGAGCGCGTATATTTTTAAACTGTCAGCAAGTATAGGAGATGCGATGTGTGCTGGGATGATATGGAACGATATCAAGTACACATTGAAAGCTGCTTTTTTCTAACGACTGCAGAATGATTGTTGTTGCGGCGGTGCTGTTCTATGTGGACATTGAATTTAAATTTTTGTTTTTCGAGCAAGAGGCTATTCATTTTTATCAAGTACCCCTGCATGTAGGCTGTAAACCACTTTTCCTTCAAATGTAGTAGGTCGCACGCGACATGTATTTTGCATACTGCACTACAACAAAATATAAAGCAAGTCTAAGATTTTTTTTTAAAAAAAATTCTTAGAGTTGTCCGCGCATGCAAGCTGGATCAAGTCACTTTGTCACTCCGGTATATGTAATAAAGTTATTGAAAATAACTTATTATATGGTTTATTTTTGAATTAATTACAAGTGCTAAAAGCATCAGCTCAAAAGTTTTGTTGCGTGACTGGACGTGCCAAATACGAAGCATTGTTACAAAGCCCGATTCACTTTCGCCAGTTCCTGGTGATCGATCAAGGGAAACTTTCACGGCCAAGTCGAGTCGCGTGCGGCTTGGACAATAAAGCCGCCATAAGCTCGTTAATTTTTATAGTGTTTTCTTGTTGACTAAATTTATTATATATCCTAAGCCCATTTTAATTTCATATAATCCGCGGCGCCAACTATGCCTGCAATTTCGTACAGAAAACCTCACACGGAAACAGCATAAGTGAATGTTGGCAAATATACATTCTTGATTTGCCATTGATCACATGCTTTGACTAATCATGTGCTTTTGGTTGTGGGCGAAGCCCCGCTTTGGTATTTATTTCGCTATTTAAAAAATGGTTTTCACAACGAAACATACTTTTTCTTCATTTATTTATTTTTAAACTCAATTTCACATAATTTCGTTTGAATGCATCTTACAATGTCTGCCAAACACTCACCTTTCAGACTTTACCGCTTTACGTAATTCGGGATATTGCCTAATACACCCAGAGTGAATATTACGACTTCCGCCACCTGAAGGTCGATTATTCTTCCGACTCGGGAAAAATGTAGCTCCGTTTTTGCTGATTTGCCAAAAAGCCTACTGGGACATAGACATGAAGGAAATAACCAGTGGCTGCTGGTTATTAACATCTCAGCAAGAATTATCTCCAGGAGCTGTTTACCTGAATGTCCAAATTGTCGAGCCAGTTTTGATTATGTTGGGATCAAGGACGGTGTCAAATCTGAACATGTGCGCTTCAGTTTGCCAAACACATGCATTTGCACAACTTTGGCGATGATAGAGTTGGGCTTGCCGACATGAGCTGCTTTTAGATGTGCTTGGTCGCAAGATGCTGACGCCTCAAGGGAATTGAGGGTGTGGGATTCCGCAGTAAGGACACTGGTATCCCGAGCGCCCTTGTTTCTGGTAACAACGGTATCTGACATACGTCTGTTTAAAGTTGGATGACGAACAGGAGTCGTTTTTTTTCAACTCGTTCAGTATAAGGCGTTGACGCTGGAGGACGTGGCGATTTATTTGATAAATGAGTTTGATTTGGCTGGGATGGTTGTGGATGCACGCGGCAATCTGCCGTCGTACCCATGCTTGCGCAGGCTGCACGTTGAAGGATATTCTGAGGCTGGGCCTTTGCCTGCTTTTCCCAATGGAATTGTGTTCCTGAGCCATTACTATCTGTGCATTGGCGCCTGCAGCCGGATTGCGAGCCAAGTTTGTCTGTTGCCAATGTCGATACACTCGGGCGCGTTAACATTAGGTTGAACTTGATTGTGCTCGATGCACTCAAGCGCTGTTGTGCAAATGGCAGCAGAAAGCTGGAAGCTTTCATTACGTGGAAATCATCCACACCAATATCTTTGGTAATAATCCAGTGAACTTGGCGGCCAATTTCTTCCAGCTTCTTCACAGTATTTCTCCGAGCCTGAATAGGTTTCATATGGAGATTCCTATCAAGCCCAACCTTTTTTTGGCTAATTTTGCAGAACTTTTCTGCTTCATTGGCCTTCGCGAGCTGAATATCAAACATACCACTCCCAATTTTGACAAGCTGCTCGACCTGATCATGGTCTTGCTGCATCTCACAGAGTTGCACTCCAAGCCAGCACTGTCAACACCCCCCCCCCCTGAGTGGACATGCGTTTCCCTCAGTACGTCAACCGAATGCGCTTAAAGCATTACCCGCTCAACAAGAACTTGAGAGTATATGGAATGCGCTGGTATACTTGAAACCAGTGTGGCAATAGTGCGAAATACGCTGTTGTGCTTGCTGTTCTGTATCCTGGCCTTTCTCTTTGCCACTGTTAAATACAAGATTCGCAAGGCTTTATACAACAAATATCTTCAAGAGTTGGCTGGTGGCGAGATGTCTGCGCATGCTGGCCGGATTGGATCGCTTTTTCACAAGGGAACGGGACTAGTTTTGTCACGTCTATTCGACTTTTTTTAAATTTAATTTACGCGCAACAATTTGTCATGTCAGATGCTGGCAGACCATTGATTGAAAAAGTTTGAACCCCCGAAAATAAATGTTCACAAAGAAAGGGTGCTTGCATATTGTGCACATTATTTGCTTTCCTGGCTCTTTGATTTTTTATTAGCTTATTAATTATCGCACACTTTAATTTTTTTGATGCATTTTAGTACATCCACCACATTTAGCTAGCCAAAAAAATACGATTCACAATACTGGCTTGTACATTTATCAATATTTACTATTTTTGTTTTTTATGCTGGACAAAGCAAAAACTATGTCTCCTAACGTCACTAAACCTGTTGCCAAAACGACAAAAGCAGGGTACAGGGCAGCAAAAAATGGTGGTAAACGTGTAGCAACAGGTATTCGAGCTGTGACCAGTCCGGGAATTAAAGGTGCAACCGTCGTCATTGAAGCTGCAACAGACGCAAGCAATACAATTGCAAGGACAAGCGTTCAGCTGGCAACAACAAGCGTTCAGAGGTGGCAAAAGCAGGTAGTAAAATTCAAAGACAAGTTTCAAATTAGCGGCAACGGGTATTCAAGCTACAACAGATTCCAGCAGTAAAATAGCGAAATCCGTTATCAGGATGGCAAAGAGTATTATCCCTTAAACAATATGATTGTTAGTTTAAAACATATTTTAATTTACTTATGTTGGAATTTAAAATGTTCTAGACGCTGCGTTATTTTCACGCGCTGCCCGTTGTTTTTAAAAAAATCAGCAAGGTTATTTTCAACATATTACAATAATCTTTCAATTCAAAAATTTTAATATATTCATTTTACCCATTGTTTATTCAGGCATAAAATTGCGAGGCACCAAAAGACGTGTTTGTCTGTACCATAACCCGACAACTAATTCATGCCTAGTATTATCAGGGCAGACCTTTCCCCTGTTCCCAATGTGCGTTACGCTGGTGATGTGAACTGTATCAATATAAAAACCTCAATTCATCATTTAAATTCTCAATAGCCAAAACAATCATTTATTTGATATGAATTCAAGCAACGGGAGCGGCTACCTGAGCGCCACCAAACTGATAATACTCCTATGCATCGAGCAATACTCCCGGCACTACGAGTGGGGACCCAACACACTCATGATCTCGGCGAATTCCTCATTAACCAACTCTACGAACCAACCTGGACTGACACCTCCAAGTGGACGATCTGCGCAGCAGCCTACAAAAAATCACAATCCCACTGGTAAATGGCAACAGGGCGGCGAAGACAGCACATTATTATCGGTGATTTGCGAGGAACTGTCGGAATTGCAAACCCTGGACTCTTTGCATTCGATTTTTGACAGGGTGAGACGCTTGCGGTGGATGCGGGCGAGGATCGGTTGCGCGGCGGCAGTGGAAAGGAGAGAGGAGCTAATGGGGAGGATATGTTGTTGGATTCGGAAAGTATACTTGGCATATTCATTCGTAGATGCACATTGGCCTTTGACCAGATGGAGTTTCACCAAACGACGCAGTTCTTTGCGGAATGTCAGAAAATGGTATTGGTATTTGCCCGGACCACCGCAACCACCACCACCAGCAGCAACAGCAATGTCAGATGTTTGTTCGCTGATGGAGATGCAAGAGCACGTTGAATCTCTAGTTACACTGCTTGAACAAGAGGTTTGCGCGCCGGTACCCGAAAACATGAAAAGGAAATCAAACAAGCGCTGGAGCTACTCCCGGACTACTCGCGCATCCACTATCTCCAATATTTGGACCTCATTCGCATGGGGGAAAGCCACGAGAGCGAGCAATCCCTGCGGCGATTCTTTGACAACAATACGATCAAGGATAACCACACAATATACCAGTATGCTCTTTTGCACTTGGCCGCTATGCGTGCGCAATTGGGTATGGTGGGTGCGGCGAGGGAGGCGCTGGTGGAGGCTACGCATGTGGCTCGTGATTGTCAGGACCATCTGTGTCTTTTGTATATTATTTGCTGGGAATCGCGACTTTTGCTCCAGGATGCTTTGAAAAGCGAGGCCAGCGGCAGCGACAATAGAGAGGGTGATGGCGACGCAGAGGGAGGTGCGATTAGGGCACATCGGTCTATTTCCATGCTTATAGATAAGGCCAGGGCTATGGAGAACCACGAGATGCGTGCGGTTGGGCATATTATGCTCGTGGATCTCCTGCTACTGCTCTCGAATGACACAGACTTTTCGGAAATATTCAGCAACCTCGTTCGTGTGCGCGCACTCATTGTCGAGCACGACTTGACCAAACTGCACGCCTCCTGGTATCTCACCGCCTCCCGCGCCTTTATGCACAATGAGTCAGGTGCCTGGTTATCCCTCCTCCACCCCAACTGGCTGGGGCTGCCGGCCAAGCTTCTCTGACGGAGCGCGAAAACTCGGAGTTTATGCGGCAACTGGCCCGCACACAGGCAGTATTATGCGGACCCCTGCACGCTGCGCAATACATGGTGGGCCAGCTTAGCCAGGCAAAGTTTATTAATCCCACGAGGATGGATGCTTTGGCCGACCAGCTGCGCTGGCTGCAAGTCGATGACGATACGAAAGATTGCTATTCACACGAAGGTGCTTGTGACAGCAGCGGCAGCGGCAGTGGTGACGGTGGCGCACGGAGGCTGGGCGAGGCCCGGTCGCTGGTTGAGGACGGATACATTTGCGAGGCTAGGGAGTTGCTTATTGAAATCGTCTGCTGTGGCGAGGCACGGATCCCGTCGGACCTCCGCTACCGCCGGTCTCTGTACGAGCCAATCGTCGTAAGGAAGGCGATGCAGCTTTTAAGCTCGCTGGAGTAGACATTCCCACGGAAAACCACCTTTTTGAGGAAATCTGTTAGTATTTTTGCAAGTTGCCTAAAACAAATAAGCTTCCTGCCCCAAATGCTCTTTTTGAGCACAGACCAGCCCAATTCGGCAAGAAAATAATGGAGGAAATCAAAGCCGAGATTACCACTAGAGTGACTCCTAAGCAACAGATTTTAGGCGTGCGCGCTATCACTCACAGATCCGTCCAATCGCATTTGGAAATTTCCAAACGAGGAAAGGGAGTTTGAACATTTTATAAGACAATTACCAATTTGGTCATTTTCCGCCGCATTGGGTTATATTTTCTGTTTCTCGATTTGTAATTTTTTATTTCATTTATTGAAAAAAATCTAGTGTGCTGCTCATGTTTGTGGCACGGTAGAAGGAAGGAAGGAAAAATGCAGAGTAATTTGTGGAACAAAAATAGATTTTACGAGCTGTTGTTCGCTGCCGCCTCGGATGCAGTAGTGGTCCCGGTCTGCGGTTGCGTTTTCGCACGGCCAAGCATTCGGCGGCGGATCTCAGCCATGACAGACGAAGCCTCCTTGGCGATGGACGCCCCAACAGCCGAGTTTTCCTGAGCACGGCGAATGAGATAGGGCATGACCTCTTCGAGGCTGCCGTACGGCACATACTTGTAAATGGGCAGCTGCGCCTTGGCCAGCGCGTAGCTGGTGGCATCCTGCATGCCCAGAAGCTGGCCAAACATGACGGGCTCCGCCGACGTGTCAATATCCAGCTCGCGCAGCAGCTGCATGGCGCGCTCAATAGACGCATTATTGTGCGACGCGATAAACAGCGCCGGCGGCATATCACCAGTGAACGAGCGCTGGGCCTCAGCAATGCGGTCGATCAGCAGCCGCACGCCGCGGTCATAGCACGCGTGCGTGGCCTCGAGCGTTGGGTTGATGGGCGACGGGTACCCGAGCTTGGCCGCGCGCTCATGCTCTAGCTCCATATACGCGCCGCGCACAAGCTTGGCAGCATAGCGCCAGCCCTCGCGCTGTGACCTGGCGTAGTCATCGACCAGTCGCTGGAATGAATCCGAGCGGTACATCTGTATGGTGTTGTATACCAGGGTGCCACCGTTCCCAGAAGCAGGAGCAGTAGCAGCGGCGCCAGCAGCTGAGCCTGTACTGGGCCCGTTGAATTCGCGCTGCATCACCAGCGCAACGTGGTCAATCATCGGCTGGAAATATGTGTGCTCGGCATCGACCATTACGCGCACGCCGCGGTCGCTGGCATGCTGAACACGGCGCGTGCGCGCGACAGCAGCCGCTCGTAGTCGTCGACGTCGGACTCCAGCGCGCCATACTCGCTGCCTGGCGATGAGCGCAGGTACAGCGGCCGCGCCAGCGGGTTGTCCATCCCCAGCGCCATCTGCACGTCCACCCAGTCACCTGCCCATCGTTGTCGCCATCGACCATTGCGAAGATGCTGGCTGGCGACGCCACGTGCCTGCCGCCCGGCATCGCCGCCAACACGGTGTCGCGGAACTGCGCAAAGCCTACGCTGCCGTCGCCGTTGCTGGCCGCCTTGTCGAAAGCCGCGCGCAGCCGCGCGTATGGCATCGACAGCCTGTAGAGAACCTCGGGGTCCGTCAGCCCCGTCACCTTGATTGCTGCGAACGACCCGGGCACCTGCGCGCCATGTGCAGCCCGTGAAGGTACTCCTTGGTGAATGCATCGGCCTTGACGTTAGCGTGTGCGCGTGCAGCCTCTGCGTCCGCCGCCGCGGTCTCCTCGAGATCAGCCTCGGCCGAAAAATCAAGAATCGACCCGATGCCCGAGTCTTGAGCCGCCGCATCGTGTGCACGATCTCACGCTCGGACTCGCCCGCGCAGAACCATGCAAAAATGTCCGCCTAACAACCGCGTTGCTCAGCCACGACAGCCCCAGCCGCTCGAACAGCTTGAGGATGCTTGGCGCCGCTTGCACCAGCCGCGCGTTGCCACATGCGCGGTATACTAGCCACACTGTTATCAGCTTGGCCATACTCAGCTGATCCAGCGCCAGTGCGGGATCGGGCTGCAGCAGTCGCTGCTGGTCGCCTGTGCTGTTGGGAGGTCGCCCTGCTTCTGATGCAGCCTCTATTTCTGTGCGCGGAGGAGTCGGCGATGTTGAGATCCCTCGGACCGCCAAGGACATTGCCGCGGCCTTGTGCTGCTGCAGAGACGAGTTCATAAGACCTGTCGAGGTCGCCGAGCATGGCACTGCTGGTGCTGCCCGGGTGTGTAGTCGGCCGCGTAGCGGGGCTGTATGAGAGTGGGGCGTGTCGAGTAAGCATGAGCTGCAGCGAGAGGCCGGTAGAGCTTGTGACCAGAGGCTGCAGCAGATGAGCGGATAAAGGCGGTGACAACGGGAGAGGCGCTGATGGGCATGTTGTTTCCCACCCGTCTCTTGTATACAATAATTATAATAAGGGAGTAGTAATGGCGTAGCTAAGATGCGTGTAGTATATACACAGAATAAAAATAGAGAGAAGGAGGGCGTCAAGTGGAAACAGCTGTGGAAACTATGTGTTGGCTTGACGACAACAAATGCCAGATTTTGCTTTGCCAAAAAGGTAGCTTTGAAGAGATGGGACTATTAATAGTTGTTGGAATCGCTGTGTGGATGCAGTTGAATGCGAAGATAAAAGGAAGTAAAATAGGAGTGGCGAGTGAGGAGAATGGAAAAAAAAAAAGAAAAACACGGTCTCTTTTATACATTTTGACCACAATTACTTTTCAAAAATAAATGCGCGGGAATAGGGAATACGACCGCCGGGAAAAAGCCGCGCATTTTTATTTCTCAAATCTATGTTTGTGCTGAACCCGTGCTCGAATTACTTTTTATTTTTGGCCATTTTCTGTTCCACTGAGCCAATCGATTTGAATTTTGATTGAAGCTGGGGACCAGCTTTTTTTTTTTTTTAAAAAAAATATCGAGGGAATCTTTTTATTTTTCGCCTGTCTTGCAACTGGAGCACCACACACTGCTCGCTCTGGCAAAGCAGCACACTTGGTCCTTGCTCGCGTCGCGTAGTGCATTATTATTATTTTTTATTGCAGTTCTAATGTCGGAGAATTTTTTCGTGTACTGCAAATGCGCTTTGTACTTTTATTTGCATCGGCTACTCGTCATATGATGAAGGTGTTACTAATGCAAGGCTTTTTTTTAGTTTATTTTTCTCCTCTTTTACATGAAATATTTAAATTCCTATTTGTTGCCGCTGCTACTTCTCAGTGCACATGTGACTACCAGCATCGCACAATCTCCGCACTTGCAAAGGCAAGCGCCATCAATGCAAACAACTGGCAGCCACTTATTTCTATCCATTATATTGTCCGCCGCGCTTGTAAAATACAATCTTAAAATCCGGATATACCACCCACACTCTCGCATATGTCCAGTATATTATGACAAGTGCAGGCAAGTGAAAAATGTTGCTTTTTTGGCTTTTTATATATGGTCGGTGCAATACGACCAAGTACAAAACTTGTTTGAAATGACGTATGTGCATGCAATTCGGATACATGAAAGGATCTTTTAGTATGTGTCACTCAAATTGCTTGTCTGCCGATTGCTTTTTTTTTTGCAAAAGGTTGTTATGAAAATCACATTTTAAAAGAGAAAAAGAGAAAGATGGTTTGAGGATTCAGATGCACGTTATAAATGCATAATAAATGTGCACCTTAACATGAACTCGGATATTTTTGTTTTTGCAGTTTAACAATACGTAATAAAAAAACGCTCGTTTGCGAAACTCAGTCCTCGCTCGCTCACTTGCTCGGTTTGCTTCGAACCTGGCATCGATGCGCTAATATGATTTTATTCAGGTTGTCAGGCGGATCATCATTATATTGGGTCTTGCAAAATTGAGTCCGAGATCTTTGCATATACAAACACGCAGCATTGCAAAATCCGCTCTTTTGTTCGTGGGATAATCTCGTAAACGCCCATGTAGACCAAATTGCGATCCATTGGGCAAACTTGTTCGAAGGGGTGCTTCCTAGTATTAATAATACCCGGTATGTTGTGAATATCCGTAAAATTAGTATAAGTTATCGTATTACAGTGTAAAAATAAATAAATATTTATATAAAATGAAATGAGGCTGGCCCCCAAAATCTCGCAAACTCGGGCTTATCACTAATAAAAATTACTTTTTATCGAATGGGCCCACAGCAGTCAACGAAATAACCTTGCCCAGCTTGTGGTGGCAATACGGGCAAACATGGATCTTCTTTTCATGTGCTTCGACACAAAGGGGACCCATGCCAGTGGCCAAAAAACAACAAAATCGCCGCTGCCGCCACAACAGTGCGAGCGCCCGTCTTGGTCTCAATCTGGGTGACTATGTCCTTGTGGCAATTAGGGCACTTCACATTAGCGGGCACGTCGGTCACCTCGATGTATGAATCTTTTGGGACCTTCACTCCTGTGACACCGTCGATCACTGTTGTTTGGCCCGGAGCAGCGTAGGAGGCGCTCCCGGAGGGTATGCGGGCGGATTGCTGTCACCGTAGGGGCCATAGGGCGATGGGCCTGACGAAGGGCCGGCTGTGGGCGGATAATTCTGCTGCTGCTGTCCGTAAGGGTTACCACTGTTGGCGTTGGAGGTGTATCCTGGTGTGCTCCCGCTATGGGCTGCGCGGCTCACGGGGGCGTCATCGTACAGGTTGGTGTACTCGTGTTGGTTACTGTTATTGTTAATATTTGACCTGGGGAGCGTGCCATCGGGCAGCGGGTTCGGGTTGTTGTATGAGTCGGCGACAGCCTTCTCGTTCTTAGCGATGTTCTGCTTGTCGTCCATTTGAATTTTGGTTTGTAGCAAGTTGTAAGCGCGATTGTAGCCAAAGCTGTACTTTTAGTTGTGTGTAGAAAAATAAAGTAAAGTGTGATGAGGAAAAAAAAGAATGGTGAGAAGGAGCTGGAAAACTTGCTCGCTTTTATACGAAAACTCGCATACGCGTTGGATGGCTGAAAACGAATGGCCATTGAGCTAGGAAGCACTAAGAACAAAGTATGAGCTTTTTTGCACTTTTATTGCCAAGCCTCTCACATGGCATACACCATACCATAAATCTGCTGACTTTAAACGGAGACAAGTATTTATAGATGCGCACAAATAAAAAATAGAGTAGTGACGCAAGGCAGTACTAATTTACAATAGGATAGATATAAATCTTGTTTTGCATTGACCAATCAAAAGATGCGGTATGGTTTGGGTAGAGATGCGGAAATAAAAGAAGAATAAAAGAAAACGCCAAGAATGGGGGCGACTCCAGCTTTTTCAAGTTGCCCAGAGTTTTGGAATAAAAAGAACGCGTCATGTACCTTCCCGCCAGGGTTCCATTATTCTATAAATACCCATTAATTTATTTAAGGCAAAATAGTGTTCAACATGAATGTTGTCAAAATCAAAGCAATTCTTGTTTATAAAAATATATTGCATCTTTGATGTGAAAGCTTGGCTGCATGAGTCTGGTAATCAATAAGCAGTTGGCAGTTGGCTTGCAAAATAAAGATACATTTAAAAATAATCAAGTAGATAGAGGAAGATAGAAGATGTAATTATTCACCCATTCAATGCAAAGAACTATTGGTGGACTGGGCCCACAGTGGTCAACGAAATTATTTTGCCCAGCTTGTGGTGGCAATGTGGGCAAACATGGATCTTTTTCTTCAGGCGCTTCGACATGAAAGGAACCCACGCCAAAGGCCAAAACGCAACAAACACAGCAACTGCCACTACAACAGTGCGAGTTCCTGTCTTGGTCTCAATCTGGGTGACTATGTCCTTTTGACACTTTGGGCACGTCACTCTGGCTGGCACGTCGGCCACCTCGATATATGAGGACCCTGCAACTTGCACGCCCCCAACACCGTTGACTATCATTGCCTGGCCTGGTGCAGCGACTATGGTAGCAACTGCTGGAGCAGCAACTGGGCCTGCAGTTGGAGCGGCGTCCAGCTGTGCTTCCAACTGGTATCCTGGCGGCTGGCTCTCGCCGTAGGGGCTATTGGGGCTGGTTGAGACAGGTCCAGCTTGAACTTCACGATCCATAGAAGCATCAATGTTGTAAGCCTCAGCGGTGGCCTTGTCGTTATTAGCAAGGATCTGCTTCTCGTTCATAGTTATCCAATATGAGCAATGCGGCTATGCGACAAATAAAATAAATTGTAATGTGGTGCAAAAAAGAATTAATAAAATATGTAAAAAAATAAAAGGAAATAATACGAAAATGCTGGTTTTATAACCTGTGGAAAAAAACTATTTTTCAAAATATTATAATGTTGGTTAGTAAAATATTGACATTAACCGCAGTAGATTTGTTGGGTGGTTTCTGACTTTAAAAAATTGCACAACTACTGTGCTATAAAGGGAACTTTGCAGTTTGGTTTGCTCCAAGAGAAACTAAATAAATCAACAATCATTTGTATCGTTTTATTTGGCTTTCATGTACAAACGCTAAGCAATGCTTTGGCATTTCCCCTTTGTTGAGTGGCCGCGTCACTTGTGAGGAATAATTTGCAGTTGGTTAAAAAAATTAGTAGAAATGGGCTAATTTCACAAAGTGTAATATTATTATTCTCGAGTTGCAAAAAATAAAAGTGTAAAAAAGGTGACTAAATTTCTTACGCAGAACCTAATATTCTATAAATATGCATTTCCAAAGATAATTCCAAATAAAATATTTGATTGTATATCAGCAGATACTTAAAACCAACGATGGCCTTGTCCTAGCAGCGTCGACTCAAAATTGCAAGGTTGAATTAAAAAACAATAAAAAACTAAATTAAGTCAAGCTCAGCTTGTGAATAAGTTATTCATATAATAAGTATGCAATAGTACGCACACTAAAAAATACAAGTACCAAAAATATGCCTGATAAGCAAAGTAATTAGAATTTGATGCGCTGGACAAAAAAACCGTCCACACCTCGCCCAGAGAAAATAAATACATTGATACAGTTGCTTATTAACAAAGTCATGTTCTGTGTTAAATAACTCTGACAACTATAACTGCCATGATATTTAGATAAATCAAGCTGTGCTATGCCTACGAGGATAAGTAACCGCAGCAGAGTGTGGTCTCCTTGGATTTGCGCCCGGCTGCTGCTGCTGCTGCTGAGTCCCTACCAAAATATAGGGCTTAATTTTCTATCTCTGGCAAAAAAATGTTAACACAGACTACCTTTTTAACAAAATGTAAAGGTAAGTGCGTAAACCAATATCAAGGGCTATCCTCGCAGGCTGGGGATTTGTTACAGTATATTTATTGTATTCAAAACTTAATTGCCCAAAAACAATTTGCGGCAATTATCAGCCTTGATTGCTTATGTTTTATGTTGCTTGTAAAAAACTATAACTAAAGCTGCATTCATAATAATGCGGGTAATATTTACTCCGCCTTTCCCACACATACTGCAAAAAAAGTACGCACAAAAAAAAAATAGAAAATTTTACACATGTCATATTGGAAACAGTTAAATTAGCGGGTCATGTAGGAAGATGCCAAAATTCAAGTCATTTAAATTTATTTCTTGCAGACATGCACATCGCCGCACACCTGCCGCTGCCACAAAAAAAAGAAAAAAGCTAGACAATGGCTAACAGGACAGCAACAATACAAGTCACACATAGGGGGGAAAGAATAAAAATAAAGAATGTGATCACTACATTATTGTTGGATTCTTGGACAGTCAGCCTGTTCACACGCACTTTCTTTTTTACTTTCCTTTTTTTCTTTCTGTGACCACAAGACGTGCATTCCACCTTTTTTATTTTTGTCCTTTGCAAACATATGCGGCCTTTTTTTATTCCGTTTATCCGTACCCGAATTGCAGTATTTATGTTCATCTGTGGGACCCAGGCTAAAAATAATATGAAACCCATTGCAATGAAGACGATACGTACAAAAGTCGGAAAATTCTAGGCATAGAATCGGTATTCTTGTTTTTTTATTTTTGACGCTTTCTCAAATTTATGTCCAGGCCTCAAAAATAAAAAAACAAGTATTAGCTTACTGCTGGTTTAAAGCATTTGTTTTTTAATTCGAAATTGTTGCATTTTTCATGCAAACATCATGTTTTTTCTTCAACGTGACACCGACCTTGATTTATATTTTAAAGAGGCGGTAATTATATAGCCAAATTGAGAAATAAAGTTGTTCAGTGTACATGAGAGAAAGCAATGAAAATAAAAATAATGCTAAAGTCTCGGGTGAGAGCGAGAAAAAAGATCCATTCAAAAAGTTAATACCCAGCCAAAAACTCGGATGCATTGTTGTTCCGAATGCACCCACATATAAAAAATAACATCCAAATATTGGTTGCAAGCCTGTACTCCAGCTCAAAGACCAACCTTTTATTTGATCACGTACACAGACGGAATTGCATTGGGCATTGACTCATTTTAATTACAAGACCATGATATGATATGATAAAAAATAAGTGTATTTGTGTAGGGCTTAAAAATAAAGTGCCCAAATAAAATTAACAATTGGCTTACAATGCGAATATACAACAGCTTCAAAAAATCATTAATGAAAACTATTACTAGCAGCCCATTTTAGAAGCCTCACTGCCCCTAAACGAGTCCTTGCCATGGGCCAAAGACGGCGTAGGGTGCTCGCTCTAATACCAGCACTAGTCAGTGGCAGCACAAGGACCTCCGCAGCCAAGCTCAGATTGTCCGGCGACCGCATAAACTGATAATCTCTGCCAAAAACCTCCGAAAGCGGGGGCAGCCGCGGCCGAGAATCACTGCTCCCAAACAGCACCGGCTTTGGTGATATCTGCGGCGAACAAACGTGTTCCTGTCTTTGCACTGTATGCGGCTCTGGCTCCGGCAACGAGTATCTGACGGATGACTGTTGGTACTGCCCGCGGTAATGCTGCTGCTGCTGCTGCTGCTGCTTGTCAATGTAGTGCAAGCGTGATGGAGGGAACGCAGCAGTAGAAGGAATAGGCACAGACATGGGTGTCTCAACCGCTGCGCGACTATTTTCGGAGCGCTGCATTGGCAAAGACAGCGTGGAGTCATCCTTTACGCACATGGGTTGAGCCTGGCGATGACCCGACAAGTCGGCCGGTGTTGACGGCTGGGGGTGTGCAAATCGGACACCATTGCTGCTCTCAACACTTCTATTGGTAATATCGCTTTCCCTTTCGCGTAAATTGCCGAGAGGTGCATCGACGCATTCGTGCTTTGGGGCTGCATATCTGGTGCATAATTTAATGCAGAGTCCCGGGATTGTGCCGATGAATGCATACGTTGGGGCGCTGGCGATCTAAGTGATGACCTGCTAGGCAATCCTCCACCACTGCCGCCGCTGTTTCTGCTGCTGCTGATTCCTCCAAGTACTTCAGACTCCGCTTCGCATTTCTTGACACTATATCTGCCCCCATCTGCCCCAGCCCCTCGCCAATAAGTTTCAAGGATACTGCTGCCGAGGTGTTGTTATCGGATGCAGAAGCCAAAGACAAGGCAGACCCGGGATCATTCCTTCGCGCATCAGATCCCTGCGCACCACGCTGTCTTGAATCGGCATATTGCGCATGCATAATGGGCGATTGTAATGGGGGTTGGCCGGCATTGCTCGGTGAGATTTGCACTGGCGATGTGAGTTTCTGCGCATAGCGATGCATAGGTGCAGCCGAGGTCGCTGAGGAAAGCAAATGAGGCTCTGGCAGTGTGTATAATGGCCGGCCGGAATGCGGCGAAAATCCGGCTGACGAAGTGGGCGAAAACGGACTCTGTGCGCGGTGCCCTGCCATCTGACCATGCGCCTTCTGTTCGGCGTACTGCATCAAAGGGTGGGTCGCATGCGGCGGCGGCTGCATATGGTGGGGGTGGTGCTGGGCCTGCCGCTGTGGCATCACCAGCGGCGGTGGCAGCGGCGGCCCGCTCATGCCCATAGGGCCTGGTATCCGGTGGGGGTAGTGCTGGCGGGGTGAGCGTGCATCGGCATGTGCGGGGCCGACTGGTTGACAGGACTGCGCATGGGTGGCGGCGGCCGAATCCGGATTGAGCCAGAGTTGGTCATGTAGTCGCCGTACGTCGTGTATGTGTCGTGGTTGTATCCTCCCGGCTGCATCAGCGAGGCCTCCATCCTCACCGGTGCGCCATTCATTGGGGCATCAGGCGGCTGGCCAAAGAACGGCGCCATGTAGTGCTGTGGCGGCGGCGGCGGCGATGACTGTCCGGGGAAGCCGTATACGTAGTAGCTGTGGGATGCCGGCCAGTGCGACCGATTCATGTACGGAATGCTGCCGTCCATCAGGGCCAGCGCCCTGGGCCGCGGCCCGCGCTTGCGGTTCGACGGCTGGTAGACGCACGGCCAGTTGAACTTTGCGCACGTACGGCACGAGGGGCGCCCACCGTCGCATTTAACCTTTCTCTGCCGGCAGGTTGTGCATGCGAGCGACAGCCGCTTCCGAACTGGCGCTGACTTGTCATCCTTTTTCTCTGCCGAATCATCCGCGGTTGGGGACTTGCTGTCGGTGCCAAGATGATGCTGCTGCTGCTGCTGCTGCTCAAACTGCTGGTAATGATGGTGATGCACTGCTGACGACGACAACGGGGGTGCCATTTGCTGGGACTGGGACTGGTGATGGAATTGTGCGTCCTTTGCCATGCCGCTATTTTGAATGCCGCCACCGCTGGCAATACTGCTTCTACTGCTACTGCTGCTCTCGTTATTGGTAGTTTGTTGCATATCGGCGATTGTCCGTCGAGGTGGGATTGTAAAAAAATAAAATAAAGGGCAGTGGATGGACTCTGGAAAAAAGGGTGGGAGGGTATATCCAAAAAAATCGAAAATCACAGCTCAGGCTGACAAGTGAGTGCGAAAAAATAGGGGCCCAGCCGTCTTGGTCTATATATTAAATAATGTGTGCAAACAAAAAATAAACAAAATGGACTTTGGGTGTGATGACCCAAAAACCAAACCAAACCAAATAAAAATAAAAGAAAAATAATTTTAGTTTCGTTGAATGATTATTAATTGTTCAGGTAAACAAAAACAGGGTATAGTGGGTGTGTGTATGTATATGTGGCGAAGAAGAGAAATTGAACAAAAAAGAAAGGTTGAACAGCGTATGGACAAACAGAAAAAAAATATGAAACAATGAAAAAAACTGTTCTCGGTACGCAAGGTAGCACAGGCAAACGGGATCCAGCGAGTAATCAGAATCGCTTTTTTCATGGACAAACTGGGAAGAAAAACAAGGAAGAAAAAACGAATGCTGATGAGGCAGAAAGGCCGGGCGTACCAGACAGAAATAAAATGAGAAACAAGTATAAATGTACAATATTGTAAACTAATATAACGAGGAAATGATAGGAGATAAAAAGGGAAGGAAAAACCTAAAAGAACCATACAGATTGATTTATTCCCAGGATAGGGGCAGGGACACGAGGTAATGACGATGCCAAATGTGCGTTTATTTAACAAAAAATAAAAGCCCGCTTGATGCAGCCAATTTGAGGAGAAAATAAAAATAATATTTTTTGGGAAGCAAGAATGAAATTGTTGGTGTGAACTCTTATGCTGGTCCTTTTGCAAACGAGCACGAGCGCATGCGTTACGCAGAAAAGAAAGCACTCGCTCGAAAGAGGGAGGGAAGGGAGAGGTAGGTTCACAGGAGGGGAGAGGGGGTGGGAGGCGTGGCATAAGGGTTAATTGCAGGGGCGGTATTAGCCGCAGTCCAGCACTGCAGTGCAGAAAATTGTGTACCTTTTCGCTTGGACGATAAAGGCATAAAAAGAAAAAGGCTGCCTTGCATGCAGAATGAGAGGGAGAGGGAGGTGTTGTGCATCAACCCGCCTCCATCGGCCGCACCATCCCTCTTTCTCAGCTGTTCAAAATGTTCTTTTGCGTTGCTTGTTGATGATGCATATCCGACTAGACGCTTGAAATGGACAAGACCAAGAACAAGACACAAAAGGGACCAAGCGTAGCAACCAAGAAATAAAAACTAACATGCATAGTCTACGTGGCCATATCCATAGAGTGACTGGATCTGCACAAAAAGGAAAGGAAAATCTGAATTTCAGAACACGTCAAGCGGTATTCTCTGTGGATACTTCGCACCGCCTTGCTCCCCCTTTTAGAAAATAAAAAGCCCAGGGCGTGGGCATCCCGAGATATACATACATAATCAAAGTGAGGATACTGTGTGCGTATGTGGGCAAAAAATGAAAAGGAGAGTGGAATCCTTTGGGAATATACGCGAGATTAAGAACAAGCTCTTCTGCACTACATATGTCTGTTCTGCAGTTTGAATCGCATGTGCGCTGCACAGGAACGGAATGAACACCCAACAATGCAAAGTTTTAGACCAAGAGTGAGAAGAAAAATAAAAGTAGCGCAATCTGTCGACAATGCAATACGACCAAAAACAGCAAAAAAAGGGATGTGCTCGCTGTTTTTTTCGCTGTGCATTGGGTGCCAAATGGGAATATTCTCGGCAAGTACAAAAGAGACTTGCAGCCAAATAAAAGGTAATAATGGCGGAAATGCAAATAGTAACCAGCGCTTGGTCGCTGAATAGACAAGGTTGGCAAAATGGAGAGGGGCGGGAGGAGATAGAGCAAGGAAATTCCACTTTTTATGCCCAAAGTGGCGGTGGCTGAGTAGTTCTACTGCTATCCCTCTTTTCATAAAGCATTTTCAATGGATAAGAATCGGCCAGCCGTGCTGGGCACGATTTCCTTTTTTGCCTGAATTTAAGCAAGCAGTAAAGGCAAGTTTATAGATGCAAGTTTGTAGATGCAGTTGTTTTAACCAGCAGCGCGGCCAAATTAGAAAAGTAAAATCGACCCGCTTGCGGACAAAACAAGGGTTTGGCCAAGAAAAAAGAAAAAAGCCCAACAAAAAAAGAAAAAAGTAAACCATTTCTGGAATTAATTGGCCACATAAATTTTATTTCGGTTATTTTTCTACTTTTAAAGTCCAAATAAGAAAGGTGGTTCGACTTTACAAACGGGGTTATTGCAAGGGAAAGATGCAGCCACCTTGTTTCTGGCCCATGCATGTAGAATTGCAAGCAAGGCGTCAAACGGAGATGTGGAGAAGAAGGGTGGTGGGTTGTTTTGGAGTCAAATTGACAAAAAATAGTATCATTTTGGAAACGGAAAAGGCGAGGCTGAAAAGCTGGCGGGAAAAAAACAGGGCAGGACAGGGCAGGACGCAATGTTTTGAAAAATGTGTTCTGGGGCTGCCTGCAACCAAAACAGAATCGAGCCAAGTGGGTGCATGTGTTCACCCGGACCCCTTTTGAAATGCATTTTTGAATATGCATTTAAGCGAGATACGGGTACACTGTAATGAAAAAAGTTGATCAAATTGATAAATTTTAACGCAAGAAAATTGAATTCTTACCAGTATTGACTCCTGTATATGTATCTATATAAGAAGGGACCGCCCGTCCAATATGCTAAGATTAGCAGTGTCGATATAAAAAAACAAAAGGTGCAAAGTGGGTATAAAAGAGAACAGCTTTGCAGTTTTTACAATGCTGCGAGTAAAACAGAAAAATAGAGCAAACAAAAGATAAGGATAAAAGTAGAGCCTTAAAAATATATTACAAGCAGTTGAATAACTCTAATAGATGAAAAATTACAAAGCGGGCTAATGTTAAATTCATAACACACGCTTGTAGATGGAGTTTAAAACTGGTTATATGTAAAATTGCCAAAAGTAAATGAATGAATGAACGAAGAAAAAAGAAAAGGAGGAAAAGATCCAGCAACAAACAAAGGCGTGTATGAATTAAAATACTCAGGTGGGCGTTCGCTTGCCTTAAGTATTATTTATTCTTGGTGCCAAGCAGCTGGGGAGGTTAGGAAAAATTTATAGACGAACAGAAATAAAAAGGGGAGGCCCCAAATGAGGTAAATCGCGCCTTCTGTTTTATTTTCCTGTTATACAGCTCGGGTGATTTGGTGACCGAAGTAAAAAAAGAGGAATGCCCGACCATGTCCTTGTCGCCTGCAGATTTGCCAGGCAAGTGGAGAAATTTAGGGAGGCCGGGTTCCTGAGAGGTGCTTGAAGAGGTGGTCTTTTGCCCACCCCCCTTTCACACACCCACCTGCCAGCGGAGAGGCGTTCTGCAGGGGGGAGGGGGAGAGGAAGGATGGGTGGTGAGCAGAACGTCTCATGATCTCATTGTCTGCAGCTAAAAAGGATGTTTCGCAGTAGGCGGCTAAAGGGGAGAAAATAAGAAAATAGCGGCTTGCTCACTATGCTTGTTCATAAATGACACTCGAGCGTGTCGATAAAATTAGAGAGATGAATCGATATTGAGATATAGCCTGCTTGGCAAATGCCTTGCATTCCATTTTGTTTTGCGCCAGCCGGCAGCATAGCCCGCGAGCAGGCGCTCCCCCACCGAGTCACCGCGTAACGAAAGAAATTACAGCATGCTTCTGCGACAAATCGGGATGGGATTAGCGCTTGAAGATCTTAATTTCACAGAGACTTCATGGTCGCGGGCTGCCCACCGTGACTATACACTCTATAGCCCGGCAATGTGTGAATGTTAGCGACAATCCGTAGCAGTCTCTGCTGCGCAATATAAAAATTCGATTCCACCGGCCCAATTACATATACACCACTATTTGCACCAAATTGCCTGTTCGTTATTTCTTTTACATATCGCCTAAAGCAACCAATTAATGAATGAGGCACAAGACCGAGACGGCGCATATACATGACATATTGCATTTTATTTGTTTCTTGCTTGTTGCTTGTCGCTTGTTGCTTGTCGCTTGTTGTTTTGAAACAAGATTTATCGGGCATTCCCGCAAAGCGATCGCGCAAAGAAAAGCGAAAAAGCCGCCAATGCCGAGCAAACAAAAGCGACTGCAGCACAACAATGAGAATCTGGCAGGTGAGAGAATCTGCAAATAAAAAAGTATTCAGCTAGAAAACGACCCGAAACGTAGCACGGAGATATACAGACAACCAAAATCTAGATGAAGAGTGAGTGAGTGAGAAAGAAAATATGAAAGGAAGGATAGTGAAAGGGGAATTGTGGCGAGGTCAACTTGTTTGTATTTCTTTTCAATTTCTTTTTCTTTTTCATACTAGCAATTGTCCATATGGAATATCTCGCCAAAACAAGATGCGCAATTTTCCCATATATTAAGATATGACCAGTTGAATGTAGAGCGCCTTTATTAATTTTTTTGTGGGCCGAATCTTCTTTTTATATTTGTTCCATTGAACTAAAACAAAAAGCTGTTTTTTCATGTAAATGTGGGCCATTCCAGCATATTATTCACATTGCGAGCGCCGGTTTAACTGTTGACTGGCCTTTTCTTGCTGTTGGTGTTGTTCGCAGTAATTTACATATTTTAGACTTTGCTTAACCCCGAAAAAATTAAATGTGATTTGCATATCTGCCCGTTTACTCTGATGATCTCACAATCTCTAATCTCTGCTTGGTTTCATGTGACAGAGGAACCAGCCAAAAATAAAAATAAATAAAAAGGAACAAGGAATAGGGTTTGACGGAGACAAATTTCACCGCGCTGCCAATTGTTGGAATAAAAAACAAGAAACAAAACGAGTGGAGGAATAGATAGAGGGAGAACGGGGGGGGGGGGGGTGGTTGCGTCAAAAATTTTAATACGGAAAACAAGCACATGCCATCATTTTTCTGCTTCTCTGTTTTCTGTTCACATTATTTTATTTTAATATTTGCTCACTTTGACGATAATAACAAACAAGCAACTAACCAGCAAACAATACATACTATTTTTATCCCTCTTCCTTCCTCTGTCGACAGCATCCCACGCCTCGTATACATTCAGGACCTTTGCAAACGTAAAATAAAACAATGATTGGACTTTCAGCCCGTGTGCCCATGGCTTTTGGATCCATGAGTGCTGTGACAATCCGCAGAATGACGGCAGCAGCAACAAATCCTGGATTCATAATAGACAAGCCCGAGTTTTACGTAACCTTCAAGGAGCTAGGTCCCAAGGCCGGGTGCCTTGCTAAAATCACGATGAATAGCCCAAAGGCCAACACGTTCACGTACGCTTCACTGCAGGCCCTCGGCGACTGCCTCGCCGAGGTCGAAGCCCAGAAGGGCGTACGCGGTCTGGTTTTGGATTCAACAGTGGACGGCTTTTTCTCAGGTGGCTTCAATCTTCCTATATTCCAGAAGATATCCCAAGAGGATTTCATGCAGCTGTGGTCCCTTGGAAAACACATATTCCGCCGCATCTACTCGCTTCCAGTTCCATCCGTGGCGGCAATCGACGGACATGCGCTGGGCCTGGGCTGCGTCATGGCCATGGCCTGCCAGCAGCGGTACATGGTCATTGGTGCGAAGAAGCTCATTGGTCTAAATGAGGTTGCTGTCGGGATGCCCCTGCCCGAGTGGCTTGCCGTGCGTTTCCGCGATCTGACATCCATGCGAACTGCCGAAGATCTTTTGGCCTCTGGCACTGCCATAACTGCGCCACGCGCTCATCAAATCGGCCTTATAGACGAGGTGTTTACATCCAAGGATGAGATGAATGCTGCAGCGATGGACTTTTTGTGGGAACGCGCCGCCATACCCTACTATGCCCAATCAGAGACCCTAAAGAACTTGCGTCGCGGGTTTTTGGATTACTTTGACGCCGAATTTGAGAGGGACAATGCGCAGTTCTGGATTGCTATGAGCCACCCAAGCACCCAGCAGTGCATTGATCGCGCGATTGCACAGCTTGCCGCCAAAAGCAAGGCAAAGAAGTAGATGGTTGGGTTGGGTTTAATTTGCTCATATGATTTGGTGCCGCAAAAGTATCGTGGCAGTATGACCCGGCGAAATGCCGTGCGATACTGTTTTGCGTCGGGCAGTCAATAATTTAATTATTTTTACTGCAGAATTCAAGTTCTAGCTGTACTCAAACAATTATTCCCCAACGAGCAACGATTTGAGCGATTAAAATGCACAAGTAACTTTATACACTCGGAAGCATTGGGCTTATCATTTGTTTCTGGCTTGCAATGCAGTTAACGAAAAGTAACTTGCAATTGTCTGCTGTTTTATGTTGTTGCTGCCACTATCCAAAAGTTTATGCTCAACTTTGGTTGTTCGAAAGTTTTAGAATTGTATTTGGACCGGCATTTGTAACTGCATAATATTTTACGCGTTCATTTAACTGCTTCATCAAAAAGATAAAAAAATGAAATAAAGCAGTGTTAACTCGCTATACAAAAAACAAAGATATCTACAGCTCAACACGAAGAGGAGTCTCGGTCTCACAATCTCGAGCTCACCGCTGTCAGCGATAACAATGTCGACCTTGGGCTTGTCACCGGCGCTCTTGGGCCCATTTTCGATGGCAGTGACAATATCCATGCCCTCCATGACCTTGCCAAACACGACATGGCGGCCGTCAAGCCATGAGGTCGTCACAGTGGTGATGAAGAACTGAGAGCCATTGGTATTCTTGCCAGAATTGGCCATCGACAGCACGCCGGGACCAGTGTGGCGCAGCTTAAAGTTCTCGTCGTCAAACTTGTTGCCGTAGATAGACTTTCCACCGGTTCCATCGCCCCTAGTGAAGTCGCCGCCCTGAATCATGAAATCCTTGATAACGCGGTGGAACTTGCTGCCCTTGTAGCCGAAGCCGTGCTCGCCAGTGGCCAGCTCAAGGAAGTTCCTTGCGGTGTCTGGGACGGTCTTTCCAAAAAGTCCGATAACAATGCGCCCAAGCTCCTTGTCGCCCTGCTTGATATCAAAAAACACCTTGTTGGTCACGACCGGTCCGCGCGCCGCCTCGACCAGCTTTGCGCTGAGGGCCATCATCATGATAATGGCAAAGTAGAACAGGCCGCTGGCCCGCATGAGCACAAATGGGATTCTCATAGCACAGTAGTATAAGAAATGATATAAAAATTGGAGTGGAGAAATAATGAATATAAAAATTGGAGCAGAAAAGAAAGAAAAGAAAAGACACGTCCATCGCAATTTATTCCCTCCTCCTTTGTGAGGCTTACCCCACACGCCGACCAACACGTCATGCTGTGGATTCAGCCTCGCGTGATTACTTGGCTGATCAGTCCAGCTGGTCCAATCTTACTGGCTGCTGGTGTTTTTTTTTATTTTATTTTCTGTTGCTATTGCTTTTGTCTAATCTGTTTTTTCTTTTTAGCGCACACCACAGCAAAAGAAGAAGAATGGAACAGCGCTTGAGGAGATACAGACAAAGGCGGATGCACTCGAACGGTTTTGCACTTTAGTTGTGATCCTGCTGTCAGCGCGTCCAACAATAATATAAATGAAAACTGAATCTTATTTTGGAACAAATTAAATGAAAAATTAGAAAACGCTGAACGCGTACCAAACAATACCCCTTGTGGGGACCAATTATAAACCTATAAGCCTGGACGAGATACACGTCCAACAATAATAAATTTGATTCATCAATCTCGATTAGTTCTTTCTAATTCTTCTTTTGGGAGGCGTTTGGACGAAAAAAGATGAAAATACACTGAAGTGTGTGGAACTTTCCCAAATCCTGATTTCCTCAAGCATAATGTGCAGAGGTGTGATATTTCACAGACTTTGAAGCCAGAGCTCAAGGACAAGACCAAGGCTGCCAACGAGTTCAACTTCAAGTTCAGGTGTTGGAACCGCGACATTGCGTCGGCATGCAATCTCATTATGATGTTCCTATATCGTCGCAATTTTTAGAGCGCCACCCAGATTTTAGGCACCATGGTAGACCGCCAAATGATCTGAATACCGCGTCCAAGCCCAAGCGTAACAAGACTAGACAGTCTTTATCCCTTTCCTCACATCAAGGCAGCTATTACTGCTGCCTGACGGCTCGATCCTTACTAGTTAAAACCAACGACAGCAGATGGGGAGCTATAGGACCTTTGCCCAAAACTCCCCAATAATAATTATATTTTTCATGTTGTTATTTTCTCGATTCCATTTAGATTTCCCTCCATCCAATTTGCTATTTTTTCTTTTTTCGTCACGCTCAATATTTTCTCCTCTTTTTTACATTGCGAATTTCGCCTGTCTTCTTTTTATTACTTCTCCCATCCCTCGCGCTTAGTTCACACCACCCTACCTAGCCGCTTTGAGAAGAAGAAGCGCAAAAAGCCAAATCCGCGAAAAAATGAGTTCGAGTATACTGCAGGGTGCCATTCCCATCTTGGCGTACTGTGGGTCATCCATCACAATGACCCTGGTCAACAAGCTGGTTCTGTCCAATTTCCAGTTCCACATGGTGTTCTTTATGCTTGCCGTGCAGGCCTTTGGGAGCGTCGGGCTGATGGTAGTCGCCAACAAGGTCGGGCTCAACGTCAAGTATCGCGCGATGAACAAGGCCGACGCGAAAACGTGGTTCCCTGTTGCCTGCTCGCAGGCGCTCATGCTGTACACCGGCGGAAAGTCGCTTGAGTATCTGAACGTACCTCTGTTTACTGTGTTTAAGAACTTGACCATCATCGCTGTTGCGTACGGCGAGAAATGGGTGTTTCACGCGGCTGTCACCCCCCTGATGCTCACTTCTTTTGGTCTGATGGTTCTGTCCTCGCTGGTCGGCGCATGGAATGACATCGGATTTAACGGGTGGGGCTACTTTTGGATGACCGCTAACTGCTTCGCCTCGGCAACCTTTGTCATCCACATGCGCAAGGTTATCAAGCAGGTCAATTTTAAGGACTTTGACACCGTGTACTTTAACAACCTGCTGACCCTGCCACTGTACTTGGTGCTCAGCATGGTGCAGGAGAACTGGTCGGGCTTCTTCGTGTATTACTCGGACAAGGCCAATGCCGATGAGCTCAACTCGTTTGTCCAGGGTATGTTGGTTTCGGGAATTGCTGCTTTTGCCATTTCGTACTGCTCGCCGTGGTGTCTGCGCACCACCTCGTCGACAACGTACTCCATGATCGGCGCCCTCAACAAGCTGCCTATTGCTATTTTTGCCATGCTCTGGTTCCCCGATCCCGTTAGCGCTGGTGGCGTGCTTGCTGTCCTGCTTGGCTTTGCTGCTGGTCTGGTGTACACCCACGCCAAGAATGTTCAGAAGCGGGATCAGCCGAGCAGCGCTCAGGGTCTGCCCCGTCCCATCTCGATGGATAGACTTGATGGCGCAAACCGCCAAAACAAATAGACATGAGTAGTGTTATTCTTTATTTTCAAAATACAACTTGGCAAATGGTAACGTCTCGGATGGCATCAAAACTAAAATAACAATGTCACCATTTATTTTGATGTGTGTGTTTTTAAAAATACGTAGGACAGCCAGGGAAAAAAAACTGAACCATTCTTTATTTGTTAGATGCCATGTTTTGCCAATCATGTGCTTAATGTTATCAGTTATTAGTATCAGCCACAAACAAGAATAAATAAATAAAATGTGTCACTTGTACAAAACGAATGAAGGTTTAATTGCCTGAGGGTGGAGGTGTTTACTAGAATGTTAGTCAACTAATCCCGACGAGCACTTGATCTGCCAGCTAGAGCGCCAATCGTCGCCAGATGGCTGGTGTGCATGTCTGCTGTCCTCATTGCTGTTTGTTGAGATTGGAGTCTCATCAACAATTGGCGTTTCTCAGACATCAAGGACCCCCCACTTCCCGTTCGATCTGTAAGTCGCACCATCCCTTGTACCAGTCGTACTGTTTGTCTATGGTCTCGTTTACAAACACCGTTGCTTGTTTTGCGCGCTCTCCTTGGAGTTTCTTGACCAGCATTGTGTACTTGTCTGTCAACTTCTGGCAGGTGCGCCTCATATCAAGGCCAGCTTCTTGTCCTAGCAGTGGGTCACACGCGTCCTAAATTTCCTAAGTTTACCAGTTTTATGAGATACATGAACCAGGTTTTCTTTCCATCTTTAAATACCAACAGCTGGACCCTACAGCTCGCATCTAGACCCAACAACATAAAAAAGAATAACATCATCCGTGCTCTTCTCATTATCATTATTTTGACGTTGGAGAATAATTGCCTGTTCTCCGCCCATGTCTTTGTTAAAATTAGCTGAGGTTTTAAGTTTTGGTGTTAACTGTTTTTTTATTGGTAAGGGTGTATGCATTTACAACACGAATAATCTCACATTTGCCCTTAGTTTTTTGTCACAACAAAATCCACACTTGCCTGATCCACCATGTACATACAGGGAGACTGGTTCATTACATTGATATGTCTTGTATCCTTCTTTTTTATAAAGTTGGGTACACTGCCGATTTTGTCATCTACACGTAAAATTAAAGTGTTATTTGTCAGCTCCTTACCATTGGGTTTTTTGAAGTCGTTCTAGTAAACTTACTGGGATATTTTATACATAAACTTAGATAACAGATTGTCATTTTTTGTATAATTAACAATGGTAAGTAAAAGTAAAAACTATTTAATAATATTAGAAATAGGGTGGAGTAAACGTGTAACATAAATATAAATTGACAAAAAAATTACCAATGAGGCTCCCTCCCATTTTCTCAACTTTTTATTTGTTTTATTTGTTTTATTTCTCATTATTTTTTGCTTTATTATACAAAGGCATGACTTGCTTTTATGTAAAAAAATTTGTGCGTACGCAAACTTGCTAAAAAAAGGTATTGGCTATTGTTAAAATCCAGCCATAGGCCGGTAAGGGGAACAATGAGACAACTAAGCGAGGGAGGTTGTTACATGATGAAAAAAGCTGCCCCCAAACTCCGCAAAAATATTGGAAAACCATTTCTCCACCAAAAAATGTATAATTTTTTGCCCCACACGTGATGTGTTTTTATTAGCTAGTTAAATATTAGACCAATATTATCGGCCCCTGCTTTTTGTATGTACAGTCAATCGAGCTTGAGCGCCAGCTCAATTTTACTGTGTGAGCATTTTGCCGCCTAACGTAGTACAATTTTGTTACTGGTCAAACTTCCAATTGAACATACATGTTAAATGATGACTAATATTAATAAAAATGATAAGAAATTGAAAACTATTTGCATCTGCCTAGCTGTGTTATTTTGCCAAATGTGCATTTGTGAATATAACACTCTTCATGAAAAAACGCTTGCCTTGCTTGTCCAGATACACGCCAACGCTTTTGATGACACAAGGTCTGTCAATAACTATATACCTGGGTGATGGATATGGGAGTTGGTAACACAGCTCTCATTTTTTTGCATAGTCGCGGCCGGGGTCTTGAACAAACGAGATTAACAGTCCGGCCGTCGTGTTCATGGTCAAAAATAACACACCCTGGCCGATGTAATGCCTAATCTGCATATCGAGATACCCAATTTGAGAGCTATTGCCAATGGCAACAGGTATTTCCGCCAAAACCCATGAGGAGCCTCGAGCACACTTGGTCACATTGTCGTCGGAACACGCATGCCAGAGTTCAGATGAGGCTTAAAGTAAACGGAAATCCCCCCTTATTTCTGCAGTACAAATGGAGCCAATTTCTGGATAGACAGTGGTGCAAGATGCAGGATCCACACAACTGGCATGTCCTGTTTGTATTGGTAGTCGGCTGCAATATTCAATCGGCGCTGCCAGTATTGCTTAAGGTGGCCATCAAATGCCTATTTCCAATAGTGCATTATCCCTTTTTTGAGCCTCTTGGTATTCTTGCCATTGACAGATGTAGCCGTCAGACCAGTCCAGTGAGCTGCCCGCCCAGTGATTAAAAATGTATTGCCCAACTTGTACGCGGCATATAGTCCAACTAGCTGACGTGGATATTGTATAACTGGGTAGCAACGTTTGCATGCCCTTTGATTGCTTTGGTGTAAATGCCATTGGCAGCTCCATGGCTCTGCAATTCGATGTAGGTAAGGTCCTGGTTTTGTTGATAATATTGGAGATGTGCAGGATATAGTGGATATTAATAATCTGAAGACCCTTCAGCCCTTATGCTCAGTGTGTGGCCGTGTAGCTGCATACATGTGGTTTGCATGTTGGCAAAGTGCATCAAGCAGTGGAGAGGATTTGTACAACATCACTTTGTCATCTCCTGAGATTGCCCACAATGTGAATATAGCTGCGATTTTTGCCAGATCAAGCAAATTATTTCGAGTTCAAACAGTTTTATCAAGTCTCCGCTAAACTGTTGAACTGGTACAACTGATACGACAAGAACAAGTAAGCCAATGTAATAACAGCGCAATATTTGCTAACACCATCAAATGGAGATTGGAATGTACAGTCAAAAGTTACGGCATTTGGTAGTGAGCTGCCAAAATGGCAATGATTTTTGCACATGCTGCATTATCCAAATAAAAGGCATAGTCTGTTTTTGTCATGCTGACAACCAAAGCTTGTGCCCATCCTTTAAGCATATGCACTCTGTCAAGACAATATGAGCTGTAGTCGACAAATGATTACAGGTATGATAAAGGAGATGGATGCTTCATGCTTTTGGCAACCACAAAATGGTCAAGGCATAGGTCACAAATCGCTGGTACATCCTCATGGTTCATGGGGTAGGAGCTCCGGGCTGTTTATTGTTTTTGCTATTCCTGTCCACCTCGCACATTGGGCAGAAACAAGAGCTCATATGCCTAGCATGGCCATGATTTAGCAACTCCTAGAATGTGCCAGTAATCACCAAAACGTGCATGTAAAGGTGGTACTGCTTGTTGCCAACACTGAATTGAAACCCATGTTTTCAAGCTGGGTAAGCTCTGTAGCCATCGGTATAAGAAAACTCCAAATGTCCTTAGGCTTGCTGGGGCCAGGAAGGACAAGTGACTGAAATCAATCCTCAAATTTATAAACAGAGCTGCACAGGCTGTGAACAATGACGTCCATCATAGTGCAGATGTGTCCTGCCAAACTCTTAAATGCCTGGAATCTGTCAATTAAATGGTAATATACACTGCATTGCTGGCCCAGTCTGGGAACCTCATGCACAGCTGCGCAAAGTTGTGCTGTCCAAAATATCACACACAATACCATCACTATCACCAGGTCAGCTGAATTTATACGCATCAGGCTGGCAATGGTGTCATTCATGAAAATGGTGCCAGGGAAGACGCAATCGGGATGTATGTGAAGGTGTATGGCACACATTGTCAGTGTCCTTGCCAACCAGTCATGCTGTCGGGCCACTTGCATAGTGAGACAATATTCTTGTAGGGCTTAGTCACCTGTTCCTTGTTGCACTCCTTGCAAGATGTACTTCCCTCATAGAATCTATGACATTCACGCTTGCACCTTTTATAATTAATTGTGACGACTCCAAATACTTGCTGCACATGTTGTCCAAGCAAGAAGCCCGAGGGAAGCACATTTTTCCAAGATAGGCATTGGACACTGTAATTATGTTGATCCTCAGACTTTAAACTGCGTTGTGTTGGTCAAAATTATCTATCAATGCACACCCAGCTGGAAGCCAGCATTGCCAGAAGCAGCTACTTCAGGAATTATCAAAACAATTGCTGATGCTGGGATATGACATTTATCTGGTCAACGAGGTATGGCTTGGCTGGTTGAATTGAATCACCCATGTCGGATACTGGTAAGTTATTGGTACAAGGGTCACTATCACCATTAGTGCCGCCATTATCCAAATCCTCGTCATCTTCAATAAAGGTATCCAAAACAACATGCTCGTCACCTGGCTAGGAATTATCAATGTCAGCAGTATATGTGGTGTCATCGATGTCAGCAGCGTCAGCAGCATTGGTGGTGTCAGCAGAGTCCGTGGTATCAATGGTTTCAGTAGTGTCGGCGGTGTTGCCAAGCACATTGTCAAATGTCCTGACTGGGATCTGCATTCTACATCTCAATGACAATTTTTTGGAGCCCAGATATGCTTTTTGTGTGTGGGAGCTCAGGCAAAATGGGCTTCAGTAAGGATTCGTAAAATCTCTTCTTTGCATTGCACTCAAAAGAACATGAACGTAATTCATAATAATAGGGCCAGTCATGGTTGGTTGAGGTGTGGGCTGGGAACCATACTCTGGTGAACTTTCGGCCATGGCTGATTGACAAATATAAAAATGAAGTATTAAAGTTGAATAAAGGAATGTTATAACTGTAGTCAAAAATATATGCATATAGATAATATAAATTGAAATGTACATAATAAATTTATTTTGTGCTGTATGGTACGTTCAACTTGAATTTTTTTTGGCAGTCACAAGTGTATAATGTGAATGCCAAAAAATGATCACATTTGCAGCCGCTAAGTGCTATTTTTACTGGTATACTTGGGAGTGAAGAGGATGCATTGGATAATTCTCGATATAGCATGGACTTGAAAATAGTTTACAACTTCGCATCGGTTGGACGCATATTATTTACTACTAAAATAAAAAGCATACAGAAATAATAAAGAATATAGTTGCTGGCTTGGTCATGCATTGGTGTATTTACAATGTTTTTTCTTTAATTATTTATTTACTTTTTTCTCAAGCTTTTCTATTGCAATGGCGCTTGAAAAAATTGCTTTACTGAGCTTGAGATTTTTCAGCTGAGGGCACTTTGTATCGCTCAATCAAATGAAAGGACCCTTGGTGAGTTTATTGCTACAGTCAACTCTCTGGTTACCACAATCGACGCTCTGATAAAAGATGTGGAGGCCAACGCTGAGCGACACCAGTTTATTACCAAAGTGGGAGAGCTTACCGACAAGCTTGACGACCCAGCTAGTAGGCACACGGAGATGGTTCCAAATGGATTAACGGCGTTTGAAGTTGCTAATCTCAGGTGCGCGGGTGACTTCGACTCTACGTCATTTGTGATCACATGGGGGTTTATGCAGATGAATGAGAACTACGACATCAAAAGACTCTACATACTGTTGCGCCTATCGGCCCATGAAGTGATGGACAGGTTTTCTTTTTATCATACAATTTGGACCGTATCAGATTCACCACGCACTGCTTTTGTGGTTCAAGAAACGTGGAGGAAAAAAGGTGACCGCAAGCAAAACGATATGATAGCGAAACTAGTGTCACATTTTGACACACTCGGGTTTTCCATTCCAATCAAGGAAAACTTGTGGATGGCGCAGCGGATTTTGTCTGAAATTGTGAGGAATAAGCAGTCTGCAGATGATATAAATGCTTAGTAAGCACGTATGATTTTGATCATGATAGCTGTAATGGTTATATTATAAAAATCACTCACTCACCATTATTTTTTGATAAATTGTTTATTTTTATATTTTACTAGCAATGCCACAAAAGAGGAGCTCCCTACACCTGGTAAAACTTTTCCTGTAGCATCTAGATCGTCACAAAAAAGAATGCACTGAGGCAGTTTGAGGGCTTGGTTGGAAAGTCATTCAGTAATAACGAGGTCATTACTGATGACGAGTGGAAGGTACAAGTGTTTTGGCGCAATATCCCTAATTCCAACAAGGTCAGCCAGCCGACCAGTGGTGTAATTTGCGTGAAGCAGATCAATGTCGAGCAGGCCAACAGCAGACTTGTTTATAATTTAGTTGGATCCGCTAGTAACAACCCCAATGATGACAGGTCTGACAGCGATAGGCCCGATAATGATGCATCTGATGACGATGGGTTTGCCATTGCTGATGTGAAGGCTATTGGTGAATGCGCTTCTGATACTTGCACTGCACCCACTACAACATTGTCTGCCTTTTGTCATATTAGTTGGTCCTCTGTGGCAAACAAGGCCAATAAGCTTTACCAGAACCTGCTGTCTAAGCACACAAAAACCGCCGACACAGATCACCTTCAGCAAGTGTATATGGTCACTATTAGGGATGCAGTTAATTGAATCTTTGAGGATAGCTTTTTTAGGATCACTATGGCCATGGTTGTGGTCATTAATCTCTGCAAACAATTTGTGAACCATGTCAACAAGCGCTACACATCTATTGATTCACCGTCTGTTGCCCTACCTGTTGGTGGAATCAACGGGCCGTCGCCGATGCCTACATGCCCTGTCGATTGCAATGACATTAGTGCCCACTCTATTCAGTTTTTTCCTGCGCTCACAGTTGCATTGAAACCCTTGAGCTTTTTTTACTTGCCCAGCAGAGATAACTTCATGTTGCACACAAGCGTGGCAGGCCTACAAATAATGCTGCCGCTGCCCATGTGGCTTCTCCTCCTCCTCCTCCTCCTACACACAAACGCGGTCGACCCAACAATAACATAATTGATCATGCGACTCCATCTAAACATGTGGTTAAACGCAGCCATGGCAGACCCAGAAAGGACGCCGCTTCTGCCAGTGCGGCTACTTCTATCTCTATCTCTTTATTTATTTCTGAGACCAGCCGGGGGTTAGGTAAACCCAAAAAAAATTGCTGCCTCCAAGTAATTTGCCAACTCTGCCACAACGCTCCCACAGGACAGCAAACAGCTACAGTTTTTCAAGCAACGAGCATGTCTGCTATTTTTATTTGTAATGTGATACTCTTAAAATTAAATTATACTATATATATCTATGCCTATATTATAAAAAGCACTCAATGATGTGAGTTTCGAGTAATTACAAAAATTAAAATAAAGCTGCCGGCTGTTTGCTAATAATCTTTATCTTATTGATGCCATGCCTAAATGTCTGCACAATCAATATGCACTAAACACAAAATTAAAATATTAAAATCGCTATTAATATGCATTCTACGCAGTACTCAGTGCTCAGTATAAGAAAAGCCTATCATTAATACTGATGCTCACACATTGCCAAATAGCAAGAAATAAACTGCTTGGGGAGCCGTGCAGTATAGTTTTGGCTGGTATAATAGCGTGGACTAAACAAAATGCAAAAAGCAAATTCATATTTTTGATCGCACTGAACGCATAAAATATGGAAGTTGAACTTTGAAAAAGCTTTATTTTCTCATGCGTGGCCTGTTGATCTGGTCTACAAGTTGATCTAAAAAAGTACACGCACGCGCTTATCTTTTCCATACAAAATACTGCTAACCATTCCAACTGCGATATGAGGGACAAAAAAGGTTTCATTATATTATATTATCTTACATTTTCATTTTCAATTTTTAACTTCAAGTATTATCTAAGCGTTCAGGGCCGATAATAATAGGTTTATTTTTACTCTTGTTTGTATGCCCATTTGCGCCAACGTCAACCTGCTTAATGGCAATACGCACATGCCACTATATACATAACACTAACAAAGCTGCTTATTGTGGACCTGGTAATATTCTTCTATTTAATGCATTGTGCCATTTACGAATGATTCTAATTTCAGGCCCATGCTCCGATTATGGTAGCAACTCGCTATTTTGTTTTAGTGTTTTTATTCTCTTATTCTTGCTATGTCATCTTGGCTATGTTGCAATATTATTCTTGCATTTTCCTTTTCACTTTGTAGCCATCTTTTTCTTTTACCTTCTCGCTCTCTGAACTAAGCACCTTTATTTGCTCGCGTATCCAATATATCAGTTATTCTAGTTCAAGCACTCGTTATTTGGCACTAGCTCTTGCAATCTCCTTCAGCAAAACTAGCACCAGCACCAGAAAGCGGTCAAGAGAAAGGGTAAGAACATGTAAGTTTGATTTCGTTTGATTTATACATTTATGCATTTTTTGTAGCTGCCGTCGCCTTTCATTTAAGAGCAAGAGTAAGCACCAGCACTGATATTGGCACTAGCACCAGTGCCAGTTTAAGTGCCTAAAACCCCCAAAGGCCAGCGCCCTGATCCCCTGGTAGTTCCAACCTGCAATGGTGCTGAGGAATAGGCGTAGGTACAGGGCGCGCTGAATACCAGCCATTTTATAGAATTTTTGTAGAATTTTCCAGTAAATAAAACCCCCAAAACCCCCAAACTAAAATACTTAAACCCCGAAATTCTATATGGAATTCCTCTGTGGAATTGTTCAATGGGAAATTCATTTTTTAATTTGGGGAATGGATAAAAAACACGATTTTTTAGGCGCTAGATCAAAACATGTTCACCTTTCCTCCAAAATGGATTATTTTTATTTTCAGGCAGACGGAAAATGGAGAAATGAAGTATTTATTCACCTCACATTTTTCATCGTAATAAGCAGTAAAAATATATTAGAAAACTGAGGGTTTCCCATCCTCACGGCGGGAACGCCTCAGTATGTGTAAAACACCACGATAAATGAGCGCCATCATTAGCACTGCTCACATAAAGACGGCTACCAAAATAAAACCAACAACTAGCAAAACAAATACTATTTTGATGCATCTCGAAACTGCATCAATATCCGCTGTTGTTATTTTCTGGCAAAAACAGGTTCAATCATAAACACCATGCGGCTTCGCAATTGTTGTGATTGGATCAGGACATCAGGATGACGTCCTCCATCTGTCTGATGCATCTGTGCGCGTTGACGGGTTTCAGCCCAGGTCACTAGCCCAGGTCACGAGCCCCTGTGGGGTTCTCAACACTATGAATGCTTGCTGGTCAAATCTATAACCCTTTATTTCAGCGCCTGGTATGTCTTTATATACACAATGCAGACTTTTATTTATACCAAATATGTTATTGACAACAGTTTATCGAGAAACAATAGAATACCTTGTTATTAGCGCGTTGGCAAGAATACCAGCCTGAAACTATTGAATGAGGTTTTGCTTTTTTATTGTTGATTTCTATTACATTATATAAAGATTTTGCGATGGGAGTTTTTTTGCATTGTTTACTGGTCAGGCAAAATGATAAAAAAGAATGCTTGTTTATTTATATACCTACGCAAATTTGCTGTTTACAAGCTAAGATACAAGCCAATCAACATATTAGTTTTATATCTGCAAAACAGTTTGAAAATAAAATTTCTATCATCTATACTAAACAGTGGGGTGTTTTGCGCATACAATTTACTGTTAATTTATATTGTACAATTGTAATTTAAATGTATATTTTAATAGAACAATTGACAATGCATTTGAACAGTTGTCACAACAACACTCAGAATACAATTGAATTAAGCACACATAATGTAACATGCGTCGCATATCTAAAGCAGCAACACTCATGCCATTGATGCTCCTACGGAAATGCATCAAGGCAACAGCACTTTACACAAGCTAGTAGTGCATATATTTCTCGTCCAGAAGAATGACGTACTATTTAGAAGCTGTTTTATTTTTCTTAAGCTTATCGACCTTCTTGGGCTCCTTTATTGTCTATTTTCCTCCATAAATAAGAGTAAACTCACGACACTTTTCGTTATTATCCTTAAACGCTATTTGTGTGTGTGTGGGGGGGGGGGGAGGGTTCACTACTTTTAGCGGTTGGCAGCTTGCCGATTTTTAATAACCCACTAAATTTGCTGTCCTTCGTGGGATATAGTATATTTTCTCGCATCATTATGCATTTTATTGGCTGATGGCGATCAACTGATTAACCAGTCTTGGCTGTTTAGTCACACAAACAATAAGTCACACAGTGACCAAAGCAATATGCTCTCTATTCTATAGCACTTATTCATTAAATATACTTTATATCTTTGTTATTTTATAAAATTGTTGGAATATAGGAACGTTCTATGAATGTGTAGATAAACTACAAACGCTTTGTTATTGATATTATTTTCCTTTAAAAACGGCATTAGATTACCGACGATCGGATTCAAGTTCCAATATATATTTAAGTCGTCTTTTGCAAACGAAAACCAGGTACACTTTTTATATAAATTGCACATGGTATGAGTAGGCTAAACTTTATGTTAACTAAATAATATTATATAGTCGTAGGCAAGAAAAATATGGATTGTGGAATGTGGAATGAAAATGCTGAAACTGAAGGATGGGGTTGAGAGGCCTCATTTGATACAAGAATATGCGGCTTGTCCCTGGTGATTGATTAATGAATCACTTGCTAGTTAATTCCCAACTCAGACATATGGGAATATTGCATACGAGCAATATAAATAGTAGAGTAATACAAATGATTGATGCAGTTACTCTTTAGCTTTCTTTTAGTTTATCATAATAAATACTTTTTATCGTAACACCTCATTTAAATAGGCTGGCGGGTATTGTTTTTTGGCTTGAAGTGCACAAGTGTTCTGTTGTGCTGAGCTACATCTCTTGCTACAATTTAACGATATGCTTATCATGTAAATTTAAAAAAACGTTTTATAGAAACACAAAAAAGCGTCTAATACTCCTTTTAACCACTGGGTTTTACACTGGTATATCTATTAAAGCTACGACCGTCTGGTTAATTTTTCTCAACCGTTGACTGAAAAACATTAAAGAGGGTCATCGTATGAACAAATAAAATGAGAAATACTCCACATTTGCGTGCGCTTTTACTTTGTGAAATGAGTTTAATGGATAGAGTAAATATTGAATGAGCAGACTAATATTTTTATTTCTGGCCTTAAATGTGTGCTGAAAAAAGATGTGGGTTCTTGCGTGGCGGATATTGGCACACCTTGCATATCACAATGGGGGTTGACTTTGCTACAAGCTGCAGTACGACTGTCATGCTCTATAAAAATGTGGGTCTAAATTACTATATTTAAGTATCAAAAATTACTTAAGGAATTGAAAAGGGGGCAGCGCTGTGTGGGCAGCACTGTAAACAGCATGGTATTCCTTGATGTCAGCCAGCAATAACAGAAATGTGTATAGCGGCCATGAGGGCGATCTTGATTCTTGAAAAGGGAAGATAATGGCTTGGAATGTGTGCTGGGCACCACAACGATGAATGGCTCAAACCAAGTCGGCAGACGCCAATTTAGCACATTTGTCATATGCATCTTTCGACAAGAGCACAGTTGTAATAATCATGGTTTTGTCTACAACGGCGATGTGGAAGACTGCTCCGATAAAGAGTAATGGTCTATGCAAGATGCTCGAGAAGTAGGGATTGAGTGCTTTTGTTCGATGAGTATTTCATCTCGAGCTGGTGCCTGATCTGCTATTCTGAGCTAAATTCTTTTTTAGAAGAAAGCCTCCAACAAAAAGGGACGACAACAGCAAGATCAGCAATGCTTTCGGGAGTGTGCTTGGGCATGCTGCGCTGCAACAATTTTTCCGCAAGGTGGCGCAGTAGACAATCAGTCTTAATCATTAACTCTAGTTTTTGTCTTACTTTTCTATATTTCGCATAATGAATCTATTTTCTCTCTCGCTGTAACAATTTTGCCCACCTTGGCCTATTTCGTTCTAATTTTTCGATATCGCATGGAATGCTGTTGATGCGAAGGAGGATATTGTGTATCGGTACTGAGGCCATGGCATTGCTGTCTATCTGAATATGCGGCTGATTTACATGATCCTTTTCCACTTTTACGGGGTTCCTTTTAAATTTGACTATTTATTAAAATTCTAATAAACTGTTAAAAAGTAAGCTTGATAATAAAAATGTATTATCCAAGCGCATTATTGATATCCAAAATGTTGTAGCTACGCCGTATGACCTTGTCCTTCCAATCCTTTCTTTTTATCAAAGTTTGCCTTGCAGTACACATGCAAGCATATCGTGTAACAAGCAGTGTAATTCGTTTTGTTAACACGATATTACTCGGATTTCTGGCCTTCTGCTACCTCTTGCAGCTTGTTTCGTCTCTGATAATTCAGACCCATTGGTCGAAGAAAAACCATCAAGTCTACACTGCCGCACGTTAGTCCCGAGACTGCTTCGCCTCCATCTACAACAGCGAGATGCAGCACAATTCCACCTAAATATTGTTGTCCATCTTGTGCTTCGCACCCCACTTCTAATTTACTTGTGTATCGTTGGTCTCCGCGGCTAGTCAATCGGTGTGTACTCCTTTAGCAAGATGCCGTCAATCTGAGTATTAGCCCAGATATTTTAAGGAACAGTATATTTCAGCGCGCAGTCAATTAATGACGTTTGCAGTTTACCACGCAACGCTTGTTTATTATAACTTGTATCCGTAGCTAGTAAATAATTCAATTCTTAATGTTTTTCCATCTGTATAGTTTAATACGTTTTTATTATATACAAAACAAAGCTATAAACAGGTCGCGGCTTGCAATTTTAGTCCTATATCAATTAAAGCGTTAAAATTCAAGTTAGTGCAAATGCAATTTTATGTGGGTGCGTATAAAAAGGTAAGTTTTTACGTTGTTTGTTCTCAGAAAAAAATTCGGTAGAAAGTGGTCTTCGTCATTAGACCATCCAACCTCAGAAAGAGGGTGGAGGAATAAATAAAGTCAAATGCCTAAATCATCATTGGAAACAAAAAACACAGAATAAGGTGTACTCGCAGGGTGAAAATAAATCTAAACGTACCATTAGACTAAAAATGCTGCCGCAGGAATTATAAATAAAAAATAGCATAAACACTTGATAGAGAAGAAGAAAGACTGAGGTGCTCAACACGGGTTAGTACCAGTTTTTATACGACGCGGAAACGGAACAATTCGTGTTGAACCACAACGAGAGAAAAATTTTCAACCCCAACATTTTCATATTATTATTTTTGCTCTAAAGATTGAAGATCCTAATTGATCGCAAGATTTGATTTTTATTAATCTGGGAATAAACACTTGCTCAGATCACGCGATGCGGCAATGACGAAGTCTGCGTGGCCGTTGCTTGTGCGGGACCCACGGTTTTGAATAACTGGATTCGTGGTATTTGTATAAGAGCCAAAGGGAAAAAGAAAAAAAGTGAAATAAGAAGGCTGGGTAGGGCGCCCGCATTAAATGTCGGCTACTGCGTATTCGCGTGTGCCGCTCTGGTCTATGACCTTGATGGTGAAATCGGGAAAGTCCACTATGAAGCGCTCCTTCAGGACGGCAAAGCACTTTTTGATAATGACAAAGGCCTGCTCAAGCGTAATATTTTGCGTGTACTCGCGGTCCATAACAGCGTACAAAAAGTACGCGCAATACCCATGTGCCGCATACGGAACTTTGGCCATGGCAGCCAGGTAGTCAATCCAATAAAGTGAGGCCTCGCCCGAGTTCCGATCAACGCCAGCAACCAGCAGGTTGACCTGATACGGCTTGCGCGAGCGTAAGGCTGTGGCCAGCTCGTTGCGAATAAAGTTGGCTGTCTCGCTCGGCGCCATGTCCTGCGAGTTGCGCACGCTGTAAAGTCTGACGTTGCCCTGGATGTACTCGGCAAAGTTTGACGTGTCTCCGGCCTCGCCGGTGACAGACATGAGTGTGTGTGACGACAGCTTGCATGTCTTGTCCTGGTTGTTTTTCATTCTGACAATCGAGTGGACAATCGCCTTGTCAGTCACTGAAACGACGAAATCCCGGCCGGTGATGGCAAACTGAGCGTCCATATTATTTTGTATTTAAGGGTGGATTTGAAAAAAGTATGTTTGAAAGAGACACAAAATACCAGAAAGCGAATTGAAGCGTGTTTAAATTACAAAAGCAGAAAATGATTTTATGCAATCGTCATGACGAACACACAATTGGGCTCATTCGGCATTATTTTGCGCACAGCATACGTAAGCCCTCTTTTTGTTTATTTCTGCCCTACCAAATCCACTGCAAAATGGGGACAGCCATATCGACTAAAATCACTGATCCGATTAGCATGGATTAACTCAAATTATCTTGCTTTCTTCGTGTAAAGTTGGTCGGAGGTCGCCGCTCAGTAAATGTCTCAGTGCTCACACTTGGCACGGAGTGGCAGCCTGTTTTGGGCGTCGCATCCAGTATTGTCCCGCTTAATATTGCCTAGCAGCCGAGGCCAGGGTCTCTCAATATCACAAAAAGCAAAACGAGCAGAGATAGGTGTGCAAAGTGCCTAGGCACTGATGTGCAGATGTGAGCTTCGTGATCCACACAGACCAGCAAATTTGTTTACTTTGGTCGGCCAGTTACCATTTATTCTTTTATTTTTTTTGCATCCCAACACCAGAACCAAAAAGTGAGAAACATCGTCCATGGATATCTGCAGCTAAAATAACAAAACAGTTTCAAAGTTAAATATGATCGTCGTAACTCTGAAATTGGAAGATTTTTCATATTCTATTACCGTTCAGATGTAGCACATTGTACTTAACTTAAAACGAACCAACTCAACTTTGACAGTTTTTTGTTTCCAACAGCACCATCTGTATAAAAATGCGCTCATTCCCGCCGCCATTTCAAGTTAAATGCCATTATCAAACACAGCTCTCATATCCACATCCCTATTTTGCTTGATTCACGCAGAAAAACAAATTTCATATTCTCAACACAGAAATACCACCGGATCATTTCAAACATCAATAATAATGCGCTTCGCCATCTCCCTCGCCATTGTTGCTGCATTCTCCGCCCAGGCTGTGCTTGCCAACGGCTCCGCTAACGCCTTCAACACTAGCGCAGTTTCTTCCGCTTCGTCAACTGCCTCCGCCTCGCATTCCTCTTCCGCCTCGCACTCGGCGTCCAAGAACTCTGCTTTGGCTGCTGTTGAGACCACCTCTGCTGCCGAGGCCACTTCCGCCGCTTCTACCAGCAGCTCGTCTGCTGCCTCGGGATCCCACCAGTCGAATGCCAATGATCTGTCGCACAAGTCCAGCCAAGCTAACTCTGGCGACAATGCTGGTTACAACGAAGACGCGTCTAGCAGTTGCAGTAGCGACGTCGCTTACGAGGAAGCCTCGTCATCTGCTCCCTACGCTGATTCCAACGATTATGGAAACGCCGAAGAGGGTGACTACTACGAAACCGTTGCCGAGTCCAATGACTACGAGTCCGCAACTGAGGGCGGCTATTACGAGTCTACACCTGAGGGCGACTATTATGAGACCGAGGTTGAGGGTGATTACTACGAGAACACCGGTAACAACAACTACGATGATAATACTACCATTGTGCAGCTCATTGGCACTGATCCCGTCATGACTCTGAACGACGGAAACCCTGTAGCCACCGTCGGCACTTGCCCTGACTATACGATCACGATCACTAACCAAGTCTTTGCTACTCTCACGACCACCTTTACGCCATCGTTGCTGGCCATCCCCGCTAGCACGCCTGTCAATGGCGCCGGAGCCCAGAACCTCAACTACTACTACTAAATGTTGACCAACCGCCCAGCGTCGGCTTGCCCGGATGCAGGGAAATCTGTTATTTTGCTACCCATTAATACTGCTGTTTGGTTTGGTACCACACCTCCCCATCTTATTCTACACAAATTTTCTTTCTTTCCTATTTTCTTTCAGTCAAATGTCAATGTCAATGTCAATAATTAATTGTAAAAATAATTCCTGATAATATTTCTATATTCATTTTTTTGCTGTATTGCAATGTTTCTCAGAAAAACACTTTGAAACGGGGCAACAGTAGAAAAGTGGGCAGGGTTTCGTTGCATTACTTCTCTATAGAATTTTTGTTTGGTCAGGGAATATAAAAGTGGAGTACTAAATTTCCATTTCTCCTCGCATATCCCCCACTTTATCCCCACTCCACTCCCAACAGTGAGGTTATATTATATTTTCATATTATTTATCAAATATACACATACACACGCTCCGACACAAAATATAATAAACCCTGCGTATTTGCGACACAGCTCGAGGGGGGCTAATATGACAAATTGCGAATCGCAAATTGTTTTGCTATTTTCGCAGAGTGGGGGTGTTTGTGCGGTCAGAAAAACTGACAGTCATGGTGGGGATTTCTCGTGAGATTTTGACAACAGACGATTTCAACACCGAGGTATAAATAGAAAATGCCGCGGTAGGTTGTGCAAATAAATAACCACCATTACAAGTGTTATTCCTCACTGATCTATATTTCACATAATCTTTCAATTGCATTTGCAACATCGCAATAGTTTCCATCACATCCTGTTACACATCTCGCTGAACATTTATAAATTCTCAGCAGAATAACCTCTCACAATAATACTAATATCACCAGCCTGAAAAGCAAATAGCTACTCTAACTATTAAAATGCGTCAGGTTCTGTCCATTTCTCTGTTCTTTGCTGTGCTCGCAAGCGCCGCCCCGGCGACCTATGGCTACTATCCTGCTGATGCTCAGGTTAAAACTGAGGTTCCGGCCTACAGCGTCCAGAAGGCCGCTCATGGCTATTCGTCGGATCCCGCTCCCGCCCCTTACGCAGCCCCTGCCCCCAAGCATGCCGTATACAAGGCTCCGGCTCCGGCTCCCGCTTCATACGCGGCTCCCGCCCCTGCCTCGTACACGGCTCCGGCCCCTGCCTCGTACGCGGCTCCGGCCCCTGCCTCGTACGCGGCTCCGGCCCCTGCCTCGTACGCGGCTCCGGCCCCTGCCTCGTACGCGGCTCCGGCCCCTGCCTCGTACGCGGCTCCGGCTCCTGTCTCGTACACGGCTCCCGCCCATGCTTCGTACGCGGCTCCCGCCCCTGCTTCGTACGCGGCTCCCGCCCCTGCTTCGTACGCGGCTCCCGCCCCTGCTTCGTACGCGGCTCCCGCCCCTGCTTCGTACGCGGCTCCCGCCCCTGCTTCGTACGCGGCTCCCGCCCCTGCTTCGTACGCGGCTCCCGCCCCTGCTTCGTACGCGGCTCCCGCCCCTGCTTCGTACGCGGCTCCCGCCCCTGCTTCGTACGCGGCTCCCGCCCCTGCTTCGTACGCGGCTCCCGCCCCTGCTTCGTACGCGGCTCCCGCCCCTGCTTCGTACGCGGCTCCCGCCCCTGCTTCGTACGCGGCTCCCGCCCCTGCTTCGTACGCGGCTCCCGCCCCTGCTTCGTACGCGGCTCCCGCCCCTGCTTCGTACGCGGCTCCCGCCCCTGCTTCGTACGCGGCTCCCGCCCCTGCTTCGTACGCGGCTCCCGCCCCTGCTTCGTACGCGGCTCCCGCCCCTGCTTCGGCTCCCTATAAGGTGTCCGTGCCTGCTCCTGTTGAGCCTACTATTGCTGGTGATGAGTACGACTCTGCTCCCGCCTACGATGTCCAGCCCGAGTACAGCGCCGCTTCCACTTCAGAGAGCAAGCCCGCCTACAAGCCCGCCTACAAGCCCGCCTACGATTCCCAGCCTGAGTACAGCGCCGCTTCCACTTCAGAGAGCAAGCCCGCCTACAAGCCCGCCTACAAGCCCGCCTACGATGCCCAGCCTGAGTACAGCGCCGCTTCCACTTCAGAGAGCAAGCCCGCCTACAAGCCTGCCTACAAGCCCGCCTACGATGCCCAGCCCGAGTACAGCGCCGCTTCCACTTCAGAGAGCAAGCCTGTCTACAAGCCTGCCTACAAGCCCGCCTACGATTCCCAGCCCGAGTACAGCGCCGCTTCCACTTCAGAGAGCAAGCCCGCCTACAAGCCCGCCCACAGCTGTAGCTCCAGCAAGCCCAAGCCCGCTCCCTATGCTGCTCCGGCTCCTGCCCCTGCTTCCGCGCCTGCTCACTACAAGGAGTCCAACTCGCAAGTCGACTCCGAGACTGCAGCATTTGTTTACCCTGCCAATGACTACAAGATCAATGGTGGCTACGAAGGCGATAACAACAAGAGCACTGCCAATGGCTATTCTGGCAAGAGTGGCGCCAGCTCTCAGGAGCACGCAGGTGTGCCCGCTTACATTGCCGCTCCTATTGGTGGCTATTCGAGCTCCTCGGCAGCCGGATACTCCAGCACTTCTGCTGCAGAGTATTCTGGCTCTGCGGAGGCTGTCTACTACTCAACCAGCACTGTAATCTTCACGAGCATCATTTATGACACCGAGTATGTCCTACCTACCTACGAGAGCAGCGCCGGTTACTCCACCCAGAACGCGTACTCCGCCGCCCCTGCCTCGTACGCGGCTCCGACTCCCACCCCTACCTCGTACGCGGCTCCTGCCCATGCTTCGTATGTGGCTCCGGCCCCTGCCTCGTACGCGGCTCCCGCCCCTGCCTCGTACGCGGCTCCGGCCCATGCTTCGTATGCGGCTCCTGCCCATGCTTCGTATGCGGCTCCGGCCCATGCTTCGTATGCGGCTCCGGCCCATGCTTCGTATGCGGCTCCGGCCCATGCTTCGTATGCGGCTCCCGCCCCTGCCTCGTACGCGGCTCCCGCCCCTGCCTCGTACGCGGCTCCCGCCCCTGCCTCGTACGCGGCTCCCGCCCCTGCCTCGTACGCGGCTCCCGCCCCTGCCTCGTACGCGGCTCCCGCCCCTGCCTCGTACGCGGCTCCCGCCCCTGCCTCGTACGTGGCTCCGGCCCATGCACCCGCCACTGCTTGCTCCAGCGCTGCCCCGGTTCCCATCTACATCACCAATGTCCCTGCTCCGGCCCCTACTCACTCCAGCGCCTCGTCCGCTGGCTACTCTTCGTGCTCCAGCAGCAAGGATGCGTCCTCCTCGACTATCGACTATGAGATTCAGCTGACCGCCACTCTGCACATCAATGCCGTCCAGGCAATCCATTCGGCCTACGAGACCAACTCCATCGAAGAGGAGTACTCGAGCTCCGTCGCCGGATACTCTTCCAGCTCCACCGCGGGTTGCTTGTCCAGCGCTTCCGCTGAATACGCCTCGAGCTCTGCCGCAGGCTACTCAAGCTCCGCTGCCCCCGCTGCTAGCTGCTCTTCCAGCGCCGCCGCATACTATCCTTCCAGCTATGATGTCCTCGCCCCTACCAACTACGCCTCAAGCTCTGCCACTGGTTACTATTCCAGCGCTGCCCCGGCACCCACCACCGCCGCCGATGAGTACAGCACCGTGAACTACGTTGTGGCCAGCATCGTGTACGACAAGAATCAGGATTCGTACGATGAGGACGCTGTGTACAACGATAAGTACGTTGGCAAGAGCGAGGCTGACAAGAAGGTCGAGCACGTCATCTACAAGTCGATCGGCCGCCTGTAAACTTCAGTGTCTGCAAGCCCAAATTATTATTTTTATGTGGCGGTTTCCATGTCTCATAAAATTTTCAATATTCAATATCAATATCATTTTTACATCTTAAAATGCACAAGCGGGTAATAACTTGAACATAATTTCATATTGCCAAAGCGCAAAACAAAATGAGCAGAACAAAATGTCACCAGTATCTCCTCACTTCTCACTCCGGTTAAGACTGGTAATAGTTATCTGCGCCCTCACCCTCGTCCTCGGATCCATGGATGATGCGCTGGATAGGGTCATCGCTGATCTATTTGGAAGACTTCTTGGCAGACTTCTTTTTGGCTGCGCCCTTCTTGCTGACCGACACTGCCTGGATTGCCGGCGACGCACCACTCGAGCTTGTTGAAATCGGGGGACTGCTGCTTCCACTCACAGTGTTGGCCGCTGCACCGCTTTCACCACTGGCATCCTTGTAGGTTGCAAACTGGCTGATTGACAACGCATGCGCACTGAGGCTTTTGGTTGCATTGTCATTGCCGTCCAATGTCTTTGGAACAAACGCCTGGGAGCTAGCAGCGGAGCTAATATTAGAGCTCAAGCCAATTCGGGGGGTCATTGAGCCTACGCCAAAGGCCGGGCGGCCAAGCTTGCCACCAAAGGCGTCGACAGGTATCTGGCTCGCGGAAGAAAAGGCGTTAGGGAGCCCCTTGCTATCAGGTGCGTTCCCACCACTACCCAGGCTGGCGGGTCTGAGTATGCCGCTGTTGTTGCCAAAATATTTGCCCAAAACACCGGCCTTGAAAGGCGACGGTTTTAAGTATTCTGACTTGCTGGTGTCGTCGTTAATATTTGCAGATTCAATGGCAGAGCTGGTCTCCTGCAGAGTTGCCTCGTCAATGTCAGCCGCTATGGTACCAAGGTCGAAAGAGTCGGTAAGGTCGGCCTTGTCAAGGGCGGCCTCCTGGCTGCTAAAAATTGGCTCTATCGCCGCACTCACGGGACGTGACAGCATCTCAAAGCCATCAGTCGTCTGGGAATCGGCATGCTGCTGCTCTTCGTCAACAGGCGACCCAGGCTGATTCAATTCGAGTTCGGCATCTGAAACAGTGGCGGTCACCGGGGCTTGGCCAGCTGTGAAGTTGGTTTCAGCGGCTTTTGACTCGGCGTTAACAGTCCCGGTATTAGAGGCAGAAGTGCTATTAAGGGCCTGGGATACGACGCTTTCTACAGCTGCACTCTCATCATCATTATCAAGGCCACTGCTGGCAATATCATCCTTGCTTTCAGAGCCCGACACATGCTGGCCGACATGCACAAACCCATCAGAGTCGTTGCCGTTGTAGTGGCCGCCTGCAGTATCGTCGGCAGTGTCCGGGTTGTGGTCCCTGCTTCCTGAAGTGCTAGAGTGAGTGATGTTCTCAATGTCGGAATCCGAGATTTCCAAAGCAGGCTCGTACTCTTCATGCAATGAGCCCCCATAAACAGACACAGCGTCGTCAGTACCAGCATTGACCCCCGAAACACCTCTATCAGTAGATGGCTCTCCGTCAGTAAAATCCATCGCAGCTTTGGCCACCTCCGCATAAGAATGGTCAGTAACATCAGTGTTGTCACCAGAAGCAGCCTTAGTGTTGCCCTCAGCCTCGGCAGCAGCATCGGCCTCAGTATCAACAACAACGTCGGTCTCAGTATCGGCAACAGTCTCAGTATCGGTGACGGCTTCAACATCGGCAGCGGGCTCAGTATTGGCGACAGCCTCGACATCGGCGACGGCCTCGACATCGGCAGCGGGCTCAATATCGGCAGCGGGCTCAGTATCGGTGACAGCCTCGACATCGGCAGGGGCCTCAACATCGGCGACGGCCTCAACATCGGCGACAGCCTCGACATCGGCAGCGGGCTCAATATCGGCAGCGGGCTCAGTATCGGTGACAGCCTCGACATCGGCAGCGGGCTCAATATCGGCAGCGGGCTCAGTATCGGCGACAGCCTCGACATCGGCAGCGGCCTCGACATCGGCGACGGCCTCAACATCGGCGACAGCCTCGACATCGGCAGCGGGCTCAATATCGGCAGCGGGCTCAGTATCGGTGACAGCCTCGACATCGGCAGCGGCCTCGACATCGGCAGCGGCCTCGACATCGGCAGCGGCCTCGACATCGGCGACAGCCTCGACATCGGCAGCGGGCTCAATATCGGCAGCGGGCTCAGTATCGGCGACAGCCTCGACATCGGCAGCGGCCTCGACATCGGCGACGGCCTCAACATCGGCGACAGCCTCGACATCGGCAGCGGGCTCAATATCGGCAGCGGGCTCAGTATCGGCGACAGCCTCGACATCGGCAGCGGGCTCAATATCGGCAGCGGGCTCAGTATCGGTGACAGCCTCGACATCGGCAGGGGCCTCAATATCGGCAGCGGGCTCAGTATCGGCGACGGCCTCGACATCGGCGCCAGCCTCGACATCGGCGCCAGCCTCGACATCAGCAACAGCGCCGACCTCAGTATTGACAACAACTTCGACATCAGCAACGGCCTCGGCGGCAGCCTCAGCGTCACTATCAAGCTGAGAACCCTCTTGGTCTGTAGGCTCTGTAACACCCTGTATCGCTGATGCCTCCACAGCCTCTACCACGTCCTCCCCATTATCTGAATGACCTTCATAGTCGTTGTCCTCGCTATCATCGTAATCGCTGTTTTCATAGTCCTCGTAGTCATCACAAATAGCCTCCGCGCCATCGTCATAAACATCCTCTTCAGACTCGTACTCGAAATCATACACATTTTCGGCATCCCCATTCTCATCCTCTTCTGCCTCCTCATCTTCGTCAGAATCCTCATCTACGGCACTTGGCTTTTCCAGACTCGGGGGCACAAACGAGGTGACCACGGGTTTGGTGCTCTCCCCCATAGACGTGCCAAAAGAGGCACTCAGTGCACCAGCCGCGACGCCTCCCGCTGCAACCATGGTGCCAAATGCCAATCCAGAGCTTGGTTTAAATCCACTGCCAAACGAAACCTTTGGCACTGCAGGCTTAGCGGTCCCAGGCTTGGGTGCTTCGCACGACTGACATACGGTGTACTTGTCAGAAACCGAAGACATGCATGTGTCACAGGCCCAGGTGTCGGCAGGCTTGGTCCAGCCAAATGATGGCGGGGGAGCCTTGCTGGACCCGGGCTTGGGCGCGTCGCACGATGGACACATAGTGTGCGTCAGATCGACAGACGACATACACAGATCGCAAGTCCACTTGTTAGCAGGCTTGGACCACCCGAATGCTGAAACCTTAGGCGCAGATGCAGGTGCAGGTGTTGGTGTTGGTTCAGGCGCAGACACAGTGGGCGCAGCAGGATTGGTAGTCCTAGGCTTGGGCGCGTCGCACGATGGACACATAGTGTGCGTCAGATCGACAGACGACATGCACAGATCGCAAGTCCACTTGTTAGCAGGCTTGGACCACCCGAATGCCGAAACCTTAGGCGCAGATGCAGGTGCAGGTGTTGGTGTTGGTGTTGGTTCAGGCGCAGCCACAGTGGGCGCAGCAGGCTTGAATCCACCGAACATAGGAGCAGCTCCAGCTGGCGGTACAAACGAGTTAAACGACAATGCGGGCTTGTTGGCCATAGATCCAAACATCCCAGACGAAGAAGCAGTAGCATTTCCGCCACTGCCGCCCAGTGAAAGACCACCAACAGGTTGGAACCCGCCCAGCGAAAGACCGCCCGCAGCAGCAGCGCCAAACACTGACTTTGCAGGCATCTGCGTCTGTACCACAGGGGGTTCCGGTGTAGGCACACGCTTAGTGATCTTCAGCTTACCAAAGGTCTCAACGTAGCGCTCAAGATTGGGCATGGGCACCTCAGACCTAAGCCCGGCGCTTCCAGGAGTATCACCCAACTTCATATCAGTCTCGGGTGTGCGCACAACGGGGGCGACGCGCGAGGACCGAGTCAGCAACTCGCGCACGAGTGTGCGCTGCCGACGCGCTTGCACATAGCTGGCGGCAGTGGAGAACTGAGATGCAGGGGAGTTTCTGGCATCGACCAGGTTGCCCTGGTCGGAATCGACAACGAGGGATGCCCGGCGGTGGGCGCGGGCGGAGCGGGGCACGAGCTCGCGCACTTGTGTATGCGGGAATTCGGGGTGCCGCTGGGTGGGAGTCTGCTCATGGGGCCAGGCCGTTGTGGGTGCCGTGACTAAGAGGTCCTCAGGCCGCAGGCCAAAGCCGCGGCGCTGCGCCACAGGCGTGCTGAAGGGCAGCGTGGCCGGTGACCACGGCGTTCCCTCGGCGGCCGTCCGCGGCGACACCGAGGCGCTGGGGCGCCGGCGCACAGGGGCGGAGGAATTCTGTGGCTGCTGAGGCAGCGATAGCAGGTTTTGGGAAGAAGCTCCAGTAGTGGTGGCAGAGGCGGCGGCAGCACGCACCTTGTTCCTGGCATACTCCTCGGACTTGCCCAGTCCCAGGGTATCGACGCAAGCGGCGACCTCGTCCAGCTCATAGTTCTTCTGCGCCAGGATCTGAGTTACATTGCACAGCGTGCGCTGGATAGAATCGACCGTGGGCGCGCGCAGCTTGCTGGGGAACTCGCGGAAGACCTTGTCCAGGCGGTGCGCCTCGATATCGACAACCTGCTCGACGTCGGCCGAGCGCCTGCCAATCATGTCGTAGGCGGCCTTGAGGCGGCTCTGGTAGTCGCGTTGCAGTGGGTTGGGCCCACCGTCGACCGTGGCATTGGGTGTGGCCTTGGAGGATGTGGCCGACTCTACAATGCGATTGACCTCCTCGCGCTTGGTCTCCGTCTTGACATACTGTACCATCTGTTTGTTCAACAGCTTCTGGCTGACGCGCAGCTCGTCGCGAGATACCTGCAGGGCCTCCAGAAGCACGTCGGCGACGCTGTTCCACGACTCTGTGTCGTCCATGGACAGGTTGTGTAGGCTGTCCGATACCTTGGCCATGCTGCGCACTGTCGGGTCGATGGGGATTGGAGGGAGGCTGGCGTGCTGGACCTGTGTGATGGCCTGGCCCGTGTTCTCGATGGAGGCAGCAAGTGTCTTGAGGTCGGCGTCGAACTTGTTGCAGGTCGAGATGTACTGGCGGTTGAGCAAGTCCTGCGCCTTGGCCTCCATTTCGCGCTTGAGTGCCTCGACGCGCTCCCTCTCCTTGCGCTCCTTCTCATCCTTGAGTCTGCGCATATTCTCGACAATTTCTTTTTGCTCACGCTCCTTCTTCTCCTTTTGCTCTCTCAGCTCCCTGGCTTTTCTCTCCTTGTCCTCAAACTCCTTGCGCGCTTTTTCGGCGGCTAGTCTCTCGGAAGCAATCTTGTCGGCGAGCTTTTTTTCAGCAGCGTTCTTCTTGTCAGCAGCGTTCTTAATTTCAGAAGCGATCTTCTCAGTGGCGATCTTCTTCTCGGCGGCGGCCTTCTCAGCGGCGGCCTTCTCAGCGGCGGCCTTCTCAGCGGCGGCCTTCTTGTCGACAGTGTCTCTCTCATATTTTAAAAACAGGCTGGTGCTAGAATCAGAGTCTGGCTTGTCACTGTCGAAAGCACCCAAACGCGACATCGGGTCCGATGACCCATCACCAGACCTAGGCAAATATGATGACAATCCGAAGGGCTTAGCCGGGGTGCCAAAGGGTATGCCAGCCTTCTTCGACTGAGTGGCATCAGGAGCCTGATCAAAGATACTGCCCGAACCGGAGCTCATTGTAAAGCCGCCAAACCCAGTTCCAATTGAGGACGAAGACGAGCCAAAGGGCTTGGCCGAACTGCCAAATACCGCCTGTCCAGTGATACCGAGGGCTGTGGGAGCCTTGACAATGGGCGTGATCGTGCTGGGCTTTCCAAATGAGGGCGCAAACCCGGTGGATGAGCCAAAGGCGCCCGTGGATGCGGTGCTCTGTCCGAAAGCGCTGGTAGAAGCACCGCTGAATGCACTGGTAGACGCACCACCGAATGCACTGGTAGACGCACCGCCGAATGCGCTTTTAGAAGCACCGCCGAATGCGCTGGTAGAAGCACCACCAAATGCAACCGGCAGGGCGGTGGTAGCGGCGGGGACAGCGACAGCATCAGTAGCAGGAGAGAGAGAAGGGGTCGTGGCAGGAGAAGGAGAAGGAGACGCAGAAATTATTTCCGGCTCGGCCTCGGCAAAGATTTCATCAGCAGTCTCGTCTGCAACCTCGTCGGCACTCTCGTCAACAAAGTGCTCTTCCTCATTCTCTTCCTCTACCATCTTGGCAGTCTTGTCAGAGAAACCCGGAACCCTGACGCACTCGTCAACCATCAAGGAGCAGCGACCACCGGTGCGCATCTCGCCCATATTGTAAACGTGGAATCCTGACAAGCACCCGTCCGTATTGAGGATCCACATAATCGGCACAGGCTTAACTCTCTCGCCGTCGTCCGTGACTGGTGGCAAGTCGCTCTTACCGGTATAGTCAATGACCATGCCAAGCGCGTATGTGTCGCCTTCAATTGTCGACAAGGGCATCTGCGCCATTTCAGCGTCGAAATCCCACTGCGCCCACGCCATCTTGCCCTCAGAATCTGGCGACTGGCCCACAGTGGTTGTGGTATCGGAGCCCGCACCAACGATCGTGATAATGTTGTGCGCGCTCTGGCCCCAGTTCGGAATACAGGCAATGTGGAATCCAGGGTAACGCGCGGAGCACCACGCACTGGAGGACGGGTCATCAACGGCAATCCACTCCTGCGTCTCCGCTGTCTTGCCCGCTTTGGTGATCACATAGCCGACAGTACGGGTATCATCCACACCATCATCCTCTCCATCATCTTGTTTCTCGCCGGTGCCGCCACCTCCATTGCCCGGAATCATCGCGCCGTCAGGGAAGGGTCCGTAGATGGCGAAAAACGTGTATGTGTCGATCCAGTCGACAGCCAAGACCACAAAGTCCGACATGATCGCATTGTTCACCTTTTGCGACTCTACTGTGCGCTTGATCTTTCCATCCAGCGGAGCCCTCTGCGTCAGATTAGAATTGTCATCGCCGCACACAATCTGCTTGCCCTTGCGTGACCAGCAAATAGCCGTGGTCAGCGTTTGCTTTGCATCCACAATGGTCTTCACGCTGCCCGACTCCACGTCAATCATCAGCACTGAACCTGAAAGAGTAAGCGCGGCGACGAGGTTAGGCATCTCCAGGGGGTTCGCACGCAGGTCGCGGAACTCGCCCTGCTTGGCTTCAATGATTTTGCTAGGCTTTGCGTCCTGCTGCTTAAGCGAGAGCGCCTCAAATACGAGCACCTTTCCTGCCATTGTGCCCACTAGCACGCGCGTCTCATCGGCGTCGATGCCCACATGCGTGACTTTGCCGTGCTCCGAAAGATTGAGCTCGTTGCGCGCATCGAGGTTCACCGCCGTGTTAGTGCCGGCGGACTTGCCTGCCGCCAGCACATCCTGCGCATCGGCACTCATGAACAGGGAAATACCTATAAATAAAAAACACTTGTTTTTTAGCTTGTTGGTTGCGATACTAACGGTGGATGTCTATAATGTTGTTCACTAGTGATACTTGCCTTGGGGGGTGCCGGCCACCATGTAGCCGTATTTGTTTGAAATTGCCAGCAACTGGGCGTATGTGGGTGTCTGGCGCCGGGCCGTGGAGAATTCCTTGGAGGTTACGCGCAGGGTGGTGTTGTCCTTGATCTGCTTGTGTGTAATATCCACGGTCTGCGCCTCCTTGTCCGTGTACTTTTGGATATCCGATACGACGTCCTTAGTAGCGGACATGATTCAAATATTTTTTTCTGTTAACCGAATGTAAATGTTTTTTGTTGGTTTTTTTTCTTGTCAATAGATTGGGGAAAAGAGCAAAATATAAAATATAAAATACTTGGAATGGGGGAGAGAGAAAAGAGGAGGTTAAATCGTTCACGCCATCAACCCTTTAATCACTTTGTTTTTTAATTTGGCGAGCAAACAAAAATTTAATCAATCTTAATCAAATGCTGTGCATATGCACAAGACTCAAAGAAAAGGTATAATCGAAATTGGCTCACTCTTATCACTTGACCACATTTTTATCTCATAGTCCACTTTGAGACCAAGCTACTCGTTGTTACGCAGCAGGTTTGATTGCTGGTATCATCGATGCTTTGCAGGCAGGAAATCAACGGCCCCTTTGATTGTATTCAATAGGAACGTTCTGACTAAAAGCAGGTGTCAGCAGTCCTCTTACAAGAATTGTTGACCAATGGTCCTTGCTGTCCATGGAAAACTTAGCTGCGTCTACTGTCTTCAGCTGGTATAAATAAGGAGCCAAATTCCTTGTATTCTAAGAAAACAGCATTCACCTTTATGAACTTAATTCATTAAATAAATATATATAGTCTGTCAACACCTTTTTAATTAATACTAAGTATTCTATAACATTTTTCATCCTGCCCCGTTTTATAGCACACCTCAAGAAATCGAAGGCATACCTAAAACATTATCCAAGTATATTACTTTGCATACTCTGCTCGAATGTTTAATGAGGTAGGATAATATTAAGTAAGATTTATCTGAGGTGTATACCCAATAAATACCATTGTCAAATTATCATATTTTGACTATATAAAAAGGGATTTTAACCATAGGTGCTAATCTTTATTTCTGAGCCATTTTCTCTGCCAAAAATAAATCAGAAATAGTTAAATTGCCAACATCAAGATCTAAGACTTCCTTCCGTGTATTGAACAGCGATATTACCAAAATTGCCAGAACTTGCCAATACTGCTATGAGTAAAACAGGACAAGTTGATAGATGCTGTTGAAGACTTACTATTAGTTAAAAAGGTGTTGACAGACTATAGATATTTATTTAATGAATTAAGTTCATAAAGGTGAATGCTGTTTTCTTAGAATACAAGGAATTTGGCTCCTTATTTATACCAGCTGAAGACAGTAGACGCAGCTAAGTTTTCCATGGACAGCAAGGACCATTGGTCAACAATTCTTGTAAGAGGACTGCTGACACCTGCTTTTAGTCAGAACGTTCCTATTGAATACAATCAAAGGGGCCGTTGATTTCCTGCCTGCAAAGCACCGATGATACCAGCAATCAAACTTGCTGCATAACATACTGAACTTTTGCATCATTATTAATGCCCTGCTTACAGGCGAGCATCCTCCCTGTTTCTTGCACAATAATGCATCATCAGAGTCGGCTGAACCCGAGTCTACAGCGACACCCGAGACTTTGTTTAAGCAAAAGCCCAAACATGTGCGCAATAATCAATCTGCCCCTGCTTCTTCTCTTCACGAGAAGCAGCGTAATGGATAATATCTTCAGTCATAGTGGTCTATTGCCACTAGTTTTTAATCACTCTTTAGGTTGCTAGTCAATCTAGGGGAAGGATATGTCGATTTTCAGAAGACTTGTAGCCTCATTTTTTCTTTGGTGTAGTTAAAACAGGATATGGTTGATGTAAACGATGCTATTGAACATTTATCAACCATACATTGTTTTACCTTTCTCACCATGTAGTTTAGCAATATTATTGATGCTGTGATTAATTTTTCTCCATTCAAGAACTTTTAAGTTCGTCAACTCCATCATCCCTTGGACTCACTCAAATAGGGTATTTTTTTGGTTTGCACGCGTGTAATAATTTTTGCAAAAATACATTGTTGCACAGACTGAAAATATGGAAGTGGATGTCGAGGTTGTGAATCGCGAAACATATTTCCATCTGCATGCCAATTGATAGGGTACTAATTGAATTATGCAGGCTTAAATTATGGTGGTATTATAATGATGCCCAGACATGCTTCCCATTTTTCAATGCGCACGCATGAGTGCACACACACGAAAACTACAACACTGACCTGCCAAGATACCGGTCTGCTCACAGAAGAACCAGTTCTTACCAACGGAGTGCATAATTGGCAATGTGCACAACAAAGCCGACGAGGCACATATATAAGATGAGGCCGGCGCTAGTAGTATTTTAGAAATATCAGTAATAAAACCCTTTATAAACTCCCTAATTTTCTAACACTAGACAACTAGTGCTCTTCACCCCCCCTTACATAACAACAGAAAGCTGTTAAAAAATTGTGGAAAATTGCACAAAATTGTAAACAAAAAATTTAAGAAAATGCACAAGCATGTTTATTTTTTCTACAAATTTGTGTTGAGCAGTCTGATGATATGGAAATGGATGTCGAGGTTGATAATTGTAAAACGAGTTTTCATCAACGTGCCGATTGACAGGGCATAGACGGTACCATGTAGGATCAAATCAGGGGACATAATATTGACACCCTAATATGCTCCCCATTTCATAATGTACATGCATGGATGGGCACATGCGAAGATTATAACCTTGACACGCCAAGACACCAGTCTATCTGTAAAAAAAACTAGTTCTCTCTAACGGAGTGCACAATTGACAATGTGCACAACAAAGTTGACGAGACACATATATAGGATGAGATTGGCCTCAGTTACGCTTTTGATTCCATTGATAATAAAAAACCTTTATAAACTGACACCCCACCTTTCGACACTACATTGTAGTGCTCTACACATACCCCATCTTATTATAACATTAGTTTTTAATAATTTTGTTTGAATAACGGGAATAGTTGAAAAAAATGGAGCGACAAATGGACAGAAACAAAAACAAAATGCTTGGCACTCTCAGGGCATGATTGAAAGCACAGAATACAGATGGTAAATTCTAAGATAAATACGCGCACTATTCTTATGCGCATTTCGAAGGTATAATGAAAGGCTAAAGGCCAAAAGAAACAGAGTGGTTGGCATAAAAAATTAAATAAAAGTGGAAAGATACCTACAATGATTTGCATTTTATATAATGCATTATTAATATTAGCAAGGGATTTTTGGGCTCACATATTTTTTAAACACTAAAAAAAATTATTAATTTTTCCGCATCAATACATTCCTAATAAATAAATTGTATATTGAAATCCACAAATAAAACAAATCCAAACCCGCTCACTTGTGAAAAAGAGATCCAATCCGGCCAGCATACGCAGACATCTCGCCACCAGCCAACTCTTGAAGATATTTGTTGTATAAAGCCTTGCGAATCTTGTATTTAACAGTGGCAAAGAGAAAGGCCAGGATACAGAACAGCAAGCACAACAGCGTATTTCGCACTATTGCCACACTGGTTTCCAAGTATACCAGCGCATTCCATATACTCTCAAGTTCTTGTTGAGCGGGTAATGCTTTAAGCGCATTCGGTTAACGTACTGAGGGAAACGCATGTCCAACTCAGGGGGGGGGTGTTGACAGTGCCTGGCTTGCAGTGCAACTCTGTGAGATGCAGCAAGGCCATGGTCAGGTTGAGCAGCTTGTCAAAATTGGGAGTGGTATGTTTGATATTCAGCTCGCGAAGGCCAATGAAGCAGAAAAGTTCTGCAAAATTAGCCAAAAAAAGGTCGGGCTTGATAGGAATCTCCATATGAAACCTATTCAGGGTCGGAGAAATACTGTGAAGAAGCTGGAAGAAATTGGCCGCCAAGTTTACTGGATTATTACCAAAGATATTGGCGTGGATGATTTCCACGTAATGAAAGCTGGAAAGCTTTCTGCTGCCATTTGCACAACAGCGCTTGGGTGCATCGAGCACAATCAAGTTCAACCTAATGTTAACGCGCCCGAGTGTATCGACATTGGCAACAGACAAGACTTGGCTCGCAATCCGGCTGCAGGCGTCAATGCGCAGATAGTAATGGCTCGGGAACACAATTCCATTGGGAAAAGCAGGCAAAGGCCCAGCCTCAGAATATCCTTCAATGTGCAGCCTGCGCAAGCATGGGTACGACGGCAGATTGCCGCGTGCATCCACAACCATCCCAGCCAAATCAAACTCATTTATCAAATAAATCGCCACGTCCTCCAGCGTCAACGCCTTATACTGCACGAGTTGAAAAAAACGACTCCTGTTCGTCATCCAACTTTAAACAGGCGTATGTCAGATACACGTTGTTACCAGAAACAAGGGCGCTCGGGATACCAGTGTCCTTACTGCGGAATCCCACACCCTCAATTCCCTTGAGGCTGTCAGGCATCTTGCGACCAAGCACATCTAAAAGCACGCCCATGTCGGCAAGCCCAACTCTATCATCGCCAAAGTTGTGCAAATGCATGTGTTTGGCAAACTGAAGCGGCACATGTTCAGATTTGACACCGTCCTTGATCCCAACATAATCAAAACTGAGCTCGACAATTTGGACATTCAGGTAAACAGCTCCTGGAGATAATTCTTGCTGAGATGTTAATAACCAGCAGCCACTGGTTATTTCCTTCATGTCTATGTCCCAGATAAGCTTCTTGGCAAATCAGCAAAAACGGAGCTACATTTTTGCCCGAGTCGGAAGAATAATCGACCTTCAGGTGGCGGAAGTCGTAATATTCACTCTGGGTGTATTAGGCAATATCCCGAATTACGTAAAGCGGTAAAGGCTGAAAGGGTGAGTGTTTGGCAGACATTGTAAGATGCATTCAAACGAAATTATGTGAAACTGATCTTGAGGAAAGAAAGAAAGAGAGAGGAACATTTTTTTCGCCCTCTTGATTTCTTCAACAAAAAACAAAGCGTTCTTTGGCTGCAGTTCTCCTGCATATTTAATCATTCGATTGGAAACGTTGATCCTAAAACATTTCGAATAGCTGAGAATTAACAAATGAACATGAAAAACAGACAGCTTGAAATAAAAAAAATTAATATTATTTACATTATTGCTGTGGACATTCAAAATACATATAGTTGTAATTTGCTCCATTTACGATATTCCAAATCCATATTCGTTGTACTAATTGTCAGAATGGAGGAGTCCAATAAACCTGTATTAACCCAAAAACTAAGGAAACCTCCTATTGGGCCTTCTCTACTGCCATTTTATAGGCAACTACAATGTCTAAATGATATCCTGGTTGTTACTACATTAATACCTTTTGGCATTGACTTAACTCGCGAACTCTCGGCTCAGCTGAGCCTATGTGGTGAGAGCTATTACACCGTGAATGATAAATGATATATTGAAAAATTAAAATATGGAATATGGAATAAAAAAATTAGTAACACTCATTTGTAGCAAGTGATTTGATTCGGATGACATACACCGACTCGTGTGTATATTTGAGCAGTTTTTTTTGTTTTTTGTTAAAGATAAAGGGATATATATAAATGTGAAATTAAACGATGGAGGGGGGGGATGATAAAAATATAAAAGCAGAGAAAAAGGAAAAAAGTAAAGAAATAAAATAGAAAAATAAAAAGAAAGCAAAAAAACAAAAAAAACATACGATACACATGGTACCAGTTTTTGCAAAAAAAAATCGCACTTAAACCACACTCTGGTTTAAAACCGATGTAGAAATAGCCGCAGTATCCCCGGGCGACGTAGACGTCAGTGTAGAATCGGTCGCCAAACCCTCCTCATTCTCTCTCCTACATCCACCCGCACCACTTTTCATCTCCTCTTTCCTCCTCATCTGATTCCTATAATCAGCAGATTTCTCGTCAACCTGAGAATAATAAATACCATTGGGACCTGGATAAGACATTGGTCTAGTGGTACGTTGAGAAGGAAGATACGGGTCCGAACGATGTTTAACCGAATGTTGTTGCTGTTGTTCCAGTTCCCGTTGTTGTTGTTGTTGTTGCTGGTGTTGCTGCTGCTGTTGTTGTTGGAGTAAAGTAAAAGCACCCTTGATGGGTGCTTGGTTATCCAACATGGGAACGTTAGTTAGTTTGGGCAAACGACCGGAAAAAGATCGGATCCTATGGCTTGTAGAACTTCTGGCTGGATGCTTAGGTCAAAATCGATTATGCTGAGGAACTGCAGTTCCAAATTATTGAGTTCTGAAACCGAAAGACCGCCGACCTATTTTGAGAAAAAGAAATTAAATGAAACAGCATATCAGTAAAAAAAACTTCCCACCGTCTTGCTTTCTTTTTCCAACTGTCATTGAATTCACTCAAGGGTTTTCTTCCTACAGTTCTTACCTTTGCATATCTCGAATTAGTATAAAACACGTCCGAAAACCACTTTGAACCAACGGTCACACCAGTAATAATCAAGCGATGGATCGAATAAGCATCCACAGTAAACGGCATCCTCCTCCTCGAACACTGGTCAATCATCTGCTGCAAATAAACGATCAATCCCAAGAAAACCTCGTTTGAACACGGACAATACTTTACCACACGCGCAATATAAATCTCCAAATCAATGGTCGGCACGGATCGCGCATGGAAGAGAGTCAGGGAGGTTTTCCGCTCATGTTGGCCGGGCTCCAGGGTTTGCTGCTCCAGGGCGTCGGAGCATTGGGTTACTGTGTTGAGGTAGGCGGAGACTCGGATAACTGTTTCTTGCACGGGAGTTGTGCCGAGGTTGAATTCAAAAGACATTTAAAAGGAAGGGGAGTGGGAATAGGGAGAAAGTAAGGGATAAATTATTTGGGAAATAGAAAAAAGGAAAGAAAAAAGAGGGAGGGAGTGAGTGAGTGACAATGCTTGTGCGAGTAGAAAATTAAAAAAAATCGAAAGAAAGAGAAAGAAGAGGGAGATAAAGAAAAGTAGTTATAAAATAAAAAGAGAGATAGAGAGACAGCAGGGACAATTGGGTGGGTTGGTTTATCAACAACTCTTGTTTGTTATTTTTTTTTTTTCCTTTTTTCCTTTCAGTTTTTGTTTTTGTTTTTTTTTCCCCTTAAAAATGATGAGAGGGGGGGTTGGTGGGGTGTGGGTCCGAGCAAAGCGAGCTGTTCAGCTTTGATAGTCCAATCCAATCCAATCCAAGAAAAGATTATTTCATGACATGAAATAATAATAATTTTTTCTCTTTTTCAAAGACTGTACATGTATTTTTTTTGGCACTCGCCCCCAACATCACAAAAGTGCTTTGCTTTGGATCTTCAGCAAAATATTTACTGGAATAAAAAAAAGTGATGGGGAAGAGGGGGTGGGAGGGATTGGGTGATCCATGAGTCTGGACTGGAATTTAAAAGAAATTTACCGCTTTGCATTTTTTTTTTTTAAAGAGCTGCATGCAGTATTTAAAGCGCAAAAAAAGATGAGGCGATCGAGCGTGTGAGCAAGGTGAGCAAGGTGAGCAAGGTTGGGTGAGTGAGCCGAAAAAGCTTGTGAGCAATCACACCCTCCTTTTTTTTCTCACTTGCATTTTGCTATCTCTATCGGTAACCTTATTTTCCCTATTTTCCCTATTTTCTTTTTCGAAAATGAGCTCTGACAAATTCATTGACAAACAAGTAGTGTTTCTCTATGCGTCACAAACCGGCAACGCCGAAAGCATCAGCCACAACATCTACCTCGAGGCCATCCGTCGCGGGTTCCGCGCCTCCCACCACGTCCTCGACGACTACAGGAAATTCAACTTTGACTCCCTCCGCACCATCGTCTTTGTGGTCTCCACCACAGGCGATGGCGACCCGCCGGATAACTCGGCGAGGTTCTGGCGGGTCCTGCGTAAATCATCCAAGCAGTCTGAGGCTTATGCCCATTTGAGGTATGCGGTGTTGGGCTTGGGGGATACTAATTATTCGAACTTTTGCAATACTGCGCAGAGGCTGGATAAGCAGCTGGAGGAGGCCGGGGCGAGGAGGTTTTATCGGAAGGGGCTGGCGGATGACGCCACGGGGATGGAGGATGTTGTGGAGCCATGGATCGATGGGTTGTGGGAGAAGCTGGAGGAGATCGCGGAGTGCAGCGGGAAGAAAGACGAAGGGGGCGAGAAGGGCGAGAAGGGCGAGAAGGGTGAAGAGGGTGAAGAGGGTGAAGAGGGTGAAGAGGCCAAGGAGGCCAAGGAGGGTGAAGAGGCCAAGGAGGCCAAGGAGGGTGAAGAGGCCAAGGAGGCTGAAGAGGCCAAGGAGGCCATGGAGGCTGAGGAGCCCAAGGAGGCTGAGGAGATGAACAAGGCCGCCTCTGTCGACCAGGCTGCCGCCGGGTTGGGCGCGCTAAGCCTGTCGGACGCCGACGGGTCCGCTGGCATCCCCCCAGTGGTCCTCGACTTCCGCGCAATGTCCGGCCTCAGCGCGCTCACCGGCGTACCCCGCGCCCCCGCGGCCCTCTGCACCACGGCCATTGGCCCCCCACCACCAGCACCCGGCGCCCGCGACTCCGCAGCCTCGCTTCCGCCGTGGCACCTGGACATCTGCAGCAGCTCCACCTCCGACCCAGAGCAGCAGCCGTTTGTCGCCGCACTTCGGTCACGCGAGCCGCTAACATCGGACGACGCAGTGAAGCGCACGCTCCTGGCCGAGCTGCAGCTGCCGGCCCCGGACCGCACGTGCAGCCGCGCCGGCGACGCATTCAACGTGTATGCGCCCAACGATCCGCGCAAGGTAGCAGCGCTCCTGCAGCAGCTGCGGCTGGACGGCGAGGCCGGTGGCCGGCTGGCCGTGGGATCGCTGGACGAGCGCATTGCAGTGCCGGTGCACCTGCGCAGATTCACCACCGCCGTTGGCGGCAGCGCCCACACCGCGGACAGCGCCCACACCGCGGACAGCGCCCACACCGCGGACAGCGCCCACACCGCGGACAGCGCCCACACCGCGGACAGCGCCCACACCGCGGACAGCGCCCACACCACCCACACCGCCCACACCGCCCACACCGCCCACACCGCCCACACTGTCGACAGCGTCCTAAGGTGGGCGGTGGACCTGCACCAAGCGCCGAAGCGCCAGGCCCTGCGCGCGCTAGCAGACTGCTGCGCAGAGGCGGAGGACCGCGAGCGGCTGCTGTTCCTGAGCAGCCGGCAGGGCACGGGCCAGTACGAGCGCCTGCGCGCACAAAGCGCCGGGGTCCCCGAGACCCTTGCGCTCTTCCCCTCGTGCCGCCCGACGCTGGCCAGGCTCCTGGATCTTCTGCCGCCGCTGCTGCCGCGCTCGTACTCCGTGTGCAATGCACCCCAGGGCGGGCGGTGGCGCTTTGCGTTTAATGTCGTTGAGTATGCGCTGGAGGTGGCCGACCCGTTTGCGCAGCGCGAGGAGCAGGCCGTGGTGCGGATGGAGCGCCGTGGCGTGTGCACGCCGTTTCTGGCCGCGCTGCCGTTGGGCGCGCCGCTGCTGGTGGCCAGGCGCCCGGCGGCCTTTCGGCTGGCGCCGGCGGATGTGCCGGTTATTATGGTTGGCCCGGGAACCGGGGTGGCGCCGTTCATTGGCTTCCTTGAGCAGCGCGCAGTGCAGCGGCCCTTGCCCGAGGCGCCGATGTGGCTGTTTTTCGGATGCCGCAGTGCGCAGCACGATTTTTTGTTCCGCCGCCAGCTCGAGGATGCGCAGGAGGCTGGCCGCCTGCGGCTGTCCGTCAGCTTCAGCAGAGACGGGCGCGGGGCGCAGTATGGCGGCCGCGGCTATGTACAGGATGCGATGGTGGAGCATGGGGAGGAGATCGCGGAGATCATGGCGCAGGGCAAGGCTGTTATTTACGTGTGCGGCGACGCTAAGGGGATGGGGAAGGACGTCAATGCTGCGCTGGTGGGGATCCTTGTGCGCTACGCGGAGGCGCACCCCGAATGGCTTGCGCAGCTTGGCGTGGCCAAAATGGACCCGGCGGCTGCTGCCAAGCTGCTTATGCAGTGGGCTGCAGAGAAGCGCTACCTGAGGGATCTTTGGGCTTGAATAAAAAAAAAACCTAATTTTCCCAGGTTTCTTTTTCTTTTTTCTTTTTCCTTTTCCTTCATTGTAATTTATTTATTTGAAAATTTTTCTTCCATACTGTTATTTACACTAAATCCAATTAAAAAATATTATGAAATCACACCGGCCAGGCCGCAAGCCGACGGCCTCGCCGCCACCCTCCGCAGCGCTCAGCGACACGACTCTTGACACGCTCTATCTCTCAGACACGCGCACTCCTCTGGACCCGGCGATCCTCAGCGAGCTGCTGGGCACTCTTCAGCAGCAGCAGCAGGACACGGATGATTACACCCAAATAACAAACCCCACCGTGCTCCTGGGCCTGCACTCCCTGGACGACTTTGAGCGCCAGGCCGCCAACCACCATCATATGGGTACTTTTGACGAGGCTGAGCTGTCGGCAGCATTGGGTCAGATCGACTGGTCCACTTTTATGCCTCCCCCGCCACCGCAGCACCAGCAGCACCAGCAGCACCAGCAGCACCAGCAGCTGATGCAGCAGCAGGGGGGGTCGGAGAGCTTGTTGTTTCCAGAGTCGCCATGGGATCTGCCAGAGCAAAGCGATGAGGCGGAAGAAGAAGAAGGGGAGGAGGAGGAGGAGGAGGAGGAGGACGAGGGAATGCATGTGGATGGCTCCATGGAGCTGGAGGAGCTGTCAATGTTCTCGGCACTTCTCGGCAACGTGTCGGCCTTTGAGGACTTTCTGGCCACCCTCAGTTTGAATCAGCTACGCCAATGCGCTGCCACAGTCAACTCTGTGCTGGTCAGGAGAGAAAGTGGCATGGACGTGCGCTCCTCCTCCAAAAACAACAACAGCAACAGCAACAGCAACAGCAACACTAACAACAGCAGACCGCCGCCATTACCATTAAACCAGCAGCAGCAGCAGCAGAACTACCAGCAGCAGAACTATCAGCAGCAGAACTATCAGCACCAGTACCAGCAGAACTACCACCAGCAGTATCACCAACACCAGCAGCAGCTGGTGCAGCGGAGAGTGGCGCCACCCCTGTCCTTGCTGCACGAGGATAACACCGTGCCGTTGTCTGGGCCTACCCTGGATTTGCTGCGCGAGTGGCTGGAGCCGTCCACGGCCGACAGCGTCATCACCGCCTTACACGCTGCCAACCTCACTGCAGCCGCCAACATGGCCACGGCCACCGCTGACGAAGCCCAGCAACAGTCGCTGTTCGCCCATACCCCGCTGCTACCGATACCGCCGCCACCGCCGCCCTTCCCATCCACAGCGTCCTCTCCGCTACCATCGGCATCGACACCGGCATCGGCATCTCTACCGCAGCCTCAGAAGCAGCAGCAGCAGCAGCAGCAGCAGCAGCGGCGGCAGAATCAGAATCAGTCGCAGCAGACTCAGCCAGAACCCGCCCCACCCTCCTCCTCCACCGCCTCTACCACTGCCGCCCCTCAGCAGCAGCCAACAGTCGGCGGGCCACAGCTCGAAACCGACTCAGACTCCATCCCCTGGCTAATCTTCGTCTACGCACAAAAAGGCAAACCACGCCAACACCGAATCCGCATCGATATTGACCGAGCGCCGCTCCCAGCAATCCCACAAAGCTTCCAAACCAATAACTGCGTTTACCCAAGGGCAAACTGCTCCCGCGCCCAGTATGCCGGCAACCGGTGGAGCTACGAAACGGAGTGTAATTCGCTAGGATGGAAATTGGCTTTTCTCAACCAGGAGCTTTTGTCTGGGAGGAGGGGGTTGTTGCAGACGGCGGTCAATAACTATCGTACGATGGTGGCTGGGAGGAAGAGTCGGAGGATTACGAGGATGGAGAAGGCTAAGATGGGAGGCGCAGCGAAGAGGAGTCTCGAGGAGGCAGAAGCTGAGGCGGATGCTGAGGCGGAGGCTGAGGCGGAGGCTGAGGCAGAGGCGGAGGCGGAGGCGGAGGGGATCCAGGCTACGGTTGTGGCGGAGAGCGCGAAGCGGCAGCGGAAAGACAGCGTTGCGTCAGCACCACCAGAGGAGGAGGAGCAAGAGGCGGAGCTGACGCCAACGGCAGCAGAGCCGGCGCCCTCGCCCTCGCCTTCGCCCTCGCCCGCCCCAGCCCTCCCCCCCAACGCCCCCGCCGCGGCCTCGGCCTCGTCCTCGTCCTCATCTTCTGCGGAAACAGCCAAAAGCCTAACGATCAACGCATTTATCAGCGGCAAATTCACGCGCATCCGGATCAACATCGACCTCACCACACCCACCGCCACATCCACACAAGTCCCGCGCACTTTTCAGCACCAACACGCAGTCTTCCCACGCGCCCTAATCGCGCCCAAATCCAAATACGACTCCCTATCCCCGGGCCGCTGGGAATTCGAAACCACCTGCAATGAGCTTGCGTGGAAGCTCGCTTGGCTGAATAAACCCCGGTTGGAGGGGAGGAAGCCGCTGATTCAGAGGTGTTTGGACGTTTATCGTGCGAGGTTTAGGCTGCCGCCGTGGAAGTGGCTGGCGTGCTTTGCGGGGGAAATGAAGGGTGTGGTAGATGAGAGATTCTTTGAGTATTGGGCGCAGAGGCCTGGGAAGAGAAGATGGAGAGGAGAGGAGACGGTTCAGACTCAGCTGATGCTGCTGCAGCAAAAGGAAGTTGAGCCGGAGCCGGTGGTTGAGGATCAGGAGCCGAGGAAGGGGAAGAGCGTGGCGGGTGCCAGCAGTAGCGGCGGAACCAAGCGGAACTTGCAGCTGCAGAAGGAGGCTCGGAAGGACGAGGAAGGAAAGGCTCACCAGAAGGAGCAGCATCAGGAGCACGAGCAGGAAGAAGAAGAAGGGGAACAGGAGCAGCCGCTGAGCGAGCCGCTGAGCTCCACTACTCATACTCTTTCTGCAACCACTGCTGCTGAGAGGTCACCGCTCGCGGCGTCCTCTGCTCGTCCGCTGCCATCACCAGCACCGAAGCCCCTACCATTGACAGCAAAGCCCCCAGTACCGGCACTGACAGCATCGACAGCAGCACTCACAGTAGCGACACCTGCACCTGCACCTACACCTACACCTACACCCGCACCTACACCTGCACCTGCACCTGCACCTGCACCTGCACCTGCACCTGCATCTGCACCTGCATCTGCACCTGCACTGGCGCCGGCACTGGCGAAGGTGCTCCCGTTAAATTCGGATTCGGCAACACCGGTACAGCTGCGCCCAGCACCGAAGGTGCCGCTATCGAAGGTGGCTGCCAGACCCCTGGCTATGCCTGTGCCTCCTCGCCAACCGCAACCGCAACCGCAACAGCAACAGCAACAGCAACAGAAGCAGCAACATATATCTGCTTTGCCTCGCCAAACACAGCCACTGCGTCCGCATCTGCACCCGAATTCGAATATGCCGCAGAGACGCGTGCCACCGACGTCCACATCGACATCGACATTGGCATCGGCATCAGCATCGGCACCCAGACAGCCTGTCGCCATGGCTCCACGCCCGACACCGCCTCCCAACACCACCAATACCAACAGTGGTTTTGCTAAACTGGGCACCATGCCCAGCAGTGTCATGCCTAAGCGTCCTGCCGCTATGCCTAGCCAACCGACACAACCCAGACCAACATTACAACCCAACAGCAGCAACAGCAGCAGTGGCAGTTCGGCGAAATCAGTCAAGGCGCAGGCAGCAGCCAATATGCTGACCGATGTTTTGCGCCAGTTGGCTAGAAAGGACCCGTCGCTGGCTACTTTGAAGGGTGTTGGTTTGGATAAAGCGCAGCCGGAATCAGGTGCCCAGTGCGATGATGCCACGCTAGATGCTAAATTGGCTGAAGCTGAGAAACTCATCATTGATATGCACAAGAACTAAAAAGCTTGATTTTTTAAAATAAACTCAGTTACCAGTTACCAACAAAAAAACAATTAAAATAACTTAGTCTTACCCATGTCTATTGCGGCGCGCAAACGCCCTGATTCTGCCCGCGTACTCTGCAAAATGCTCTTGTTGCATGATCTCGGAAATATGCGCGTAGAATTCCGGCCCATCGTCGCCAACCAGAGTGAACCTTGCGCGCCCAGCCACTGCAACTCCCACCAGAGCGACGGTCTCGGCCAAATACTCCACCAAGCAGAACCGCCTCACCCCAACCACCATTGCACGCAGTCCCCTGCCGATTTCCTCACCCACCGCCCGCATATAATCTGGAATTCCTTTCTTTTCCATGCCCTCAATCATTGGCGCACAAATCGGCGCCGCACAATGCAAAGTGTGCAAAGCGGGAGCACATCGCAGAATTGTCACAATATCAGAAAGCTCCAGTTGACATCCTGGAACCACCAGCGTACGGATCGCAAAGAACATTGGTAATCCGCTGGATTCCCTGTTTCGCTTGACGAGCAGGCCAGTGGACAGGTCGCCGGTGAACACAAAAGAGCGGAGGCTCGTGTAGGATACCCCAGCGGCGTCGATAATCTGGGTAACGCAGTGGTTGACTATTGCCTTCCGGGGCTGCACCAGCAAGTGGCCTGGTGGGAAGTTGTTTACTAAGCGGATGCGCTGGAGGTGAGGGAACTGGGCGCTGGTGAATGCCCGATGTTGATCTACCATGTTTACAAACCTGGGGTCCGTCCAAACGTCGATTTCCTCCAGCATACTGACCCCGCCAGCGCCCCTGAACAACACATTGTCGGAGTAGGGAAATACTCCGCTTACTTTTGCTGACCGGATCCACGGGAAATGAACCACAGCGGAGGAGCCCGTAAGTGCCTCTGCCACCTTCGACTCTTCCAAAGGTTCTGCCATGTTAAACATAATTTTCTCCAGGCACCCATACACCACCGGATCGCCCATCCCGTTGATCAATATCTCTACCGCCAATGCATCCGTCCATTTATTGAGCTCCAATACTACAAGTGTCTTGGCATTGCGTCGGATACATTCCACGACCGGCGCGGTATTTACATGACACGTGTATGCAAAATGCGTCAATCCTGGAATCTCCGCCGGCTCAACCCTTGTGCGTGTGAGGTCATCGGAACTCTGCACAAATGATAATTTTTTAACCCCGCGGTAGAGCTCCTCAGTGGCTGTGTATAGGCGGCCGAGAAATACCGTGGCTTTTGTAGAATCATATTTAGAGCTCAACGATATGTCGACTAGCTCGACTGCGGGCACCATCTGCCTGAACGCCCGGAAAATCGCAGTAGCATCCACCAGGGTGTCAACCCTCTCTAGCATCATTGTGTCGTAATATTGTCCCTTATTATTAACACTAACAAAGAGCGAATGCGCTGCTGGGTAGATTGGCCGAGAAGACGGCGTTTTCATAAATTTTGAATGCTTGTACATGTACATTAATGGAATCCACCCGCCAATACGCACATGGACTGTTTTCACCAAGTGGGAAGTGGGGAATGTGGGTGTCCCGAGGCATATGGGCCAATATGGGAAAGTGAAGGACTGGTTAGCTAGAATTTGGAAATTAAAGTAAACATCTTCAAATGACTTGTTGATAATGATTGTGCGCCATAGGTGGCAGCTGTGGAGAATGGATAGGGCTACAGATGTGTCGGTATTGCGGTTTCCAGAGTCGCCGGCTAGGTAGTATTTGACTACTAACTCGATGACGAGCAAAGGCAGTGTCTGAAAAACCGAATACGATGACATATTTGGGTGTGGAATATAATTTGAATATAAAAGTCGGTTAAAGTAAATAGAAAAAATAATACATTGAGAGTAAATTAATAATAAAAAAAGAGAAGAAAAATGAAGTGCCTGTAAAGCAGACATTAAAAATATTCTTACAAATTGTGTGCCAGCTACTAATTCGAATTATATTCATTCTTTCTTCAACAAAAAAAGGCATTATTCTTATTTCGCCAAATGAATACACACCATTATAGACAAAAAATACAGTAGCTGGATTAGGGTGTTTACAATGTGTAATATCTGGCCATTGTGTTTTTGCCAATCTAATTGTTCGACTCTAAGATCAAAAATGCCTTTATCTGCATATATTTCCGCTTTAAATTCTCGAATAGTGCAAGAACCATATGGCCACATAAGCCGCTTTTCAGTAATTGGACATTCGACTACTGTAGTTACCATTTTATAATCAAATTATTATATAATATGTGTAACTGCAAATGTAAATATATCAAAACAATTGGTGACATTTATCTAATATCACCGTGACTAAATGTAATTTTCGTTTTTTCACCCCACGTAGAGTATTGTTCGTATTCAGTCATTTTTATATTTACTAATGTAAGACTAGAACGTGGCATTATTTTCCGCTACCCATATGCATTCCTAGTTTGTCTCCTCTTTATTCTGTGCAACTTTGAAATATTGACTTTTATCATTTAAAATTATTAAAAATGACTTTAATCAAAAGATGATATCCGATATTTGCATTATTTTAGGCAGAGAAGAAGCTGTTGGATATTCACCAAACTATACCCCCAGCATTATAGCACAGGCCGCCTTCTATATCAACTGTTAAAAGGTGGATTAACAGGTTTTGTCGCGGACACATGTATATTGAAGATGAGTCTCAAAGCAGCCATCCAAAACTCGAAATTGCACAGCTTCATTGCGCCGATATTTGCAAGACGATCGGCCAATTTTCACATACAAGAGCTGGGAATTTAGCTGAGCACTACGATTGTTTGGTGACAGCAATGCAAAAGGCCATCCGTTGTGATTTGAGCTATAAAATGGTTCTTCAGCAATTGGTCCTTCATTCCCTCACTGATGGGGTTAAGGTAACGCACATTGGGTTCTGCCAACGGTTCATCAAGAACTTCGCCGGCTCTTCCAGAACAAATATATATATAACATTCTTACATGCGAAGAAGCGTATGTCTACCTGAAAATGCCATTATATGGCTCGGCAGCCAGGGTATATACCATTGGAGATCAGATAGTACCTGCCCAAGTTCGTTCGCACTTTGGTCAAGACAATTTTATTACTCTTATCTTCTGCAAAACTGGTATTATTCACGCCAACCTCAACATCAAACCGCGCACTGCCAATAGTGAATACTTTGTCAAGAATGGCATTAATCCCGTATTTGCCAAGTGTAAAAAATGCACAAGAACGCCAACCCCAGCAGAATCGTATTTGACCAGAACAATGCACCACCACCTCACAAACCAAAACGTACGTTGTACCACATTTTGCAGATTGGGATGAAACAACTTGAAGCAGTACCATACCAGGCCCAGCGACATGTTTTTAATGCGCGGGAAAAGCCAAATCTCACAAGCTCAGAGGTCGCAATTTAAAGGACATTCGAGTGGTGAAAAATGCATGGCTGTGGTACCAAAAAAGCACTGTGTCACGTAATCATTGAAGGTAGCCAATCACCCCCTAGGCGAATATTTGTTGTTTCGCGCAAGGCTTATAATAAGTCCTTGCGGACGCAAAAAACTAGTCGTTTTTGGTTTCAGTTTAGTTATAATTGAAATAAAATATATTGACACGCTTAAAAATAGCTGTCTCATTGCTGACAATTCGCGACACGAACTCATGCAGAAACCCAATGCCCCATGGGGACATGCCCTGGTCATCCTGGCGGACACACGCAGTGATGACATCGACAGCGCCCAGCTTCAGCAGCTGCACCATCTGTGGATTTGCCATCTCCATTGCATTTTCCTCTGCTGCTGCCAGCCGATATGCTGTGAGAAAAGTACACAGCCGCACGAGACTCTCGACCGGCATGCGCAAAAGCTCAAGCTCAGACATTGGCTGGCGTGCGACACCGAGCAATGCAGGCAGAAACGCCAGGTCGATCATCCCCCAGTGGTACTCAGTGCACAACGCAAACTGCTTTGCCATGGCTGCACATACCAACACAAGCATGGTGTTTGATTTCTGCCTCTGCTTGCTGCTGCCTTGAGCCAAGATATTGGCTGACTGCAGAAGTGTTTTGCTGAACACCTCAAGAAACCTGCAGCCACCTGCCTGCCGCATGTGCCGCTTGGATACTGCCGCGTCTGATGTGTCTAGCAACCCGAGCAGCGTGGTGGCTGCCCACATCACCACTTCTTTCTCCCTGGGCGCGCACATAGCCTCTACCAGCGCCTCGATGTCTCCGGCCCAAACCACCCTGCCGATCTGCTGCAGCATCATGACTAGCACCTGCAGCAACACAACTGTCCTCAATCGACCCTCCTTCTCCTTTGCTGTTGAACTTCCCTGGGCCTGCGCGACTATCAGCTGCAGAATCTCTCACCGCATGGCCATATCGAGCACCAGCCCAGACGCAGCACTCTGCAGCTTAAAGTTGCCCGAATTCAGCGCCAATTATGCCAAGAGATTAGCCATTTCAAGCGTCTGAATGTACAACGCTGTCTCATTGTCCGCACTCCCTTTTGGAACCATTGGTCCCAGCGTACCAGGTGTGTTGCCGTCGTTTCATTTATTGGTGTGCGTAGCAGAAAGCTAACTCGTACTGCGATTGGCCTAAATATGAGAAAGTACCTGGTACGTGCTGAGCTCTGCCCCGACGCCAATTTCAAGGTGGTACCAGCTATCGTCTATGCTAGCAAAATATTATCGAAAGTGTGTGAAAAATACTAAAAAGTAAAATGCGAAATTGGAATTGGAAAGGAAAGGAAAAATGATAAAAATGGAACAATTGGAAACAAAAACGTTAAAATGGAATCATTTGGCAAAATAGCAAAAATCGAAAATTATGGATGAAATCAACCATGTTCAAGTAAAATTGGCCAATGTGCGAGTTTAAAAGGATGTTTACAGTTAAAGTGATCGGTGAAAGGTGATCGGTGGGTTGGTGAATCTGTAAATAAAAGAGGGACAGTCAAGAGTTTTAATCTTTATTAAACGCGAAGAAAATATTAGTAAAATGTAAATATTTTATCTTTAACTTTTGTTGTTTTTAATAAATATTTTTACAACCCAAAAAATTAACTGCAAAAGATAATTTTATAATAAGAGGGGGTGTGAGGAGCACTAGTTGTCTAGTGTTAGAAAAGTAAGGGTGATTTTATAAAAGGTTTTATTACTGATGTTTCTAAAATACTACTAAGGCCGGCTTCATCTTATATATGTGCCTCGTCACCTTTGTTGCGCACATTGCCAATTGTGCGCTCCGTTGGTGAGAACTGGATCTTCTGCAAGCAGACCGGTATCTTGGCAAGTAAATGTTGTGGTTGTCGTGTGTATACACTCATGCGTGTGCATTGCAAAATGGGGAGCATGTTTGAGCATCAATGTAATGCCTCCCTAATTTAAGCCTGCATAATCCAATTAGTGCCCTATCAATCGACATGCAGATGGGAACTTGTTTCACGATTCTCAACCTCGACATCCACTTCCATATTTTCAGTCTGTGCAACAATCTTATGAAACTCTTGAATAATTTTATTAATGGTTATCTTTTTTGGGGGGTTTTGATTTATTGAGATTGAGATTGCAGCGCTAATAATATTAGAAGCTTTATTAAATTATGTTGGAATATAGGACGTTCTATGAACGTGTAGATAAATTATAATGCTATAAGGTATATTTAACAACTAAGTGATATGCACTGTGTAAAGTAAAGAGTAGTGAGCATATTGCTCTGGTCACTGTGTGACATTGATTTATTGTGGCCAAACAGCCAAGACTGGTTAATCAGTTGATCGCCATCAACCAATAAATTCAATAATTTTGTTCTTATTGTATTCAGCATTATTTTTGTTCAATATATTAATGACAATATCATCATCTAGGCACTTTTATTTAAAATTATTGCTTTTAATTTGGGTAGGATATCAATATTAATTGGCATGTTATATTTGCTTTTAACTTTTCTGGAAATAAGTATATCATCTTTGTCATTTCTTACTGCTATACTCACTTTGAAATTAATTATCTTATTAAGCGGGTGAATTGACTGTACTTTGTATATGTAGTCAAAAGCTTTCAAGCTTGAATTCAACTGAAAATATTTGTAAAAATTGCTTTCACCGTTGTCGGCTATATCCGCGGGCTTGCTTGGGTGTGAGGATTCGGTTTTCCCCTCACTGGGCACTCTTAATAAGTTTTGAAATCATATTTAGAAGTGGATAAAAATAATGTGAACAAAAAATGTATGAATTTAATGATGTAATATAAAGAAAAAATTGTAAAATAAAATAAAGTAGGCGGATCTATGTATATACCATTAAATATTTTTTAAATTGTGCAATACCCGCTAATAAAAAGAAAAATTGCTGCTCGAAGCAGAATAAAATGTGAGGGCACCAAAATAAACAATAAAATGAAAAGCTATTTATATAAACGACAATGTGAGGACGCCAAACTAAAATATAAAAATGTTATGTAAGAGGGAGGGTGGGGAGCACTACTATAATAGTGTTAGAAAATGGGTGTGAAATTACAAAAATTTTATTACTAGTGTTTCTAAAGTGCTATTATCGCCGATCTTGCCTTATATATCTCCTTGTCTTTATGGCACTCACTGGCAGTTGTGTGCTCTGTTCGCGAGAACTGGTCCTTATGAAAGTAACCCGGGTCTTTGATATGGCATAATTGGCATGTCTGTATTCTTGCGCCCAGCACATCCATTTCGGGACAGGCATTATGTGTGGATGTCAATTGTGGCGCCTAATTTGATCCCCTGTAATTCGGCCCGTATCAGATCCATCTGTGAGCTGACGAGAATCTGTCTCATGAGTTTTGCCCTCAGCGTCTACCTCCATATCCTCGGGCTGTGTAACAAAAAGGAATATTTTATTTTATAAAAGACAAAGGGACATGCCATTGTATAAATAATAAATGACATGGAGCCTGTCACGCAATTCTTTTGTTAAAAACTTGAAGCAAAGAAAAATGTTTAATCATGCAGGCAGAAAAATCTTGGCAAACAGCAGGCAGCAAATAAATAAATAAAAATGTATAGGCGTGTCCTTTGTCGACAAACTTGGCCAAAGCTACGCTGTTTTAATGCTTCAAAATGGTGGAATTTTTAGATGAATTTTGTCGACATTAAATTTATTTTAATAGACCCAATTTATTATGATTGTTATACTCGTGTATGGAACTAAAATGAATTACTATTTTTGCCCTACTAAAATACTAATTTAAAAATAATCGGGTAAAAAGAAGAAAGAAACGCGCGCTGAGGCGGCAGTATCTGGTCTTTCCCATTTTTAATACATGTTGACTATTACTTTTGTTCTTCAGCATGTGTGGGAATAGTTGTGGGTACAATCATTCTATACCCCGCCTTTTGTAATTCAGTTATTTCCTTAGCTGAAGACATGAGAACTTCTATATATTCTTTTCCTGTGTCCAATATTAGTTTGCCCGCAAAGTCTTTAGCCTTCCAAACATACTTGATTGCCTTATTAATGGCTGTAGAATGATAAATTTTAACCCGTATATAAATACATGTTTCTCGTGAAAATTCTATAAAATCACAGGGCGGAATATATTTGCGATATTTTCCGTTTGTTATGGTAACGTAAACAAGCATATTCTTATGCATTTTCTTAAAAATTTTTTAATATCTGCTGAAATTTCAGAATGACTTTTGTTTTCAAATAACTCCCAAAGCTCATATTCAAGCCAAGTATCAGACGACTATACAGTTGAGGATATAAATCCAGCAATTTTTATATCGCGAGTTTGAATCGAAGAATTGGACATAGGTGTTGACCCCATAGGTGAAAAATTAAGCATGTTTTGTAGATTGGTTGCTTAAAAGTGGTTTTGTGTAGCTTGAAGCTTAACTTAAAATGGAGCTTGAAGAGTAGTTAAATATTGTGATGTGTGTTAAACTAAAATATTTTAAAAGTTGGAGGACCAAATCCCTGCCTTATATATTACGCCAAAGCACGCGCATTATGTTAACGCTAATAAAAAACGACTGCCCAAACTGAACTTAGTATACTAACAATGAATAAAACCATAAAAATGGAATGGTATGGCATGATATGAATGTATACTATAATAAAAAACAGCTGAAATAAATTAAAAAGAATGATTGTCACAATAGCAGCTGAGCCTACCCAAGCGTCTGTCCAACATTAAGTTGCCATCAAACAAGAGCGGCAAATTTTTTGTTTGAACCCTTTTTCGCACATTAAGCCTACAGTCAAGGTCTACTCATGAAAAAAGTAAATACGGTTTTGGCAACAAATATGACTTCAAAGAGTTTAATAAGTAATTAATAAGCATGATTGCAACCTGACTTAGTCAACCAACTGACTGACGTTGAATTACTGTTATGCAAAAGAAGAACCATTTATTTGCAGCTTTTTAACCCTATGAGTCCAGCAGTCATATTTTGGACATAAATAAAAATAAATCCAAGTTTGGCAAAAAAACAGACAACGAATATATGAAAATAGGTAGCGCTATTTTTGTTTGGTGAATTGACGAACATCAGAGTATTGCATCATACATGTCACCAATTGTTTTAATGGCGCATTTTTAATTAATTAGTTGTGGCCAGATTTGGTGTAAATAACTCCAGAAAAAATAAAAACAAATTGAATTACCCTCGTGTCGCAGCATGAGCTGTAGGGAAATTTTGATTTATTAATTGGCCAAATATTAACAAATTAAAATTAATGAATAGTACTTTTCGCACTGGTAAAACGTCTATATAAAGCGTTTCGAAACGCAAATAGACGTTTAAGCTCTACTTCAAAAAACAAGGATAAAAGCGCAGCGGACGGGCAAGAGCCCCCTGCTGTATCAAGATAATAATGTACCCTGGCTGCCCTTACATTGTTGGTATTGTATATCTTCTAAAGCTGGATGCATCCAGGCATGATCACACCACATTGCTTATCATTTTAGTCACAGTGATACACATCGCATGGTTGTTCTCTCCTACCCCTCCAGTACATATCACTAATAGTATACACATTATTAGATACATAGTATAGTATTATTTATGTCCCATTAATAGAGCGTTAGCGTTTTAACAAAAAAAGCTATATTATCTTTAATTTGTCATATTAGTTGCTTTACTTTAGCATTTGTTTGTTTTGCCAAATAGTATTGAAAACACGCAGCTTATTTTTTATTACAAGCTTGACCTTACCAAACAATAAATGAGTAGTATAATTGTTGGCTTAAAGTAGGATTCAACTTTTATAGTAAAAAGAAACAATACTTTGCGCGCGTAAAAAGTAAAAAAAACAAAGCAAACGCCAGTTTTCTTTGTTTATTTAACGAAAATTTACAAAGTTGATATATTAAAAAGACGAGACAAATTTTGTTTTAACATTTCTACTTGAGAACGAACCATCCATCCCTACAATTAATTTTTTCTTTCTTTTTCCGTTTTTTATCTCCTACATATTTTTAAACTACTGCAAAAATTATGACTGCTGCCGCCCCTACCACTACCAAAAACTGTGTTCCCGATATTGAGATGCGTATCTCCAATCTTGTTTCTCAGTACACATGCTATGACGCACAAACAATGCGCGAGTCGGAGTTAGGCAATGAATATGCGGAAATGGCTCAAAAACTACTGCGGGAACTTGAGGGGGCGCTGAATCAGACTCTACTGTAAAACTTAGTATGCGGAGAAACATGATCCCAAAGAGAAATTGGAAGGAAAAATTCTCACCCTACTATCTTAATCAATAGGAAAATCCTACGGACATAAACAGATTGCAATTTATTTTTCTTCTCTTTTAAATTTTTTCATGTTTCATTTTTTAAAATAATATCCACCTTTTTCAATTCTTATCCATAAAAAATGGGCTTTATAAATAAAATAAAGCTTCCGCAGCGAACAACATGGACCGTAGCGGGCGAGCGCCGTGAAACACTGTTTTGGCCCAACCTCCTGAACCAACCACCAAAGGCTGTTTTGCTATTGATTCCAGGAAGCCCTGGCATCGTTGACTTTTACATTGATTTCTGCCAGAGTCTACACGAGCAAATACCCAGTATGGATATCATCGGCGTATCTCATTTGGGCCACACGTTATTTGAAGACAATCGAGGGTTGGTTTGGAGAAACAAAAGGGTCTATTCGCTGGAGGAGCAGGTTGCCAATATGGTCAAGGTGTTTGATGAAATTTACGAAGAGTACAAGGAGGATGGGAGCAGGCCAAAGATGTTGTTGGTGGCACATAGTGTGGGATGCTATTTTGCACAAAGGGTACGGAAAAATCCACAATCCAAGTAAGCGTCAACTCGGAAGCTGCAAGAGATACTCTAAAAAGCAATTAAACCTGGTGAAACATTCTTCTCTTCTATATTGTTATAGGTTGTCGAGTGCCGAGAGGAGCTTGTGGACCGCGTATACAGCTTGTTTCCGACAGTCGAACATATAGCCAAGACGCCGCGAGGCAAGCAGCTCGAGGTAAGCCCAGTACTGTGAATTTTTGCAAGCTGTCGCTTTATTTGGAATACATCATGATGAGGTTCTCCACTTGGCTAAAAAAAACCTCGTTTAAAATATTGCTTTGTAGCTTGCGTTTCTACCTGGAGTGAGACATTTCCTGTCCCTCACAGTCGACGCGCTCCGTTGGATCCTGCCCCTGTCACTCCTCCACCTACTCTCTGATCTTTCGGGCAGCCTCAATAGAGAAAACTCGCAGCTCGTGGTGGACAAAATGCTTCACGGCACGTGTGTCCAAAACATCCTCAAGATGGCCCACGACGAAATGCACACGATCAAGGAGCTCAATTGCGAGCTGTACGGGAGGCTGGGAAGAAAGTTTGTCATGTACTATGGTGTTGACGACGGGTGGTCGCCTGTTGATCATTATTATAAGATGGTGAAGGAGAATACCGAGGGCAGGGTTTTTCTGTGCGAGGAGGGAATCTCGCATGCCTTTGTTACTAGTCATTCATCACAGATGTCCCGTATTGTCGCTGAGATGCTGAGACAGGAGCTTGGGATGACCAAGCTGTAGGGATTAATTTTTTTTACAAAATTATAATAGTAGTAATTGATATTGCAGTGTAATAGATTAGGCTCTTTACGAGTGTCGAAAATAGGGCCTGGCGAAGCGCCATGCATAGAGCAACACATTAAAAAATATGCGATTCCAGCCTTTGGTTCGAAATACATTTTTGTTTGATGAGCGGAAAAAATATAAAAATATAAAAATATAAACTCGCGTACTGGTTCAAACGTCACACCAACTTTCTCTCTTTTCGTTTGCAGTAATACTTTATTTTCAAATTACTTTTCCAAGCTCTAAATTTTACATAGAACTACATATTGGGGTTATCTCTTTTTTTTCCTTTTTCATTCCCAAATGCATTTTGCACGCATTTTTTCTGGCCTGCTTCTTGCGATCTTCAGCCAGGCGCTAGCGCAAGGCGCACCCGTCGGACAAAAGACACACATTCTGGACGTGAGCAACTTTGAGACGCTAACCAAAACTGGCACCTGGATAGTCAAGCATTTCTCCCCCGCCTGCATGCATTGCCTAAGTTTCCAGCCCAAATGGGACAAAGTAATCTCCGACAGCTCTCTCGAACTCTTTGAAAAGGATGTGCATTTCGGCGAAATAAATTGTTTGGAAAACATGGAACTGTGCCAGCTCAATTCAGTCGAAGGGTGGCCCACAGTTGTCGCGTTCGAGTCGGGCAAGCACACAGAGAAGTTGGCTGGCGACAAGAGCGAGAAGAAGCTACGTGAGTTTGTGCAGCAGACGGTCGATAGGGTGACGCGTGCGCAGCGTTATTTGGAGAACAGTGTGGTATTGGATTCGACCAACTTTACACAGAATATCGCGGAAGGTTTGTGGCTGGTTAAACTGTATTCACCCGAGTGCCCGCATTGCCAGACGATGGCGCCCGAGTGGAGCAAAATGACCAACGAGATGGCCGGCGAGATGGTCAAGAAGGGTGTTGTTGTCCTTGGCCAGGTCGACTGTTTGGCCAACCTTAAGGTATGCGCTGATAACCATGTTGATGGGTATCCGACTGTCAACTTGTTTTTCAATAGTGCTTTCATCGAGGAGATGCGGGGCCCGTACACTTACAAGAATATGAAGGATTATGTGCAAAACCTGGAGGGGCGCGCGAATGCCGGTGAGTTTGACAAAGCACCCGAGCCGCGCGTGAACAATGACAACCGCGACTGGGACGAAGAAGACGTCAAGCCGGCCGAGAAGAAGGCGGAAGAGCAGAAGAGGGTGGAGGAGAAGGAGCAGAAAAAGGGCGTTGAGAAGACTCACAAGACTCCCAAGGATGACGCTGACGCTAATGCTAACGCTGCCGACTCTGCTGACTCTGTCGATTCCGATGCTGCCGTTGTCAATGCAAAAGAGCCCGCTCCTCAGTACAACCTGGATGGCGAGGTCGTGACGTTGACTCGCGAAAACTTTGCCGAACGCACCGCCTCGGGGCCTTGGTTCATCAAGTTTTACGCGCCGTGGTGCGGGCACTGCCAGCAGCTGGCGCCTGTGTGGACAAAGTTTGCTCATGAGACGCGCGGCAAGGTCAATATCGGCGAGGTCAACTGCGATGACGCTGGCACTCTGTGCTCCAAGTACAACGTGCAGGGCTACCCAAGTTTGAAGCTCATCTGGGAGGGCGAGGCTAGCGATTTTAAGGGGTCGCGCGATCTAGACAACATGCTGGCCTTTGTCGACGGCATCATGGCCCAACCGCGCGTCCTCCAGAGCGTAGACGAGCTTAGGCTAGCGCAGACATCACTAGATGTCGCCTACGTATTTGCCTACAGCAGCTCCGACACCAGTGCAAAGACAAAATCAGCGCTCGCACACATCAAGGCCAATGTTCAAAAGATGTTCCTCTCGAAGCAGCTCAACATTGTTAGCGACATGAGTATTGCCAAGGCCGTTATTTCCCAGAACTTGTCGGCGCCCACTTTGGTTGCGTTGAAGGACGGCAAGGTCGTGCGGTTTGAAGGATCCCTGACCAGTGACGACCAGCTGCGCGAGTGGTTCTACGCCGAGCGCTTCCCGCTGCTTCCGGAGCTGAGCCGCGAAAACTCCGACGACCTGTTTTTTGATACAGACTACCTGGTCCTGGTTGTTCTGGACACCAGCAAGGGTGCGGATCATACCACCGAGTTCCGTGAGATCGCACGTGACGCAGCCATTGAATACACCCGAGTGCACGGCGCCTCTGCTGGCCACACGCCCAAGAGCTCTGTGCGGTTTGCTTGGGTCGATGGCAGCAAGTGGGCGTCCTACATCGAGCGTGTCTTCCGGCTCACGCAGAAAGATTGGCCGGCCGTGGTTATTGCCCAGCCTAGCGAGGACCGATTCTTTACGACGGATGTCAAGGGCGGCATTATCGAGCCGTCCAAGATGGGTATCTTCTTGGCTGTGCGCGCTGCCGTCGAGGGTCGTTTGCGCGCCCAGAGCACTAACTCTATTATTGTACAGGTTGTTCGTGTTGCCATGGGCGCTGTGTCTGCTACTTCTGCCTTGCTCTTCGGCACCATTCTGCGCGCCCTCGTCACCCTGTCTGTTGCTGGCGCCATTGGATACGGAATCTACAGGCGCAGCTCGCAGGGATCGCGCGGAGGCACGTACAATATCGTCAAGGTTGAGTAGGACTCAGCAAGTTAAAACGCAATCCAAAAAATAAAGCCAAATTGTTTGGTTAGCTATGAATTTTATATTTGAAAAAAGAATAATAAAAAACAATTTTTTGTTGTTGCTGATCTCAGGCTGCCGCTATACGAATGTGGTTGACTTTCTGGAATTCGGCAAACTCCTTGTCTGTTGTCCGGTACTGTGCTGTAAGCTGCTCAATAGACTTGGTAATACCCTCCTTGTTGGTTGTAAGTGCCGGCAGCACCTCCCTTACGGTGCGCTCGACCAGAACCCCGTTGATAAGACGGAAGCACTTGCGGTCCTCGGGCATCGGCGTCATGGTCTTAATGACTAGCGTGTGCTCGTCCAGCTGCAGCTCAAGCTCTCCGATCTTGCTCGCTATGGCCTTGAGCTCGTTGCTGAATTGGTTGGCGGCGATGCGCAGCTCTTGCTCACCCAGAACGGGCTGCTGCTTGGCATCTGAAGACGACGACGATGAGGCCTTACTCATTGCTCCAAGAATTTAAAAAAAAGATATCGAGGGGATGTTAAAATGATGCGTAAAATAATAGGGTTTTTGAATCGACAAAAAAATTGTAAAAATAATATATCTGTTTAACAAACAGATAGCTAACTTTGGGGTGCTGGCACGTGACTCTATCTTCTACTTCTTCTTGGCAATGGACACAACGTCCTCGTCAAGCAGGATGTGCTCCTTGCCAACCTTCTGCGGGTTGTGCTTGACGGAACTGCCCCAGACAAGCGCATGCGAAAACTCCTTCAGAATACCGCGATGAATGGCATCACAAAAGTCATAAACCGACGACTTGTCCTTCTTGAGCACGACAGGCGCCGAATAGTCAGGCAGCTGGCCCTTGGGCTTGGTGTAAATGCGAACAAGATTGAGGTACTCCCACATCTTTTCCAGCAACTCATCAAAGTTCCACTCATGGTGGGCGCTGACGGGGACGGCGTGGGGGATTTTGTAGATGAGGTCGAGCTCCTCAATAGAGATCTGGTCAATTTTGTTGAGCACATAGACGGCCGGGATGTACACGCGGTTTCCCTCGATAACGTCGATGAGGTCGTCGACAGTCGCGTCACAGCGGAAACTGATGTCGGCGCTGGCAATCCTGTATTCGGACAACACAGAGCGCACAACGTCCTGATCGAGATTAGTCAGGTTCACGGTGCTGGTCATATTGATTCCACCCTTGTCCTTCTTGCGGAACAAAATGTTGGGTGGCTCCTTATTCAGCCGAATACCTACAGACTCCATCTCGCGCTCAATCACTGCCTTGTGCGTCAAAGGCTTGAGGACATCGAGGACGAGGAAGATAAGCGAGCATGTGCGTGCGACCGCAATGACCTGCCGACCACGACCTTTGCCGTCCTTGGCTCCCTCGATAATACCCGGGAGATCGAGAATCTGGATCTTCGCGCCCTTGTACTGCAGCACTCCGGGAACAGTCGTCAGCGTCGTGAACTCTACCTCGCTGACTTCGCTGAACGTGCCGGTCATCTTGGACATAAGCGTGGACTTTCCCACTGATGGGAAGCCAACGAACCCGACACGCGCTACACCTGTACCAGCGACATCGAAGCCCTCGCCAGGCCCTCCTCCGCTCTTTGCTGGTGTCAGGATCTCGCGCTTCAGCTTGGCCAGCTTGGCCTTGAGAGTACCAAGATGGTAGGCCGTCGCCTTGTTCTTTTGCGTCTTGGCCATTTCGGCCTCGATCTCCTTGATTTTATCAAAAGTTGACATTTTCACAAAATTGAATTATAAAAACGGAACCCGGTCGGTGATGGCTGCTGAATAAAAAAATAGAATATATATATATGTATGAAAGAAAAATGGAAGAAAAATAATTCAAAATCAGGGTGAAATGAGAAAGGTTTGAAAAAATATTTTTTTTCGTCTTGCTCAGGTGAAGGTTAAAAAAGTGGGGGGGGGCGATACGGCTCGCTCAAACGAGCCGGTTCGTGGTACTTGTAAGTGAGCCGGAGTGCCAATCCAGCAAATCGAACTACTGTATCTCAATGCCTGGCTTTACTGCCTGGCTGACTAAACTCTACCTAGAGCTACTTGCTGCCCACAGTACCTTCACTGTCGCTGTCGCCATCGTAGACCTGTACCTTTGTCCAGTCTACGATGCCGTCCTGCAGAACGCCAGCCCTCGTGTAAAAGTGGCGCGCGCGCGTAAACTTGTCCTTCTCCATGGCGGCGGGCTTGACAAGGTCGCTGACCTCCATCCTTCTGGCCGCGGCCTTGGCAAGCTTATCATGGTCGCCCTCCTCCTTGGCGCGCGTCCACTCGGTTGTAGCCTCGATGAACTGCTGCTGCAGATTTTCGAGTGTGCTAGCCGCAGCCGCCCTGCCCTCGGCATCAAACATCAGTTTGTTCTCATCAGCAACTGGCTTGACGTAGTCATACACGTACTTGTCTTTGCCGCCGCGGGACTCCAGGAGCTCCTTTTTGTCGATAAACTTGAGCAGGCCCTCGGGCTTTTGCGCAAACTGCACTTTGGAGGCAACCACAGGGTCAAGCAGGGGCGATATCAGCTTCCACACGCCTGAGAACCACCACGGCCCATTGTACACAATGCATATGCCCAGGCACTCGGGGTAGTATGCCTCGAGGAACTTGAGGAAGGTCTTGACAAAAGGCCAGTCCATGTTGGCATTGGCGTGATCGGTCAGATCCATTATGAGGCAAACACGCTCGATGGGAGGTGCCAGGAGCTGTCTCAGGGTCTCCATCATCCAGATCAAGTACCGCTTCAGCTGCGGATATGACTGGTCCTTCTGGTGATGCAGGTAGGAGCCAGACCAGATAATCGGCTGTCCGAGCTTGTCCTTACCGTGCGAATACGACACACCCTTCCACATCAGCGAGGCGTCGTTCCTGATATCACCATACCAGATAATCTCCTCGACGTTCTCCTCGATCCGCCACTTGATTGCCGCAATGGCCATCTTGTAGGCCTTTTCAATATCCCATTTGCGCGCCCGGAGGAACCTCAGCATCAGGACATCCGCGTGGTCCTCGCGCACAACTGACCAAAAGGCGCTACGCAAAGTATCATCCTTGATCTGCGACTCAAACTTGGGAACCATGTCCTCGTCGGAGACTATGCCCAGCTCGTGGCACTTGCTCTCCACCGTTTGGTTGTACATGCATCCCTTGAAGACCTCAAAGGGCGACGACTCTTCAATTTCTTTGGCCTTTTGGCGCTCTGCCGCGTCGTCGCACTCGACGGGTCGCACGAGGGGATCGCTAGCCACGGAGCTCAGGGGCTTTTCAAAGTCTTCCAGCAGCTTCTTCCAGAACTCAGCCAGCAGGCTCTCCTCGATTGAGGACAGGTGTCTGTAGACGCCGCTGGTATCCAGGCGGCCCTTGGTGAACTGTGTGGTGATGGCTTCGCGACCAGCGCCGGCCATGTCCACTGTGGAGCGCTGTCTCGATATTGCCTTGAATATTCCGCTCATATTATATGTAGCTTGTAAGTATATGTGGGTTGTTTTAGAGTCAATAAAATAATAGCTGAGTGCAGAGAAAGAAAGAAAAAGATAAAGCCAAGGCAAAGGAAAAAAAGAAAAGAAAAAAAGAAAAAGTCGCTGTATATATCTTTTTGAGAGCCCAGTTTGGGCGGTAGCTGAGAGGAGGAGAGTGGAATACAAAAAGAACAAATAAAAGGAAATTGGTGTTATACAATGGAGCGAGGAGCAGTAGGCTCAAAAAAGAATGGATAAAGAGTGAAAAATGTACACAGCCACTGCTGATGCGACTAGATAATGATAATAATAGCAATGAGCGACTGTAAGAAGAGGAAATAGAACAAAAATCAATGTGGCCACATTTAAATATAGAAAATTGACCATCTAGGTTGAGTCCGCCCCACCTTTCAGTATTGCAGCGGGATTGCATAGTTGTAGCAGGATTTGCTCTCCGTGTGCTTGTGAAAAATTGACTTTTTTGTGCGATTCTAGGCTTGTGGCCCTGCGCCTCGTGGCTTTGTCCTCCCCTCCTCCGCACCGAGTTGGATTCGTCCAACACGAGCAAACCAAAAACGAAGCGAAAGCGCCAGAGGAGAAGCAATACTCTAGATCCATTCACCCCCCGCCTGCGCCTTGTGTCAATGCAATGCAATGCAATTCGACATTAAATTGGTTCTGGACCACAAGAAACTTGCGTCACACAAACGAACTTTGAAACGATGGATTGAGCTTGAAGTTCCGTTGCAAAAATAAAAAGGGATCGGCGAGGCGTTTTAATTTAAGGAAAAGCGATTTGCGTCACACGACGGTCGGTATTTGCGTCAGCGCTAATGAGCGTGACGTATCCCCATATGGACGGCCAAGTCTCGACCGCGCACAATACCTCGACAATTTACGAGTACAAACTTTTTTTTATAATTTTAAAGTGTAAATAATACAGCAGCATTATCCTCATTTTTTATTATATGGAAACAGCAAATACAGTGAGAAACGCGGTGGCGCGTCACCGGTGCAAGCGGTGCAGCAGAAATGTTCAGTTCGCCGACTCCACATGGAGGGATACATTGGGCGATGCCCCCTCGTTCGACAAGCTCATACATACCCTACCAGAGGAGCGCAGCAGAGAGCTAAGCACCCTGATTGCCGCGCAAACCCAGAACAGCAACATGACCGAGCTGTCTAGATTTTTTAGCCAGTCGCTGCGCACAGACACTGTTCCCAGGCTGTCCAACGGCACAATAGCCCGCGCGCTCCCGGGCTCGACACCAGCCACTCCGCTCATGCAGGGGTCGATGGCGCTAGTTCTGGAAGCCGGAAAGAATGAAGGGACAAAGATTACTGCAGGCTCGCCTGTGTCAGACACAGATGGTATGGGCGAGTTGGCAGCCGGTAGTGGAAGCAGCCAGGGCGACTCATTTATTATTTTGAGCAGCTCACAGGTTAGGTCGCAGAAGCATCTGGCCAACTTTGCCTTTGAGCGGAGGGCGGCAATGCAGCAGTCAGTTGGTTTGGCAGATAGCGAGTTTAGCAAAGCAGCGGGAGTGGCTGGTGCGCCGCCGGTGGCTGGGCAGGGCGACGATATTACAGAGACGTTTGAGATCATCGGACGTTTGATGGACCAGCTGGATGAGCGGTCGGCCCTGGGCCACCCAATGTGCGAGGATTGTGCAGAAATTATGCTTCGACTGCTCGACCGCGAGGTCAGTGACAGCGCGCGTGAGAGGGATATCCTTGAGGACATTGGGCGTGCCGCTAAGCTGGCAGCCAAAAGTCACAACACTAGGGATTTGGGAGAGCTGGAGAAGGAGCTCGAGAGGCAGGGCGACTTGGAGCGGGCGTTGGAGGAGACCTTGGGCACATTGGACGCCCAGCTGGAGGGCATATGCGCACAGATATCAAACCTGGACGCAGATTCTGACAGGCTGGCCAAGATGGAGGCGCAGTTTTACCAGGAGCTCAACGACCGCTCGCATGTTCTGGAAACGTGCGAGGCCGAGCAATGGGCGCTGGACGAGCGGTACGCCAGACTAGCATCCCAGCTGAGCCAACTACAACGAACAAACGTGTACAATGACGTGTTTAACATTTTGGTCAGCGAGGGTGTTGCAGGAATCAATGGATTTAGGCTGGGCGGCCGGTCATCGCATAACGTGGAGTGGCCTGAAATCAACGCTGCATGGGGTCAGGCTTTGCTTCTGCTCCAGACGGTTGCGCGAAAACTGGGATATGAGTTTATAGACTACAGGCTAATCCCCATGGGCTCGTTCTCGCGCATTGAGAGGATGGCCGACCCGCCGGCTACCTACGAGCTGTTTGGTTCGGGTGACATGTATCTGGGCCGCTTGTTTCAAAACAGAAAGTTTGACTCAGCCATGGTCGCTTATTTGGCGTGTCTTAACCAGATTGTCCAGCTCATCATGAGCATCAACCCGCAATTGCGTGTGCCGTACAAGATTGAGCAAGACAAGGTCGGTGGGCTGTCGATAAGGCCTCAGTTCGGTCAGGACGATATGTGGACCAAGGCGTGCAAGAACACGCTGTTGGACGCTCGTTGGGCGCTGGCATTTGCCTCGTCTTACTCTGGGAATAGCAACTAGCTGAAATGATATTTTTTAATTAATCGCATACATGAAATCTATAAAGAATCTATTTGTTTATCAAAAGGAAGCGGAGTGGTCCGGATTGACAAAACCAAAGCGATGATACAGCGTGCGCGAGCGAATGAATGGATCGAGATCAATAGCGGCCTGGCGCAGGGCCTCCTTGGTATCGCCTCTGTTAGAGTCACCCAGACTGGTAGAGCTACTCGGGCTGGTAGAGTCTGCCACATTGTCTAGCCATTGGCGCGTGGCCTGTTCGTATGCCGCAACAGAATGTACAAACTTGCGTTCAGCTGCCCGACGAGCATCAATGTCCGCCATCCTAGTGTTTTCATCGCAAGCAGGCGGTATATACTCGTACACAAACTGCTTTTTCCCGCCTAGCTCAGAGACTAGTACCTGGGGGTCAATATACGGAGCGAGCTCCTGGGCATTGCGCGCCATGACAATCTTTGACCTGACCTCGGGGTCGATAAACGGCGAGATAACCATCCACAGGCTTGAAAACACCCAAGAGTCGACATTCAATACGATAATACCCAGAGTCTCCGGATAATAGTTTGTCAACAGCGTTATAAGCGTGCGCACAAGCTTTGTGTCAATATTTTCGCGCGAAAATCCATTGAAATCGAACAGCATGGTCACCTTGCCGTCGCTCTTGGCAGTCAACAGCTGCGAGGTCTCGATCTGCCAGCAAAGGAATCTCTTTATCGCCAGGATATTGCGATTGCGAGCGACATTGGCGCGCACACGCACAACATAGACTGGGTTTCCCAGCCTATCCTCCATGCAAGCATACGCTAGCCCTGTGTTCATCGTGAGGTTGTGCAGCTGGGACTCGCCGTAGAATGCAATTTCGTCGATTGCCTGTCCAACCCGCCAAATAATTGTGCGCCGGATCATCTCCAGGGCCTTTTCGACATCCCATTGTCGCGCGCGCAGGAAGCGAAGCACCCAGGAGTCCGGATCGCCAATCTGCGTCGCTGCCTGCCAAAACGCAGCTCTGAATGTGCGCTTGAGCTTCGGTTGCTCAAACAAGGGTACAAAATCTATCGGGGCTACTGCACTACCATCGCCTTTACCATTCAGGTGCTCTTGTACTGTCTCATGCCGCTGCCGTATTGTCTCCTCGCTCTCCACATCATCCTTCCCCTTCTCTGCATCTGTAGACGCCGGGGTCGATGCTCTGCTGCTGGACTTTGGTAGCGTATTTGTAGCATTTTGCTGACATGTGCCCCATCCAAACCACCCTCCGGATTTGGGCTCCTGCTCCTTGGTGCTGATGGCCATTAGGGGCTCGAATGATAGACTGCCAATCTCCTCGCTCTTATCGCCTGCTTCGGCGGCCTTGGCCTTTTGCTGCTCCAAGCTGAATTTCACATCAATGTACTCTTCCTTGTCACATTCCTTGAGCAGTAGCTGCCACAGCTCGCGCAGCTTGGTGCTTTGCTCGCTGTTGAGCCATCCGACTCGGCCTTCGGTCAGCGGTTTGCCGAGCATATATCGGTCTACTAGCGGCAGTGTGGACTCAGTCGCAAAATCCATGCACTAATGTCGAAAATGTATTTTGTAATTTCTAAATATTTATAACGAAATTCCGGATTTTTGAAAATGCGGGGAAGTATTTAAGATTTGCATCTGACTGGTGCTTTGTTTATGGGTTAAGCATGACGCTTAATGATGTAATTATATTTTTGGAAGTTATATGCATTTATTGGATTAAATAATAAACTCAGTAAATAAAGTGCTAAAAAAATTATAAATACAATGAAGGCTGTGGATTTGCCAGACGCACCAGCACCAGCACCAGCACCCATAGCAGAACCAACTTTGCTATGGGTGCACCAATGCTGGTGCCAGTGCATGTAACAGAAACAGTTCTGCTATGGCAATATTGGTGTAAAGCTCAGGCTAAAGTGGCAGCAGCAAGCTAAAAAACAAGCGCAAGGTAAAGTGCGTAACAAAATAACAGCAGTAAGCGCAAGGCAAAATGCAAGACGGAAAACAGCAGCAGGTGCAAGACAGAGCTGGAGACAGAAAAACAGCGGTGAGCATATAACAGAGAACAGCGGTGAGCAAATGGCGAGGAATCAGCGGCAATTATGATAACAATTACAAGTACAATACCAATTTTGCCTATAATATGAAAATTTACAAATAAAAACATTAAAATAAAACAGCTAATATTACTTACTACATAAAACGATGCCATATATGAGTATGAAAATTGAAAATGAATGAGGAAGATAAAGAGTGAGAAACATGTCATCTCGTGGGCGCAAATTCTAGTCTTCTTTACTCTCATATTTTGCATCATTATTGGCATTTTGTTTCCCCACATTCTAGTTTGCATATACGCTTTTATTAGATTCTATGTTCATCGTGAGTGTATTTAAATTACTATCTTGTTCTTCCAGTACAACATCCGCTTTCTCTTTTCTTCAAACCCAATTTTATAGTTTAATAAATATTTAGTACTGTTGCTGTAATGAAATTTGGACTAGCTATAATATATATATTAATGAAAATGAGACTACGGAAAGAACTGAAGAGCTCACTATTCAGAATTCGCCGTACGCGTAAAATATCATAAACATATTTTACGCGTCTGTACTGTCACGTGACTCGGCCCCCATTTTTGATATCACGGTTGCTGTTTTCTAGTATTATTGTTGTATTGTAAAATAACTTGTTAATTGAAATAAAATTACTTTCCGCGCACAGCCCCTGCCCACAGCCACTTTACCACCGCACCCGCCAGAACCACCAGCTGTCATTGCCGGCTATTGTCACAACAGTGGCAATATCAGAAACAAAAACAGCAGCAATGGTGTGTGTGCACTTTCTGTACGAGAAGCAGGGCTACACCAACTTTAATACTACTTGCCACTCCTGCGCATTACCATGAGCAAGCAGTTTTTTGCAGGCCATCATCTGCCACCTCGCCGACTGCACATGCAATGAAGACCACCTGGCTGACTTTGTGAAGGATATGCATGAATGCTGCCAAGCGAGCAGTAATTGGCAGGAAATTATATTTTTATTTGATATGTACATAAAAAACAGGGCATAGGCCTATTATCTGTTATTATAATATCTTGGCACTAGAGCGGAAAGGGCTACCTTTTCTATTCGCAGCTTTATGTTTTGCCTTTGTGGTGTTATAAATTTGGAAATGGTGTGAAAGCTGTACAAAAATATAACTTTTTTTGTAACCCAGGTTTTTTTTACTTTTATATAGCTTAAATTTTACAAAATGCGCCCAGATATTTTTACACAAAATAATTATTTGTAATGTTATAATAAGAGGGGGTGTGAGGAGCACTAGTTTCCTAGTGTTAGAAAAGTAGGGGTGATTTTATAAATGGTTTTATTACTGATGCTTCTAAAATACTACTAGCGCCGGCCTCATCTTATATATGTGCCTTGTCGCCTTTGTTGCGCACATTGCCAATTGTGCGCTCCATTGGTGAGAATTGGATCTTCTGCGAGCAGACCGGTATCTTGTTAAGTCATTGTTGTGGCTTTTGTGTGTGTGCGCTCATGTGTGTGCATTGCAAAATGGGAAGCATGTTTGGGCATTACATTAATGCCTCCCTAATTTACGCCTGCATGATCCAACTAGTGTCCTATCAATCAGCATGCAAGTGGAAACCTGTGTCGCGATTCTCAACCTCAACATCCACTTCCATATTGTTGGAATATAGGAACGTTCTATGAACGTGTAGATAAAGTATAATGATATAAAGTATATTTTATAAATAAGTGCTATGCACTGTGAAAAGTAAAGAGTAGAAAGCATATTGCTTTGGTCACTGTGTGACTTATTGTTTGTGTTGCTAAACAGCCAAGACTGGTTAATCAGTTGATCGCCATCAACCAATACATATCTTCAGTCTGTGCAACAGTAACTCGAAAAGCTTGGTTTTACGTGAAAGGTGTGCAAAGACATTAATGCTGACTTTATAAATAATATATTATTATTGTATTATTGTATTATAAAAACAAATGTATCTATTTTTACTATTTTTAAAGAAACAAAGACAAAAAGCCAAGTAGTTTTTCTAAAATATTTTAAAAACAATGTATGTAAAAATAAAGTATCTAATATAATAATTTGTTTTACAAGTAAAATATATATATAAGAATGCAGTAGAATTACATGCAATTACTTAGTATTAGAAGCAATTTTATATTTTACATTTTTTAGACTATTTTCAAATCAACTCGATCAACTTTATATTTTATATTTATATTTATGCCCATCAGTGTAGAGGCCCTGCTCGGCCTCTGCAAAATGCACTGTTCCTACTTCCTGCCAATTCTGCGCAAGTATGTTGTCACCGTCCACCATATTACAACAGCTACATGCGAGCTCGCACAGTATATTTTTTTACAAGAGCTGGATAGTGAGGGCTTTAATATAGTCGACCATCTAAATCAAGGTTTCTTTAAGAAGTGTTTTATTGCCCTTTGCCTCGGAGATCAAAAAACCACGCAGCAACAACCTTAAAGCTGCAAACTGCAAACTCGTCAACAAGCACAAGCACACGTTTGTCAAGGAAACCAAATTCGACTGCCCTCATCTCACTGGTGCGGCCAATATTGCTAATTATGAGGTATGACAATCCTCGCAGCATATAAATCACTTGTTTCAGCACTTTGGCAGGCAGTTAAAAATATGGTTGACATAGCACTTGATGTAAAGAAAAGGACTAAACAGCGGTACGAGATTATTAAGAGGAAGGGTGGCCATACCAAAAAAACAAATACAACAGTCCATTAGCAAGGATATCATAATTCCAGCAGGCAAGATAAAGTGGGCTCTGCTGTGTGCTAAGACCAGCAAAGCTGGGAAGCAACTCGACACCAAAAAAATTTCAGATACTGTGCTTCGCAACAGAATGGAGCATCTAATTGAGAGGATTTTTGGCGCATACCCTGAGGACTACGGTTTCGGCTACAAGGAGCTCCAGTATGACTCTGTGGCCAATACAGTGAACCATATTGGGGCGTTTGTTGATATTTTCCGTGTTTTGAATCTCAACAAGGCAATGAAGACGATTTTACTCTTCCCAATGAGGATGTCTATTGCACCAGGTTTTACTATGCTCAACAAGACCATTATTGCATGGTGTATTCTATCCATCACAAAGAGCCGACTCAAAGCACTGCACAAGGATAATATTTGCCTAGGTATTGAGATTCCAGAGATTCCGCATCTGAAAGATCCCAAAGGCAAATCACCAGAATAAATTTGGTCACTCTTTTATGATATTTCATGTTAACCGTTTTTGCTCGATTTTAAAATGGACAAAAAACCACACAGTTTTGGTGGGATCATTAATACTGATGGCATTGCAATTATCGTATTACTAGACTCACCTGCCAATACACAGAAGAAGAGTATCTAGGCAGAGAGGATTTCACGGTCTAAAAAAGGATCTGGCAACAACAACAACAACAGTAGTGACAATTACGACTGCAATGGCAACAGCAATGATGGCAAACCTGTCAATAGTGTGCCCTACAGTGAGAAAGCTCCTCCCGAGCACATTGATAATTTGTCAAAAATGACATTCATGATATTGTTGACAAATCAATGCTCTGTGATACCAGTCGACAGGATATGCTCTGTTGTCTGGGGTATAACAGCAATTACAAAAAGGGTGAGGAAGATTTTCTGCCACACTAAAAATTCTGAGGCTAATAAACGTTGTGAACACGTTTTGTTGGATTCACAAAAACGCAAAAAAAGGTCTTCCAGCTTGATCCCGTGGAGCTCATCAATGCAAAAAATGGTTTGTATACGTCTGTTTAGGATGTCGAACGCATGTTCAACCACCCTGGCTCCAATACACTTTCCAGTACACTTGATTGCAAGTTGTATGTCGAGTACTTCTTTCAGTGCCAAAAAGGTGATTTTGTTTTAGGAGAGCACTATCACAACATGCAGACCCTTAACAAGAGTCGCAAGCATGACGGCAGCAGCTCAACTGACCCCCTGCACTGCAAGTTATGTTATCTTTTTTTGTTACCAGAAAACGCACCAACACTTAACTTGCAAGATCTTTACATGCAAAACCTGGGCCAGATCCAGTCCTTATTCTTGGTAATTGGACCCAGGAATGACCTGTTACCATGAGCCAATTCGTGGCAAGGGGCTGCGGGAGATGCCAATAGGTCATGGATTCACTGTTTACTTGATCGACGAGTAGTGCACCTCAACGTTTTGCCCAACATGTGAGAGCAGGATGGAGAAATTTAACAAAATTGATGATCCTCGTCTGAGGAGTCCCAAGCACAAATATCATGTCGCAATGACAGCAGCAGCATCTAATTTCATCACAGCCACAACAAACACCACTACTAATTCCGTTGCAGCAGCAGTCACCACCGTTTCTGTTGCAACCACAACTCCCGCCGACACTGCACCTATTATTGACAGTGTGTAGCAGAGTTGCAACCAGTAGATGCCTATTCGCCCACAGTCTACTGATATTATCCGGTGGATAGGGGAGGAGAAAGGCTGGCCTAAGGGCAAAATTTCCCGCAAAATTAAGTAGCAGCTGCGGGATGAGCTGGCTGAGCAGAATTGGAAGCAGTACATTAATATTTAACCCGCTAATAATTTCAAGTCCATTGTCAGGCTGAGCGGCTGGTCGCAGGGCAAAATTGAGTTCAAAATTAGACAGAGGATACGTGATGAGTTGGCTGTGCAGCAGCAGTAGCAGAATGGTCAGCAGGAGCAGGTAGCCATAACAGGTGCTAATACAATTCCAGCAGTAGAAAAACCTCGCCAAAATTTATGACATGGCTTGCTCCAGTGCACAATGGAAAACGGCTTGCAAATTTTCAGGGCCGATGGAACGCGGGTTGAGGGTGGCGAAAAAGTACCATCAGGCAGACGGAAGTGGAATAATCGCGACATGGCTGCAGTGCTGAACTTTCGCATAATCCTTAATGCACTGCTTAAAGGCGAGTGTCCTCCCTGTTTCTTGCGCAAAAAGACACCTTTCGAGTTGGCTGAACTTGAGTCTACGGCGACACCCGAGATGTTGATCAAGCCAAAGCCAAAGCCCAAGATCAAGCGTGTGTGCAAGAATCAATCTGTCCCTGCTTTTTCTCTTCAAATGAAGCAACGAAGTGGACAATATCGTCAACCATAGTGGTCCATTGCCACTAGTTTCTAAACACCTTTTGGGTTGCTAGTCAATCTGGAGGAAGGATGTCATTTTGTAAGATACTTGTAGTCTCATTCTTTTCTTTGGTCCAAATAACACAAATAATAAAAACAGGTTGGTTAGAAAAAATTTATAGACAAAAAAGTTGATGTACTCGCAAAAGAGAGAAAATGAAAATCTGCAATTAATATATTTTCGACTTTTCCCTATTATTTTTATGCGTGTTCACAAAAGACGAGATGCAAATAGCACAGTTAGTCGCTTTTTGCAGCAATGCAATAAAAAAGATACTCTTTTAAAAAAATTATTTTTACCAACCGGTGTTTAGGCAGCAATGTAGATCTGAAGCTCGGAATTTCATTTGTCGAAATTAATTCATTATTATCCAACATGCGATATGCATGTCCTCTCGCAAATATGAGTATGAATGAGATTGGGATATCTTACATGTTTTATTGGTTCTTTTAACCCTGGTTCAATGAATTGTTAGAGTGATAGAGCAGAAAATTATTTTTAATTAATTAATTTGTGAAGTGGATGGATGAATGAAATAAATTTTGTTAAAATACATGTGCAGCGACAGTCCATGCTCGCTTGAAAGAAAAATTAAATAAAAAACTAAAGCAAAATGCCTATTTTTTTATTGGCGGCCACTAAAAGTCGTCGCAGTTTTTTGGTTGTAGTGGGAATACGAATGGGAAGGGGGGATAATAGAGTGAGAAGGGAGAGGGAGGAATATGATGGTGGTTTTATACGGAGTACAGACGATGATGACCAGGATTATGGTTGATGAGAGGGTTTACAAGAATCCAGAGTATGAGGACGAATTGTAGGAAGAGAGAGACGACATCGAGGGCGTGCGCTTGCGAGGCGGCGGTGGCGGCGGGTACTTTGTAAACAGCGATGAGGCCTCAATGCGCTTTAAGTCATTGGCTGAAAACTCAATAACCTCCTTAAGAGTAGACATGCGACTGGTGCTCAACCAGTTAGTCACCGGCGCCTCCTGGTTCTGGAGCTCGGCGCAGCCCGGCAGCGACGTAAACTTCTTTGTCTGCATCTCCTCTTCCCACTCCTCGAGTGAAGATACCCGAGAGGTGGTCGACTCTGAACGAACCAGGCTCTGGTCATACTTGTCGATAATCCGCTTGAGCTCCACCTGCTGTCTGCTGATGAGCAGTGCCATTTGGTGAATTTTGTCCTCCAGGTTGTTGCACATAGCGCTGCCCAATGGGTTGCTCTTGAATGTGCTGAATTCTTGTAGGTAGCGGCCAAGCTGGTTTTGGCGCCCGCGGATGGAGTCTAAGAGATCGTACGCTTGAATGGCATTCTGATGCTCTTGGTCGATGGACCGCTCCTTTTCGAAGAGGAGGGTGTGCCCGTCGAGTGACGCTTGGTGGCGGTTGCGCGTGGCGGGTGATGACGATGACGATGAGTTTGTGTTGGACGGCACGCGCAAGGTGTGGATCGACCAGGTGGTCGCCGCAGGGACAGCTGATGTTGCCGGATACATGTTCATAAACATAGTTGGCTTTTGTATCGCTTGAGCCTGCTGGTTCAGTGGATGGGAGCTAAAAAAAAGTAAAAAGAAAAAAGAAATTGATTTGGAAATAGTGTTGGTGATCGAATGGAATGATAAAAATAGAAGACGGGAAAACTGTTCCTTTAAATGTCGTTTGGTTTGGTTTCAAACGATTTTGAAAAAGGTGGGAATAAAAGAATGAAACTAAAAAATGATTTCTGTGCTAAAATGGAGATGTCTAGGAAGAAAAAGGAAAATGACAATATATAAAAGGCTTGGAAACACTGCAGCTGTAATAATGAGAAAAATAACGCACCAATGTATTTGGCCAGATGGGATTAATTGAAATGAAAAGAGTGGAGGATGATGAAATGGATGTGGCTTTGCCTAAGGCGAGCGATATTATGTATTCAAATACACTATCTTCCGTATATCAGTGTCCCAAAAAGGATAAATTAAAAAAGTTTAAAAACCGACTGAAAGGGCGCAGGCTGCTATTTTGAACGTATTTGGAGATTGAACTTGTTATTTTGTGAACAAAAAATAGAGAGTGATAAAGGAAGTAAAACAGGAGTAAAAAATGTAAGCTGGGATTTAAAATTGGGTAGAGTTAATGAGGTGGAGAGATGGAAAGGTGGAAAATAAAAAATATATATTTGGCGATTTCCAGAGTGAATGGGCTATGAGCGCATCCAGCACTATTTATCTGCAACGACGATGATGATGACAACAACAACAAAAGTATACAAAGGGTAAAAAATACAAGGTCAGTCAGCCAGCCAGCCAAGAGTGGTCAGGCGTATTTTAAAAAAATGTTTTATACTACTGCAAAAAGTGTTGCTTCACGCTACTGTTTAATTTCTCTTTCTGCCCAGCAGCGGAAGCAGACTCCGCCCAGCTTACAAGGAGGAAGGGTAGAGGAGGGGTGGGAAGAAGAGGGGGGGTGGGTTGGTGGGTTTGGTGGTCATGCTTTTTTTCAAAAGGGGCTTTCACTTTCCTCTCCCCTGCCAGTTCCTATTTGCGAGCCACCCTTTCTGCCTCCTAACGATCACGATGCGCTAAAGAAAAAACAGCTGCATGAAATCACTTCCGAGCTCCTAACATCACAGGTTCCGAGCAAAAAACAAAATTGCTTACCACGCGCATGCCGTGACACCACGCTGCGTATTGTTATTGGCTGCCCTTTTTTATTTCAAGCAACCGAGGAAAAATAAAAGGCACATGTGCTTGTCTCGCCATATTCAGGGAAAAGTAAACATGGCCTGGACTGTCACAAAGGCGAAAAAGCAAACCACTTGATTCACACTCTTTTTTGCATTTTTTGGCCTGGCTCAATTTATCACTTGACTTTTGGACCCAGACTGTCTGCCATGATGTGCATTTTTGATTTCACTTTTATTTGCTGTTCGGATGTCGGCTAACGACATGCATTAATGTATTCCCCATTTGCCTTCTGACATGCAGGAGCTGAGTGCAAAGTAAAAGAGGGGAGGGAGAAAAAGTAGTGGTCGAGTTGGTATTTGGAGCACCCATTTCCTGTGCTCTGCCAAAATTGCCTCCTCCAGCAGCATAAGGCACTAATTCCACGACAATTAATGCACGGCATGCCCATCCTGTCTCCCCAGTATTATCAATCACACAGAAAGCAGAAATTGCAATTAATTCTGCCCCAAAAAATTTTCCCTTTACTTCAAACAACAAATAAAAAAATAAAAAAACCAACGTGGGCAAGCCATGTGTGTTGCCGATACGTGGAAAATACGGCTTCTATTTTCAGGACCACCAGGAAAGCGGAAGTTCCAAATATGATGTGAAAAATTTTTTACATCATATTTGGGGAGTTGTTACAGGCTCGTGGGATCATTTTTTATATTTATTTTTGAGTTTTTGTTTCCGACAAAATTGGTTTAATAAAAGGCCGAACGCGGCAAACAACAACAGGAAAAAGAAACAATACCCTGCAGGTGCTTGCCAATTACTCAATCTTTTTTGTTTTATCATTTGGAACAAGATTATTGTCGTTGGTTTGTAATTAAAATATTATTATTTTAGAAAAAATATATATGAAAAATTACTCGAAGAGGCGCAATGCGGCTATTATTAGTTTTTTTTAAAAGAAAAATGTTATATAACTTGTGAATCCAACGTTGATCTTTACATCTTTCGCGATATTGTTCACAAACTGCCCAAAGCTATTAAAATAGCCATTTCGGGTGTCTTTATTGAATACAGTTTGTTTATTTTTTTTACTCAAGCACATTTGCTTAATATTTTCAATTGTTGTGAAAATTGTAAGAGCAGTGCACATGTATGAATGTCCTCTTTTTGGGTATTTGTTTGTTTGCTTGTTTATATCAAGAAATGAGGCGCGTTGTAAAATACGCCATTGTTCGTCGTGCAATGTGTCTGAAATATTATTTCCTATTGGTCGTTTTGTTGTTGCGGGTCTCGCAAGAGTGCGCCAAAGAGGAAGAACAAATAAAGAAGGGGGAAGGTGTTGTTTCTTTGAAATTGGGGGAGTAGTGGTAGTAGTAGTAGCAGTGGTGGTGCTTTATTTTGACATTCAATAAAACAATTGAATTAGGGAAGGTAAAAAATAAAATAAAAATACAAACAGGCGGACAGATAGACAGACAAACAGACAGGCAGATAGATGGGAAAATATAGATAACTTGTAACGTGACAAATAACTGCTATGTCGAAAAGGAGATATATCACCATTAAGAGTGCCAAATATCTAAGAGTATAAGCTTTGAGGATCGCTCGTTTTCCTCGGCGCCTTTAGCTGAATCGGCGCGAGCAGTGGCGAAGAGGCCATTTTTTTAATTTGTGGCCGCAAAGAATCATTCGCATACGACTTGCTTCTACCGCCATCAGCACCAACACCACCAGGCGCCCTGCCTATAACCGTGTCATCCACCGACTGTGCATTCCGAACGTTACTGCGTTCAACCGAGCGCGCATTTTTACTACCAAAAAGACCACCCCAAGTCAGCTTACTCTTAGACTTACTTTCCTTGCGAAACTCAGTGCTACTGTTATCAGAACTGCCCACGTTTCTGTCTGCGTTCTGGTACTTGGTGTCCATCTTGTACGAATTGATAAACGCCTGCGAGCCAAGCGCTGGCTCCCTCTGCTGAAGCTGCAGCTGCAGTGGCGGCGAAAGAAAAGATATTTGTGTGTGCATTACAGGCGTATGTTCGCTAACAGGCGAGTCAATAGTGGTGGGCGTGGGGGGCAAGGATCCGGAGGCAAAATGCGGCGGAACTTCAATATTAATGTGCGCCTGTCTTTTTGCTCCAAGCCCTGTGGGTGCAACCCCCAGTGGCTGAAGAACAGATGGGCTGACCATAGTGGCAGGAGACATTGGGGGCGAGATAGTCCCGAGCTCTATCTGAGTCGGTGGCTCTGGCGCCAACGACTTGTCAGTCCTTTTTACAGGCACCTCGTCCGCCTGCCTATCAGACACCACATCATAGTAGTTAAGCGTATAGTGGTTGATGTATTTCATCAGCTTGCGCTCGCGCGATCGAATCTCGGCTGTTACTTTGTGGTAGTCGCTAGTGCGCTGTTCGCTTGGGGCCGCTTGTAGTACGCGGTCGAGAAACGCCTTGAGCTTCAGTATGCTCTCTCTGATGTTGCGCGCCTTGTGTATGTTTACCCAGTAGTTGGGATCTGGCGGCGGCGGTGTCCATATGTATTTATTGCTGGCATCTGAAGCGTCTACAATGCAACAACAACAATCGGGAAAGGAATGCAGATGAAAATGAGCGTGTGAATTTGAGTGAACATATTCGCCGAATAAATAAATAAATATTGTTGTTTGACGCAAATATTTTTATTTGCGAGAGACAAAGAAAGGGTGCGTGTTGGTTGGTGTGCTCTATATGCTTTGCATTTAATGTAATATGTTACTGTACCTTGGGATATGCCGACTGATGGTGAGCTGGTGTGGAGCTGCGAGTGTTGAGACTGATCTGACTTGAAACTATTGCTGCGACCGAGCATGGAAAAGAAAGCGTTGTTGGCCATTTGTCCATTGGGTGTTGTCGATGGAGACAAAGCGGCACCCGTGCTAATGCTGGACATTATTCGAAAGAGTTAAAAAGAATATATGTATGTATGAAAAATAACTAATCTTTAAAAGACAAAAATATAAGAATACGAAAATATGCAAATGAAAGTGAAGATGAAACTGGAAATGGAAAAATGGAAAATAAACGCACTGACGCGTTTAAAAATGTATGTCAAAATAAAATAAAAACGGATGCGCCTCTAAAAGAAAGAAACAGGGTTTGCAAAATATACGCCTCCCCAAGTGTATCTTTTTGTTGCAATGTTATCCACATAAAGAGGTGGGGGATCAAAGAGTGGCGAGATAATAGAAATATATATATATAATAAAAGGAAAACCTCCGAGGGACACCTTGCTGTTCTGAATATGGATATTCCAACTGGTTTAAAAAAATGTCAATTATATGGCAAATACGCCAAGTGTAGTGCTGCAAATAAAATATAGAAGGAATGATGTAACCAAAATAAAAACAAAGACCAAGAGCAAAAGGGCGGCTTATCAGTTAAAATCGAAGAAAGAAAAAAGGACGAGCGAATTGGCGTATAAAAAAAGCGAAAGCACACGCCGGTAGTGGGTGGAAAGCAGTTGTATGGGGTATATTTTGTCAATTGGTGGTTATTTTTCTACTCTTTCTCTCTTCCGAATGACCGGTAATGTAGACCCGAAATAGCCACGCTTAAGAATGAAGGCGGGGGAAAAGCTGAAAAGGTGTGGGTTGAAAAGCAAATAAAGTGGAGAGAAAATGCATACAAATAAAAAAGTTTATGGAAAACTAGAGAATGAGAAGAGACAGTGAACACAAATGAAAAATAGTAAAGTGGCGAGTGCAATCGCAATATGACCTGCTCATGGGAATGAAATAAACAAATCAATTTTTTAAATTGATTTGCGCACGGTCGTTGCCTTTCTAGAGATAAATAATACGACAATGGATGCAAGTCCGTTGAGTCGAATGTCCTCATAAACACAGGGTCAGCTGTCTAATTTATATACAACTGTTGACAACAATTTATAAACGGGAAAATGCAACCTAACGGGATAAACACTTTCAAGCTATTTTTTGACTGCTCTCATCTCGATGTTGGCAACTCGCTCCAACTTTTAAATTGGCTACTTTGTAGGCACAATTCATGTCGCAAGATGATCCAACATCCATAAAGAGAAAATATAAGAATGCGTATTTGTCCTTTTTGGAAACACATGATGATACAGGTTAGAATTGTCTATCAACCCGAAAAGAGTGCAATTTGAGTGCATATAGTAGACTGGAAATTGTTTTAGCGATCGTCAGAGCCAGCCAAAAAACACGAAAATATTTTTGATCGACTTTTTGTTTTTCCGTTCTAATTTCTCCGGACAAATTTTCTGTGTGTGCATTCCAAACATATTTCCAATTGTGTGACGTGAGCGTGGTTTGCCTGGGCAAGTGCCTAGCTGCTATATTAGCTTTGACAATTGGCAACAGGAACAGCTTGTTTGAATTTTTTATCACTTTGTGAATTCAGCGTTGTCTAAAATCGACTTGTGAGTGGCATCAGATGCATTCTTCTGCCCGAGTGAGAACCAAAAGCGATAGTTGTCAATGTGCCAATAAATTGTGGAATTCCGACGATAGAAATCATTATTTGAAAAGTTACTTGAATACAAAAGAGCCGTTATGTGTATAGATGAAACATATATTGCGAGCCATATACGATTCATCGAGTGTTCTAATCTGTGCGCATCCGATCTGCCGCAAAATGCAGGTCTGTGTTTGCACCCAATTGTCTATTTCATTTAACCAGCACACATATGCATGGATCATTTTTTATGCCTTGTGACATTTGCCAAGCTCTTTGTGCCTTTACCACTCTATGCATTATAAAGAAGGTTGGGCTTTTTTTTGTTGCGGATAAGCAAAAGAGACAATGTACAAAGTGCACCTTTTGTTAAAATGTGCCAAAACTTTACAAGCAAAAGCACAAAAGTTACAGGTCTCTTTCTGGAATCATTTCGAGATGTTTTTTAAGGAGGAATGAAAACGTCAATTTTTGAAGACAGCTATCTCTTTTTTTCCACTTCACTTTACTTTTAAGATTTCAAAAAATTTCTACTACTTTACATTTTTTGACACTCGCTTTTTGCACTATACCCACGACAACATCTGCAAAAAAACTCACCACCATTTCTCGCTGAAATAAAACCACAGCCTCTCCCCACCCCCATTTCTTTCTCAATTCTCGTTTGGTATTTGCACCTTTCCACTCCTCAACTCCGAAAAATATTTTTTTGTTTTCCATATCTACTGCGTTTAAAAAGTTTTGACATCTGTTTTTCCCTTTCTTAGTTTATAGCAACAGTTGAATAGTGCCGCATTACAGCACTTATAAAAAACACATACAGCAGAGGCGTTTAAACGCAAGAATAAGCAGCAGAGGAAAGCTTACGCCCAATGGCACACAATGAATACCAAAGCAACACATACTCGCAGTACCCGAACATAAGTCAGGCACCATACCCACCAGGAAACCAGCCAGGGTTTCCAAACCAAAACAACGGAATGCAGCCGCCACAGCAGCAGCAGCAGCCACCAATAATGTCTCAACGGCCGACTAATATGGGCGGCCCAGGAGAGCCCTACCCGCAGCAAATGAACCACAGTGCCTACATGGCGCCAGACATGAGCGTCGGTGGGATGACACAGTCACAGTATAATCCAAATCGTCCTGCGGCAGCGTACAACCCACCCAGACCTCCGTCACAGTACACCGCTCGGCCCCCTCAGTCGCAGTACCCGCATCCGCAAAAGCGCAATAAAAGCGGCACGCACTATGGTCACTTGGTCAGCGAAAAGCCCGATGGAAATACACCTTGTAGTGGCGATGCCTGCAATGCGTGCTGCAAGTATAACGTCCTCGCGTGTTTGTTCTGCTGCAACGGGTGGATGCGACTTTGCGGCAATGGCATGAGTATCAAGGATATTTTGTCGCATAAGTAACCGGGATAGTGTAAACACTCTTTTAACTGCACATATTTTTTATTTATTTTCCTATTTTCATTCGTATTGTCATCATTATTTATTTTATTTTTTACGCACCGAAATAAAAGCAGTTCTGGATCAACTCTGAACAAAAACTTTTCAATGGCTTAGAAATGGAAAATTTTTTGCTGGAGGCATGACGCCATCCAGTCAATCTATACCAAGATAAAGAAATTTTCTGGAGGCCTTTTGTGTTTTTTGTTGAAATTCAATTGAGCAATTTTATTTTGTATTCTCAAATTTGCATTTGCAAACACCTTTTCCTTTAAACCTCGCACAAATTCACAAAACAAAGCTTTTAAAAGAATGTCTCGACCCTTGCTCAGCAAAATACGCCAGTTCGGCAGTGGCCAGATGTATAACCGGTTAAGCGCCCGAATGTACGCCTCCTCAGGCAAAGAGAGTGCACGCGAGTACCTGGACAAATCAACAACGCCATTCGAGGTATTTGACCGCAACGCCAAGCGAATGCAGAAGGATCGAGCGGCGGCGCGAGGAGCAGACAGTCGCGAGGTTGACTACCTGAAGGACGAGGTCGCCAGCCGCGTGGCTGACCGGCTGCTAGACATCAAGCGGCGGTACCACACGGTGGTTGAGCTGGGCTCTGGCTGCGGCCATGTGGTCAAGGCACTTGATGATGACATGATGGACAAACTGATCATGTGCGATATCTCACCTGTAGCTCTGAGCCGTGACGCGGACGCCACCTACGATATTGAGGTCGAGCGGAGAGTCATGGATGAGGAGGCTCTGGAGTTTGAGCCCGAATCCCTGGACGCTGTGGTCAGCAGTCTGGCCATGCACTGGGTCAATGACCTTCCAGGGATGATGATACAGGTGCGCAAGGCCCTTGTCCCCGACGGCGTGTTTATTGGCGCTATGTTTGGCGGCGATAGCTTGTTTGAGCTGCGCACCTCGCTTCAATTGGCTGACGTGGAGCGCGATGGAGGAATTGCTGCGCGCGTGTCGCCGCTTACCGACACTAGAGACGTGGGCAATTTGTTGAGCCGCGCAGGACTCACTCTGTCGACTGTCGATGTTGATAACATTGTCGTCAACTATCCGTCTATGCTGCACCTGATCAGTGACATTAACGCTATGGGAGAGGGCAACGCTGTAGTGCAAAGGCTGCCGTTTATTAAGCGGGACACACTGCTTGCTGCCTCAGCAATATACAAAGGTAATGTATTGGAAGACAGATAGATTAGCTTCAATGTCGAATCATTTCTGCTCTGTCTGTGCAAACGCTTTATTAATGCACATTTCGCCTTTGTCTTTGTACGTATTAGAGATGCACGGCAACGAGGACGGTTCCATTCCGGCGACGTTCCAAGTCATATATATGGTAAGCGATCTGCGGATCAGTGTGGCACAAGTGGTTTCTCGGTAAAAGTCGGGTATATAACAAGAGAGTGAGAAGGGGTTAGAGATAACGTACACTAATCAAGCTCGTTCTAAAACATTGTTTGCATTTTGTAGATTGGCTGGAAGCCAGATCCCTCGCAGCCAAAGCCATTGCCCCGTGGCTCTGGAGAAACGTCTCTTGGTGAGTTGTTCAATTCGACTTCGCACAAACTGTAGAGTGGTCTTTTATTTTAAATTTTAAATGATTTGATGAACATAATTCAATGTAGTTTGGTTTTTTTAATTACTATCAACCCTGCGGGTTCCATGTTTATTTTATATTGTTATTTGCATCGTTAATTTTTTACAAACAAAAAACTGGCAAAATAAAAACTAAGGTGTCATATTAACGCAATCGTGCGTTTCCATGTGTCCGAGGGATAAAATGATGACAGAGATGCTATTTTTTATGCCATCCCTTCCTACATTCTGAACGCGGAGGTTACAAGAATTCTATGCATGTCTTTTTGACACAATTTAGCCTGTCCTTTGCCAAATGTGTATTGTTTTGTACCTGTATTTGTATTTTTTTGCATACAGCAATGCCTATTATACAATGAATTGAACAATTGGGCGGACTCTGTTACGCTACATTTGTATCATCCATTTGCTCATTCATTCACTCATGCATATGAGGCATAAAAATGACAATGTGCCAAAGTGTGTAGCGGCAAAAAAAGTAGTTATATAGCCTTTTGCAAAATGCAATTCAACAAAAACAAACGAAGCATAAAACACTTATTCTACAAGCACATACATAATACAGTGTCTGAGCTTTTAAAAAGGGAGCAGACATGAAGGCGATCGGGGGTGAAATGTACTTTATTGTGCGAGTACCAATCAGCAATTTCTTTACAAGGTGTCCATTATGAATGCATACGTGGATTAGCATATACTTCTGGACTTGGTCGAGAACGATTTTTCTTTTCAAGACAGATAATGTCAATAATTCTTTGCGTTCCGCCACAGGGATAGATTTACAAAAAGCCACATGTCAAAGAAATTCGTGATGTTTCCCAGACCCAATGAGACATTTTTTTTAAAAAAAATGAGATTGTTATAGGTTTGGTTGTGGCGGAATCAAATTTACTGGTTCCTTCTGAAAGCTATTCATGTATGTTCCAGAAGGATCAGTGCCCAAGGCATTTAAATAACTAGCCCGTAAATCGTTTCCATGTCCCTTCTAATATTTATTATGTCTGACATTTAATTCAGCCAATTACCTGGTTGCTATGAGAAACAAGGCTCATCCAAAAATTTGAAAATAGATTATCAGCAGCAGCAGCAGCCGATGACGCTCATGTGTTTATAATAAAATCACGAGCATTCAAGGCCATGAAAATGATGATGCAGTCACGATATACATGACAAAAATAAATAGATAATACCTTTATATTATTTTGTAAAAAGTTGGTTATAATCCATGCCATTACGTTCTTATCAGTCACTCAGGGTGTTTTAAACAGAGAAAACATGCCACATGACTTTCAAACACCCTCCACCAAAAAAGACCAAAGCTATTTTGAGTTGTGCGATTGGGTGTCAAGCGGTTACAAAGAATATAACTTCAATTCGTTAATATTTTTACTTTGATATACATACTCCCCAACAATTATTTATGTTTGGCGTGATCGCAGTGCCTTGCTGCGCAAAAAAACTATATAAACTATCAATTGCACGCCATTTTCAAAAACATATAGGCCAATGTATGAATTTATTTTGAATTTAAAAAATTATTGTCCGACAAAATACACAACTAGTAATAAAGGCTTGTATGATTTTAATGGAAGCAGATGTGCCTTCTTTGCATGAGGTGTACTGCTTTCAGCCATTGCCATGCTGATCAAGCAAAAATTCCAATTTATGCATTAAAAGCGTTTTTAGTATAGGAGAGTCTGGTCATATTTGGGCCACCCTCGTATATTGGCAATCCAAAGTTGTAGAGTAAAAAATACAGCAATATTTTTAAAAAAAATTTGTCACACGTGGCAAGAAAAATACTGTATGGTTGATTTCTCAATAGTTCTGGCTTAATTTTACTCTCGCATTTTGTTATGTTACAACACGTGCTATTTTATTGATTTGTTTGCTTGCAATTACAAAAAAGTGGGGGGAGGTGGGCTTTGTACGGTCAGATGGTTGAAACAATAGCAGAAATTTTACACATAATAAGTTGTGGCTATATATATATATAAAACGGACAAGGCAAAGGCTATTTGTATAACAGGTACACTAATTTAAATATAAAAACTGGAAGCTACAAATAATGCAAGCACAAGGTGCTTTGTTTAGGTACCAATTGTGTTTATAATAATTGTCTAGAAGCGTCTGGTGCGCATCATGATAACATGGCATAAACGCACAGTATTGGTATTTTCTATTTTGTGCACCAAAGAATAGATAATAATTTTATTTGACAATTCACAATAAAAACAAGTTGCGCATTGTCGAATCTGGACATCAAAATATTTTGTTGCAATTGAGCAGATGTAGTTAGAAAATATTTCAATACTGCGTGGAGAAAATCGCAAATAAAAGAGCAAAATACAAAAAAGCAAGGCGTTATTATTTTCATCTTACGTATGTTCTCGAATATATAGATAATAAAAGTAAAACTAACCTCCCTGCTGACACTGGTAAAAACCATTTCAGAATACATACATACATACATATATTATTATTACAATATTTTAAATAGCAAACACCATGTCAAAATGTTAAAAGCGCAGCTCATTTTTATTATTATTTTACTTAAATGCTGATGACCACTGAGTGAAACAAAAAAGATGTACCAGCAGACCTCCCAGTGAGAATTGTACACGTGAATAAACCAAGTGTACAAGATAGAGCAAACGTAACAATAAGCTCATTACTTTTGTATCTTCACATGTAATCTATATAAATGGCAAAAAAATAGTGGCTCCATTGATAATTCACATAAACTTTTTTCTTGGCACTTGCAAGTATCGCAAATAATCGGCAAATATTAATTTCAAATTACAAAACATTGCCAATGGTTTATTCTTCATTGTTAAATTCGTCAGCAAGACAATGTTGTTTGGAATTTCCTGTAGCCAGAGTAGCATGAACAAACATATTAGATGGACATAAACACATAAGGGGCGCAACTAGTAATAGCCACAAATTCAGTAACTGCTAATCTGTAAATCAAAATACGCTGAACAATGCCAATGATATAATTAATTCTGACTGGATATTGGAGCTACGAAATCAGAAACTGCAAATAAATTTAAAATGTGATTTATTACAATATGATATATTTGAAAACATCATATTCTTGAAACTTCTTTTCAAAAATCTATGAAATGCAGATTATAGATTATCATCTCGCATGTATTGTGAAGCTCATAAATCAAAATCAAAATCAAAATCAAACCAAAAAATCAAACTTTCCAAGTTTTGAGAAATGGAAAAGAAAAATAGACAAGATGTGCATATATTGCAAAGATGATTGATATCAAAGCACAGTCAAAAATGAAAAGCCCAGAGATTCGGGTTGGGGTAGATATTGAGAATTGTGTTACCCAGTGATAAAAAAAAGAAATGAAATAAATAAAAAATCATGCAAAAAGTTAAGCCGATAGATAAATCTTCCGGGCCAAAATAAATATCTAACAATGCGGCCATTTACCATCATGTTTATTTGCTCCAATCACTCTTTCACACCATAACTCACAGTGATTTTAACCCGGTAGCTTCTGAGTCAGTAAGTACTGAATCAATTTTAACCGACCAGAGTGTAATTTTATACTTTTATAATTAAGAAAACATAAAGGTGAAGAAAGGGGTTAAACAGTGTGTTTTAATCTAGTGGAGTATAATTTGCCGAATTAAAATTTCTTTTTCGACCAAGGGAATCAAAAAAGAAACATTGTATCAATTTCCAGAATTGCATTATTCGCTGATTGTTTTTTGTCAATTGAAGCACGTGCAAAAGCTTTTTCGGTCGACTTTCAGCAGCAGCAGCAGAAACATACACTATCATTTGTTTAGGGGAGTTTGCACCAGATATTCTTATTGTGTGGAGCTTATGCAGAAGGAATGTCAGCAGCCGGGTGTGACACGCAAGCTCGCCGGTCACTTGGCCTTCTTCAACACTCAGCCGATCCGCGTCTCTCGCGCCTTTTTCGTTCATACAAAGCAAAGTGAATGCTGAAAAAAACTTATGCTCTGATAGCAATAAGAAAGTTGCACATTCAGCGTTCATAATTCGGTGTTCTCATTTTTTCTAAAAGTTTTTCAGTATTTGTTTTTATGAGTGGCCAATTAAACTCGGCCCAAGCACAATGCCTCATTTTTTTACTTGCCGGGTGACAAAAGCTAAGCCCGGCCCCAAGCAAAAGGCCAAGCAAAAACACAAAGCCATGCCGAGCCAAAAATAAAAAATAAAAAATAACTCGGGTCCTTTGTGCGTGAATGGTGGCTGAACAATACGACAACATCAGGGTTGCTAAACACTTGATGGTTAAAAAATAATAGCATGGCTGGTTTTATATCTGTTGCTGAAGGGAGAGTAGAGTATATTGCGGCCGTTAACAGAGATTTGGGCAACGGGAGAAAAATGTACACACCCACTACCAAGAGCCTTGTTGTGTAACAGCAAACATTTCTTTATTTATTTTGTCCATCTCATATGTTTCTCATTTGCTAGGCCAGTAAATGTATATTTATGTGCCAAACGCACACTTCTCACGAATGAGGTATCAAAGATAAAACCTTATCAGCGAAAGAATTTGAGAGAACACTCATTTTCTGAGCAGAGGAACAAACAGGCAGCGGAGTAAGAAATCAATATGATGTTTGGTGACAGAAATGCAGCAAAAAAATGCTACCAGGAGAGGGGTGGGTTAATTGGTGAGGGGAGGGGGAGGGGTGTGTGACAGGCTCCCCCGGGGGTTATTTTTGCCTCCCCCCTCTTCCCTCCCTTCACTCTCTTTCTTTTTTTGCCTGACATGATGCATGAGCAGAAGAGGCGTTTATTTATTTCGTTCTGGATTTTTCCTATGTGACCGAGCAAATAGCCCAAGCATGGCAAAAAATCTTTCACGGCAAAAAGGCCTGCAACGTATAAAATGACCTTGCCTCCCCCGCCTCCCTTCTTATATTTCTTTGGTTTTTTGTTCTTCATTATCTCTTTTTTCTTTCTTTTCCCTTTAAACCGTTTTAATGTTATTTTGATATACTCTGCACCACGAGTAACTTTGGACCATTTTTCATATTCACCACCACAACAACAATAACAACCACCACTTCAACTACCTCAACCACAACAAAGTTTTACTTTATTTTTATTATTACTATAACATTTTTACACAAGATGATGGGCAACGGAATGTTTTGTGAGGCTGAGATACACTACGAAGAGCCGAATGAGGAAGAGAAGCTCAAACGCGACAGCAGGAAGACCTTGAACTACCTAAAGTCCAGTCACAATCGCATGCTTTTGTTGATGAGAAAGCTAGAGATCTATAAGTAAGTTCCGCCATTGCAAATACTTGTTTGCTCCTTGTTCCTGTTCTTGTCCTTATACTTGCCCTTGCTTTTTCTTCTGCCATCCTTTTTATTTTTTATTTTTGCAACCTTGTATATAAAAATCAAAGTCAACTTTGGCTGCCACAGACCGCGCGCTGCACATCCCTCATATCTTTTGCAGCAATATTGAGTCAACAGGAAGGATGTGCACCGCGGTTTGTGTGGCACCTGGCCGATCATGATTTCATGTTTTGTTTTTGTAATCGCCAAGCTGTGCTCTTGTCGCTTGGCACTCTGTGCCTTTCTCTTTTATATACTTTTTTATACTTATTTCAGCGCGTGACCATATTTGCCAAATTTTCTCCTCTTTTTTAATCGGCCGCATTTGGTGTTCATGTTTTTACTTTTTATTTTTGCCTTTGCAAATCCTATTTCTTTGTTTGCCACATGATAACCGGTACACTATTTTTGCTTTATTTTTTGGTTTGCATAGCAAGGAAAATAAAAATAAAAAGGATTGCAGCGCGTGCATTCTTGAAATTTTAATATTGTAAACGCGTCTCCCTTTCTTTTTTTGCCACGCAGATTTTCAATATTTTAATCCCGAAAAACGCTTGTCATAGCAGTAACGCCGTTTTTCTTGGCTGACTACTGCATTTTTTGTATGCTTGCGATTTTGGTATATCATCACTCCTTTTTTCGCTCATCTTTTTTTCCTTTTCCTCCCCGCCTTCTTATGTACTGCGCCAAGTACTATTACAGGCCAAGTGTCTCGGAACTGTCATTTTTGTATTCCCCACACACACGCCCGTGAACGCAAAAACAAAAAATAATAGTAACCCCATCTGCAACACTGTTACTATTTTTTTTATTTTTTGCGCTTACTCTTCGCGGCCCTGGTCTATGACAATTTTTATCGATATTACTACACACGCGCATTCGATGCCTGCCTGCTTGCTGATTATCTTCCACTTTATTTTTATCTGCGACAACTTGCATCCAATCTGGTGCGGTAAGGAGAAGAGCATCATCGGAAGCATCTGTTGCAGGTAGCAGCAGTGCCACTGCATAGTCACAGCTGGGCACTATGCGCGCGTGTTCTGCCCTGGCTTGTCGGTAGCTGCAGCAGGCTCTCCCCTCAAAGTAGACACTATTATTATCTTCAATTCTTTATTTGTATACTTTGCATATGTCATCATCACCCCCTTCGGCCACTCTGCATTGCATTCGGGCATTGCAGCGAATGAGCTGAAATCACGCAAAAGAGGCGAGGCACAGTGTCTGCTTGCTTACTTGTGACATTGTCTCCACGTGGCTGCACAATGTCATATGCGGCCTTGTTTTGTCAGTCACTCACCCATTCACTCTCCCAGTCACTTGTCTATATTTGTGCATGACACTTTACTAAAAAAAGAAAATATCTAAATATTATATTTTGTACTCTAGGTCGAACCCGCTAGGCTTTGCCATGTGCAAGGACCTCGAGATCAAGATTTACCAGCTGTCGCTGCTGCTCCAGCGCCACCACCAGCAGCTGGTTGACATGGACGAAAAGTACAAGCGCATGCACCAGGCTGAGCCCGAGCCGTTGACCAAGAACTCGTCGCTCGCCGACTGGCAGGAGGTCATCAATATGGCCAAGCTCCCAATCGATCCTCTGTTTATATACTCGCAGTCAAACAAGACCAAGAGCTGTGAACCCGTTTTCAAATCGATCTACCACTCGCCGTCGTCTGAAACCACTGCCAATTCTCTGTCGACTGAAAAGCTAGATGAACAGAACACCAGTGGTATTCAGGTTAAGCGCGTCTCGCAGGCGACGTTCCCCATGCAGATGACGCCCCCGATGGAGGAAATTGTACAGCTGCGTGAAAAGGTTCGTGCTCTCGAAAAGTCGCCTCTATTTGCATCGATGACGACGGACAACATTAAGAGCAAATGCAGCCTAGCGGCGATGCCGGTTCACCGCTCACCCATTTCGCAGCGCTGAAATATGCGCATGCACACAAAACAAGCCCCTCTTGTCCGAACAAAGAGGGCACACACCACCATTTCCACAACCACCATCAACTTCATTCATCTTCATTCATCTCGAACCACACCATACTTTCCGGCCTTCACACTATGTACCATTCTCACCACACAAACCTCGCTCACTCACTTTCATTTTTAATCTGTATTCTTAACATTTTTCCTTTCATTCTCCTTTACCTTCGACACCCTCCCCTCTCCTTTACCTCTATTCCTTTCTTTTTCCCGCTATAGTTTTATGACAAAAAAATAAACAATTTTGTTAGCAAAAAAAGTGACAATATGAAACCAAACATGCCACAGTTAAGCCATATGATGGTCGCGTAAACAGACATGTTTCCTTACTGAGATTAATCAATTTTAAAAGTTTGAAGATTTTAAAAACTAGTTTTCCCCACGCTTGGAAGCTAAGCGTATAGACCCGCCCGAATATCAATTGAATATAACACGCGTGGGCGGCAGGCGGTGCGAGGCCGAGTACTTGCCATTGATACCGTCATTGCCATCAATGCGCAACACTGCCGCCTGCTTGTTTGCGGCGAGTCCCGTGGCCAAGTGCCTGCTGACAAGCCTCTCCCTGGCTCCCTCCTTGTCCCGAGGCTCCACCCACCACCGCTCATCTACTATGTCAGCGAGCTGGGCCCATGGGTCCTCATTGACATGCGCATAAAGCCCCTCTATAAAAACAACCCTATGCTGCGCTGTAATAACAATGGCGTTAGCCACTGGGTCACCAATTGCGTGGTCAAAAGATGGGGCCAAAACAGGATCCTCACACTGCTCACACACGCGCCGAACAAGTTCAACAAACCCGTGGCTGTCAAAAGTCCATGGTGCCCCACGCCGCCTCATGGCTGTTTGGGGGTCGGGCATGGCAAGTAGCTGTGCTTTGGTCAGGTGGAACCCGTCCATGGGCAGAACAATTGATGGATGGGATGGCATTTGAGCATTAATGGATGAACTGATCAGCTCGCTGAGATGGGTTTTGCCTGAGCCTGGTGTGCCTGACACTGCGATTATTAGTCGCTTTTGTGGATGCTCGCTGTTGCTGCTGCTGATGTCGGTCAGTTTGTTTATTACGTACTGTGCAAGTTCATCAATTGTGTGCTGAGTGATACTGCTGATGTTGCCGGTTTGCTCAACGCTGTTGTTTCCCATTGCTACAAAAAAAAGTATGTTTTTTAATTAAAGTGGAGTGAATGAGCAATATTTTTATTTTTAAAAAAAATGATTGACCAATTCAAACTTGTATTAGATATTTTCATCTCTTATGGATTGTATTTGTGGGTAAATAAAGGCAAACATGCAAAGTAAAAAATTAAATTAGCACTCTACATCACACCAGCTCCCCCTCCTACCCTTAATATGTGGCCAAAGTGGAACAAGTAAATAATATAAAAATTGTAAATGCTTGTTATAGGAACCCCACTCCAAAAAAATGTGTTTGTGCCAAATTGTAGCAAAAAAAACTAGATGGATGCCTATATATTGTGTATATTGTAATGTTTATTTATTAAGTGTAAAAATAAAAAACAAGAGTTTGAGTACTCATATAGGTTGCTATTTGGATGCTATTGGTTTAGATATTGTAGCGTCTTGAATGAGTGTTATTCTCCTTTGTATACATTGTGGCAACCAAGGATAGAATAGCTTGCCAAAGTAACCGACTGTTGAATAATTTAACTTACTGGTTGTCAAAATTTTCAATTTTTAGATGGGAGTATTGTTATAATAAGAGGGAGGTGTGAGGAGCACTAATTATCTAGTGTTAGAAAAGTAGGGGTGATTTTATAAAAGGTTTTATTACTGATGTTTCTAAAATACTACTAGGGCCGGTCTCGTCTTATATATGTGCGTTGTCGCCTTTGTTGTGCACATTGCCAATCATGCGCTCCGTTGATGAGAACTGGATCTTCTGCGAGCAGACCAGTATCTTGGCAAGTCAATGCTGTGGTTTTCGCGTATGTGCGCTGATGTGTGTGCATTGCAAAATGGGGAGCATGTTTGGGCATCAATGTAATGCCCCCCTAATTTACGCCTGCATAGTCCAATTAGCACCCTATTAACCAGCATGCAGATGGAAACTTATTTCGCGGGTTTCAACCTCGACATCCACCTCAATGTCTTTGGGATGCGCAACAGTATGTCTTATTAAAGCTATACTTTTTAATATTATTTTTGTTTGCAAAATATTCATTCAATTCTTTAACAATATTGTACATATTTGAAGGATTTGGGAGAATATCTAGGGGTTCGGAAATCATAGGGCCTGCTGAATTGTTAGAGACCAACCATAAGCGATTATCTTCAGAATTATTGATACTCTTTAATGTACGGGTATCTTCTAAATACTTACTTATAGCCCATCTTGCATAAAAGCAAACTTACTGGTTTTAAACCAATTTTTCCACCAATTTTTTCCTTTATGTCACTAATTGTTGAGTCGAAAGTGATTTTTTAATTTCCAATTCAAACGTCTTTGTGTAGAAGCCTTCGAGCTCATTAAACTTACTAATTTGTTTTTCGCTGTACTTAAGATAGATAAACATAGTCTGTTACAAGATGAATTATTGGTATATGTTGTTATAATAGTGTGTAAAATAAAAAACAAATTATTTGGACAGAAAAAATGACGGTACTCTTGCGACTGCAATAATCCAGCTGCAAATTGCCAAGCTTGCACAAAAAACAATAACACTGTCGACCACTACATAATGGCCAAATAAAAAATAAAAGAGGTGTGTATGTGTATGTGAAATACTTGAAAATGCTTTATATAAAAGAAAATTAAACTGACTTTGTTTTACAAGCAAAAAGAAAATAAAGGATTTATTGTAATAAAAACTATGCATGCTAAGCTTGGACATAGAATACAAAAAAATATTTTTCTTACTATTGGTTGATGGCAATCAACTGATTAACCAGTCTTGGCTGTTTAGCAACACAAACAATAAGTCACACAGTGACCAAAGCAATATGCTTTCTACTCTTTACCTTTCACAGTGCATATAGCACTTATTTATTAAATACACTTTATATCATTATAGTTTATCTACACGTCCATAGAACGTTTCCTATATTCCAACACTTATACTGTTGAGCAGTCTGATGATATGGAAGCGGATGTTGATGAAGACTCGTTTCACGACTCTTAACATGCCAATTAACAGGGCATTGATGGTACCATGCAGGATCAAATCGGGGGACACAATAATAACACCCTGATATATCCCTTCATTCTATAATGCATATGTTTGAACGTGCACATACGAAGAGCATAGCCTTGACATGCCAAGACACCAGTCTGGGTACAGAAGAACCAGTTCTCACCAACGAAGTGCACAATTGGTAAAGTGCACAATAAAGAAAATGAGATACATATATAAGATGAAGCCGGCCCTAGTTCTACTTTTGATTCCATTGATAATAAAAACTTTCATAATTCAACCAAACTTCTAACACTAGGCGACTAGTGCTTCAGCCAAATCACTACCCTCTTATTATAACAATACTTTACACACCCATTCCAGCTGGTAAACATAGGGGGATTGGTTGACTGGCATTGTATGCTATATACAATTATTTTGTACCTTCCCCTAGAATAATTTTTGTTATAGGCGCATGTAGCCAGATCTGAAATAGATCCCATGATGGGCAAGGTGGTTTGGTAGACAATTAGTCTCATTCATCAACTTTAGGTTTTATATATTCTTGTTTTATATCTCGCTCAATGTATCTATTTTTATGTATTATTTCAATGATAGCAGATGGGGAGCTAGGGCTTTTATCCAAAACTCCCCAATAATAATAATATGATTTTCTCGATTCATCAACCTAGAGCAAAAAAAAACCGGGTGGTTGGTTTCTTTCGTATTCTTTCTCTTGAATTTCTTGAATATAAAACAAATAATTTATCATTCCGTAATATTTTATTCTATAACAAAAAACAACGCTATTTGTCTCTTGTGAGCGTTTTTTAAATAAAAAAGAATGTCGGACTATGACGACTTATCCACGGAGACAAACAAGGGCAACAGCTGGCTAGCCCTGCCCAGTCCCAAGGTGTTGCTCGACCGAACAACCAAATTCGTACTCAATGCAGCACAGGGAAAGTCCCGCTCGCTCATTCCAACTTCAGACAACCAATTACAAAGCACAATGTTCAGCGAGACAGGTGTGATAGACTGGGAGGATGCCCCAGTTCATGCCGAGGAGGAGGAGAATGAGGAGGAGGGGGAGGAAGACAAGGAGATGGTGGTGCGGGCGAGGAGGACAAGGGTTGTTCCAGAGAGAGAGGTTTTGCAGGGCGCGTGGAATGGATGCGCGATTGTTGATGATGGCGATAGCGAGGACAGCGGAAGATCGGGTACGCCGCCAGGAATGGTGCGCATCCGCGTTGGGCTGCGCGCCAGCACAGTGCTGCCTCCTCGACGCCGCACCAGGCCCCAACGCAGCAACACACAGGTTACAACCACAGGTGTGGTGGCTTCTACGGCATCTGCGGCTGCGGGTCCACAGCAGCAGCTGCAACGGCGACGTATTCCGCTGATCTCGCTGCCGCCGCGGGTCATTGCGCGCATCTTCGAGTACCTTCCCGTTGCCGAGCTGCTGCACATGGTCAACAGCTGCCGGGTGCTCCGGCGCGTCATCCACAAGCACGGGCCCGGGGCGGCAGACAGCGACGTGGTGGGCGACGCAGCGTACACTGTAGCGGGGATCCGGCTCTGGCGCGTGCTGGTGCAGCGAATGGGATGGCGTGTCTGGTATGAGCGAGTGCGCGGGCGGGAGCGGCGGCAGCGCATCGAGGTCCCACGCAGCCACGCCCGGCTGCTCGAGCAAATATGCGGCGTCGAGGACGAGGCCGAGCTGGTCGACATTCTGGGCACAGAACCCGACCTGCTGTTCAAGGCGCTTTTCGACAACATGCACGGCGACTACGCAGCCTTTCGGTCGCTAGCCAACCCAATGCCACCGATGCTGTGGCATTCGGCGGCCGGCCGCATGCGCAGCCCGGCGGAGATCGCCGAGCGCTTGGATCAGCTCCAGTGGTTTGGCCGCGGGGGCTTCACCCACGACGCATGCGTCATTAACCGGCGGCTGCTCATTGTTGCCAATAAGTTTGAGGACGCGTACCGTGATCGATTTACGCACGCGTTTCTCTCTGGCGACTGCACGCAAATGCGTGCCCATGCCGCTGTCATGGAGAATATCCGCGGCGGCCGTGGCTGCATTCGGCTGCTCACCGACGCCCACCCGCTGTTCAGCGCACAGGAGGACCTGGGAAGCGACGCGCTTGGCGCCGACTCCCCCTATGCACGTGTTTTGGCCGCTAGCGATTGCACTTCGGACTCGCACAGCTTTGGGCTGTTCCTTGATGGCCTGCAGGCGCTGGTCGAGGAGCACTCGCATGTTGTCTCGCTGGCTCTGCCGCCGCCCACTTTGCCGGCCTCAGCGCTTTTTTGCTTTGTCCAGGCGTTGTTCTCGCCCAGCGGCGTAGCGCTACGGACACTGCAGAAGCTGTACGCGCACCTGCGCGCCATTCCCGTAGGCACCTTTGATACAGTCAGCGTGCCTGGCACTAGGGTGGCTCCGGACGAGGCGACGAAGGATATTTTGTATCTGACTACTGTGGCCGAGGTCGTTGCGCTTTTGCTGGCTGCCGCAGACTCGTGGGCGGTGATGCAGCCGGTGGGATTGCCGATGGAGCTCGGGCGACGGTGCGTTTTTGGCGCCTTTGAAGACGTCATCGGCGACTACGTGCAGCTAGAAAGGCGCATTATTGAGCGTGCGTATGCTGAGAGTCTTGGTCAGTGGATGATGAAGAGCAAGGAGCGATTAAACCAGCTACCACCGCCGTCGGCTGTAGCTGCGGCGGCGGGGATACTGGCAGGGCGTATTGATGCGAAGGCTGAGGCGGAACGGCCGCGTAGAAACTCTGTTTCGTCGGCGAGGATCCTCGGAGGAGCCGCCGGCATGGAGTCATCGAGGACTGTTAATTTTAGTCAGCGCAGGCTGCAGATGGACGAGTATAAGGCGCGCGTGCTGAAGGTGCTTGAGGCAAAACTGGGAATCAGTCTGTCGTCGGGGATGCAGGGCATTGGCGGTGGGTCCGATGATGCGGAGGGCGATGATGCGGGTGCTTCTTCGGCTAAAGTTGGTTTGACCAAATTCGACGCAGTTCCTAGGAGGTGGCCGTCGGGCGGGGCCCAAACAAAGCCGGTTCATCAGGGGCGAACTGTGGTTGGCGAGGTTCTGTGGAACTCACCTGTCAGTATTGACTTGTGCCTGAATATGGTCTTGACTAACCGCGATGCCATTGATCGACTGGCTGTATTTGCCGAAGCCCCGCCTGACATGCGCCTACGCAAGCTAGCGTAAGTATGAGTGAAGACGCAGAATAGCGCTACAAAAAACACGTTTCTAATGGGGGAGGGGTACACTATGGCTAACAACTGTGCTACCTTTATTGTGTTTATACTTGGAAGATGATTGTAGACAGGAGGCAATCGAGTCGGTGTTTTGCATTCTGCTACAAAGCGTCGGCAACCATGTGCGGCCGGCATTCAGCAAGATACTTGTTGAGCTCAAGGATCTCGAGCAGACAGCAATGGTAGTCATGGTGACCCAAAAACGAACCACCTCTCTGAATAACACAAGACAGCCGGTATCCCCCAGCACAGCACCAGCCCAAACATCAGCAGTAACAGCAAAGAGCAATTTCCCAGTGTACTCTGCACAGCGCATTCAGGCAGAAAAAGAGCTTCGTGAGAAATTCGCCTCTGTCGAACTGCGATTCTTCGAGCTCATTCATTTGAGCGACCTCGTAGTACAGATGCTAGAGATATACTACAAAAAGGATATGTGCATGTTCATCGACGAGTCGGATTTTCTCAACATGTGCAACCAGGAGAAAAAGGCATTGGAGCATGCTATTGATGATAGTGTTGCTGTTGGAATGGACTGCGTCATTGAGGTGATTCTGCGGCAGACCCAGCATATATTGGATACTGAGCAGCATGCGCTTGATTACCACCCGGATTCGAACATTTCCCTGACCTTGACGCCATCCTTGGCGTGTACGCGTGCGGTGCAGTTTTTGGGCGAGTCTACGGCGGTCCTACAGAGCATGACTATGCAGAAGCAGATGCGCGGCGTATTTATGGGCGAAATTGGCCAGAGACTATTCAGTGTTCTTTTGGATAACATTAAGCGGTTCCAGATCACGGAACCGGGAGGGTTTCAGCTGATTGCGGATTTAAACTTGTATTATGATTGGGCTGCATCTAACGTTGATCTGGATACTCTGAGATATTTTACTGCGTTGAAGGATTTGGCTAATTGCTTTATTCTCGCCCCGAGGGACTTGAGGGGTTTTTTGCGCGACCAGTATTCGAGACGCACGTTCGATGGTGTTATGCGGTCAGAGGAGGTGTATGATGTGGTGGCGTGCCGTGCGGATTACAAGCAGATTCGCACACAAGTGGAGGGCCACTGTGACTTTATGTAACGATCATATAATAGATTTCTTATTTAATTTTTTTACAACTCGAGTTTTATAGTAGGGAAAAAAATCACGACTGAAAAAATGGAAAATTACATTTAGCAGCGCATAAACTGTTGGAACACTGGGTTATTGGTTTCGTTAACATAACGGTAATCGAGTTCATCCAAGAAACGCTGCAGGGCCGCAGGGATTTCGCCAGACTGCAATGCTGCCGATTCACCCTTCTCTGTCCCTTCCTCCTGGGAGGATGGCGGCACCTGGATGCCCACAAGAACCTTGGCGACATCCTGGCCAAAGTTCCTGTACTGGAACAGCGAGATATTCCAATCAAATCTCAGCCCACTCAGGAACTTCTTCAACGCACCATGGCGCTCCGGGAACTCGAACCTAATCATAAACTCATTTGGCACAGAGCTACGGCCACCAACAATATACCGAGCATGCGATTTCGCCAGCTCATTGTCTGTCAGATCCGTGGCCGACATATTTTGCGCCGCCAGTTTAGCCACAATGCCCTTGACCTCAGCAATACGGTCCTTGACTTCAAAGGACATGAAGATATGCGCGCTCCCAGGGTTGCTGTACCGGTAGGTGAACTCGGTGATGGCCCTCGGGTATATGACATCGTGCAGGCCATGGAAGCTGCCAGGCCGTTCGGGAATGACCACGGACATCAACACCTCCTTCTGCTCTCCCATTGCCGCACGCTCAGCAACAAAACGTAACCGATCAAAGTTCATATTAGCTCCGGACGTAATCGCCACCAGGGATTTCCCCGTAAGCCCATGGACGCGCGCATATTTTTTCAGCCCGGCAGTGGCCAGGGCGCCGGAGGGTTCGAGGACACTGCGGGTGTCCTCGAACACATCCTTGATGGCCGCGCATACCTCGTCATTGGTTACCAGGACGACGTCGTCGATGAGATCCTTGGCCACGCGGAAGCACTCGCGGCCAACCTGACACACGGCAGTGCCATCGGCGAACAAGCCAACTTCAGACAGCACGAGCCTGCGGCCGGCTTTCAGGGACTGCGCCATGGCGCAGGAGTCAACGGTCTCGACAGCAACTATCTTGATCGCCGGCCAGACGCGCTTAACATACGCGGAAATGCCAGCGATCAGCCCACCGCCACCCACAGCCACAAAGATAATGTCGATATCCGTGGACTTGCGCTGCCGCAAAAGCTCCATCGCAATAGTGCCCTGTCCAGCAATCACCAGGGGGTCGTCGAAGGGCGGGATATTGGTTAGCCCATGGAGCTTCTCCAATCTGCTGCACTCCACTTTGGCCTCGTCAAACCCGGTTCCATGCAGGACGACTTCGGCCCCGAGCCTCTGCACATTGCGCCATTTGATCTCTGGAGTCAGCAGCGGCATCACTATAGTGGCCTTGATGCCCAGGTACTGGGCAGACATTGCTACGCCCTGGGCGTGGTTGCCTGCGGAGCAGGCTATGATTCCGCGCGCCTTCTCCTCCTCGGTTAAATGGCTGATCTTGTTGTAGGCGCCGCGGATCTTGAATGAGAAGACGGGCTGGAGGTCTTCGCGTTTAAGAAAGATGTCGTTTTGGCAACGTGTGCTGAGGTTCACTGCGTGGGTTAGCGGGGTCTCCGTGGCTACGTCGTAGACGTATGAGTTGAGGATCAGCTGCAGGTAGTCCGGGTGGTCTGCTGGCGGGTGTGCTGCTCCCGTGGTTATCGTGGTGGCGAGGCCGTTGGTGGGTGAGTTGGTGACTGTTTCGGGCTCCTTGGGCATGCTGGCGTTCTCGTTGATCGTGCGCGAGTTGGGCACTGCGTCATGCACAGTGGTCTGAGCTGGCGACATTGTTTACAATACTTCTATTTGCAGTGAAAACAAATGCTTGTTATGAGAGCTTGAAAATTAAAAGAGCGAGATAAATACCAAAAGATAAAGTTTTAAAAAACTTTTTCTCCTTGAGATGTGCAACCAAGGGCTTTTTTCTTCAGGCTGTTCTTTTTTCTACACAATCGCAAGTTAGTCATCAGCTGAGACCATTCGGAAATACAAGGCAAACCGCGTAAATAAAAACTCCGTGTGAGCCCTTACCCTAAAATCCATTTGCCCGGTGTTCTGCATGCTCATCATTTAGGCAGAGAATGCTGCATATGCCTTAAAGTCAAAAAAATGAAAAATGAAAAATAAAAAATGAAAATGGTAGGGGGTGAAGGACCGTGCGCACATATCATTTGTGAATCAATAAAATGCATTAAACAAACAAACAAAAAAGTTTAATGATTCGAGCGATTTTAAGACCTAGACCATTTGCAGTACCATGTGATGTTGAATTTGTCTAATTCTTTTATTCATTTGAATCTAAAATCTTCTATATCTGGCCATGAGCATGTTTCTTTTTGTTTTTTTTCCAGCCCATCCCAACAACCATATTTTGAATACTGCTAATGAAAAATTAACATGCTCTTCCGCCCTCCCCCACCAAAAAATGCTAAATGAGGATGAGCCTATCAGCGTACTGTCTAATCCTTATCGATATTCGTCTGCTCCTTTACTTTTCCGCACGCGATTCGTCCGGGATAATAAAAAAAGCAAATTAGGCTGGGCCAACCACATCAAATAATTTTTTTCTAAAGGTTGAGCAAGACCACACTAATAAAAAATTTTTCTTCGACCTAAGAACCGGGCACCATTTCTTGTGCCCAAACTCGAACAAATAAAAAAATTCAACCAAAAGCAACACCGTTGCTTGCTTCCTTTTTGTTTTCTTTTTCTGCATCTCCAAACCTCACAAGAACCCTACATTTTTTATTATATCAACTCCCACCATATTCTATCACATTTAATACTTATTCACAACCCCAGATCACACATTCAGACACCAAAAACATAATCAACACATACACAATGAGCACCAACAAAGTCATCCAAGCATTTAAGAGCTCCGTTCTTATTGAAAAGCCGCGAATCAACGCTGAACTGACTCTGGACAAGAAGCTCATCCTCGACGTGCTTCTTCTGATAATTGCCGGCGGCAGCATCGGCATCCAAGGCTCCGTCAACGGTTCCATGTCCATCCACGTCAACGGTGGATTCTCTGCTTGGCTCACCTTCGCCATGGGCTCCTTCATTCTCTTTGTCTGCTTTATGATTGAAACCCGCGGTGGCAAATCTATCGACTGGAGGAACGCCTTTAAGACTGCCCCGTGGTGGTGCTGGCTTGGCGGGATCCCCGGAGCTGCGTTTGTCCTGTTTATTACTTTGTTCATTCCTTATAGGGGCGCTGCTGTGGTTAATGGTATTACGATTTGCGCGCAGATGCTTATTTCGCTGATTGTTGATAGTTTTGCATTTTTCGAGTGCAAACACAGGCCAGCGACTATTCCTAGGGCTATTGGCATGTGCCTGCTTATTGCTGGCGTGCTCATGGTCGCTCTTGGTTAAAGAAATTTTTGTTAATTTTTTTTAACAATTCTAATTGATAAAATACTCTAGTCTTTACTTTCTTCAAACGCACCGCCCCCACCTCTCACTCCAGTATTTTGCTGTGTATATTTTTAAACTTTTTTCTAATCTTTATTGCATCTATAACAAAATCTGTATGTTTCTTTTTGAAAAGAGATGGTAGATATGGAACCACTAAACAAGAAATATGTAAACAAAAGCGTCAACATTGTCGCTTCTTTTCTTTATTCGGTAAGAAATCTGGCCGAGAGAAAACCTTTGTTTTGTCTTCTGACCCGGGGTGCAGTTGCAAAGACTCGCATTTGTCAGAATTTTAGAACATGTAAGGTCGACTGCGTGCATATCAGAAGTGAGATTGACACCGAAAAAATGATCGGTAAAAAGATAACGAGTTATGGTTTTTTTTCGGATAGCGACGGATTCTAGAGATTTACCTCTTCATTTTTTCATGTGGCGGCAGCGAGTAGCCAAAACATGCACTTTGTTTTGAAAAAAAGGCTTTAAGGAATAAAATTGACACTGACTAATATGTGGGCGTGTGCATAAAATTATTATACCAGGCTAGTTGATCGGCACAAAACACCCAAGTATTGTGGATTGGGAGCACAACACATACTACCACTGTATTTTTTTGGACATGGTCCAATCATTTGAACACTGGTCAGCAAAAAAAAATCCTTGGCCGTTTTAGGCCAGACTGGTACACATTTTATTTTATTTCTCCCTTTTGCATCAACTGATTAGAAAATATTGGGTCAATTTTTCAATCTTTAATTCATCGGCCTTGCTTCTCGTTTCAAAAAAATTATCCTTGCAATTTTGTTTCTTTCTTTTTCAAAGCTATTTTCGTTACCAATACTTTTTTGTTACCAACTCCCAAAAAACTCATATTCCCTCCTATCTTCTCGATCATTATTAATTTATAAACATACACACACAAAACAACTAATTTCAGACAATGACGGCTCTCAGCGAGGTATCACTCGGAGTGATTCTACTTATAATCGGCGGATTCTGTACGGGTATCCAAGGCCCTATGAACGGACGCCTAGCAATGTCGACCTCCGGTTCCTTCGCATCCTTTCTCACCTTCATCATTGGATTCTGGCCTCTCCTCATATACTTCCTGGCAGACACCAAGGGAGGCAAAACCATAGACTGGCCAACGGCAACGAGAAACACCCCCGGATATGCCTGGTTGGGAGGAGTATTTGGTATCATCTTTGTTCTGATCGTTGCTGTGGTTATTCATCGTCGGGGCGCGGCCATCACTAATGGAATTATTGTCGTTACTCAACTTATTGTTAGCGTTATTATTGATCAGTATGGCGCTTTTGATAACGAACAGAGGGAGTGCACGGGGCTGAGAGGCGGTGGATTGGCGTGTATGATTGTTGGAATTGCTCTGGTTACTCTGTATTAAGCATGAGGTGGTAAAGATGGGGGAATAGGATGAAATGGGCTGCTTTTGCTTATATTGCTTCAATACACAATTTTTTATTGTTCACTTTATATACTGCTTACACTAGATGCTTGTCAAATTCTGCCGGCTCGCATATCCAGCATCATTAATTTAAAGTCAAATGTAACCCGCTTGTTAATTCATAGGTGATCACACAATTGACGATAATTCTTTTATTCAGCGTAAATATATATGCACATGTGCCCGAAGAACGCGTTGTTTTTTTTGAAGGAAGAGCGCATTGATTTGTTGAAAAGTTAGTGGGCAAAATAAAATCAACCTTTGTTTCTTTCACAATTTCTTTTACATTAATTCAATTCAAAATTTACATTCTCAACAATGTCTGAGATACTCTCCCTTTCAGATCTTGTCACTCTACGCCATTCGGAATATAACTGCATACACTTAGAGCGTGCATTACAACTATTGATATCTGTTGGAATATAGGAAACGTTCTATGAACGTGTAGATAAAGTATAATGCTATAAAGTATATTTAATAATAAGTGCTATGCACTGCGAAAGGTAAAGAGAAGAGAGCATATTGCTCTGGTCACTGTGTGACTTATTGTTTGTGTGGCTAAACAGCCAAGACTGGTTAATCAGTTGATTGCCATCAACTGATACAACTTGTATTTACTCTTCTTTATGTGCAAACTATGACCGCTGGACTCATAGGTTCAAAATCTCAAATGGAATATTTCTGCTTTTGCATAACGGTAACTCAACGTCAGTCAATTGGTTGTCTAAGTCAGGCTGCAATCGTGCCTATTAACTACCTATTAAACTTTTTTGAAGTCATATTCATTGCCAAAACCGTGTTTACTTTTTTCATGAGTAGACCTTGACTGTAGGCTTAATGTGCGAAAAAGGGTTCAAACAAAAAATTCGCCGCTCTTTTTTGATGGCAACTTAATGTTGGACAGACGCTTGGGTAGGCTCGGCTGCTATTGTGACAATCGGCCTTTTGTTGAATTTATTTCAGTTGTTTTTTATTGGCGCTAGCATAATGCGTGTGTTTCGGCGTGATATATAAAGCATGGGTATAGTCCTCCAACTTTTTAAATTTTTAATTTAACACACATCACAACATGCACCCATTCCGTTCAGCACACCGTATCACTGATTCCTTAAGCTACACATTGGCAATTTTAAACAACCAATCTTTAATCCAAGCAGTAATTCTACAATACACGTTTATTTCCTAAAAAAGATATCATCTACTTCTTCAGCATACACTTGCAAAACACCGCATGCTTATCATTGGCATATGTTTGATAAAAGAGACCACAACTATATTTATTATTGACAAGTGGTGTTTATATGATGAACCATTGTCCTGTAAAGTAATTTAAAAGCATATTAAAAATGTGTTAGCCGAAGATAACAAGGAGATAATTGTAATGGTTAGCAATACTAATGAATATTTAAAACTGGCTAAGGAATCTCACCCTCGTGGAATTTCTGAAGATGACAGAATTGGTATGTATGTCGAGTTTATTGACCGAACTTATTTTAACATGACAATCATGAAAATAAAAAGGATCAATAGGTCTGCAGCAGGTCTCATATACAGTAATGGGAAATATGTAATTGAAATTACCAGAGATATATTAACCCAGGTGGAATAAAATAATAAATAACGTTTATATTATTAACATACATTTGGTAGGCTATCTCTTTACTAATTAGTTATTGCTAAAGTTGATGTTTTTAAGATGATTTTGGTATAATATATTAGTTTTATTATTTATTTATTTATTATTTGCATAGTATTTGTCTAAGAAGTAATAAATATATTCTATATTATTATGATACTGCAGGTATATTCTTGAGCACTCAACAGGTGGCTCGCAACTCAGCCCAGTGACCCAGGTTAATACCCGTCGGCGCGCACAGATGCATTGGACAGATGGAAGACGTCAACCGGCGCCCTGATCTACTCACATCAATTGTGAAGCCGCGTAATGTTCATGATTGAACCTGTTTTTCCCCAGAGAATGGCAACAGCAGATATTGATGCAATTTCGAGGTGCATCAAAATAGGATTTGTTTTGGTAGTTGTTTATATGTGTGCAGTGTGGGGTGTGCTGCGCACTTGCCATAGTTAGTTTCTGATATGTACTAAGACTCTCCCATCATGAAGACAAAATATCTTGTTTTCTAGTATACCTTTATTTTCCTTTTAGCACTATTCCTTGCGTCTGCTCAATTTGATATTATTGGTCTCCCCGTAGCCACATTTACAACAATATGCTTATTATATTAATTTTGGTGATTAAGGATATTATTCTGTCGATATAATGCTGCTAGACCGCCAGCTTTGTATTTGTAATTAATGAATTAATGCACACAGATGGCCTCAAAGCATGGATCAAAAAGTATTACTTAAAGCCATTATCAGCTTGTGTTTAAAGCAGTTGAAATGTACTTCAAATTGATTTTGTTTATGAGAGAAACGCCTGCATATTTATTTATTTACTGCCTGCTGTTTGCCAAGCTTTTCTGTTTTGCATCTTCCAACTTTTTTTTGCGCTTCAACTCTTTTAACAAAATAATTGCATGCCAGGCTCAATATCATTTATTTTTTGTACAAAGGCATGTCACATTGTCTTATATAAAATGTAGATTTGTTTTTATAACTTATTTGATAAATATACCTTGTAGTTTGTCTTGAGCGGTCATTACTAATTTGTTTTACCAATGCAGTATTCATGGTCAAAGAGATATTTTATGGCATTTTTGAGCAGCCTAATGATATGGAAGTGAATGTTGAAGACTCGTTTCACGATTCTTAACCTCAACATGCCAATTAACAGGGCATTGATGGTACCATGCAGGATCAAATCAGGGGACACAATAATACACCCTGATATATCCCTCCATTCCATAATCCATATGCTTGGACGCGCACATACGAAGAGCATAGCCTTGACACGCCAAGACACCAGTCTGTCTACAGAAGAACCAGTTCTCACCAACGGAGTGCACAATTGGTAAAGTGCACAATAAAGGAAATGGATACATATATATGAAGCCGGCCCTAGTTCTACTTTTGATTCCATTGATAATAGAAACTTTCATAATTCAACCAAACTTCTAACACTAGGCGACTAGTGCTTCGCTCAAATCACCACACCCTTATTATAACAGCATGAATAAGGCTTCGCCCGCTTTTTTATTTTCCCCTCCCATTTTTTATCTTTTTTTTTTCTCCAACTTGTCTTACTACATTAAATTATAATTTTAACATACTTATCGGGGTAGCACTATTTCCCTTACTTTTTGAATAAAACAACTTAATTTTATTATTTAAAAAATAATTCCCTCCTTGCTCAATTACATGCTGACACCTTTCAAACCATTACTTAAACAAACCCTGAAGGCACCGCGTGTAGGGAATCGAGCTCAGGCTGCCATGCACGTTTAACCGCTCATATTTCTTTAAATGTAACCTCTGAGCTTGTTCTTAATGTGCAGTAAAAGCCAAAAGTAACAAGTTGCTAGACCTGGTAAGTATGGTGAAACACATTCTGCCGGGTTGGCGTCTTGTGAATTTTTTACACTTGGAAAATACGGGATCAATGCTATTCTTGACAAAGTATTCAGTATTGACAATGCGGGTTTGATATTAAGGTGGCGTGGACAATACCAGTTTTAGAGAAGATAAGAGTAATAAATTTGTCTTGACCAAAGTGCAACAACCTGGGTGGGTAGTATCTGATCTCCAATGATATATACCCTGGCTGCCGAGCCATATAATGGCATGTTCGGGTAGACATATGGTTTGTCGCATGTAAAATGTTATATATATTTGTTCTGGAAAGCGAGTAAAGTTCTCGATAAACTGTTGGCAAAACCCAATGCGCGTTGCCTTAAGCCCATCAGTGAGGGAATAAGGACCAATTGCTGGTAGACCATTATATAGCCCAAATCACAATACAAGCATTTTGCATTGCTATCACCAAACAATCGTATTGCTCAGCTAAATTTTCAGCTTTTGTATGTAGAAATTGGCCAATTGTCTTGCGAATATCGGCGCCATGAAGTTATGCAATTTTGGATTTCAGACGACTGCTTCGAGACTCATCTTCAATATCCATGTGTCCTCGATAAAACCTGCTAACCATCTTTTAACTGTTGATATAGAAGGCGCGCCTGTGCTGCAATGCTGGTGTAAAATTTGGCAATGTCCAATGGCATATTTCCATCTAAATAATGACATCTAATAAAACGATATTCGATATTTGCATTATTTTTAGGCAGATATTATTAATTAAAGTCATTTTAAAAAATTTTACGTGATAAAAGTCAAATTATCAAAGTTGCACAGAAAAAGAAGAGATGGGCTAGGGATGAATGTGGGTGGTGGAAAATGATGCCACGTTACAATACTAATAAATACAATAAAGTCTGGATACAAAAACACTTCACACGGGGCGAGAAACACCGCAAGAATTTAGTCATGGTAATATTTTTGGTACACTTTTAAATGATATCAATATATTCAATAAAGGAGGGAAAATCCAAAACCCTGTACTTGGACATTAAACGGACAATAAAACAAGCAGACTAGGAACGTGTATATTACAGTGAGGATCAGCCCTTTTTATTCAATTTACGATTTTATTGGGATTTAAGTTGGCTGAGAAACAAATCAGAGATAGAGAAAATTTTAGAATTTTGAAGGCCCGTGTGGTTATAAAAATAGAGACAAAAGAATGTAGCAAACAAATGACAGTAACATTGGTTCGTAAATGTTATTGTGGTGCCCAACACACATTTCAAGCCACTATCTTCCCTTTTCAAGAATCAAGATTGCCCTCATGGCTGATATACACATTTTGGTTATTGCTGACTGACATCAAGGAATACCATGATGTTTACAGCACTGGCCCACAGCGCTGCCCCTTTTTCAGTTCCTAAAGTAATTTTTGAGCTTAAAGTATATTAATTTAGACCGACATTTTTATAGAGCACGACAATTATTAAAAATTAAAATTATAATACTACGTGATGACATTCGCGACGAGTTTAAGGTGAAATGTAAAGCTGATAAGATACAAATCAAAATATATGATGAGAAAAAAATGAAGTGCTTAAAATTACAATGAGCTAATATATGGCCCTAATAGGGCCAAGTTAAAACACCTATTACTGTCGATATAACCATTCCTCCAAAGTCTGCGTTGAAAAGGCAGCCAATGAGTTATCAAATAAAAAAAATAGCAAACTGTCAAGATATTTATGTACAGTGATGACACTCATAGTATCACGAGCCCAAGCCCATAGAACTTTTTTTTTTAGCACAAAGTAGAAAAATAGGGTAAAAGTAATATTATAATATTATTTGTATTAAATAAACATCAATAACCATCTTTCATCAGCTATATATTTCTTAATCATACACACAATGGAAGCACAGCACACAGTACTTCCGAACGACGAGTACAAACACCAAATATCAGAAATAGTCAAGCGAGATTTTTTTCCTTCCCTCGACCATCTCAAATCGCAAAACGAACTAACAACATTGGGTACCACTCTTCTAATCCCCCACCGGCCCCCATGGAATCAGCGCCAGCCCAGGGTCTAGACGATTTTCTGCACGAGCACATTAGCTCGACACGCACAAGTTTCAGAAACTTCTTGATCATTCAAACACACAAAACGTTGAATGTACGTCAAAAGCCAGAGATAATAGCTGTTGGACCATCCAACAGAGATAAAGGGGTGGTGCGGGCAGAAGAGTATCGCGCGAGGGGTCGAATTGTGCATCGGAATACGCGGTTCCGGTTGGGCCAGGTTGCGGGGACGAGGGGGCGGCAGAGCACCAGGACTGGGGCGACACAGAGTCCAGCGTTGCCGATGTAGATACAACACCAGTTGTCAACAGGTACAGTATGGTAAGAGAAAAAGGGAGAAGGAAAAGAGAGGGGAGCAGCGGGCTGGAAATAATGGCAATTATGGTCGCGCAGGGCTGTTGTCTCCGGCGGCGCGCAGTCTTCTGGCACGTGGCTCCAGCGGTTCGGATGATTCAACGCCGTTTCCATCGTTTCCGTCGTCGGCTGGCATCAACGCTTTGCGCAGCGCATACAACTCACCGTATGCGCATCGACCGTGAAAGAGTCTGGCGCGTGAAAAATTAAGAGACAGAGGTGCGTTGAGACTAAATGCCATGTGAAAACATGGATTTTTATAGCCTTCATCGTCATCACCAATTCTGCTTCTTTCTCTTAATTTTCTTCTTTTTTATTCTATTTTTTTACACTGTAATTTATTTATTTCCTCCTTTTTTCCTTCAAATTTCACAATTAACAAATGTCGCAAACTTTGGTGGTTGCATTTAAAACTTGCATAACTGCCTTGTGAATTTGCCAGAGCGGTGGGCATTTGCGCTTTCGACGCAGTCGAGCAAGCGGGGCGGTGGTGTCCTCGTATTCCGGCTGACTGGGGGCCCGACGCATCCAAAAGCGCCTACGTGGCATGGTCAGGCAACCCGCAAACACAGAATAGACAGGTACGTGACCACAGCGGCGTTCTGCATGAAAACCTACTGGAGATCGACAGCACCCACGGGCAGCTTCTGGGGCTGACCGAGGGCACAGTGGTTGGGGTGGAGTTTGTGTCGGATATCGGCGTATGTACAGCGGCGGAGGTCGAAGTCGGTGGGGTGGATGATTGGGAAATTCTGGAGCTCAACGCCGGGGCTGTTGAGGATGGGCTGCTGCGGCAAGCGCGTGTGGTGGCGGTGGGCCAGCCGCTGGTGTTCTGGCTGAATGCATCGACGCACGTGCGGCTGGTACCCCGCGGGATGGTACCGCAGGCGGCTGTGGCGCTGCTAGACAACGACTCGGAAGTGGCCGTGGCGCCAATGGTGCGGCGCCAGCAACAGCCAGCGCCATCAGCGGAGGAGGGCCGGAACACAGCCGCGGTGAGCTGCTTGCGCGTGGCCGGCTCTGGTGCCGATGATGTGCTGCCTAGTGTCGTATTTGTGCATCCGTCATCCGCCGTAGCGCAGCTGTGCTCAGCACGCATCGGCCATGGCTGCATGCGTGCGGGTGCCAGCGCGGCCGATGACGCTATGTGGCTGGCACCGTGGCTGGCCGCCGTGGCCATTGACGCGCGCGTGCAGCCGGGCGTGCTCCTGGCGCAGACTGCGACGCTGGCGCACATGGGGTTTGCTGTCGGCGAGGTTGTGCGCGTAGGCGCAGTGGTGAAGTCCATGGTGGATCCGCCGCTGGCACTGCACTTCGAGTGCTTTGGGGAGGCTGTTCTTGGCTGCGAGGACGTGCGTGAAGCGCTGCTTCCGGGCGGCGCCGGGTCGCAGGCCGTCTTTGGCGTTGGGTTCTGCGTTGCTGCGGGCGCAAGGCTGCGGTCGTTTTGCGCCGCTGGCGAAGCCGTGGAGCCCAGCGAGTGTCGGGAGACGCCGCTGCGCGTCACCCGCGAGACACTGGCGCAGGTCGTGATCACGGTCGGCGGGTGGCCAAAGGGCCAAAAGGACGGATTGAACCAACCGGGTCAACCGGACCAACCGGACCAACCAGATCAACTGGACCAAAGTGAGCTGCCAGGGCTGGGCGACTTTCTCGCGCTGGCGTGGCAGAGCGTCGAGGGTGCGCTTCTCGGCCATGGCGGCGGGCTGCTCATCAGTGGGCGGCGCGGCAGCGGCAAAAGCAGCGCGGCGGCGGCGCTGGCGCACATGGCGGCGCACGGGCAGCGCAGCCGGCTGGTGCACAGCCGGCGCATCGACTGCGCGGCGCTGGCGCTGGACCCGCGCACCAGCAGCGCACGCGACGCGCTCCGCCAGGCAATCGCCACTGCACGCGCCAACGCGCCATCTCTGCTTGTACTCGACGACCTCGACGCGCTTCTGCCGGCAGCAGCCGATGAGCAGAATGGGAGTGCGTCGAATGCCCGACGGGTGCACGTGCTGGCCGACACCATGGAGCTGCTGCTGGCGGGCGCAGGACACGTCGCGGTTGTGGCAACGGCGACTGGTGGCCGCGCGCAGGTGCACGCGCGGCTGTTCGCGTGCGGCGTGCTGCGCGACGCGCTGGAGCTGCCGGCGCCGGACCGTGCGGCGCGCGAGCGCATTTTGGACAAGATTGCCCGCCGCAGTGCGACGCCGCCTGCCGCCGCGTTTGGCGCCGCCGCGTACGCCTCCGAGGGCTTTCTGCCTGGCGACCTGGCGGCCGTGTATGCGCGCGCGGCGCACGAGGCGACGATGCGCGTTCTGGCCAACGGCAGCGGCGATGACGTGCGCGTCACAGCATCTGATCTGCAGCGGGCGCTGGCAGGGTTCAAGCCGCGGGCCATGCGCGGCGTGCAGACGCAGACGTCGACGACGCGGTGGGCGGACATCGGCGGGCTGGCGGACACGCGTCGGCAGCTGCGCGAGACGCTGGAGCTGCCGACGCGGTACGCAGCAGTGTTCGCCTCCAGCCCGCTGCGGCTGCGGTCGGGCATCCTCCTATACGGCTTTCCGGGCTGCGGCAAAACCATGCTCGCGTCGGCCGTGGCACGCGAGTGCGGGCTGAATTTCATTGGCGTCAAGGGCCCCGAGCTGCTGTCAAAGTACATCGGCTCGTCGGAGCAGGCTGTGCGCGACCTGTTTGCACGCGCTGCGGCGGCCGCGCCGTGTGTGCTGTTTTTCGACGAGTTTGACGCGATTGCGCCGCGGCGTGGGCACGACAATACCGGGGTGACCGACCGTGTGGTCAACCAGTTTCTGACCGAAATGGACGGCGCAGAGGGGCTGCATGGAGTCTACGTGTTGGCTGCCACGAGCCGCCCAGACCTCATTGACCCGGCGCTGCTGCGGCCCGGCCGCCTGGATAAGGCCTTTCTGTGCGCGATGCCGGGCGCCCAGGACCGCGCGGCCATTCTTGAGCGCCATGCTGCCAAGATCACCGTCGGTGCCGCTGTTGATTGGGTCACTTTGGCTGGGCGCACTGAGCGCTTTACGGGCGCTGACTTGCAGGCGCTGGTGTACAACGCTTTTTTGGAGGCTGTGCATGAGCGGGTCGATCTGGCGAGCAGCCAGGCTCGAGACAGCTACGAGAGTGGTGTTTTGGCTGAGTTTGCGCTTATTGGGGCCGGGGGTGAAAATACGCTGACGCCTGTGGAGCGCGCGCTAGTGGCTGAGCGTGTGCGCCGCCTGCTGATGCTGACGACTGATGCCACTGCCACTGCCCCTGATGCGGATGCTGTCACCGCCACTGCAGCGCAGCCGTCGCAGTCGCCGCAGTCCTCGCTGGGGGTGCCTGTTGTCACTGCTGCGCACTTTGATGCTGCGCTGGCATCCACGCAGTCTTCGCTAGCCGACCAGGACCGCGAGCGCTTTGCTGCCATCTACAGCGACTTTGTCAACGACAAGAAACCCATTAAAAAGGGGCCGATCGAACAACACGCCACCATGGCATAACCAAAATGAAAACCCAACATATAGATAATCGTATTTATTCATACCCCCAAAAATATTTTATTTTTATTTTCTACTTGTTCTCTTGCTGAACCCGTGCAACATAGGCTCTGGAGACAATATCCCAGCTGCCCAAATACTTGTCCATACACCGAGACAAGCAACCCTCGTCTATGGATGACAGACTGGTGCTGGGGTTGGTCAGGCAGAGTTTGAAGCAGTTCTTGTTGACGTTGTTAACGAGCTCCTGCGCATTGGCCATTGCCAGTTCCCGCTTAACCTGTTGCTTGACTTCCTCCTTCTTTGAGCCCGACAAGTCCATGCTTGTAAAATTGCTCCCGAAACTGCTGCTCATTTTTTATTATGGATTATAAAGTTTGGTTAATTTGAAGGGGGAGGAAAAAAATGGAATTTGAATTTTTTGAGAATTTGGAAAAAGAAGAAAAAAGATATCATTAATTCCTTTTCTGTCTGTTGGCTTACACTGATACCATCACCCCCTTGATTTGATCTCTTCCAAATTCGGATGAGTTATTGCACATATAAAAATTAAAAAAAAACATACTTTCTTTTATCTCTTCTTGAACCATATGTGGAGATGAACAATAGAAAAAAAGATGGAGAAAGATTCTGATTGCCATGTGTGCAGTTTCTCTTATAAAACATGTTTCCCCCCCCCACACGCATGATGTACATTAACAGTTATTTAGGGGAGGGGAGGCGGAAGTATGCCAAGTCAAGACAAATTTCATAAGAAATAATAATCCCTAAATATCAAGAAAATGTCAACCAACTCTCCCCTCCTCTCCTCTCATTTCCCCTCCTCTCCCTTTCTCCACCCTACCAATACCAATATCATTACATTACATTATCAGTTTATTATGCTGTTGTTTTAATTTAATTGAATGGAGGGGATATGACTTTGTAAACGCATGGCTTATGTCCTTTTTTCCTCCCTCTTTTTTATTAACCTTGCATAATAAACGAAAGAAATTCAATAAAAGGAAAATAAAATAAAAGAAAATAGCCATCTTCCCCCCCTTTTTAATGCCCACACTCTACTCAATGATTTTCTTTATTAATAGCATTCCTAAATGCTCTAGCAATACACTTTCCCTTTTTTCATTCCCTTTTTCATTTTTATTTTTTTTATAAATCGAGATTTACTTTCCAATCTTTCTTTCATTTCTTTGCTCGCGCTATCTTTTATATTTTTTCATTTATTTATTTGTGAACAGATTTTTTTGATCACACATTTTGCACATAATTTTTTTTATTTCATTTTCATTATTTCATTTTATTATTTTTCAATCATTATTTATTTTACCATGTTTGATCTTCTCAACACAGCCACATCCTCACTCAGCATTGCCTCAGCAGCAGCAGCAGCAGCTCTCAGCATCGCAGGTTATCTCAGGTACAAGCAGTACATTGACCAATGTCGGATCACCGTAATAACTAGCGACTCCAAGACCTCCATTATACTCCGACAAACTGACAAGGAAGGCGTCGTGACGCTCCACGATATCCTACATCGCAAATGCCCATCGCTGACGGACGCGCAACAAGCATACATGATCCCAACACCTTATCTCAGCACGGGGCTGCTGCAAACCATCTACGCTACCTTGCGGATCCGGCAACGCGATCAAAGCAGCGATATAAAATATGAGAGGGAGCTTTTAGTGATGGAAGATGCGGCTACGGTGTCTTTGGATTGGTATCCGGGGATTGATTCTTGCCAGGAGCCTGGTAATCAGCCGATAGTTATGATTATGTCTGGGGTTGGCGGATCCTCGCACGAATACCATATTCGCGTCGTTGTTAAGGCCCTGGCTCTGTCCTTATTGCACTTTCGCGTTGTTGTTGTGAATCACCGTGGTACCGCAAGAACGCCGATTACTTCGGCCACCCCATATGATTCTGGGTTTACGGAGGACTTCCGCACAACTGTCGCGCATGTGCGCGAGCGTCACCCTTGCAGCAAGCTGATTGCCATTGGGTTCTCGATGGGTGCGAATATCTTGACCAAATATATCGGCGAAGAAGGAACCAGCTGTGTGCTAAGCTGCGCTGTCACTATCTGCTGTCCCTTTGACATTGCAATATCCGGTGCGGCTCTGAATGAGAACAATATGCTGAATAACTATGTTTTCCAACCGGCAGTCATGGGTGCGCTAATGCGGGCGATCAAGCGCGCTGGCCATTTATGTTTGAATCCCGCATTGGGATTGGACCAGGAGCGGATCCGGAATGCTAAGAGACTGTGGGAGCTCGAGGAGGAGTTTATGGTGAAAATCCGCGGGTATAGGGATCTGGAGGAATACTATGTGCGCAGCAGTAGTGCGAATTTCGTCGATAATATTGATGTGCCCTTTTTGGCTATTAATTCTTTGGATGATCGGATCACGCCTCCGCAGGGGATACCTGTGGAGAAGTTTAGGAGGAATCCGAATATTGCTTTGGCACTGGTGCCGCATGGTGGCCATTTGGGGTTTTTGACCGGTGTGCCTCCGAGAATTTGGTTTGTGAAGCCGATTGTAGAGTTTATTTCGGCTGTTGTTAGTTAGTTAATTAGTTAGTTAGTTAAGAATAAAAAAACGAAAGAAAAAAGTATACGTGATATAATTATATTTATGATTAAATAGTACTTTTTTATTTTATATAATTTTTTTCGGATATTCCATTTGAATTTTATTATCCGGATCATTCATTTTCTTATTACTTCTTGGACTGTGGAACTTTCCGTTTGTATTACTGTTCGAATTTTATATGATAACGATTGGTCCAAATACAAAAGCAGTTATATTTTTTTGCTCACTCGAACAGATAAGAAGATCCACGAAAGATTTAAAGGAGAAAAAAGTATTGGGGGAAGTGGAAAAAAATAGGGGGGAGGAGACTCGCAAACCGTTTTTCCGTGTGAAAGCAAGAAAAAAAAGCAAATAAGCAACTTGTTACTTAATTTAGTTTTCCACTTCTTCACTCTCGTTAATTTTTTCCACTATATATATATATTTTTTGTACTATTTATTGCGTTACAATAATGAAGTTCACTCTGCTCACACTCGCAAGCGTATTAATCGCTGCCGCTTCTATCAGCACCACCACAACCACTGCCGCTCTTGTATTGCCTGTGAATGCACCGGTGGATACCACGATACCAGCAAAGAAATTGTTCACGAGAAAAAGACACGAGGGCGTATTTGGTCTTCATAACTACTTTCATCGTCATCCCGAACTCATTCCACCTTACGCTCCTGTCAGATCCGGTGAGCTCGACGAAACGGAATAAATAAAAAATTATCTGAAATACTCTTATTGGTGTATTTTAAATTTTAAATTTTAGTTATATAGAACAAAATAAAATAAATGGGTAGCGTTACTTTGAGACTGATTCTGTTGTTCCACAAGCTTATTTTTTCTTTGGTCTTTTTGTCCACATACTTAAATAATGATCAAACTGATTGATGTATTAGCTGGTTCGAATCAACTGATACCCAGCCTTTATTTCATGTTTTATTTATGTTTTGCTTAGTGCCCGATAGCTGCGCGCAATTTTGGTGTTATTTCCCCTTTTTAACTTATATTTGCACTGATTGAAATGATAATATCATCAAAATCATCAATCATATGATTGCTTGAGCTTGTCGTGCTCTATAAAAATGTGGGTCTAAATCGATATATTCAAGTCTTAAAAATTACTTAACTGAAAAAGGGGGCAGCGCTGTGTGGGCAGCGCTGTAAACATCATGGTGTTCCTTGATGTCAGCCAGCAATAACAGAAATGTGTATAGTGGCCATGAGGGCGATCTTGATTCTTGAAAAGGGAAGATAGTGACTTGAAATGTGTATTGGGCACCACAGAGCTTTCATCACTTTGGAAATGTAAATAAAAGCTCACCGGGATCCCGTGGTTCTATGACGTTCAACACCTGAACAGCCGACTCCACTACCACTGCCATGTACAACACACAACGCTATCACCAAACGGCCTTACTGCCGTCATTCGATCTGCCTCTCCGGAAACTCTGTCTACAGATTCACGGGAACAGTCTTGATCTCTCAAACGACACCCTGCATATGCCTCCCCCGTTAATTGTTTAAAATATTTTTTCAGAGTTTGTAATGTAATTGTATCAAGTTACTGTGTCAAAATAAAATAACATCACATAATTGTTCTCTTATCTCTTTGATGCATATAGCACTCATAGTATATATACCCTTTTATATGTATAGTATTACCTTTTACAACTCGTTCTCAAAACATCCACAAACCAAAATGGTACTACTGGTGAAAATATTGCTGTTAAAATTCTTTTTTTTTGAAAGTGTATGTGTGCAGGGTGTTTTTATTACAAAACATGGCCATTGGCTTTTTTGACGCTTAACTAAAAGGTGTGCCCGTTTATTGTAGTGCGAGTGCGCGTTGTGATGGGTGAGGAGTTTTCTTTGTGCGCTGTAGTAGTAATAATTTTAAAAAAAGGCGGGTGGCAAGGAAACTTACCTTAAATCCTTTCAAAATAAAAAGTATAGCTATGCGTTTTTATAAAATGAGCAGAGTTGCCTGCCAATTTCTTTTTAATTTTTAATTGACAATGAAAAAATTGAATCACAAGGCAATGCTAAAAAAAGTAAAAGAAAAAGGGAAAATAATCCGATTGCATTTGTATAAAACAAAAAATTGTTCTTTCAACAAATCTTTATAAAAAAGACTTTTCCAAGATTTGTTAGCTCTGGCTTCCCTTGGCAATGTCAAATAAAGCGCCAACCTTTTTTCTTAGTAATTTAATAATGTGAGAAATTTTTCTACCCCATGAATACCTATAAAAAGGTCAGCGCCTGCGTTAAACTTTTTTGTATTTGGTTTTACTTTTATTTACTCTCCATATCCATTTGCATTTTCCGCATACTCATTCATTACCACATTAACGCATTAACGCATTCACTTATTCATTCATTCACACAGACTTTTCCAAACAAAACATACATTTTTATATTTTATTTAGCGCCATCCATCAATCGCCATGTCCGTCCATTCTATCGCTGAAAAACAAGAGCAGCCCGAGTTTAACTGGAACAACATTCAAAACCGGCTGCGAGATTCAGTTGTTGCTATTAAGTCTACCAGTCCTTTGACCTTTGACACGGATTCATTGGGTGTTTTCCTTGGCACTGGTTTTGTCGTTGACGCCCAAAAGGGATTAATTATCTCCAACCGCCATGTGATGAGACCTGGCCCGTCGTACCACAAGGCCACATTTTTCAACAACGTCGAAGTATTTTTGCAACCATTCTACTACGACCCAATGCACGACTTTTCAATCTTCCGCTACGACCCTGCCGAATTAAAGTCGTTCACGCCCAATGCTATACCCTTGTCGCCCGAAAAAGCCTACAGCGGCATGGAGTTTCGTGTGGTCGGAAACAGCGCCGGCGAGAAAATGTCGGTGCATCCAGGAGAGCTCTCTCAGCTTGACCGCAACGCGCCTTATTACGGAGACTACAGATACAGCGACTACAACACCTTTTACATCCAAGCGCCAACAACATCAAATTGCGGTTCCTCAGGGTCACCTGTAGTCAATATCGAGGGACATGCCGTGGCTATCATGGCAGGTGGCAGTAAAAATACCTCAGCAAATTATTTCCTGCCTCTGTATCGTGCCGTATATGCCCTGGAGTACGCTAAGCGCGGCGAGGTCCCGCCAAGGGGAACCCTCCAGACAGTGTTCACACATATCACCCACTTGCAGGCTGAAAGGCTGGGTTTAAAGCCCGATGAAGCTATTAATGAGGGTGTCCAAGTCGACAACACGACCGGCCTCCTGGCTGTCAAGAAGCTGCTTCCCAATGGCCCTGCTGATGGACAGCTGCAAATTGGTGATATTCTCATTAGTATCAACGGCAAGCCGATTCCTGGGTTTGTAGAAATGGAGGAAATTATAGACGCTGAAGTAGGCAACAATGCGAGTTTGAAAGTGTTTAGCGGCAGCGCATTCAAGACAGTCTCGATTACCGTACAGGATCTTTTCGAAATTACGCCGTCTAAAATTCTCAATATCGGCGGCGCTTCTCTGCAGGATATGTCTTTCCAGCTATCCATCTGCAACTCACTGCCTATCACGGGCGTGTTTATTATTGATGACTCGCTGGGTTTCTTTCTTGACTGCATGGATTCTGGCCACTCTGTCATTGTGTCTGTGAATGGTGTCGATACTCCCAACTTGCAAGCACTCATGGATGTCTTGCAAAATATTCCGATCAGTAAACCATTTGTCATCAAGACACGCAAACTATCCGGTTTGCACAATAAAAGAGTGTTTAAAGTTAGGCATCCGGTTGTACACCCGCCAAACACAGTGGTTACTCGCAGCAGAGCAACTGGATTTTGGTCTTTTGCGCCATACTTGGCATTTTCTTCCGATGTCAAGCCCAACGACTTGGGCGAAGCTGCCGCTTTGTCTCTGAGTCCCAGCAAAAATTGCCAACTGCTTAAAGACAAGCTTGGTGCTGTTCGGACAGCGGTTCTGAAGGGTCTGGCCGAAAAAACTGCATTCGGTAAACAGCAACTATGCAGTGCTATCTCGAGTGTCGTCTGTCCTGATAAATCTTTGGATTCGAATTTGGCCAATCAAATGCCAAATGTCTTGGTCAGAAAACAGCACAGGAACGACAGTATGCACATCAAATCGACGAAAAAGGTGTACAACAACATCGTGAACATTAGGATTCAAAATCTCACTCCTGCCGATGGATCTACTACAATTAGTGCTTCTGGAAGTGGGCTTGTTGTCAACAAGGCACACGGCATTATTATTTGTAGCAGAAGCCTGATGGCAAACTCCACAAGCAACATAAGCGTCACATTTGAAGGAAAAACCGAAATCCCAGCGATACAAGTATACTCACATCCGCTGTACCCAATTTCATTCCTCAAGTACAATCCGACACAGCTAGAGGCATTTTCCAAGGGTACCAAAATTTCCACTATTCGCTTGGGCTATAGCGAAGGTACTGGCAGGCTTGATCTAGGAGCTGCGGCAGTTATCATTTCCCAAACATGTGAAGGCATCACGGAGGTCACTCCGACAACAGTTTCTAGCCGCACCTTGCTGAAAACAAATGCGTGCAACTGCTGCCCAATTCAAACATACTCCAACATTGAAATGTTCAACCTGTCTCCCAGACCATGTGCTGATACAAGCTCACTGGGAATAATTTGCAATGCCAGAGGCGTGGTGTGCGGCATGTGGGTAAATATTCCCGAATGCGATGGGTCTGATGACCCATACGTGTTTGTCGGGCTGGACATTGAGCTCATTAAGCGCACCTTGGCAACCCTTGTGGCCCGTGTGCCACGCGATTTTGATAAGATTAGCATTCTCAACGCCGAGTTTGAACTGCGCTCGCTGGTGGATGCCAAGGCACTGGGTGTAAGTGATGAGCACATTCAGCAGACTGCAACAAGCCGCTCTCAGGAAAGCACTTCGGTAATTGCGGTAAGAAGGATTTTGAAAAACAATGTTTTGGCCAAGGTCTCACTTGAGGATGGCGATGTTATTCTCAAGCTCAACGGGCGCAAGGTTGATCATATAAATGAAATTGCTTGCTTGATCAACTGTGAATCGGCCGAATTAACAATAATGCGCGATTTAAAGGAGCTTACATTGGAAGTCCCAACCATACAACTACCAAAGGTTGGCACTTACCAAGTAGTGGATTGGGCTGGAATATGTATGCAAGAGCCATGGTTGGCTGCACAACAAATTTCCAGACACGTTCCATCACAAGTGTTTGTCTTTTGCGAAACTGCGGGTTCGCCTATGGACTCAAAGGTAGAAACCAGCAGGTATTACGTTACGGAAATTGATGGCACGCCTATACAGACACTCGACGATGTTGTTTGCGTCATTCAAAGGCTCAAGGACCCTAACCTAGAGAATTTCAACCAAGCTGTAGCCAACAACAAAGCATTTTTGAGTGGCACCATTCCTGGCCGAGATGTTAAGATTCGCACGATTATGCTCAATAGTGAAGAAAAGGTCCTTACCATTCGTACGGACGACCACCACTTCCCTGCGTACCGGGTTATCAGAGGACATAATATCGACGATATGTGGAGGTACGAGATCTTGTAAACTGTTTTGTACGTTTGTATAATAAATATTCATCTATGAATGTAAATATCCCCTCAATAATTGTTTAATGTCAGGTTTGTTTTTGCTTTGTACAATGGCATACACATGATTTTATACATCAACGCTTGCCTTCAAATTTATGTTTTGACAAAAAACCAATTTTTGGGGAAATAATTGGGCGAATAATAAAATACAATTGCGTTTTTTCCATCTCCAAGCTTTTCTGCTTCTATTATTGTTTTCAAGTAAATTAATATTTATATTATTGTAGTAACTATATACATTAAACATGCCTACACTTGAAGAACCGCGCCTTGCTTATTTGTACCTATGTGGAATAACATTTGTGCAACTCACTTCAACCACTTTTAATGTTTTGGACAATAAATTTATAAACAAGGTTGCTGCTCTCATTAATAAAAATGCCACAGATATGACCTGCGCGCTTGTTAAACAGAAGGGCACAACGGTTGCACCTAAAGCTGTAGTGTGGTGTTACATGAACAAAGAGACGGAAAACGAATTCAAGAAAGTAAAGGACGGCGAGTACCGGTTTTATCAACACAAGATTTTTAATGTCGACTCAGAGTCGCTTTCAAGCTCATATTATGTCAACAGCCGTCGCAAAGCTAATGTTAGAAAAATTATTATATGATAAAATAAAGTAGCGTGTGCTTTTTTGTTACCAGTCAACTCCATTTACATTAATATTTATGCTGAATAATCTTTTTGGGTCTAACCTAATTTTAAATGTATTTGTAAATGACAAAATCCAAGGGAATCGCGCAAAACAAGCATCAGTGTCTGTAAACAAGATTATAGACAAACAGCACGACTGGTACAAGAAACAGTGCGACCTACAGATTGAACAGGAAATGAGGGGCTCCTTGACGCCTGAAAAACACCGATTGTTGATGAGAACTCCAATCTCAACGAACAATCCCGAATACCAAATCTGCGACAAGATGAAAATGACGGCCTGCCAAAGTGGCCACGGACAAACAAAAATGAGGACGGCAGATATGCACACTACCTATCTGGCCATGGTTGACACTCTAGCTGGCAGATTGAGTCCTCAGATTTAAAAATTCTACTAACAGCCTGGCGAACACTTCCACCGCCAGGCAATTAGACCCGGGTCTGGAGAATTCCCAACCTTGCCACCCTTAGAATAGTTTTTGTTATAGGGACATGTAGCCAGGTTTGCAATAGAGCCCATGATAGGCAAGGTGGCGCAATGAGCAGTCAGTTTTAATCACTAACTTTATGTTTTTTACTTGTTTTATATTTGGCACAATGTATCTCTATTTTTCTCTCCCAACTCCACGTGATCTAATTAAATTTGCAATAGGGTTCGCAAATTAAAGCGTTAAATGGATGGGGGCAGTCACTTTTTTAAGCGCGGGAGAAATTGTATTTTTGACATAAAATTTAAAGAGGGCAATTATGACATTGTTGGAATATAGGGAACATTCTATGAACGTGTAGATAAAGTATAATGCTATAAAGTATATTTAATAACAAGTGCTATGCACTGTGTGAGGTGAAGAGAAGAGAGCATATTGCTCTGGTCACTGTGTGACATTGTTTGTGTGGCTAAACAGCCAAGACTGGTTAATCAGTTGATCGCCATCAACCAATAATAACTGACTTGGTCAAAAACTATGGCGCTAAAAAGATGGTGCTGGTGCTGAACACCATACTGGTCCTGTTGCGGCTATTCTATCAGCCATAGTTCTGCGGGTTCTGAGCACCGCGTTGACTATAATAATACCTTGATATTTTCCAGTCCTGGCTTTACTGCTTAAGGCAAAAACCACAACTGTATCGCTGCCGCTTGAATAATGTACCATAAATGTGGGCCTTCAAAAGCTGTGGTTTGATGCAAGTGCTGCACTTATCCCTCTGGTTGTTAAATTGTTGGCAGTCATTGGCACACTACAAAAATAATGAAACTATATATTTTCCAAATATCATGTATGCACAAATGTGCAAATGATCTGACAGAATGAATAACAGTACTGCCTCTGTGCTGAGTCATATGTACGAGTTATAATTCCACTAGCTGCTTATAACCTTGGTAATTGCTACTGAATGTTTGTCGAACGTAGTTTTATAAATTATTTGTAAATACTGGTTACTTTGATCTTTTTGGATCATGTATTTTATTATAATTTATTAATAGGTAATAAAGGTATAAATAAAGCTAAAGAAACTAATATCAACATCTCCTCACCAGCAGATGTATGGATTTAGCCCACATATGCTGGTTAAAAAATGTGTTTGGATTTTGTGAATCCAGTACATCCTACATAAATATATTTTATTATTTTGCTTAAAGGCTCCAAATGTAGCAGACAATAATTAATTAACTAATTAATAAATGTATTTATCAACATACTATTTCTGTGCCCATTCAGTTTTTGTCTCAAAAGAAAATAAAACATAAATAAAATTACCAATACCTTCGTGCATGATTGATCCCAATTTACATTTTTTGTTGTAATAAGTGAATCCTGTCACCATAGGCTTGACCACTGAAAAATATACATTTATTTGTTTAGTTATTTTTACACCTTTAATCAGCTCCTCCAGTGTAGTGTCCTTTGTACAGCCCCTTATAAATTTCTTTTCAGTTTTCCCCATAATAATATAATAAACAAGTATCTCAAACTTCATTTTGTCCTGAAAGTTCACCGGATATACAAGCGGGTGTAAAATGTACGCTGGACATGGTTGAATCATAATATAAAGCGTCAGTTCATTTTTATTTTTACTTAGCTGATCTATATTAATGTTGTCGCAAAGAGAACCAAATTTGGTACCGATTTTTGGTTTATGGATGGAGAAATGCTTGTTTGCAATCGATATCTTGTTTGCAGTAACGTCAATATTAAGATCCTTGTCTGCATCAAGCTCATTATGATAATACACGAATATTTTCTTTAAAGACAAGATGGTAGTATTCCTGGATGTTATTAAGACGCATGGAGAATGGACTTTTCCTAAAATATAGCCTATTATTGTGATTGACACATCATTAGAAGTCGCTGATAATTTACGGCGATTAGGAATAACTGAATTCAGTAGATAAAACATGATTATAAAAGAGCTATTTAATAAAAACAATAATATTTGAGATGAAAAGATGAAAGTTGAGAAAATAAGAGGAAAAAAATCACCATTTAAATGTTTTGTATCGTCAAATGTTTTGGAAAACTTTTACTCCTATGTTTTGCGAGGAGGCAGTTTAATATAAAAATATGTGCAAAAAATTGTCTGCAGAATACTTTCGTATAAAACCAAAGAAATACCTTATGATTTTTCGAGTACTCCATTCAAAATCTCAAAAAGAAATTCGTTTATTGTAAAATAAAATAACTAAAAATAGATAAAGCCAAAAATAAAAACGGAACCACTAGCATTTATTAAATTATTAAATTATCTTTTTGTGGATTTTTCGGCAACCAACTTCTCCGAGTACTCCCAAAGCTTATCCTGCTCGCGCACATCCCTCGCCCTCGGATGCATCTCCATAATTAGCCCCCTATTATAAAACTTTCCACTGCCAACACCATCCCCCAGGGCCAGCATAACCGACGTAACCGCCCCAGCAACCTCATCAAGCATAACCGCAGACTCCATCATTTTCATAACCCCAACCGTCCCACTCACATGCCGATACAGCGGGGTGACCACCGTACCTGGATGCAGCGAATTAACCGAAACCCCAGACCCTTCAAGCTTGCGCGCCAAGGTCGCGGCAAAAGTCATATTTGCCAGTTTCGATATCCCATAGTTTACCGTGCGGCTATACTGCGCCGGTTGCTCAATGGATTCGTATGAGATTTCGGCAGTCATAAAGGAGCCCATCGAGGAAACAATAACAACCCGAGCGCCATCCGAAGCATCCTTCAGTTGGTCAAGCACCCCTGTAGTGAGCGCAAAATGACCCAGGTGGTTGGTCCCAAACTGCATCTCCACTTGATCCTGGGTATACCCAAGCGGACACGCCATAACCCCAGCATTACACACCAGGATATCTAACGCCACCTTGCGCCTCTTAAACTCTTTGACAAAACCCTGCACGGAACTCAATGACGCCAGGTCCACCTGCATGATCTCAAACCGACTATCCTCCAGCCCCGTCTGTCTGATTAACCTGGCCTTCGCCTCCGCCGCATACTCAAGGTTACGGCATGCCATTATTACGTGGTACCCGGCCCTCCCCAGTGCCTTGGCTGTCTCGTAGCCGATTCCAGAGTTGGCTCCGGTGATTATTGCAATTTTTTGCTCATTCTGTTGCTTGTTTTTCTTGGATTGGTGCTTGGAATCCATGATTAGACGGTCGATGCGACTGAGTGCGGAGGGTACGGAGGGGTCAAATTTGCTGAGAATGGCGTAGGTGATTTCGCTGGTGAGAACGGCGCCGGTGCAGAGTAATTGTAGGAGCGGGTTCTTGCTCATCAGGGTGTTGGCCGCTGTGGTTTGCAGCGCGTTGGCGCCTGCTGCAAGAGACATGATTAAATTGAAGAAAATAAAAATAAAAATAAAAATAAAAAAATGGAAAGAGAAAGAGAGAGAAAAGGAAAATGTAAGAAATTTTTAATAATGAATATTGCGGAAAAAGAAAACAAGAAAGCGAGGAGAGAAAAATACCAATGAATATATGGAAATAATGATCGCGTTTTCATGTGCAAATATAAAAAAACGTAAACAATCGCGCACAACAATGGGAGTTTGATTGTGTAGTTTACAAACAAATTAAAAATTAAAAATTAAAAAACAGTATTATTGTCTAGTTGGAGATCACTGGAAGAAATTAAAGTCGGCAAAGTTGCCATTATTGAGAGTGTTCTGCAGAGCGTGCACACTGGTCTGCTGATGCTGCTGCAATTGTTGTTGCTGGGGCTGGCTAGTTCCAAATGGCGATGCCAAAAACTGACCCGCATTATTTCCGGTCTGAATACTATTTGCATTCACACCCGCAAACGGCGAAGTTATGTTCGCAATACCACCACCACCTCCGCTGCCAAACTGCTGAAGCTGCTGCAACTGTGTCTGCTGCAATTGCTGCTGGGGCTGCGTCTGGGGCTGGGGCTGCGTCTGGGGCTGCGTCTGGGGCTGCGGCTGCGGCTGATGCATTTGCAACTGCTGCTGCTGACCAAAAGGGGTCGTTCCCGTAGAGTCCAAATACATAGTCTGCCGCTGCGTAAACGGATTATACGACTGCTGGATATCCATCTGCGCCATCCGATTAACCAAGCCAAAATCTTGCTGTTGCGATTGTGGTTGCTGTTGCTGCTGCTGAGTGGGGTACATCGACTGTCTGAATGGATTATTAACAGACACACCAGCCGCCGGCACTGCTGGCACTACATTGTTGCCAGAATAGCCGCTATCCTGATGTCCCGCAGATAATCCCGAAAACTGATTAACAGCCACATTCGAAGACGAAAAGCCAATAGATGACGTGGACTGATATACACCAAATGGAGTGCTGGACAGGTCCCTCTGCTGAATAGGTTGCTGACCGAGCGATCCAAAAGCCACAGATGAGCCAAAAGCTGCATTACCCGCAGAAGGGGCAGCAAACGGATTACTAAGAGCATTAAACATGGTATCGAAATCGGCACCCGGTTGCTGCTCAAGCTGCTGCTGCTGGAACGGTTGAAACTGCTGCTGAGGCTGCTGCTGCTCCTGCTGCTGCTGTTGGAACGGTTGAAACTGTTGCTGTTGCTGTTGCGGTACTTGCGTAGTCACAGTCTCATCATCAATACTCGAGAAAAAGTCAATAAAGTCAATCTCCACGGGCTTTGCCGCTGCTGCCACAGCAGTCGAACTAGCAGCAGCAGTGGGCCGTGCTGGCCCAGGCGACCGGGCAGCTGCAGTATTGTTGCTGCCAGACTGCAAAACCGGGCTTTTCATGCCCTTCGCTTGGGAACCACTGCCATTGCTGCCAGACACAAGCTCCGGCTTGAGTTTCAAGCCATAATCCGGCTTAGCCTTGGTCGTTCCCAAGGCCACCTCCACCGGCCTCTTCCCCGCCCCAAGACCAGAAGCAGAAGTGGCCACATCCTGCTGCTGTTGCTGCTGGGGCTTGTTTTTCGCAGCAGCCCGCATATCCCGCACAGTGCTCGCGCGCTCCTCCTCCGGCATCTCCAAAAAGTCCTCCAAGGCCTTTGACAGAGACAAGGGCGCATGGGTAAGGTTGGGAATAGAAAAGCCAAAAATAGCCTCAAACTGCCTCGCAATCTTCAAATACTCATCCGTCCGATCAGTCAGCTTCACAAACCGCTTATACAAATCCAACGCCCGCCGCATATCCTCCAACCGCATCTCAAAATAAACCTTGAGCATCTTCATTACGCCCAAATTCATCACCTGGAAAAGCTTCAACATATCACGCAGGCAATACCGAAATGCAGAAAATGTTGTCTCGTTATCCAACGTGTCGGAATCAAATCGGTTCTTCAACACCGAATGAAGCTGCTTTTGCACCGTGGATACTTCCAGAAGCATGAACTTGATGTCCGTTGGTTGCTTAAGGTAGATCTGGGATCCGGCGGGGCTTTTTTGCGTTACGTGGTCGATGCGGATCGCCTTGTACGCTAGCACTTTGTCGTTGAGGTATGACGCGTACGTGCGGACGTTTTTGCTCTGCTCGAATTCAGACACGCCCTTGGTGCCGTTACGGTCGCGGAACCGCGTCATGTCGAGGGCGTTTGGCCGGTGGATGAGGTAGTCGTAGAGCATCGGCCCGTTGCCCTCATGCATCAAAACGTGGACCAGAATCAGCGCCTTGAACGATATCTATCCAACAAAAACAATATATATGTGTAGGAATTAATACAAAATGCGATTAAAGATTGAAGGAATTCTTGAACTTAAAACTCCGAACTAAACTATAAAAAAAGAGGGAGGCGCGTGCTTACCACCCAATTGGCTTCTGAAAAACGATCCTGAATGAGCATTAGGAGCTCTTCCATGGAGGCCCCGGAGAGGGTCATCTGAATGAGAGTGTCGACGTGCTTTTGTTTGGGATGCACAGCATCTTTGCGGGTGGCCTTGAAAACAGCCTTCTCCATGTGAATTTAGAAGAAAAATGTGAAATTAAATATTTAAAATTGAAAATTAAAAATTAAAAAGAAAGAGTTGGAATTTAAAGCAAATGAGAATGATGTGAAAGAGTAATGTAAAAAATAGTTTGAATTGGTGCGGAAAAAAGATGTTTTTTTGTTTCACTTGACAAGAACAACAAACTTGTTTGTTTTTATGCGTGTACTGATTTCCATCAAAGCGTTATACACTAGAAGATAAGAGTGAGGCTACAAATATTTTGCAAATCGACATCCTTCCCGATGGTGTTTAAAAACTAGTGGTAATAGACCATTATGGTTGATGATATCATTCAGTTCGCTGCTTCTTTTGAAGAGAAGAAGCAGGGGCAGATGGATTCTTGCGCATACGCTTGGGCTTTGGCTTGAGCAGAGTCTTGGGCGTCGCTGTGGACTCGGCTTCAGCCAACTCTGACGATGCCTTTTTGCGTGAAACAATTTTTGAAAATCCCCCGTTTAATAATCTGGAATTTTGCTATAGATGTCTGGAAATTCCAAAAATATACTTACACCAGCGTATTTTCCAAAAGGAGAGAGAGATTCTCAGATAGCTTTTCTATTGGGTTGTTCAATTCATGTTTATCGGATCTGGCATGTTCTTCACGCGCTTACAGCTTTCGCACACAAGCAGCGGATTAATTCTGGCGTCGGATTGGTGCGAAGCAGTGACAGCAAACTCAATCAGCTTATGGTGGCCGCAATACTGACAATCCGCATCACCCGCACGCAACCCTGGCAGCGCTGGTACAGGCGCCGATGGAACCGACAACATTGAAAACGAATGATTCCGGCCGCTCAATGAGCTCAAGCGTCTCTGAGTGACCTTGCGGCTCAGTCTATTCCAGAACGATGGCGAAGAGTTGCGATCCAAGGCGCGCGGCACCCCGCCAGCAGTACTGCTCATCGCCGAGTGTGACGCCGATGACTGCGGGCGCCGCTCCATTGAGGTTTCTAGCGTGCTAGCGCCAGAGTCATCAGCATCTTCGGTGGCCAAAGCAATGGCAACGTCCTCTACTGCAGATGTTTCCGGTGCGCCTGGCAATGCCTCAGTAGTGCACACGTTTATGTCCTTGCGAAACACGCGAATGTTGCCGCTGGTGTCCGCCGACACAATAATCGCAGTCATGTCCTCGACCGTCCGACCGCCACTGCCGCCCACAGCAGCAGCAGCAGCAGCGTTGGGGTTGCCGAGGAAGGAGCCGTCCGAGCCAGGCGCGCACAGGTTTTCGACGTCGCCGGACTCGGCTGTGCGGCGCAGCTTGGGGCGCGACAGGATCGGATCCTCGTGGTCCGCCAGGTACTGCAGCGTGGCCAATGGGGCAAACAACGCCTGCGACACGGGGCTGTCGTGCGCCGCAAAGTACTCATAGATAGACTTGTCTTCAACACGCCCATCCAGGCTCTCCCACTCCTTCGGATTAGAGCCTTCGTCCTGCTGCTGCTGAGACTGGGCGGCGGCACTGGCACTGGCACTGGCGCTGGCAGCGGCAGCGGCGGCGACTGCTCGCTGCGATATGCTGGAGGCGCGGCGGCTGCGGCGACGGAAGATGCCGCCCAGCAGCGACTTGTCGCCATCGGCTGTGGCAGCACGCAAAAGCGGGCCGCCTGCGCGGCGAATGTGGTCGAGCGCCGGGTGCGTGGCAACCGTGGCGGCGTTGTCTTGGGCCGCCGCCCACACGTACACGTTATGGTCCTCTGAGCCCGACACAATATAGCGGGCGTCCGACGACAGCCGCGCAAATGCCTGGCTGCTGGCATTGGCCAAGCCCTTGTACTTGCGCTCCAGCGAGCGCTCGCCGGGCAGAAACATGCGCAGCCGCGAGTCGTTGCTAGACACCAGCAGCCGGTCGGCGGCGGCGGAGTCAGCGGCAGAGGCTGTAGCAAAGCCCGTGATCTTGCTGCCCTGCGCATTGCGGCCGCGCGATGACCGCGCGTGCATGCGGCCGAGCACCGTCAGTCCGTCGGTGGCGTAGAACACGCACATACCGCGGTATGTGCCGGCCACGACACGGTCGCCCTGCGCGCCGACAAACGCCACGGCAGTGACCATCTGGCCGTCCGGCAGCCCAGTCCAGTGGCGCACGCCGCGCGCTGGAATGTCCCATAGGCGCAGCCGGCAGTCCAGCGACCCCGACACAAACAGCCGGTCGTCGTGCGGGCTGAAGGCCACGGACGTCACAATGTCGCGGTGCCGGAATGTGCACAGGCACTCTGGCCGGTGCGGGTGCCATAGCCGCACGGTGCGATCTGCCGACGCCGACAGCAGAAACCCGTTCTTGGACCACGACAGCGACAGAACGTCGGCGCTGTGCCCGGCGTATGACCGGAACGGCACTGCCTCCAGCAGCTCGTACGCGTGCATCGGATGCAAATCGCGGTTCTCCGGTGCTGCCACCGCCGCCGCCTCTGCCGCCGCCGGCGGCTGGCACGGCTGGCACGGCGACAGCACCTGGCCGCCAACCGAGAACGACCGCAGGTGCTTGGCGCGGCCGACCGGCGCTGAGTTGGCAAACGCCAGGAGCGACTCGCCAGCGGCGCCGCCGTCGACCGAGCCGGTGCTCAGATGGCAGCCGGCCGTGCGCATTCGCAGCATGGCGGGAGGCTGCTGCTGCTGCGCATCGCGCTTGGCCTGGTCGCGCGCAAACGCCAGCAGCCGCCAGACGCGCACAACGCCGTCCTGGCCGCCAGCCGCCAAGTAGCGGCCGCACACGCTGAACTCCATCGCCCACACGGCACTGCGCCCGCTGCGCGCGCCCGCCCCCTGCGACTCAACACTGGGCGCAATCGATGGAGCCGCCGACGCCGTCGCAGCCCTCATCCCGGCGGAGCTCTGCGTCGGTCGCAATGCGCCCTGCTGCTGCTGCTGGGCGCTGAGCATGCGCCTGCGCAGGCTCTCTGTGTCGGCAACCGGCGACAGCGCCGGGCTGCTGCCCACGGACACTTCATCGTAGACTGTCGGCGCAATTTCCTGCGCCAGGAACAGTCGCCAGAGCGCGCGTCGCTTGACGCGTTTTGTGCGCGGCGTAATGAACCGCCACGCATCAATACCGTGCGCCTTGGAGGACTGGCGCTGCGAGTCCGCCACGCGTGAGTACGTGTCGTCAGCATCCGGCTCGTCGCCAGCGTCGTCGTCGTCTGAGGACTCGAGCTGCGGCGCCTTGCCCATGCGCTTCATGTACCGCCGCCGCTCCTCAGCGCCTGGCTTGAATTGATGCCCGGTGCGCTGCTGGACGTTGAGCAAAACAGGGTCGCTTTGCTTCAGCTGCTGCTGCGGGCTGTCTTCTTTGGGCGGCGTCATCGAGTCTGTTGCTGGTGATTGAAACCGCAGCATGCGGGCGATGCCGTTGCCCTTGGTGGGCGTCGGCGGCCGATTGTTCTCCGGATTATCGGCATTGGCGTCTGCCAAGCTGTGCTCGTCCAAATCCGCCGCCACAGAGGTGCCTGCCGACCCCAGCATAGTTGGGCCCTTGCCTTCGCCGATATCATTGATTGGCAGCAGATTCGATCGTGTGCTGTTGCTCCTGCAGTTGCTCCTGCAGTCTTCTGACTCTGCCGGCGTCACCGCCCTGGGAACAGCACCACCGGTGCTGCTTCCGCTGCTTAGTGGGTTGACATAGCTGACCAAATTGTACACTCCGCCTACGACGTTGGCCAGGCTGCCGCCTACAGCCTCTGCCACTTTGCTTTTCATTCCGCGTGACACAAGTGAAAACCGATTGTATGTTGCTGTGGCGCTTTCTAATTCTCCAGTGTCTTCTCGTCTATGTGGTGGGGGTTGTGTGGTGAAGGCTCCTGGGAAATTGATTCCCGAAGGTATGCGACTGACTGGCTCATTTATTTCTGATGTTTCTGCTGCTGCTAATGATGATGATGATGACGATGATAATGATGATGCTTTTACAGGGTGCTGGGTACTAATGTTGTCTGCCTCTGCTTTGGGTGACGACGACATTATTGTTATAATTAGACTCAAGGAGGCAAACCCCTGCTTAAAATATATCTAAGAGTAAAAAATATTAAAAATATGCGTAAAAAGGGAGGGGGAGGAGTGAGTAAAGAGTGTAAAAAGGGGTGTGCCAAAAGAATAAAAATAATGCGTTCCAGAATATATTGTTTTCCTAAAAGGTATTTTTTATGGTGCTTTTTTTTCGTGGCCTCGTTATAAACAGATTTGATAGAACAATGCCAAGATCCAAACGAGACTGTTTCCAAGAAGAAAAAGAAGAATTGCCTCCCCTCTTCAGAATTACTATTTTGTTGTGAATATTTGTATTCTATTCAAAAGAAATCTTTGGACCGCATATCATTAATAATCCACAAAAGAAAATAGAATGCATAAAACAAAAAGAATCCGCACACGTTTGTATGGACGGGTTTGAGCAATTTTTTTATTTTACCATGCGATATGATTGAATTTTTTTTGTTTGGAAAAACGACTTTTCCACGCTTTGGCTTGGCATAAGCAATAAGGAATAGGGGGGAAGATAATGCCGCTCATACATTTATGAAAGAAAAAATCAAGCTGCGCCCAGACGCTTTTTTTCCCTTTTCTTTTTTGATCATTCGCCCAAACAACAACAAAAGAAGAAAAAGTGAGATCTACATCAGCATTAGCGTGATACATCGGAAAAAAGAAGGCTTGATGGCCTCCGGTTGCAACTCGGCTTTATTTTACATTTTTATTTTACAAACAAGCAAACACCAGCAAACAAATAACAAAAAAGACCGGGAAAAAACCGGGGGAGGGGGGGGGAACAGGTACACAGACCAGCAAGTTTAAAATATTAGTGTCTGATTTGATCCCGTGTGATTCCAAGCAACTCTTTGATCAAAAGGCAAAACAAAACAAAACAAAACAAGCACGTGCTTGTATTCCTGTTTGTTATTAACAAAAAAACGGCCCAACCAAATCTACCCACCCAACAATAGACGTAATGAAAAAACAATTGCATTGTTATTTGTCTTGAGCAAACCACTTGCTTGCTTGCTTTCTTTCTTTCTTACTTTATTTCTTCTTTCTTCAAAATTATTTTGTTAATTGATATAATAAATCTCTTTTCTGTACTTTATTCTTTTTCTTTTTCCTCTTGCCTAATTTTATTTATTTATTATTCTCACCGTCATCATTATAATCGCCGTCATTGCAATACAAAAAATACAAAAAATAAAATATGAATGCCGAGCACTCTACTTCAAGTAAGTAAAACTTTAAACTATAAAAAAGATCGTTTTTCGTCTTGTCATTCGACGTAAAGTAGCACTATACCTCTCAATAAGCAAATATATAAATTCACTAAACAAATCAAAAAATAACATGTCACGCCACACCACACTATATTATACTATATTCACAAAAAAACACATTTTTCAACATAGCTATTGATTCCATCACAGACATTGAAGTTCTCCGCGCATATCTGCGACAAACAACACAAAGTCTACAGTCAGCAGCGCAAATGGGACTCGACCTTGCACATCAAAACCAAACCCTTCATATACAGGTCCAAGACCTCCAACAGGATCACAAAGACCTCCAACAGCGCATTTCCTTAATAGAGCGCGACCGCCGATGGATGCAACAGCAGTCTCTCCGGGTTGATCAGGTGAAAGCAGCACTTCACGAGCTGCAGACTAAATCCGAAAGAGGTGGATCCAGGTGGGCGTCGGAACAAAAAGTAGACACATTGGAGGGTTCCGTGGAGAGGATCCGCGAGGACATGGAGATGCTGATTAGGCAAATCGAGGATCTTGGTGTTTCGAGAGGAGCAAAGGGCGAGCTCGGGGTGTTGGCCAGGAGAATGGGTGCGCTGGAAGATGTGGCGGAGCATCTGGGCTTTCGCGTCTCCGAGGTTTCCGAAGAACGTGAGGTCGGTGAGAATCGCCTGAGGGCTGCCGTGACTGATACCGGGAGGCATATGGGGGAGGTCCGGAGCGAACTGCAGGCACTGGGCGCTGCGCACGAGGACACTGTTATGCAGACCGAGGCGATAGCCCAAAGACAAGGTGACATTGAGCAGTCGCTGAGATCCATTATTGTTGAGTACAATTCAATGCTGAATGAGCATGAGCAGGCTATTAGGATCCTTGGGGATAGCCAGGCGGTCATTGAGTCACAGCTGCCGTCGAATTATAATACGGCGACCGGCACTTTGCGGAATAGACTGCGGGGCCCTAGTCGTGCTGACTTTGCGATTTCATCGGTTGGCCGTCGCGGCGGCGAAAGTTTGGGCGATATTTTTGCAACAGATACTAGTCCTCCTCCCATGCAGCATCAAAATCAAAATCATCAGCATCAGCATCAGCATCAACAACAACTACAGCATCAGCAGCAACAACGCAAAGTTTCAGTGGCAATGGGATTCCCGCCATCGCCCCCACTGACCATGTCTCCAGACCATCACCCGCCCTCAGTAGTCGTAGGCCTTACACTTGGCGGTGGTGTCGTTGGCACCATTGGTGGTGGCGGTGGCAGAAAGGCGGCGTCGGTCATCGGCACATCTACGGATAGACATCGGTCGAGAGTGCGGCCTCGCACGAGCAGCTTTTCCAAGTTAGCCCTGCCGGTGTCCCCGACGCGGCTTTCACCGGGTGGGTTTGGGAATATCATTTCGGCATCGGCGCATGTGGGTCTCGGATGGGGCAATTATTGGCAGGCTCGCAGACACCGCCTTCAGTTTGATATTCAAAAAAGGCTCGGACTCCCTGCATTGCCGTCGGTGGCCGCAGCGATAAACGGCACTCGGGCGATGAGCAGTGCCGGCACCATTGATTTGGATATTGAAGATTAGTTATCCATGTTATTTTTTATTTTTGGTATTATCTTTTATAAATTATTCATTAATTTTTTTGCTAAAGTTATTTATGCCACACATTTACGCTTGGCAATGGCATATCCCGCGACATGTATACTTTTTTCCTCGATGAATGATATAATTTGCATGCGTGTGTATGTATGTATAAATATGAAAAGAATATAATAGAGGGTGAATATAAGAAAAAGGAGAGAGAATTCAGGATGAAATAAAACCACTGTTACTCCGCGATACGTACCGGCTGCTGTTATCAGTATCGGTCAACCCAGCCGAAGACGGCGCCATATTGCCTTCGCCGAGCGGCTCCAGCTCAATATTCTCGGAGATGCGCACACTGCTGCTCTTCCTAGCTAGCAGATTGTCACTGCCGCTCCCAACGGTAGAAGCCTTGGCTCCAGGGCGCCCAGGCTCAGTGCGATTGACAGCCTCAACGAGCAAATGGTGTACATGGTCGTTGGCCATCCCAGCAAGCCCATTGACGGTGCGCAAAAGAGGGCCCCACATGCCCAAATTATGCACAACGAAGGCTGCGCCGCCAATCAAGCAAACGAGAATCAAATAAATCGGGTTGAACAGCACAGTCATTGCCTCGTTCCATCCCAGCATGACAAGCAACGCAATCACCCACATGGGCACCTGGTTCTGTGTCGTTACCATTGCCCGCTTGGCCTCCAAATACAGCGCATCGGCCTCGCGCCCAAACCGCTTGCCCACTTCACGCGCCCGCGCTGGTGAAATAAGAACCAGGGTGCGCGCAAAGTCGTATCCGGCCGGGAAAAAGTCCGCAGGCCGGCGCAGCTTGATGCTGCCACTGATGTCCACCTTGCTAAACTTGGGAAGCAGCGCCTGAGCAGCCGAGCGCGCCGTGGCAAATTCCGCGTCAATGTCATCGGTTGGCCGCCACACACGCGGAAGCCCCGCTGCATCGTAGCGGAACCGGTCCTCCAGCGCCGTCCGCAGCTTGAGCAGCACCATCTGGTCGGCCACCTCCTCGCGCAACACATCGGCAGTATCGTCCCACAGCAACTGGTGCAGCTTGCGCCCGAGCGCCGACCGCGCCTGGGGCTCGACGCCAGCCGCGTCCATGCGCTTGATCAGCTGTGAGTCGGCCTGCACACAGGCTGCGTCGAAGCCTGCCATGACACCCGCCCACATGCCATCGTCCGGGTTGCCAAGGTGCTCCGCAACGGACTCAGTCACAGCATCGCGCGCGTCGCGCCGCAGCCGCTCCAGTACGCGCTCCATTTCAGCCTTGCGCAACTTCGCCATAATTGCCTCGAGCTGCGCCTCGAGCTGCTCGATCTCGGTCTCGAACGACCACGACACGCCGGGCACGGCAAGTGCCCTGACTGTCGCTATGAACTGCTCCTCCATATGGACCCGCACAGCGCCAACGGTCTCGTTAAACCCGCGACCCTCGTTAGCGCCCTCCTCCAGCGCGCGGAAGCCCTGGCTGGAAAAGGTCTCGGCCGCCAGCGTCAGCGCGTTCTTGACCTGGTTCAGGAACATCGCGTGCAGCTCACTATCCAGCGTCTGCACGAACGCGGCGCGCTTCTTCTGGTACACCTCCGAGTGGTACCGCGCAGCCTGCTCGTCGAACGCACCAATGGCCTGTGTACGCGCCTTGCGTGACACGTCGCCGAGCTCGTCAACAATCTGCCCACGCTGCACCCGCGGCCTGAGCAACTCAACGGCCTCGCGGAATGGGCCAATAGCCATGGCGGCAATCTCGTCGCACCGGTACTGCGCCAGCAGCTCCTGCTGCGTCGGCAGATCAAGGTCCTTGTTGCTCACAACCTTCTCCCACACGGCCTGCGCGTACCTCGGGAACCCATCTGCGGGCACCCGCCGCTTGTACGCCGGTTGGAACACGTAGTCATCGCTCTTCTTGTCCGTAAACTGGCGCCGAAGATCCAGCGCCTGGCGCTCAAAGTTCTCTGGTTGCAGCATCTTGTGCGACAGCGATGTGAACCGAACGTCAAAGTAGTCGCTCAGCTGCGCATTTTCCAGGCCGTCAGGCCTGCTCAGCCCGTCCCAGATTCGTTGCAGGTCGATGTTCAGCGTGTCCGCCAGGCTGCTCAGCGGTGTCGAGCTGACGTGGTCGCGAATGACAAAGTACAGCAGCGTTTTACTGTTGCGATTTCCGCCAAACAGTTGCAGGTTAACCTCCATTACGGTCTTCAGCAGGCCCATGTTGGCGCCGTTGTACAGCCCGACCATCGTCTCCCACATGTTAACTATCAGCACCTCGCTGATCGCCAGCGAGAACAGCGCACTCTTGCGCTCAAAGTCCTGGTTCTCGCCGCGTTCGCGCCCGTCAGTGCCCTCTACGTCCAGAATGAGGATAGGCATGCCGTCTGTACCGCGGTCTGCCCAGATTCCCCGTGTTGTTTGCTTCCGCTGCCCCTCGTTCATCACGTCGAATCGCGTGCCAAACAGCCGATTCAGCAGCGTGCCTAAGCAAAAGATAAAAAAATGAGTGATGCTGCCGTTGAGTGACCAGAATATAAAAACAAACATGGCACGGCATGACACGTCGCACGCCCAAACTCATGACCAGTCGTGGCGATCCCTATCTCTCTTTTTGATTCCATGTAGAAAAATAGGTGTAAAGACTTACTTTTGCCTGTGCTCTGCGATCCAAACACCGCGACCACATCGTAGTTGAACCCGCTATCCTCCAGACCCCATTTGTTCTGCATATAATTTGGCAACTCTTCTCTAATTCAGAAAAAAAACAGCAGCAACAATGAAATTTAAGACATGTTTGAGTCTGTTGTTCCAAAAATGAATTGTGAAATGGCCACACTAAAGCAGTAAACCTCCAATAGTAATATACTTGTTTTTCCCTAGTATACATGTACAACTTACGAAAAGTTTTGCTCATCGTCAATCAGCTGCAGCCGAGTGAATTCGTGTCGTTCGCGAACCAGATTTGTCGCGCTCTGTCTGCTTGGAACAATGCCCTGAGAACCGTTGCTCCGGCGCGTAAGGTCTGGCACCTGCTGCCCGTAGCTGCCCCTGGTTGACATTTGAATAAAGGATTTATTTTTATTTAGGTAGTTCAGCGGGATGAGTTTATAATTTAAAAAATGTTTGGAAGCGAGGAGAGAAAGAGAGAGAAAAACATTAAGGTTCAAAAAATAAAAAGAGGGAAAACAAAAAAACTAGGGAAAAGTGGAAACAGGATTGAGAAACCAGCGAAGCGTCACTGCTTACCTTGCTTTTTTTCAACACCCCCTTCAATTTTCATTTTCATCTTCATTTTCCTATGCAAGGTGTCTTTTTTCTATTACTTTTTCGGGTGGTTTTACATAGCCGGGGGCGATTAGAATGGGGGCTTATTAATGACAGCGCTTGTTCGCAGTGTATTTATGATCTATTTTCCTTCGCTTGCTTGTAGTTTATTTATGAAGAAAAAAGATGCGCCATGCTGGTGTGGCATGTGCCAAATTTATTGTCACCATTGCTTTATGTATTCGCCGCAGATTTGCAAGTGCAAAGTTCGTCAGTTTTTTTTATCGCGTAAACTTTACCGACTACCGTCTGTTTTCCAGACGAGGCATTCAATCTGCCTGTCGATTTCTTCCAGCTTATCCATCGAGTCTTCCCAGATCTAAAGGTGTTTCATTTGGAAACTTTTATTGACGCTGATATTCATTGCAATAAAACATCACTGAACTGTTTTGCTGGGCTTCGTGAGCTGAATATCCGTAATTATATGACTTTTGATGAACTGCTCGAATTGGCCACGGTTCTGCTGCTTCTGGAGGAGTTACACTGCGAGTTGAGCACGATCAATATCTTGCCTGAATCAGAGACAGGCTTCGTCCGCTACGTTGGTCAAATGCTCACAAAGTATTATCCGCTCAACAGGAACCTGAGGAATTGGAACTTGCTGGGCCAACATGATGGTGAGGTCTGCAGCACTACAAAGAACGCTGTCGTTCTTGCTGTCCTTTGTCCTGGCTTTGCATTTGCCTCTATAGAATATCGTCTTCAAGTTGCTTACGACAACTACCTGAAAGCATTGGCCCACATTATTATGTCGGTGTCTGACAACAAAAAAGATTGCTCTATTGCAAGTGAATGGACCAGTTCTATCTCATTTCTTTATTCTTAATTTTCAATATACCAATTATATTTGCTGCTGGACATCACATCTGCTGAGAACAAACAAAATAAGTACATTTATTTTGATAACAAAAGAGCCATTCAACTTGAATCCAATGCTGATAAAATATTGCCGAGCCACTGACTCATTGGGAATAGTTTATTGGTGCACAACTACATGCCTGGCACGGTTGAAAATAAATGGAATTTTAATTTTGCTTATTATGCTTTTATTATGCAGTCGCACTCTTGGCTTTCTTTATTTCATCATTTCTACAATAATAATTCAACCACATGTCTGGATACAGTGGTAGTCCCAAAATAATGTGACAAATAAAAGTAGCGGCCTCCGAATGACGTATTGCCTATAGTCATCTCGCTGAAATATTAAACGCCTATACTTTTCCATTCATTTTCTGCATATTTTCTGCACATTTTCAATACCAAGAATTTCTAAGAAATTTTAGTCTTTGTATTTTTCTTTATTTCCTAAGTGATGCTTTGTTTTGTTCATTTAATGTACATTCTCATGCATATAATCGTGCATGCTTTAATTATATGTTAATGAATCATTTCTATGCCAACATGTTCAGTTCCCCTTTTTCATATAAACATTCTTGTAAAACAAAAAAATAAAATCAGACTTTTGTTATGTAAGAGGGGGGTGGGGAGCACTACTGTAATAGTGTTAGAAGATGGGTATGTAATTATAAAGATTTTTATTACTAGTGTTTCTAAAGTGCTATTGTCGCCGGCCTCGCCTTATATATATATCTCCTTGTCTTTGTGGCACTCACTGGCAATTATGTGCTCCGTTCGCAAGAACTGGTCCTTATGAAAGTAACCGGGGTCCCTGATATGGCATAATTGGCATGTCTGTATTCTTGCGCCCAGCAAATCCATTTCGGGACAGGCAGTATGTCCGGATGTCAATTGTGGCGCCTAATTTGATCCCCTGTGATTTGGTCCATATCAGATCCATCTGTGAGCTGACGAGAATCTGTCTCATGATTTTCGCCCTCAGCGTCTACCTCCATATCCTCGGGCTGCGTAACAATGGCGAGCTTTATTTTTTTACGTGGTAATAAAAAGTATGAACCTACAAAAACCAATATATTGTGCTATTTTACGCAAAATTTGCTGTTTAATCCTGCCTTGCCAAGGTTTGTTTCAATGGTTTTATCCATTAAAAACTCATTATTTTAGGGTGTGCATTTATTTATCTACTAAAACTGCACATACATAAAATAATTTTAATAATGGGTGTGAATAATAAAGTGAACATTACTTGGCAAAATTGCGCAATAAATTATATTTCAACGGTTATGTCAAGGGCTATACTTACGCTCACTTACTATGACCCACCGCATACGTTGCTATGTCCATCAAAATGTTTATACAATTAATGTGACATATCAAATGACCAATTTTTGGCAACACATGCGGATTGAACAAATAGCGGCATGCATTGATTGGGTGCACTCGTTTTTTGGCCATAAAATGTGCGCACACTAATATTTTTATTAATTGACAATACATGTGTAAAAAATTATTAGCAAAAGAAGCTGCTTAAAGAAAATTGATGTGCACAGATTTACTGCGAAAGACGTTATCCATGCTTGCTTGCAATAAATGCGAGAATGTATATAACTCCAATTAGCTTACAAAAATTAAATGACACACATACACTGACAACTGACTGTGTCTTGAGAATAATTAATAGACACATGTGCAAACAACGCTCAGCAGCACTCATTTTGAATCGTTTTGCTCGACACCATATTATTGCATTGTCCCTCCTTTATATGACACGGCCATGCCCATACTATTGCTTGTTTTTGGATTAATATTATATTCATTTTTATTCGAAAAATTAACAAAACGCCACCTGCAAACTTTACTTTTTTCCATTCATTTTTTAATATTATCAACAACGTCAAACCTACAAAAGATATGATCCAGTCTGTACTTATATTTAACCAGCTAGGAAAACCGCGCCTTGTTAAATTCTATGAGCCTTTGGACGCGTCCATTCAACAGACCCTCGTGCGCGAAATCCATACCCTCGTGTCCAAACGCCCCGACACCCTGTGCAATTTTCTTGAATCAAGCCAATCAGTCAATGGCGCGCGCATAATTTATCGGCACTACGCCACACTCTTTTTCGTTTTTCTTGTCGACTCTTCCGAAAGCGAGCTGGGAATACTGGATTTGATACAGGTGTTTGTGGAGGCCCTGGATAGGGTTTTTGAGAATGTGTGCGAGCTGGACTTGATTTTCCATTTCGATGAGATACACTATGTTTTGGCCGAGGTTGTGTCGGCCGGGATGGTAGTGGAGACCAATTTGAAGGAGATTTCGAGGGCGGTAACCGAGGCTAAGCGGATGGCCAAGCCTGTGCAAGAAGGATCAAGGCTGGGCATTGGAGCGCTCAGACGTGGATTCACTTGACGGTTACGTTTTTTATTTTACTGTCTCACGTACTCGATTTAAACACATAGTATATCAAACGGTCGGCTAATTCACAATTACTAGCTCTTGATATCAAGGCTAATACGCCAAAGAAAATAATGAGACTACAAATATGAAACAACTGTATTTTATTGCCCTTTTATGCTTTCAGCCACAAGCACCAACAGCGCGCACCCACTCTTGTCCATTGTTTTTTAATTTTCTTTGTATTATTTTAATGTCATCAAAGATTGAGCGCATTAACTCCAACAACCATGACTGGGGCTCCAATGCTGCCGATCATTTTTCAATGAAGGAGTACTTGGCAGATTCAGCTCACTTTAGTTCGACAGACCAAAAGCTGGACAGTTATTGTCGAAAAATTGACACTCACATCCTTATATACGCAATTGTGCTTTGCATCTTAGGCCAAAGCGACCGCGGCTCCATTGGTGTCGCCAAGGTGGTCGGTCTAGAAAAAGACCTTGGAATGGTCAAGAATGACTTCAACATTGCTACGACGCTATTTACGGTTGGTTACCTTTCGCTCGAAATGTTTTCCAACTTTTTGCTCAAGCGCCTGGGCGCATCTGTGGTGTTGCCTACATTGGGAATACTCTGGGGCATAGTGTGTGCATTTCAGGGAGTCATTAAAACAAAAACACAACTCTACATTATGCGACTGCTCTTGGGAATGGCTGAGTGCGGATTCACCGCGGGTATTCTGCTTATAATGTCGTTTTTCTACCCCAAAAGCAAGCTGACTACGCGCGTCGGGTTTTTCTACTTGAGCTTTCCGTTGGCCAACGTGTTTTCTGGCCCTCTGGCTTTTGCCTTGTCGCATATTGACCATCCGACAATAAAACACTGGCAGTGGGTGTTTATTCTCGAAGGGCTCATAACTGTCCCCGTGTCTGCCCTTGGCTACTACATTCTTCACGATCATCCAGAAAAGTGCTCATTCCTGTCTCAAGACGAAAAGTCACTCATTGTGGCATACAAGCGCCGGGAGGGCACCCTGGGCGGGTCCGAGCAGCTATCAATGCGGGATACAAAGCGGGCACTGATGGACTGGCAGCTGTGGTGTATGACATTTGCAAATTTTGCCGTCTGCACAGGGAGTCACACTTTGTCGGTATTTGCACCCGAAGTTATCAACGAGCTGGGATTCTCGCCCATGCATTCTCAGATAATGAGCGCCCTGCCATCCCTCTGCGGTGCTGTTGCTATTTTATTAGCCGGAAAAACTGTCAATTTGTGTCGGAGCCATTGGCTCGCCGCATGCCTAGCCTTGGGCCTCTCTCTCCTGGGCAGTATACTTATGTTGGCCACGCTTAATGTGCCTTTGCGCGTCTTTGGGCTCTGTTTGCTTGGTACTGGATCGTTTGCTGGCTTGGGCATTTTGCCGGGATGGGTTATTACAGCAAATTCGCAGACCGTTTCCAGCTCGACGGTGGCATCTACACTAACTGTATTTATGGGCGCTACTGCAAGTTTTGTGTCGGCAAATGTATTTTTGAACTGGGATGCGCCGAGGTTTGTAATCGGCCATACAGTGAATGTGGCTCTTCTCACCCTGGGGATTCTGGCATGTATCGTGACGCGAATAAGCATGGGTTTCAGAAATCGTCAGTTTGACCAACAGAAAAGACAGATGAAAATCAAAATCGAAATTGAAAGCATAAAAGCTTTTCGTTTTGTATACTGAAAATAATATTTCAATTCTTTTAATTTGTATTTGTTTTAGTTGGTGAGTGTTTTGTGAACAATTTATAAAGGTTATAATACAATGCATATCTTCAGTCTGTGCAACAACATTTAGCAGAGCCATCTTTACAGGGCCAGAAACCCGGGCCGAGACCCATCAGCATGCATGTATCTATAGGATAGATGTGGGACGTCAGTCCGACGCCCTGATCCAATTCCATCGATTTCAAAACCGTGACATTCATGATTGAAATTGTTTTTGCTATAGAATGATAACTGCATATATTTATGCAATTTTATGGTACATCAACATAGCATTTGTTATGATAGTTATTTACATGTGAGCGGCACTGGAGATTTCGCACACTTGTGTTGAAATTCTGGGAGAGACGTCCTGTGAACGTGTAGAGATAAAATGCTACGTATAAAAGTGTATTGAATATATAAATGCTATGCACTGGAAAAAGGTAAGGAACATATTGCTTTGTTTAGTCACTGTGTGACTTATTAATGATTGTATATTTGGCTGGAATAGCCTATCGTGATCTATAAAAATGTGGGTCTAAATTAATACATTCAAGTCATAAAAATTACTTAAGGAGTTGGGAAAAGGGGGCAGCGCTGTAAACATCGTGGTGTTCCTTGTTGTTAGCCAGCAATAACAAAAATGTGTATAGTGGCCATGAGGGCGATCTTGGTTCTTAAAAAGAGAAGATAGTAGCCTGGAATGTGTGTTGGGCACCACATCACTCCCTACGAGACTCGTCGCTAATCTTGTCCCAGTACTCCTGAATCAGATCCAGTGATCCAAAGTTGCTTGTTGGCTCCTAGGTGCTGTCGCCATTAAGCCAGTCAACTAAGTAGCGGATACCACCACGTGTGTTCTTGTGCCTGGTGATGGCTAACACCTCGACATGTGTTTCATCAAAGTCGGGCGCTGACGCAAGCGGAATAAGCTGTGACGTCATATAATTGCGCAGCAGTGGTTCACATGTCATGTCCTCCAGCTTGTAGGTGCCAGGTGCTACTACAGCGACAATGGGTAAGAACCAGTATGCTTGGCCTCACGTTTGTGCATGTGCTTGCCGCGGATAAGGACTGCTGTTCCAACCTCAAACTTCATTACCTTGTGTCTGTTCTTGAATCGTGCAGTTTGCTCGTCATTAGTGACAGCTGTGTGCTGCGCCACTGTTATAAAGAGAGTGCCTCGCATGCTGAGTGCACGTTCACATAACTGCTCAATCTGTTCAGTGGTTGCCTCCACATCCAGCAGCTTTTTATCAGTGTGGTCAGCAAGCATGTTTGGCTTACGCCCAAACATGGCAAAGAAAGGTGTAAAACCATGACGTGCAGAAATCTTGGTGTTCATCGCATATTGTGCGAAAGGAACACAGCGGTCCCATGTTGCTTTGCGTCCTGCTACCAGCTTGCTGATAACTTGGCTGGCTGTAATAGAACTTACTCGTACTAAATATATATATTTCAGAAATCCACTATAAGGGAGCTTAAAGAGCTCCGCTTATTTATTCAACACTATCGACAATGAAAATAGAAATCGTGATCATACAATCACAATTTCAAATAATCGTAATTTCACAATTGCAAATTGTCACGTGACATTGTAATAATTGATGTCACAGTGTATACCATTGGAGATCAGATAGTACCTGCCCAAGTTCGTTCGCACTTTGGTCAAGACAATTTTATTACTCTTATCTTCTGCAAAACTGGTATTATTCACGCCAACCTCAACATCAAACCGCGCACTGCCAATAGTGAATACTTTGTCAAGAATGGCATTAATCCCGTATTTGCCAAGTGTAAAAAATGCACAAGAACGCCAACCCCAGCAGAATCGTATTTGACCAGAACAATGCACCACCACCTCACAAACCAAAACGTACGTTGTACCACATTTTGCAGATTGGGATGAAACAACTTGAAGCAGTACCATACCAGGCCCAGCGACATGTTTTTAATGCGCGGGAAAAGCCAAATCTCACAAGCTCAGAGGTCGCAATTTAAAGGACATTCGAGTGGTGAAAAATGCATGGCTGTGGTACCAAAAAAGCACTGTGTCACGTAATCATTGAAGGTAGCCAATCACCCCCTAGGCGAATATTTGTTGTTTCGCGCAAGGCTTATAATAAGTCCTTGCGGACGCAAAAAACTAGTCGTTTTTGGTTTCAGTTTAGTTATAATTGAAATAAAATATATTGACACGCTTAAAAATAGCTGTCTCATTGCTGACAATTCGCGACACGAACTCATGCAGAAACCCAATGCCCCATGGGGACATGCCCTGGTCATCCTGGCGGACACACGCAGTGATGACATCGACAGCGCCCAGCTTCAGCAGCTGCACCATCTGTGGATTTGCCATCTCCATTGCATTTTCCTCTGCTGCTGCCAGCCGATATGCTGTGAGAAAAGTACACAGCCGCACGAGACTCTCCACCGGCATGCGCAAAAGCTCAAGCTCAGACATTGGCTGGCGTGCGACACCGAGCAATGCAGGCAGAAACGCCAGGTCGATCATCCCCCAGTGGTACTCAGTGCACAACGCAAACTGCTTTGCCATGGCTGCACATACCAACACAAGCATGGTGTTTGATTTCTGCCTCTGCTTGCTGCTGCCTTGAGCCAAGATATTGGCTGACTGCAGAAGTGTTTTGCTGAACACCTCAAGAAACCTGCAGCCACCTGCCTGCCGCATGTGCCGCTTGGATACTGCCGCGTCTGATGTGTCTAGCAACCCGAGCAGCGTGGTGGCTGCCCACATCACCACTTCTTTCTCCCTGGGCGCGCACATAGCCTCTACCAGCGCCTCGATGTCTCCGGCCCAAACCACCCTGCCGATCTGCTGCAGCATCATGACTAGCACCTGCAGCAACACAACTGTCCTCAATCGACCCTCCTTCTCCTTTGCTGTTGAACTTCCCTGGGCCTGCGCGACTATCAGCTGCAGGATCTCTCACCGCATGGCCATATCGAGCACCAGCCCAGACGCAGCACTCTGCAGCTTAAAGTTGCCCGAATTCAGCGCCAATTATGCCAAGAGATTAGCCATTTCAAGCGTCTGAATGTACAACGCTGTCTCATTGTCCGCACTCCCTTTTGGAACCATTGGTCCCAGCGTACCAGGTGTGTTGCCGTCGTTTCATTTATTGGTGTGCGTAGCAGAAAGCTAACTCGTACTGCGATTGGCCTAAATATGAGAAAGTACCTGGTACGTGCTGAGCTCTGCCCCGACGCCAATTTCAAGGTAGTACCAGCTATCGTCTATGCTAGCAAAATATTATCGAAAGTGTGTGAAAAATACTAAAAAGTAAAATGCGAAATTGGAATTGGAAAGGAAAGGAAAAATGATAAAAATGGAACAATTGGAAACAAAAACGTTAAAATGGAATCATTTGGCAAAATAGCAAAAATCGAAAATTATGGATGAAATCAACCATGTTCAAGTAAAATTGACCAATGTGCAAGTTTAAAAGGATGTTGTTTACAGTTAAAGTGATCGGCGAAAGGTGATCGGTGGGTTGGTGAATCTGTAAATAAAAGAGGGACAGTCAAGAGTTTTAATATTTATTAAACGTGAAGAAAATATGAATAAAATGTATAATTTTATCTTTTGTAGTTAATTTTTTGGGTCGTAAAAAGATTTATTAAAAACAAAAAAAACCTAAAGTGCTAGCTTCTTGAATGGTCCAGCATTGATCTCGTCCTCAGCTGGTCGCTTAAACTGGCCATTATTCTCTTCGAGGAGCTCAACCGCCTTGGGATGCATAAACCTGGGAGCAGCATCCCAGTTAGCCTGTCGTTTAAATTTACTGTCCCACCAGAGCTGGTGGCCAATGTACTGGTTTCCTGGTTCAAACAAGAACCGGCGGATTGAGTGGAATAGATCCCTGAATATCTTCCCTGGATTTCCTATCCCAAACAATTCCAGATACTTTTCCTCAACCATCATGATGCTGTACCGACTCAAAGCCAGGCTTTGGTTGTCCAGAAATTTGAACCTCTGAACATCATCCCTCTTAGTGCCAGCTGGGCGCACTGCGTCCATAACAACATAGATAACACTCTCCAGGTCATCAAGGATTCCCCGGATGGGGCTGCTGCTGAGCATGGGAATTCCCATGAAAAGCGGCGTCCCTGTAAATGGGTCCTTGGCCACCTCCACCTGTCCCACTGTCGTCGCATTGAACCCCCACTGCTTGGCAATATCAATTTGATTGGGTTGAGTTGGGCCAGTGTCCCTGGCAGCATCCTCAGCAGTGCCCCAGCCAATGACCTTGGCACAGCTCCAGTCAATGACATACACCTTGTCGTTTTTGATGCACACATTCCCTGCCGAAATGTCCCTGTGCAGGATACCAGTGTCATTTGCCTGGGAAAGACATAGGGTCAGCTGCTCGACAAAGCCAGAAACCAGCTCGTCTTTCTGATCGTCGGCCTTGTCTTTCAGATACTTGGCTATTGGCTGGCGTTACGTTAAAAATCGATCTTGAACAAAAATGAACTAAAAGAAAGCTAAGGGATGAATAGCCTCCACTGTTCATATTCATTAGTATTTATGTGTGCGTATGAATTCCCGCATATCCAAGTAGGGAATTAACTAGCGATTGATTCATTAATCAATTGCCAGAGACAAGCCGCAATTCCTTGTATCACACTTCCTATCTTTTTAGCTCCCTACCTCTATGCCTTTATATTGCCTGTTTTTCTTTTTCTTTTTGTCATGAGTTGCATCTACAACATCACAAGGTGATCAGACTTGTAATGATTGCTGTGCCGCCATGTATTTAATAATAAATTTAACAAAACCCCAAGAACATTTTACAATGTTTCAAGGCCCATGGACACTCATCTTTTGTTCTTTTTTTGTTTTTTTGTTCAGGCAATACATTAGCAAGGAGGGTGGTCAGCAGCAAAGGGAGGAGTGGGTAATGAGGATACAAAATATGAAAATGAGGGCTGGTTGTATGACAAAAGAGAATGACGTGGAAAGCCGATGGATGTATTTGAACATCCCTTGGCATAAGTTGTTTTGAAAGTAAAAATGTGGACTGTAGATTTTGCGAGTAAAGGGTTGGTTATTGAAAAGTCAAGAGAAAGTAAGTGGTGTCCGCGGTCGCTGATGATATATTCCATATATGAACATGGCGCGTAAAGTGTAATTGGTAAGTGGTGTTGTAACAAATTGTGGTTGAAATGAGAAACCAAAGAAATGTCTTGGGAAGTGGACGCTCTATTTATATGGAATGCGGCATTCAAATGGATGAACAAGAAAGGCAGCCGAAACAGACCTACCATTTAGAAAAAGAGATGGAAAATGAAAATACAGCAAGCTCTTCGTTTTGCGCCAGCCTAAAATAATTTCCCCATGTTTTTGCACCAAGAGGCTTGTATTTGGGCGATATAATAAGCCCAAACTGCCAAAAATAGCAGCAAGATATATCTCCATGTGCTTGAAGAAAAATGTGAACATTGCATCATTTTGATTCCAACATTGCATAATTTATGCTGTGAAATAAAGTGAAAGTGATTTTGATATTTCCAAAAATACAAACATGCATTCGGCCATTTTTGCAAGCCAAACAATGATGTATTTTTTTGGGGGGCAACTTTTATTTCAAAATTTTACATGTATATTTAGAGAACCTGGATAAGAGGCTAGACTTGAAACATAAACAATTAGTATTTGCTACAAATAATATTAATCAAAAAAGGATATTTATTTTTCCAAGGAGAACAATTCTTGGCTGCCCAACAGCCATTCCTTATATGCTCTTGTTATGACATAAATAAACTAAATAAAACGTATCATCATTGCTCTGATTGCCACGTGCATAATCAATTAATCTCAGTATAACAACATACAACGCCATGTGCCTTAATGTTGGAATATAGGAACGTTCTATGAACGTGTAGATAAACTATAATGACAAAGTATATTTAATGAATAAGTGCTATGCACTGTGAAAGGTGAAGAGTAGAAAAGCATATTGCTTTGGTCACTGGGTGACTTATTGTTTGTGTGGCTAAACAGCCAACACTGGTTAATCAGTTGATCACCATCAACCAATACTTAACTGTGACATATCTGGAGTCAATTCACACACTGGTTTGAATAGTATTGGATGTCAGTGCTTTAAAAGCATGTTCACAAAATGATGAATCATTTCCAGCAATGACATGTACAGGATGCTGCTTCCATTATTGCTAAAAATGACATGTATAAATAAGACATGGTTTCTCGAATATTCAGTTGGTAGTTCTTTAGACACTCTTGCTCCTTTTTTACTCACAACTGCAAACATCTTTATTTTATTTACCAGCAACCATCATTTTCAACATGCAGCTCTTCTCATTCACCACTCTTTCCCTGGCTGCCGCTGCTGCCAATGCTGTTGTGCGCGCCGACGCTTATGCCGATGCCATTTTTTGACAGGTTTGGAGGGTTTCATTACCCAAAGCAAGCCTCTTGGTACACAGAAAGAGTAAAAAACATATTTCAGGCTGGCAAGCCTTAGAACCCACTGCGTTTTTCATTTTTCCATCTCTTTTTTCAATTGGCAGGGCTTATTTACTGCTTTTCTCCATCTATTTGCATGTCTTATTTCATATAAAAGGAGCGCCCAGTTTTCAAGCTATTTTTTGGTTCCCTATCTCTCTCCCAACAACCACCACTTCCTCTAAAATACTACCACCTTTTTTCTAATACGCACACATATTTTCCTAACATTACGATATCACGACTACAGTACACACGCACACACACAGCAGCATCAACTTTGACTTTAGCATGGATTATCAGTTCACAATACACAACTTTTGTGGGAGGGGATCGCACACATACAACAGTTCTCGCCCAGCGCCATCCATTGCACTACATTGGCCCATATATTATATCCGCCGTCTGCCACAGCCACGCTCATTTGTACATCACAAAAAATAATGTGTCTAGTAAACACTCGGTAAGATATCTGCAACTGGTCTCATCAATGTCATGTCTGGGATGTCTGGGTATATAAGGGGACCTAAAGAACACCCTTATAATAAAAATCGGGCCGGTTCCATTCCATAAGACCTGTAACCGTGGTATATACGGGGGCCCACAGAACATTTGTTCAATATGAATCCGGCTGGTAACACGCCTAAGACCTGAAATCAGAGGCAGCGGAATGGGAGGAGGGTGGGGTTTACCCATGTACCTTCTCCGGATTGCCAGCTTCTGGATGGGCTCCTCACAAAATCACAACACGGGCATGGCTAGAAAGAGTAGCGCATGTACCAAACCCACAACATGACAACCAGTTGCAAATATCTCCGAGCGTCCAACGACATTTTGCACTCGATGCTCTATGAGCTCTAAACAGCTATAATTTGCGCGGTGATGATTTTTAAATGGCACTTTACTTTTAATTGTGCTAATTTTTGTCTTTGCCATCCATCATGGCAGAAAATAAAACCAGTGTACACACACCCCCAAAGTTTCCATTGAAAAGTACAATTACAAAAATTAGACTGAAAGCCAAGAGAATGAATTTCGTAAATATCGCTCGAAAAAATCAGATAATATTAGAATAATAAATTGCATAATTTCAATTTGCATGCACTTTTGCAGCCGCTGATTTAGTCTGTGTTTTGGCTGATCATGTGCAACAGCCATCAAACAGAAACACATGTACAACTGTTGGGCACTTGTCCAGCTTAATCTGCGTTGTGCTTAATTTGCTGTTTAGTTGATAAGAGAGCGTTGATAAAAATAAAAATAAAATAAGAGATGACAGCAAGCATACAAACAATGTGGCTGTATTGACATTCGCTTGGGATTGCGATTGGTATTGGAGAGCATTGCAGAAAAAAGCTGTTGCAGCAAAAAAATGCTTCAGCTTTTTGTTAAAAAAACAGGGGATATTGGAGTGTGTACAGCTAATGATACATTCAATTAGGAGCTATTCATTAGGATTGAGATGGGCATATAACCAATTTATACAGCCTGCTCTGCAAAATCGAATCTAGTGCAGCTCAAAAATAGCAACGCGAATGTAATGCTGCGCAGCCTGAAGATATGGAAGTTGATGTCGAGGTTGAGGATCGTGAAACAAGGTTCCATCTGCATGCCGGTTGATAGGGTACTAATTGAATCATGCGGGCGTAAATTAGGAAGGCATAATAATTATGCCCAGACATGCTCCCTACTTTGCAAAGTACACGCATGAGCGTACATAAAAAATGTTGGAATATAGGACGTTCTATGAACGTGTAGATAAATTATAATGATATGATATATTTAATAAATAAGTGCTATGTACTGTGAAAAGTAAAGAGTAGAAAGAATATTGCTTTGGTCACTGTGTGACTTATTAGCCAGTCTTGGCTGTTTAGCCACACAAACAATAAGTTGATCGCCATCAACCAATAGTATAATAAAGAAAACCCTTGATAAGCCTAAAAATAAATAATTGAGTAATGAAAGATAAATAATTTAAATTCAAAATACAATCATTAAATATTATGAACAGCAGATTTTACATTTATGGCTGTTATCTTGATTCTCCAATTCTACTAAAATAATGGAAAGGTTTGTTTGTGTTTAGTTTGGGTATGAAATAAATTATGATCCAAATTTTTCCTGCTAGAATCATTCAGGAAAAAATATTCCGAAGAAAACAAGCATTTAAATAGCTGTGGTAGTAGCTCAGCATTTAATTCAAAGCTAAATGGAGACCAACTATTTGATTTTATTGATGGTAATTGCAATGCTGGGTTCTCATCGAGTAATGAGAAAATGTTAATGCAGGTGCTTGGCCAATATGCCAGTAATGAGCCAATTATTAATTACGATACTCTCCAGAAGATATTTATTATAAATATTCTTGATCAAATTTGCAAAAGTAATACATAACCATCGAATATAAATATAAATGAAAATATTAAAAGAATCATTGATATGCTTGAAATTCACAGTGGTAGTTTAAGTAAAAAGTATAAAAATAATACTTTGTGATAAAATGAGTGATTGTGACATCAGAAATGGGGTTGCGTCATGTGACAGCGTAGACGTGTGAAATATGTTTATGATATTTTATGCGCACAGCGAATTCTGAATAGTGAGCTCTTCAGCTCTTTTCGTAGTTTAATTTCTATTAATATATCTTATAACTACAATTCCTCATTACAGTGATTATGCTTTTATCCTTTTATTCATTTCTCACACTTTCCATTTCTCACTGTCCTCTTTTTCTAATAGCCTGATCCCGAATTCAAAATTAGCGTTTAATAGCACTGAGCCTCTTTTGGATAATCAACTCCCAGTTTCAAGGGTTTCTACCTCCATCCTTAATGGCATGGCACAAGCTGAAACTGGAGTGGCTCCTGTGAACTTTACAGCCCACCCAGCAGAATAATCAGTGCCTGAAGTCAGATGACGTTTTTGGAACAAAGGTATTGCAGCAAGCCTAAACATGCACATCATCTTTAATTGTTTTAGCAAATAATTGGGAATGCACCTACTTGGTTCACGCAAAAAGTGACAAAAGACGATCAAGACAAACATGCGCAGAGTTTGGCCTATGTCTATTGTCTATAGTCAGACAAGCAAGAGCTCAAGTGGCGCAGAATTAAGGTAGCCAATTTTTCCTACATAGTTATTTCTCACTTATTCTCAACAGGTTTGAACCCACTTTTGATAGCAGTCTGAGTAATCAGCGAGAAAAGAAAACTAGTGCTGCCGACTAGTTTCAATAAACAGCATAAACGATTAAAACAAAAGATTTCATGTGAGAGAACAACTAGCTTAATTAAGAACACTTATTTTATTATTCAACATCAAATACAACTAATAATACACATATTTTAAGATATAATGGGTATTAATTACGTGATTAAATTAAAGCTTGCATTTTTATGTTTGTGACAAAAGCCACTAGGCAGGAATTGCAGTTTTATTTTCATAAACTTTGTGAAAATGATGAGAGGGGGAAGAACGAAAATCTGAATCGCGTCGCGATAATATTTTTATTTTTCAGTATTTGGACAATAGAAAAAAGTCGCGTTAGTAATTTTTTTTAAAAAAACGTAAATAAAAAAAGGTCTTATTTTTTTTTCCGTTCATCCTTTTTTGTTTGCCCACCCTCTATTTTTTCACTTCCCTAACACTATTCATTTTTGCACTTATTTTATTAAACAAATAAAAAACCCTCCAAGCAAAAAACTAAACCCTTTTTTTCGCTTCCAAATTTGCACTTTTATATTTCCTACATCTATTCGTATTTATTTATTTATTTATTTTCTTTCGCTAATTTCAATTCTAACAACTTTATTCCTTTTTAAAAGTAATGTCGCCTTCAATTAATTACCAGGCAATGTATTCAGATCACAATGAGCCTCCAACAGAGGAACTTTCCGGGTACGAGGACAACACAGCTGAGCATTTGGGTTATGCAGTGTCGGAGATTGGCCGTGCTGTGTCCCAGGATGAAACGGGGGTGGATTTTGCAGACCAGTTTGATGGGCCTTTAGAGCGGCTGGAGATACGCCGGATGAGCGATACGCCCGCGGAGTCCCGTGTCGACCAGCAGGGCTGGTACCGAAATGGACGGCGTGGAGATGATAGTGAAGAAGACGATATGTTTGGGCGTAGTTTTGAGGATGACAGAGGAATGGAGGAGATGGTAAGCTGTTTTTATTCTTCTTTTTGGATTTTTGGATTATGCCTGTGCGATTGACGCATAACAAAAGTAAGGATCACGTTTTTTGCAAATGATAAGGCTGATTTAAGCTAATGGTTCTGTATATTGTCATTGGCTTTCTTTGTCTAAAACTAGGAATTTTCCACGCACTCTGGGGAAACTGGCGGTGGTACGCGTCAGACGATGGGTCTGACGGCCGAGGATATTTCCGAGGACTCTTTTTTGAACCGCGCTAATGGCGGTGGTGTCGGCAACTACAGCCATACGCGCTCGCTGCACTCAGACACGCTCGACAGACACTCCACTATGCGTAGCCACCCCGATGGTCGCCAGCCTAATGGTCCTAATGTTATAAGGGATGGTCCCTCGGACAGTGAACACGACGGGAGCGATGAGCGTGACGAGAGGCTGACCACATTTAGCTCGCCTGAACATACGCGAGAGGTTGGTGGGATTGAAGAAATAGGCGCTCAGTTGGCGCAAGTAATGGGTCGGCTCAACCAGTCTTTCCCACAGCAGCAGCAGCAGCGGGAGGAGGAGGAGGTTGACTGGGATGAGAATGAGCGGGAGATTCCAGATACACCCGATATCAATACCACATTCACCACGGCACAGCTTTCAGTAACTTCAGCGACGAACAGCGAGGAAGATGCGCTGAGTATTGCGAATATAGGGCGAGACGATATGATAATTCAGCCTGGTGCAGCGCATCAGTTGAGGAATCCACTTCCTACCCCCGACAACTCAAGCGAAGGCCAAATCATTTCGACCATTGCCGAGGTATACTCAGTCGTCAGGGAGATCCAGAATGAGCAGGTGGACGAAATGACAGAGGCTGTAGCGGCTTTGAGAGCGGAGAATATCAGGGTGGTTGAGGAGCTTAGGGTGGAAGCGGATGATGATGCGACGTTGCGGTTGGAGCCTCCGCCTTTCCAGAATATCGACGCGCATCGGTCGCTGGATGATCGGTTTGTTGTGCCGAGGGGGGAGTACTCGCTGAATGGGTCGTTTGATTCGCTTGACCATCCTAATATGGGCAGTCAGGAGACCCTGGGCGCTCAGTCGCCCGAGTCCATGCGGCAGGACTCGGAGTACTTTAGCCAGGGCAGGGCCGGTGGCGGTGGTGGCTCACACCAGCGTGGGCATTTGTCGTCACCGACGCAGTTCAGCCCGTTCAGCAACTCGGGCCGTGGGCGGTTCGGGAATATGGTCAGTAGTTTGGGCTATTCGTCGAGGCCAAGCACTCCCGGTGGGGGTGGCTCCGCGAGGGATAGCGGGTTTGGGCCGGTGGAGGATGCTGATGAGATGTTTGGCAACTACGCGACCAGCAGCAACCCTGATTACGAGGATATTGCGAGGCAGCATGAAATGGATTTCTCTGATCTTATGGGTGAATCTGACCATGACAACGATGGATTTGGTTCTGACCGGCCGCCGGAGTCGCTGTTTGCGTCGAGCTCATCGATTATTGGCAATGGACACAATCAATGGATGCGGCCAGGACATCGGGTCTCCCAGCAGCAGCAAAATCAGTCAACGTTGGCTAGGAGGCGCAATTTCTCCACGTGGGATGGCAGGGAGGCCACGGTGGAGGCGATGCGAGAGCAGGAGGAACGGTTCGCTATGGATATGCGCAACCCCATTGAACTGATGGGTAAGGCCAACAGCCTGGGCATGTCAGATGCCGACTCGGAGGTCAGTGGCCTGATCCCTGCCGATCTTGGCCACTCAACTGAGAGTAGCCATCGCAGTGCAAAATCGCCGATGGGCCGCGGGTGGATCCGCTTCGCAGCGCCTGGGCCCGGCGACCGGAATATCGTCGCGTCCCTGGGCACCGCGCAGCCTACGCCTGTGACGGATCATCCACAGCAGCAACGCCATGCGCAAAACAACCAGTATGGCCATTATGGCCATTATGGACAGCGCGAGAACAATGGCCAGGCTGATGGCGCCGTACTGCTGCCACCACCGCCAACAACCCCAAGGACAGTCATGAGCCGCGACCCATACCATGGGCCGTCCACACGTGTGCTGCATGTGGTGCCGCCGTTTGATGCCCATGCACTGCAGACGCCGCCGTCAGGAATTCCACAGGGCGAGATGCAGAGGGCGCAGCCCCAGGGTCAGATGGCGCTTCTGCGCAATGCCAGGCCGGCGGGGCCGCGGTCCATTGATGATATGCGCCGCCCGCCGCCGCTGGCGATTGCCTCGCGACAGTCGACGCCCGACCACCACCACTACCAGCAGCAGCAGCAGAGCCGGCAGCAGCAGCAGAACTATCAGCATCAGCAGGACCGCCAGCCGAGCCACCAGGCGAGCCACCAGGCGAGCCACCAGCAGGACTACCAGCAGCAGGACCAGCAGCAGCAGCAGCGCAATGCTCGGGCAGCAGCCGAGTTTGCACAGGCCGCTCAAGTCAGCCCAGACTATGACCAGAGCGACGATGGTTCACTGGGACTCGGCTCACTGCTTCTAGGCGACATGCAGCCAACCGAGTCAATCCGTATCAACCGCACGCCCCTCGCCACTGGGCAATTCGCACCCGCGCATGCACGGATTCTGGGAGCGTCACGTGGAATGGCGTCGCCTATGCGCAGTGCAAACGCAGCTGGTGGCACGGGTTTTGTGTCGCGTGATTGGACGTCGCAGTCGACGGTGACGTCGGCAGCGTATGTGCCGTTTCAGGAACCGACGGTGGATATTGCGAGGCTGCCGAGGTATAAGGATGTAGCGCTGGGAAAGATTGACAGTGTTTCGTCGATGGAGAACTCGCCGAGAGCGCGGGTGGTTGCAGATAGGCCGGGTTCGGAGTGGGGTGGCAGGTCGCAGGGTGATTTGCGCGGGATGCTGAGCTACGAGTCTGACGCTGTGCATACTATAAGGTATGAGTCGCCGACGCCGTCCGTGGGGTCAATGGAGGAATTGGACATGGGGCATATGGGCATGAGCGGATTTGGCAGGGGCCAGCAGCTACCACAGCAGCAGCAGGGGCATCAAGGGCAGCAATCTGCTGGGCGTGGGCAGCAGCAGCAGCCGCAGGTGGTGTCGGAGAATGCCGAAGGGACACCGTCGTTGAAGGAGATCTACGATATGGTCAAGGTTGTTCTTACGACTATGAGCTCGCAGACGCAGATAGAAACGCCACCCGGTGTTGGTGCCAAAGAGGGTGGTCGGCCGGCTGACACTGGTCGCTCGCAGCTTGGGCCGATTGCTGTTGACCATGACTCGCGGCGGATGCGCACAATGAGTACGTTGGATCGCCAGCTGAACAACGTGTATGCGGGAATAAGCATGGAGGCTGAAGAGAAGCAGCGCGAGCGCAAACGCGAGCAGCAGCAGCAGCAGGCAGCGGATATTAGCAACCGGTCGTATCCAGATTCCCGCCCAGCTGCACCAACGCCGCGTAGGCGCAATAATTTTTCGCGGTTTATTGACGATGAGTCAGGCAGTTTTGTCGGGTCAGAAGCTGCACCGGCACCACCAGCACTGGTGGCGGCGTCGGATGCCGAGGCTAATGCCACTGATAGGTTTATGCAGAGATACCGCAGTGAGGTGGCACCTCAGCGCACACAGAGCACGCAGCAGTATGTCGAGCGGTATACTAGCGATACTGCGGCCGGTAATTATAGCGTTATGCGCGGGATGTCGCCGCTTATGCCGTCGGTGTCATCGCTGCCGCAACCACTGTCTGCATCGGTCACCCGTGAAATCAGCGGCAGCAGCGGAGCTGATGGTGGTGACAGTAGCGGTGGGTTGGCGCAGGGCTTGGCCAGAGTGCTGGATGCCCTGGGTGAGGGGTCGATATCCAAGGAGGATCTTTACAGGACCCTGGAGGAGATGGTTTCGGCGGTCGTCAGTAAGAATGGTAGTTTCGAAAGAGCTTCCGCACAACAAGCTTCTGAGACTCTGGATCAGCCACAGCAGCAGCAACAGCCACAGCAGCAGCAGCCAAGGCGTGGGATGGCGACCGAGACGGCTGTGCAGACGGAGGACGTTTCAGCTGATAATGCTGATGCTGGGGATGATGGTCCCGTGGACAAGGCGTTTATGCGCAGTGTTCTGGCATCGATGGAATCTCATTTTGAGCGTATTGGCAAGCAACTGCTGGTCGCCAAAACGCAGAATCAGTCGGAAGCTGCGCAGCCGGAACAGCCGGCGGACGTGGGGTCTGTGCCGGAAGAGTCCGAGCCGAGGGAGAGCAGAAGCCCGGCATTGGCTGCTCGCCAGCGGATAGTGGGGGCGCCTGTGTTCGAGACGCCGACAAGGAGAGGCCGGCTGGCGCAGGGGGTGCATTGGCCCAGTAGCCAGGAGGAGCCTGAACTGAGAGAACGCCTGGCGTCGCCGCCGGCGCCGAGGGCTGTGTCGCCGCTGCGGGAGCGCTTCTCGATGGGGGGACGCCGTGGCTATCGCCAGCAGATGTCGCCGTTGGCTGGGCGGGGCCGCCCCCAGCACCAACAGCAGCAAGCGATGAGTGCGTTTGGAAGTCATTTTGCCAATACTGACCATGCTGCTGATGTTGATGCAGCCATGGATGCTATGGCCGACGAGTATGACAATGAGGATGACGGCGAGCTATCGGACACGATGACGACGGTGCAGGACGACGCGCCTATGCCGGTGCCCGGTTCTGTCGGCCCTGCCTTAGTTCATGCGGCCAGCACGCCCGGCCACCGCAGCCAGCTGCCGCCGCTGTCCATGACTGCGCAGAAACGCAGCGAGCGGATTTCTGGCGAATCCATAACTTCGCATCTAGGCAACAGCGACCAACTAGGGAGACGCCAGACCTTAGATTCTCTTCGTCGACAACACCAGCATGAGCATGAGCATGAGCATGAGCAGCAGCAGCAGCAGCAGCAGCAGAGTCTGCGAACAAATGTACGCGCAGATGACGGATATGATAGTCTGAATGACGCTATCTACAGTGCACATATTGTGCGGCAGCTTAGCGAGACACTGGCAGGGCTTGAGCAGGAGCATATTAAGCGGTTCCACCATCTGCGAAGCACCAAGGCGGCAGACTGCCCGGTGTGTCGGTCCCTGGAGGCACAGAACCATGATCCGTATCTTTATGGGAAGCACGCAGTGGCGTACAAGTCTCTGCCGATGCGTCAGCTGCAGGGGCTTCTGAATGCCTACGTTGATGTCATGACTATGGAGCGCCCGCATTCGCAGCGGTCAACATTGTCGCCACCGCCAGCGTATGTTTCGCGTGAGGATGATTTGCAGGGTGTGCGTGGAGATTCACTCTATCATTCGTTTACGCCGACGCCGACGCGGAGCGGGAAGGTAATTGCGCGGAGTTTGGCTCAGCGTGGATCGCCCTTGGGGGATACACGGAGGACTACGGGGGTGGTTATTGAGCAATTACGGGAGGAGCTGGATGCTGTGGGGCGTCGGTACCGCCGGATGGTTGGGGAGTACGAGATGCTGGATCCGACGCGGAAGAGCGACCAGAGGCGTAGGAGGCAGATGGCTGGGGATTTGAAGGATTTGGTTGATCTTTTGGATGTCAAGGGTGAGCAGATTGCGACGTTGGCGGGGCTGCATCACTCGGATACTTTGCCGACCTCGCGTGTGGCGGCGGCGCCGGCTGCTGCGGTGGGCGAGAGGAAAGGTTTAAAACAGAGAAAGCAGCTGCAGCAGCAGCGCAGGGCCTTTTGGGATGACAGTGTTGAGATGAGCTTGGAGAGAGTTAATGAGAATGGTGGAGGCAGCATCAATGTTTCTGGCGGTGGCGGTGGCAGTGGCGGCCGCGCGCACACGAGCAATACCGAGCGGGTGTATAACTCTGCAAGGGACCTGCAGAAGGCGCTCGGCGATATGTACTGATTGAATTACCTTTATTGTTTTATGCTATTCGTCGAACTTGTTGATCATGGCTTTATGCGTGCAGTAAAACAAATGTAGAAAATGGCTTGGTTTTTTTTGTTATATATAGATTTTTATTTAAATATTCTGAGCGTGCGTTTTGTTTTGGACCCCTTGTGACTCAAATATTAACGAAAAGAAAGAAGGTTGGAATCTTCGTTCGAAAAATAAACACTCCCGCATGTTGCGCTGTGATTGGCTGTATAAGACAGAAGCACAAATGCC